TCCCCCCCCCCCCCCCCAATCAATCAGATCAACGCACCTCAACTCTATTTCTACTCAATCAATGATTCGGTAGTGTCTTATTTAGATGTGGAGAAGTGTATTGAGATGATGCGCCGCAAGTCGATACCAGTGACACCAGTATCATTTGATGAGTCCAAACATTGTAACCATCTATCCATTCATCCAATGCGTTATCTTGCTAGTCTCTATCAACATTGGGAGACATGTCTTCGCGCACCTCGCATCAACAGTTTTGTCGATGGTATATTTGGCAGTTTCGTGTCCAAGCTCTAAGTTTGTATATATCAGTCTGGTCATCATTCTTTGTGGATGATACAACTTGGAGTTGGACTGGACCCTTTGCCTTGCAAATGATCACACAATTGAATGACAACTCTGACGATGATGTGTTCCGATCAATATAGAGATCGTCGATGTGTCAGACGTCAAGACGAAACACACCACCAGCTAATCAATCAATCATCTGCAAAGATTAGGTGTTTTCCAGTTTCAGTCCATGAGTCGTCGACGGTTGGGGGTCTCATGAGGCCCCCAAACGAAAAGAAAGGTGTTGGGGCACCTTGAATAAATCACCATTCAATTCCAATCCATTCCACCCAGTCATCCAATCAGAAAGGATAAGGGGGCATCGTCCTCATCTTTGGTCGAGTGTTATTGTTGTTGTTGTTGTTGATGGACAATGTTGATGCTGTTGTTATCGTAGTTGTGTTTGTTTGGTGTATGTTTGATTAATTGATTGGGTCCATTCACAATGAACAACAACAAATTAACTTATCAATAACAATTACATCACTTACAACAACAACAATAATAACATACATAATACAACAAGTGTAGTAGTAGTACTAGGAATAATAGATAATTACAAAAGGTTGGGCGGTAATATTACACAAGCCTTTATGAACAATCATTCAATCATTGATTCATTCATTGCAACATCATACATATATTACATACAACAACAACAACAATACAGATAGGTAGGGTATGTTGACATACTGGCTCAGGCCCAACAACAAACACTCACTGTTGTGTTGCATTAAACACTTCCATCATCACACACACACACTAGAGGTTGGTTGATGATGCAGATGATGATGTGACGACAAATACACACATGCCCACCATCCTCCAATGTGTGTACAGACGATCAACATCAAGTGCTTTACCCTTACCACCACTACCACTACCACTACCACTACCACTTCCATCAACATGTATAACAAATACAACAACTAGGAAGGCGATCTAATAGGCTTACCTCTCACTCCTACACCGCCCATCTCCTCAATCAATCAAACAAACAAACAATCAAACAATTCATCCATCGTCTACATATTGTTTCCAATTGATTGATTGTTTGAATGAATGATTGAATGAAGCGTCACATTGACACCATTTCCAACACAAACAAACAATCTATCAATCAATCATTCAATCAATCAAACAAAGTTACTGAACATATTATAAATCATCATTATAGTCTATCTGGAACGCAACATCAACATTAGTAACAGCAACAGCATCAACAATAGGTGTGATTGAAGTGAAGTGAACTGAACAACAACAACAACAAACAATGTCACACTTCTTTCACTCTCGAAGAAAGTCGGATCCTATTCGAAAGAAGTCTGTGGCCGATAGATCAGAGTTGGAAGCAATGATGGCTGCAGCCCGAAAAGCATTGCCAGTGGCAACGACCACAACAACAGTGGCAGCAGGGACGACACATCAACATCAACATCAACAGCAACATCATCATGAGAAACCAATACCACCACCAATCAAACCTAGACAGCGACCAATGTCCGCGCCAATCAACGAGGGAGTAGCAATTACCTCATCAACCGAACAATCGCCATCATCATCCGAACAATCACCAACCTCCTCCAGTCCACCCAGATTCCGTCTTCCATCCAAGTCCAACTCCAGTCAATTCTCCACCGTCTACGATAAGTATGTTCAGTGGAACTATCCCCTGGATCGCACTCATGCTCACTCACTCACTCACTCATTCAATCAATCAGATCAAACTTGGGACTCAAGACAATTGATGAGGATGATATGCTACACAGACCAAATTTACAAAAGGTTATACTGTCAAAGAACAATCTTGAATCGGTGCCAACTAGAATATGTGAGCTGGGATCGATTAGCTCGCTGGACCTGTCTTACAACAGACTGACACACTTGCCAGTGTCCCTGGCCAGCATGCCAGAGCTCAATACCTTGCTACTGGCTGGCAATCAATTCCTTGTGGCAGCAACGTCCACAGAGGACAGCGAAGACGATCACATTGACGACCAACTTCAACAACAACAGCATGTAAATACAACAACACACAATAGGATCAACTTTGGTGGCAACAGCAGTGGCAATGTAAATGTCAATGTCAATGTCAATGGCGTGGTCGACCTAAGCACACTTAAGAACTCATCATTCTCTGACTTGTCGTCGGAGAAGACTACTCCACGATCACCAAAGGATGATAAGGAGCCTTTGTCATTCATTGCAATGTCCACAGACACGTCGGACTTGATGGACGATGGATTCAACTCGGTGGTGGGACAACAACACGTGGACACGAGTCCAGTGAACAGTGAGCCAATCCCAAGCGAACTAAGTTATCTCAAGTCATTGCGTGTGTTGGACCTGTCGTCCAACATCGCCCCGGGATGGTGCGGGCCAACATACCTGCCGCCAAGCATCTTCTGGTTCGGCCAGATCACAACACTGCTGGTAACACACGCACAGCTCAAGGCAATCCCCGCGGATATCCACCACCTCTGTTCACTCACACACTTGGACCTCAGCAACAACCTCATCGACTACCTCCCAACCGAGGTTGGCCTGCTCGCCAATCTCCAACAGCTATCAGTGCGCGACAATAAGCTGGATGCGTTACCTTTGGATCTTGGACGACTGACCAAACTCACGCATCTGGACGTCTCAAAGAACGCCCTGGCCGACCTTCCCGCCGAGCTGAGCAAGCTTGTCGCGCTCGAGATCCTGGACATCTCATTCAATCAACTGGCGAAGCTGCCCGAGCAGCTGTTCCAGGAGCGTCAGGGCCTCGTCTCGCTCAAGGACTTTAGGATGCGACGAAACAACATCGAGCGCCTGCCGCCAATGTTCTTCCGAACCCGTTGTCGCTTCGAGCATCTTGATCTCTCTGAGAATGGTCTGAGCGACCTCCCGCCAATCCCCTCCGCCGACGACGGCGAGTCGCTCAGCGGGCTGTCCACACTCATTCTCTTTAGCAACAGACTCACATCACTCCCGCGCCCACTCCTCCAGACGTCGCTCACAATGCTCAATGCCTCGGGCAACAACATCACTTCTGTGCCGCCAACATTATGGATCGACACACCTGCGCTGTCCCATCTTCTGCTTGGATACAACAAACTCAAGACACTACCATTGCCCTCTTCGCCATTCTATAACCTGGAAGAGCTGTACCTCAATGGCAACGACCATATTGGGTTCCGCGACACATCAGACAACGTGTGCTTCCCATCCCTAAGTAATGTTGGCCTGGCCTCGTGCATGTTGAAGGCGATCCCCGACTTTTTGTACCGCTGCGAGCTGATCGATCAGATCGACCTTTCGTACAACGAGCTGACCAGCATCGATGACCGCCTGGTCGACTCGTTCGAGAACCTCTCCGTCCTGTTGTTGTCGCACAACAAGCTCACGCAACTCCCCAACGAGTTGGAACAACTCAAACATCTCATCATGTTGGACGTGTCGTTCAACTGCATCACGACCATCCCACACGACCTGTTCTCCCACACAAGCAGTCGCAGCAATCAACTGCACCTTACGCACCATCACAACGACAGTGACTTGTCTGCCACGTTTGGCGAGTCGTGCGACACCTGGTACGACAGCGACCGCTTCGCCATCTCAATGGCCGAGACGATGGGCCGCCGCCCCACCATGGAGGACGCGTTCACCATCCGTGGCAACATGGCCGCAACGGGCAGCGCCAACAAGACCGACCTTATCGCCATGTTTGACGGACACGCGGGCGCCATGGCCGCCACCTACAGCTGCAAGTGGCTGCCCAAGATCGTCAAGTCACTGATCGACAAGTATCCCTCGCTGCCGCCACTCCAGTGGATCCGTCAGGCATACTCCGAGATCAACGCACACTTTAAGAACTACATCGCCACCAACACTGACCGGCCCGAATTGCGCTTCTGTGGTGCGACCGCGGCCACTGTGTTGCTCCACAACAATCATTGCTACGTGTCCAACATTGGCGACAGCCGCGTGGTCCTTTGTCGTGGCGGCCAGGCCCAGCGTCTATCTTTCGATCACAAACCGAATGATCCGCATGAGGAGGATCGCATACGCAAGCTTGGTGGGTTCGTCGTGTCCAACCAGCATACGGCGCGTGTCAATGGCGTGCTGGCAGTGTCGCGCTCCATTGGCGACTTCTACATGGAGCCATTCGTAATCTCCGACCCATACCTCTCAATCACTCAACTTCAGCCCGATGACCAATTCCTCATAATAGCATGCGATGGCATATGGGATGAGATCGAGGATCAGACTGCCTGTGAGGTGGTCCTTGGTGCGCCATCGTTGGCACATGCCGCATCACGACTACGCGACTATGCATACTTTAAAGGTTCAGACGACAACATAACAGTGATCGTCGTGGACCTCAGACCGACCCAGAGTACGAGCTAGTAGTATTGTAAATTAAATTAACTACCCTTACCCTACCTCTGCATGAATTTTGGTTTTCCAAAATGTATCTACCCTGGCCAGTTGTTAGCAATCTCATACTTGAAAACCTCAAGAGAGTTCGCCGCCGCGTAAGTACATATGTCATCGCGTCCTCTGCAGGACGGTCGGCAGGGGTTGTCTCAGCAGCTCCAAGGCCTCAATGGAGCCACTCGCTGCTTGGATTTGGACCGGAAGATTCATGTTCTCTTCATTGTCATCGTGCTCTGTCGTCGTGAGTTGGTGGGTAAGGAGGTACTCCATTGTGTCTGGGTATGCCATCAGGGCTGGAATTATTCCCGCCTCTCGGAACCTCCAAATAATTTTTCCCTCATTTGATCATGCTTTTTGTAAAAGTTAAAAAGACATATCTTGTGATCGGATCAATCAGATCACGATCATTAATTAACATACATATCTCTATCAATCAATCAAACACATAATAATGTTTAAGATTATTACTCTTCGTATCGTTGTTGATCATTGCACAGTGTTTGGCAACGTCAACACCACTTGTATTCAATCCCAATGTGGATTGTAGCAATGATCAGAATCCATGTGTGTTGACTGACAGGTCCAATTGGGTGGGTAACATATCACCATCGATCAATTATGATCTAATCATCAATATTACTCAATCAAAACAACGTCAATACATTGTGAACAATGTCGATCTCTCTGTGACATCAATCACAATGAGTGGTCCAGTCACTCTATCCATCAATAGCGTTACATTGAGTGCACTCAATCTCAATACATCATATGTTGGAAGCAATATTATCGTCGGAGATGATGCCACACTATTAGTCACATGCTACGATCCTGTTTGCATCAGTAGTATCGAGTCAACACCAACTGCCTCGATCAATCTTCAGGTTCAAACCTCAATCAACATCACCTCGGCCAATCTATTAGGACCAATGATGGTGAAAACCCAACTGATATACATTGGCAACAGCAGCGACCCACTGGGTGTGATGTCTAACATATCAAGCATTGACATGCAGCTGCCTCCCAACAGCTATCCAGAAATCATTCTCTACTCCGTTAAAATTACCTCCCTTACAAGCACTGGATCCGAATCCTCCAATTTAGCCATTGCGACTCTTGGCAATGTGATCTTTGGCCCTAAAATTGATGTCCAAACAGAGAAAAGCTTTTTGTATATAAATAGCTGTTCGCTCAAACTGGATAGCACATCAATGTCCGGATTTGAAATTGAAATAGAAGCACCAGGTTTACTCATCATTGAAGGAGAATGCCAGGTGGACCAAGTCACTCAAAAGGGTGGAACGATCATATTCGAGAACCAGACGAGCATTTTGATTATCAATGGCCAGTACATATCAAACCTTGGAGCCATTATCGTCTACAACGATCCATTGCCTGGTACCACTGCCTTGATGAATGTTTCTGGTGACATCTCACTCACCAACTCAGAAATCAATATCAACTTTGTCAAGACATTGCCTGTCGCCAACCAACAATTCAATCTGATCAAAGGATTTGGCAACTTTGATTACGAGAATGTGGCGACCAATGGATCTTGGAGCATGGACAACACAAACGTTGACACGTACAAAGTTGTTCGCATGGCCGACAACATTGTTCTTACATTCTATCAGACATGCACCAAGTATCAAAACTGCTACGGACATGGCATGCAATACTAATGGTGAATGTCAATGTGATGACTATTATCAAGTGGTGGCCAACTGCAGCATCCAAGGTTGTTATCACAACTGCAACAACAATGGATTCTGTATTCAGCCTGGCACTGATATTTGTCAATGCAACAATGGTTTTGTTGGGCCGGCATGTCAGTTTCCATCGTCAGAGTGCACCAACTTTACATCCCAAGTAGATTGTACAACCGCCACTGGATGTACCTGGTCCAACAATGAGTGCCATCCACCCAAACACAACTCCTCAAACACAATCTTTGGACTCATCAACAAATCAAACTACATCATTGGTCTAATACTTGCAATTGTTGGTACCTTATTATTCTAATCAGTCAATCAATTGGAATGATTCCTTGTTCAAAGTGGATATAAATAAAATAATATTTGAACTTCAATATGATTGGACCCTTTTTAAGGACAAAGCCGTGATCATCAGAGCCCAAAAATATCTAATGATCACTCCAGACTACCAAAAGTTTTCCCTCATTTATTTGATCATCTGATGTCCTCGGAACTAGGTAGGTCTGTCATATGAATCGTCATGATCACTCATTCGAACATATACACAAACACATAATAATGTTTCAGATAATCATTACTTTAGTTATGTTGATCACGGCTACGACAACACAGAGTTTGGCAACATCAACACCACTTGTATTCAATACGAATGTGAGTTGTAGTGATGCTCAGAATCCATGTGTGTTGTCGGACAGCTCCAATTGGGTCGGTAACATATCACCATCGATCAATTATGATCTAATCATCAATATTGCCCCAACACAACAACGTCAATACATTGTAAACAATGTCGATCTCTCAGTGTCATCAATCACAATGACTGGTCCAGTCACGCTGTCCATCGATAAATCATTGAGTGCACTCAATCTCAAATCATCATATGTTGGAAGCAATATTGTCGTGGGAGACTATGCTAAACTATTAATCACTTGTAACGATGCTGTTTACATAAGTTATATCGAGTCGACACCAACTGCTTCGATCAATCTTCAGATCCAAACCAATATCTACATTACCTCGGCCAACTTATTAGGATCACTGATCATAAATACTGAACAGATATACATTGGCAACAGTAGCGACCCACTTGGTGTGATGTCTAACATTTCAAGTATTGACATACAGCAGCTTCCTGACGACTATCCAGCTGAAATCACTCTCTACTCAGTCAATATTGCCTCCCTAACAAGCACTGGAACGGACTATTTAGACATTGAGACTGTTGGCAATGTGATCATTGGCCCTAACTTTGATGTCCAAACAAACGAAAGAAATTATAATTCTATCAATATCAGTAGCGGCGCGCTCAAACTGGAAGGCATATCAATACCCGTTGAAATTCAATTGCAAGCACCGGGATCACTCATCATTGTAGGAGGATGCCAGGTGGACCAGATCACTCAAAACAGTGGAATGATCATTTTCCAGAACCAGACGAGCATATTGAATATCAATGGCCAGTACACTGCAGACCTCGGAGCCATTATCGTCTACAACGATCCATCACCTGGTACCACTGCCTTGATGAATGTTTCTGGTGACATCTCACTCACCAACTCACAGATCAATATCAACTTTGTCAAGACATTGCCTGTCGCCAACCAACAATTCAATCTGATCAATGGATTTGGCAAATTTGATTACAAGAATGTGGCGACCAATGGATCTTGGAGCATGGACAACACAAACGTTGACACTTACAAAGTTGCTCGCATGGCCGACAACATTGTTCTTACGTTCAATCAGACATGCGCCAAGTATCAGTACTGCTATGGACATGGCACATGCAATACTAATGGTGCATGCCAATGTGATGACTACTATCAAGTGGTGGCCAACTGCAGCATCCAAGGTTGTTATCACAATTGCAACAACAATGGATTCTGTGTGGAACCCGGCACAAATATATGCCAATGCAACAATGGTTTTGTTGGATCGGCATGTCAGTTCCCTTCTTCAGAGTGCACCAACTTCACAACTCAATTAGATTGTACAACCGCCAATGGATGTACCTGGTCCAACAATGAATGCCATCCACCCAAACACAACTCCTCAAACACAATCTTTGGACTCATCAACAAATCAAACTACATCATTGGTCTAATGCTTGCAATTATTGCTTGTACCTTATTGTTCTAATCAAAGTCAAAGTCAATCAATAAATTGGAATGATTCCTTGTTCCACGTTGATATAAATAAAATAATTGTTTTATTTCAACCTGGACTAATCTACAAATCAATCATTGAATGATATTATGACTTTGATACGTTTGACAGTTCTAGACCCCCAGCTGCCTCTTCATCATCCTCGCTTGTTGTAGACATTCCTGAACCTGTCGCCGATTTGACCTTGTCTTCGCCAGAGTTGCTTGATGGCCCAGCGTTGCCACCACCGCCACCATTGCCTCCGCCACCACCGCCAAGATTCTTGTTGCTCCTGTTTGCTGCGGCGACATTCTCAGAGGATGATGCATGACTGGTCTTGTGGGAGAAGCTAATGGTCCAGAATCGATTCTGGAAGAAGACTGATGACATCCAGATGAGCTTGACACGGCGGTTGAGGCAGTATAGCAACAGTAGTTCAATGCCGAGGAAGCGCACAAAGAAGAAGAAGAAGAATTGTGCTCCAAAGGGTACGGGGTTAAGCTCACAGTTGCTGCTGCTGTCATAGGGAGATGCCACCAGACATCTAACCCACTTTGCCATCTTCTCTTCGATCTCATCCTGTTTGGCTTGCAAGTAGAACTTGTACGAGAAGATATAAGTGAACTCTATAAAGATAACAAGGATCATCAAGAATGGCTTCAAATTATATCTAACCAATCTCAATGATTTCTTCTTTCCTGTGTCAACTCGTGTGACGACCTGTGTGGCGAATGAGTGGCGACGTGGAAACAGGAAAGTTAGCGGGTGTGGCGAGTGGCGAGTTGGAGCGATGCTGAACACAACTTACCTTGTAGACTTCGCGAAGAATCAATATAATGAATAGGATACCAATGAATATACAGACGGTCAGAGGTCCCCAGAAGACACCATTGAGCCATGCATTGTCACCAATCCAACAACCTAGACCACCAAAAGTAGCTGAGTACTTCTTGAATCCAGCCGGCAGTACAGTCAAGAACAAAGCGACTAAAGTGAGTACGACCATGTAGTACTTCTCATAAGATCTAGCAGTCTTGACTGAGTATGTAGGTGACAGAGATGTTAGCTTGGATGAGTGAGGCGAACGCGACAGGACATGGGACTTACCCTTTCTCAACACCAACCAGAGGTCAAAGGCCATGGTCGACCACCAAAGGATGGCGGTGACAACACCAAATTGGAAGATGGCGCCAGTCCAACCGCAGCTGGCATCGGATTGAACACCTTGTCTGCCAATCTCGGGACATTGGAGCTTCCAGCCTTGTCCCATGAAGATTAGATCGGTCAAGTTGACGCACCAGAGTCCGAATGATATGAATATGATGCAGATGGCATGTCGATCGTAGTTACGGTTCAGGACGACGTAGGTAAAGATCGTAAATGTCGTACACATGAATGATATGATCGATGTTATACTGATCATATCAAAGAACATGTTCCATTGGCGATTGGTAAAGATTGGTGAGGGGCATTGGAACACGCATGGCAAGTCGCCAACAAAAGTATATCCATTCTCTGAGTCTCTCTTCTTATCCGCGCCAGTAGAGTTCCTGTAAATAAGTGGATTTGGACAAACTACATTGATTGATTGATTAAGTGATTGTGATTGGAATAGTTCCAGTGATTGATTGTTAGTAATTTTTTGTTCGAGTAAGCCTGGAATAGTTCCAGCGCCATTCATTGATCGATCAATCACACATACCAAATGCTGGAGGAGTGAAGTTGCCAGAGTTGATGGTACTCAGTGAGAGACATTGAGTGGTCACGTCGGATTGACCACCCCAGAAGCTCATGTCAAAGGTGTTCTTCTCTTTGGGATAGTAGAAGGCGTTGGTGTTGCCAGCATACTTTTCATTGCAATCCAAATTAATTGGGATGATCTTTGAGCAGTTGGTGAGGATATTGTCGCAGTCCTCATAGCACTCAGTCTGGAACACCGGTGGCACCGTCGCTTGCACCGAACCATTGAGTCCAGTCGTGTTGATACATGGTCTAAACACTCGATTACAAATGAACTTGTAAATATTCTCTGAATCATAAGTTGACGGGCACACTATCTTCAATCCATCAATCAACGCCGTTGCATTCACTTGTAACATATCTTGATTATAATCATGTGTAAGATATATAGATTCTTTTGATTGAATGGTAGTTAGTATGAGTATGTGTGTAATTGGAATAATTCCAGTGATTCTGGAAAATAAATACCTGATGCTAGGAGTCCTTTACATGGCTCTTTTCCATGGAATGGTTCACATCTTGCGCCTGGATCTACTGCTGAATCTTGTGCATTTGTACCTTGTTGTGATAAAAGTCCAACAAGTATAACAAATAATATAATTGTGAAGTTGATATTGTTGGTGGTCTTCATTATTAAGTGTTGAGTGATGTGATTGGTTGTGTGATTGGTTGAGTGTATGTGTATGGTATCACTTGATTGTGATAATGATCAATTCAATCAATTATCAACAAACAGTCGGGTAATTATTAAATGATGTATGTTGTAGACGAACGATTATATTTGTTTGAATTGAATTGTGAATCGTGAATTGAATTGAATTGTTTCCTTTGCAGGTCAAAGGCGAAGACACACAATTTAAATGAGGTCGGATGGTCCTTGTGGTTGGAAGATGGATGCCGTTGGGTAGGGATAGATCGAAGATCTAGTGATCAATATATAATATATATGTGGGTGTTGATGTCAATGATACAATATGATATGTTGTTGATATAGTGAGTGATAGTGTCGCCAAGACGATGGAAGCTAAATTTAACTGACAACCGAGTCCTGTCCTGTATTGTTCGGTTCTGTTCTGTACTTGTCCTCCACTCGCCTTTCCTGGATGTCTATGACACAAAGTAAGTAATTAAGACTGTTCTGTTCTTCTTTGTTGTTGGTGATGGAAGTTTTGGATGAATGAATAAGGTCCAGAGTGGCGTCACTCTGAGATAGAGTATGAATGAGTGCGCGGGGTGGAGTGTGCACACAAATGACCCAATTTGATCATTTCCATCAGATGGGTGTGTTCTCCAAACACCCACCACACCATCCATCTCATGCTCAAGATGAATCAATCAATGTTGTGTGTTTGAGTGTGTGATTTGTTTTCTTTGCAGATTATTAATCAAACGAATCAAGCGGTTGAAGTGAAGGGGGGCACTATCACCACCCCGAGTCGAGAGTGTGTGTTTAGTTTGCTTTACGGGGGGTTGTTGTAAGTGATTGATCAATCAAATCAAGCGGTCAATCCACAGACATCGCCCGATGTCATGTTCATTTGAATTCAAAAAAAATGATCATAATCATACACAGACTTGTAGTCGTTATGAAGGTGGATGTGGATATTGTCGATAATATCAGGTGAGTGTGTGGCGTCGTTTCATTCATTCATTCATTAATACACCTGTCACTCCCTTCAATTGGTGCTGATGGTAGTAGTAGTAGTAGTTGTCTTGGATGACGTTGATGATGAAGTAGCAATAGTAGTGGTAGCTGGTTGGTTATCTGAATAATTGATAGGTTCGTAGCTGTTGCGTTGCATTGTTTGTTGACGCATGCGGTATGGTAGATAGAACAATCCCACTTTGAGTATGGTCAATGTCATGTTCACCCAGTAGTACTTCATAACATTCAATGTCAAGTATACCAACAGATACTACATAGATGTGGTTGTATGAGTATGAGTGATCGATGGCAATGTCGTTTGTAAGTTAGACGATGGATGGTGTGGGTGGATACATACCTCTAACAATCCTACAATGGCAGTTACAACTGAACTGATGCCCATTAGTTTACCATAGTTGGCATAACCAAATCTACATATTTAGCAATGAATGGAGATGAAGTTAGTGAGTGTCGATTGATTGATAAGTGGTGGAATGATTCCAATCAATCCAATATTATAATGTTACATACACTTCGGAGAGATAGATGAAGAAGAATCCCCAGATGTATACATTCTGAAGTGAGATAAAGAAGAATGCTACGTATTGGACTTGGAGAACGGGTATGCTTGAGAAGATTCCAAAGATGATTCCGGCCAAGTTGACGTAGAAGGCGTTCATTGTGAGTGTGGATCGTTGCATGAGAAGGCCGACAAATGGCACGAGGACAACGCCACCATTCCAAGCGTATGTGAACACGCCCACGTAGATAGGGTCATTCGTGAAGATATCGTTAACAGCGCCAATGTAATATACCATGTGCAATGAGTTGATGCTCATGAATGTGACGAGCACTAGGAATGGCCATGACAGCAGTTGTTGTAAAAGGTCCATCTGTCTAAATTTGGTCCAATGATTGATCGATGTATCATCGATGAGTACTTGTGATGCAGCATCATTGTTGTCATTGTCATTGTCGTTGTTGTTGTCATTGTTGTTATCGTTGTTGTGGGATATTGATGGTGATGATGAACCAGTGAGTTCGGCCTTGGGTAGATAGGGTTTGTGATGCATCATTAGAATGGATGGAATGAATAGGATCACCAACACTATTATGTAGTATAGGAAAAGTACTGGGATGCCAACATTGTAGTTGTTGGCAATGTAGCTAAACACTTTGAATACAAAAGATGAGCCGACAAACATGCCAGAGAAGGCAGTGGATATTGCCGAGGTGAGTGATGGAAATAAGTTACTAAAGTAAGGGTATTATTGAGTTAGTTTGATTGATTGAGGGTCACGTGCCACATGAGACACATACGATATATGGATTAAACTGACTTGACAAGCTGGACCTCCAATGCCAAGCAATGCGAATGATAAAATATACATATTCTGATCTGTTTTGTGATGATTGATTGATTGATTGATTGTCAGTCACTGACTTCTCTTTCTCCATCATGTGATGTCACACAACTGTACATACTAATGGACTCTGTGAAGTACCAACAAGTACACCCCAGCACCATGATTATCATGGCTGTGATGCTAGTCCATACTGGACCGTATCGATCAAAGATGGCACCACTGGCCACTGCAGAGCCTGTTGCAGTGAATGCGCCCAATGTGTACACTAAGTTAAGCCGCAGTGCTTGACTCTTGCATGTCTATGTATAACTGTATGGTTAGATGAATGATTTGTGATACACCAATGATGATGACGATGAAACATACATCTTGACCTGGTGCACAGAGATATCTGAATACACCTTGTTTCTCCATTTCATCTTCGAGAGGTGGCCATCCAAACACTATACCAGATATGATCAACATCTGTACCAATGCAATGAGCAGTAGCCAATATCTACGAGTACCTGTATATATTGCATAGGTATACTCTGTGTTGAGTGCAAATGCCATTCTCAGATATTCCGACTACTCGGGACTACAAGTGTAGACTCGACTCGACTAGGACTTGATTGATTGGTTGTTTGTTTTGTTTGATTGATAAGTGTTATTAAGTAAATGTAGTGATACAAAATATATAGTATATCTTAGCAAGTTGTAAGCATCTGTGCTAAGTATGTATATCTTTATCTTTATCTTTATATTTATATGTTGTAGACGTTGCAAAGGTAAAACAAGTTGTGGTTGTTTGTAAGTTTGTTTGCAAAATGATGTGTTGCTTTGGAAAAGTTGTTGAAAGTTTGGTTGTGATGTTAAAACGAATGGACGTCATTCATGGTCATGACCATCATTTATACATCACAACTAATATCCTTGCAAGTAATTATAATATATACATGATATTTATTATGTGTATAGGGTCGCCCAGGTATTGATTGTAGTTTGGAATGATTGAATGATTGATTAATTGAAGTTTGGAAAATGGATTGTGGATAGAGGTTATTGTTGAATATGTAGTTGTTGTTGTTGTATATCTTGTTGTTGGAGGAGATATGTTTCTTGGATCTCCCGTAGTACATCACTATTCCTTACACTACTGTCACATTTGGTCATGGTACTGGTGGCCATCGTATGTGTGTAACAGTCTTGGCAACAGAAGTCGTCCTGTTTATACAGGTTCTTGAACTTCTTTCGTTTGCGTCGACAATGTACCAACATCTTGATTGGCAGAATGAACAGGGTCACTCGCAATATCGTCAGGAATCCATTGATATAGAGAAATGACACGCCGTTCAGCGATAAGTACACCAGCAAGTATTCAAACAGGCCAAACAAAGCGACAGTCACCGAAGCAATGCCCAACAGTGTTCCAAAGTTGGCATAAGTGAATCTAAATGATTGACCGAAGTCAAAGTGAAATTTGATATGATGGAAGTTGGTTAGTGAGCATGGATGAATGATTGGATGCGCAGGAAACCAAACAAATCTGATTGATTGACTTTTAGTTAAAGTGATGTACATACATTTGTGCGAGATAGACAAAGTGGAAGCCCCATAGGTAGACATTTTGGAACGAGAGGAAGAAGAAACCAATGACATTCACTGTGCTGTTTGGTATACAACAGAGGATACCAAATACGATGCCAATTGCGTTGACAAAGGCAGCGTTCAATGCAAGCGAACACTTGTACATCAACATTGAGTATAGAGGAACGAATATGAATCCTCCCTCCCATGCCCAATTGAATATGTTGACATACTTGGCATCTAATGTTGAAGAAAGAGTTCGAGTTAAAGTTAGATGATGAATAGTCTGACTGAAAGATGGAGAGATGTACAACATACCAAATAGTTGATTGATTGTTCCAAGGTAGAAGGTGTTGTGAAGGGATATTACACTCATGTATATGACGATGAGGTAGAACTCCCATGTGATAAGTTGTTTGAGTAGGGGCTTGTTCTTGACTTTGGCATATGGGTCAAACTTGACGGATTGATCATCAAGTGGCTTAGATGACATGTCTGCTGGAGGTATCAGCGGGGACTCCTCATTACTATCAGAGTTGATGGCGGATATTCCAGTTCCATCTGGTGGAGCTCTTCCTCGTACCAATGCAGCCTTGTACTCATCCAAAGGCAGGTATGATGTATTGTGCATCATTATAATAGTTGGAACGACCAGTATTGCCATCACTCCTATATAACCGAGGAACAGTATTCCGACTTGAACATTATACTTATCGGATATGATGCCAAACACTCTAAAGACAAAGCCACTGACCACATACATTCCAGAGAATGATGCACAAATTGAACAAGAGTATTTAGGGAATAAATTACTACATGAATATTTGTATGTTAGTGGATGTCTGTGATCAATCAATCAATTAATCAATCAAGGTGATGTATGTACATACCCTATATGCATTATACTAATCTGGAGTGCTGGACCACCGATACCAATTATGGCAAATGCCACAATATAACATTCCTCACTTAGGTAGCTGGAAAGGAACCAAAGTAGGAATCCAAATGAAAGTATGACCAGAGCACAGAGGTTGGTCAACTTAGGACCGTATCGATCAAACAATGCTCCACTGAACAATGATGACCCAGTGGCGGTGAATGTTCCAAGAGTATATATCAAGTTAAGGCGTAGCTCTTGGCGGCTACATGTCTATAATAATTATATTTTTCAAAGTATTAGTGAATGAACTCGAGAGATGGATGGAGGAGAGAAGTTGGTATCAATATACCTTTTGTCCAGCTTCACAGAGGTCTGAGAATATGCCCTCTTTAATCATGGTCTGTTCGAGGGCAGACCATCCAAACACTACTCCACATATACATAGTATTTGAAGCTCGGCAAACACTAAGAGTATGTATCTACGACTACCAGAGTAGATGGATGGACTATAATCTGGCGCTGCCATCTTGTTGGTAGTACGCGCGGATATATATTTAGTTGACTAATGAATGTCAAGTCAAGTTATGTTAGTGACTGTTTGATTGATTGAATGAATGAATGTGACTGTTGTGCTGTTCACAATGTTCTTTCTCTCTGGACTAAGCAACGATGTTGTCTGTCTCCAACGGAGAGTAAATAATGTATCGGTGTTGTTGAGGCAGACAGGTATCATGCCATGTGTAGATGGATGGATGGTATGGGTGATGGCGCTAGTCGGAGAACGAATTACACAAACACGGCAAGCGGGAAGTGTATTGTTGGTGGTAACTAATTGATGCGCATCAATTAGTTGTCAACATTATTGTTTTGATCATACCGTATACATCACGATTAGATCATGAATGGTCCAGGTGAGGTCCAGGATGGGATGGGGACGGGGACGGTCATGTGACACCTTGTGACATTTAAACCAATTATATGTGATTATTATTATTATTGTTGGAGCGAGGGTTCGGCAGAGAGGTGAATGGAAAAAGGTGGGAAGTTTGTGTTCACATTTATGTTGGCATCTTCGCACTTTGTAGATAAAAAGTGAACAAAAAGTCGTCAAAAGCCTTGTTTGACTGTGGTACCCACAGACGAGTGTGCCTCAGATGGCACCCAACAACGGGGTGTCTTTGCAGCATGGTCACCTTGTGAGTCTTGGGGCGGGTCCCGCCATTAATGGTTGTTTAGCCAATAAGCAAAGTCTACAATGTGTAAAGGCAAATGAATGAATGGGCTTGGTATTATTTGACTCTGTGTAATGAATGTCCGATGAGTCATTGCCAATGTTGTTGTGTATTCGTTCGTTCAATCACTTCAATCACAAGATGTTGGTCGTGGATGGAGATGCTGGCACGACTAGTATGGGGATATCGAGAGGGTGATTGTGTTCCTTCTTTCCAGTGTTTGTGGTGATTCGTATTCGGTAGGAGTTGATTAGGTTGTCGAGGTATATGGATGGATTGATACCGTCTGGAATGAGGAAATTCAGGTTGGTCTTGTATTTAGACTTGGCATTGATGTCCACTTCCTTGGTTTGTCCAGAGATCTTATGTGTTGTTTCTTTGTTATTGTTGTTGATGTTGTTGATGTTGTTGTTGATGTTAAGCATGCTAATGCCGCCACTACTTCCAAGATCTACATTGTTGTCATGGTTGTGATTGTGATTGTTGTTGTGGTTATGGTTATGATTGGTTGCAGATTGAACGATATTGATCAAATCCAGACTGATGGACTTAATAACAGAGCTGGATTCATTGTCGATTGACAACATTAGAGATATCTATATGATGGTGTCATTGTTAGGAATGTCCTGGACTGCCGCATCCACGTCCACTCGCATGAACTTACACATGAGTCGATTATACAAAAGTTGTTGACTAGTAGTCGTGATCGCATCTTGATGTGATTGTGATTGCTCTCAAAGGTCTCGGAAGAGGAGAACAGACTGTTGCTCTGTATCCTCTCTCTTGGCAGGTAGGAGCAGGTTGGGTTCCATATTTGGATGGGCACGGACAGTTCAAAGCCCTTGATAAGCGACGGCTCCGTCTTGTTGTACTTGCTATGTATCTCGCCCAGACCTGAGAAATGCAGCCGGTAGAACACGCCGTGATGCGCAGACTTGTGGGTGGTGAATGATGGCGGCAGGTGCGCCGGCACCACAAACTCAAAGGCGAACCGATGCTTCTTGGGCGAGATGATTGAGTGATCGCCCAGCTTCTGGAATTGAGGCGGCTCGAATGCGCTGCTCCTTATCGCCGATGTGTCTGGCAGTGGCTGCAAAGCCTTGCTAGCCTTTAGCAACATGTCCTCGTGCCACACCTCGTCAAGGTCCTCCAACTCGTCAAAGTCTTCAAAGTCGCCTGTGGACGAGGAGGCTGAGTTCTTGCGTTCATACTGTGCCGCGTCCTGTGGCGGAGCCAACATCATTGACAACTGTTTGATGGATGCCTGTGTCAGGGCAGGTTGCTGTTGTTGTTGTTCATCTCTGGAGCCCAGCTCGTCGATTGATATGTTTGTGCTGCTCCTAGTGAGGTTGGTGCCGTTTGTGCCGCTCCTGACCCTGCTTGTGCCGGCCGTGTTGCTCCGGCTCCTCGATGAGCCGCTCAGGCTACCACCGCCGCCGCTCTCGGACAACCTATCAAGCTCGGTAGGATAGAGCAAGAAGTCTTGTTCAATGATTGATGACCGGTCTGATGATGACGACGAGGACGATGATGACGAAGACGAGGAGGTGGACGATGTCGACGATGTCATTGATATGCTGTCCTCACTTCCAATCGATTGCGAATATCCTTCAAAAGTCGCCTTTAACACCTGTAGCTTATTGACCTTTACATTGGCAATGACTCTCACAACATCACCAGGCTGATAATGTTTCTTCTTTGGTGCAATATACACCTTAATATGATTGGATGACGATCCATAACTTGTCCACTCCTTATTCTTCTTCTCCTTCTCTTTTTCCTTTGTTTGTTGTTGTACTTGTTGTTGTTGAGGGGATGTCTGTTGTGATACCTGTTGTTGTTGTACTTGTGCTTGTTGTTGTTGTTCTTGTTTCTTGAGCTGTTTCTTCTCCTTCTTCAACTTCAACTTGGCAATTGGTGACAATGATTTAGTTGGTGACTTTGTTGTTGAGGTAGTTGATGTTGATGGTGAGGTTGGAGATGGTGAAGATGATGAAGTTGATGATGTGTCTGACAATATTGGAGACTGTATCTGTCCTTGGCTCTTTGATCTTTTCTTACTACTTCCATTCAAATCCAATGTAACATTATTTGTAGTTGTTGAAGTAGTTGAAGTAGTTGAAGTAGTTGCCTCTTCTACATCATTGTCCTTCTTCTTTGTGTTGTAGTTGTTTGATGATGAGATAAAGATATTGTCGGACAACATATTGAGTCGCGACTCGTACTCGTCGAGCACACGATCATCGTCATCCTTGAATGTGATCATGATCTTTAAGTCCTTGGACACGGAATCGGTCTACGATTATTATTATGCGTGAACTGAATGATAAATATTTAAGATGAAGAGTGACCATTTGAGACTTTCAGATTTAAAGGTGTAGGAGTAGGAGGTTGTTTATTGAAACCAAAAGATGGCGTGAGTGGTGGTGGGAACGAACAGATGTGTTGGGACGAACTTCCTTCAGTCATTGCCTTATCTGGCCTCGAATGTGACGTTTGGATACTCAAAGCCAAGATCGTAGGCTATTTGGGCGGTGATCTGCTTGCAGTTGTTTAGACAGAGACGCACGAGTTGTGGACAGGACTTGATGAAGCGACTGACTTGTCTCTTGTCAATGGCCAGGTTGGACAGGTCGAGCTCCTTGATGTGTTGGAGATATGGACACATTGCGTCGACGACCGAGTCGTTCAACTCAATCACGTAGCTCTTCTCATTGATAAAGGTCATGGCCGACAGTGACAGACGCTCCATCTGTGGCGCCAGCTCAAGCATGGCGATCAGTGACTGCAGTGAGACGATTGACATGAGCATCCTGAGCTTGGTGATCTCGCCCAGTGCCACCTCTTGCACGCATTCGGCATTGTCCATCAGCGCGGTATGTGCATCGATGAACGAGGGCAGATGGATCTTGTTGGGAAGGTCAAGTTCAACGAGGTTTGGCATCTTGCCAAGCAGACGCCAGAGAAGGTTGTACTCGCCCTTGTACTGGGACATCTGGAGTAGCTTCAAGTTGGACAGGTTGCACTTGCTGAGGAACTCCTCGAGGTCGGGGCTGGGCTCGTCGCTTGCAATCGCGCTGGTCCAGGCAAGGTAGAGGCGCTTCAGGTTCTTGGCACCATGCGATGCCAATGCGGCCAGACAACTGTCGTCGGCTGATGTGCTGGTGAGGTCACAAGTTTCGATCAATGGAGCGTTGCGAAGGATGTCCGAGATGACCTGAGCACTGAAGCGACAACTGTATATGCTCAGTGAGGTCAGGTTGCAGGCCTTGTTGGCAATGACCTTGCCACACTCGTCGGTGAGCTTCATGCTCACAGACAGCTCGCTGAGCGGGTTACAAGACTCAATGGCCGCGATGATACCCTTGTCCGTGATGGAGTAGCTTTGAGTCAACGACAGCTTGGTGACATTCTTGAGGTATGGCGCAATCTCAATAATGATGGCATCGGTGAGACCCTTGCAGTTAATGTACAACTCGGTCAGGTTGCCCATGTACTGAGCCATGCCCTGGAGATGCTTGTCCTCCAGCCATCTGATGTCCACCTTTAGACAAGACAACATGGTACAGTTGCTCAGCAGGCGACGCAGGAACTGGTCAACCTCGAGGATCAGGTCCTCGTCCGCAGAGACTGGCTTATCGCCGGGCTGCTGCTCGGCCTTGTACTTGGGCTTCTTAATGTGGAAGTCGCACAGAGTCATCTTCCTGAGGTACTTCATCTTTGTGATCAAGTGGCAACTCCATGGCGACAGTGCGGCCTTGGTCAGATCGATTGTGAACAGGTTGGGGAGGGAATCAAACAGGTCCTCCATGGTCTGATCGTCGATGACCTGAGCAATGTTTGCGATGACCTCCAGGCCGCTAAGGTACTTGACGCCCTCAATGGCCAGTGAGATGAACGTCCTGAGATAGCCATCGACAGAGATGTTCCTGATGAGGTACTTGATCGAAATGAGCTCACGCACGATCGACTTGTTCATGCCCTCTGAGACCTCCCAGTCCGAGTTGACAGGTGGGTCCAGGTTGATGCACTGCTTGAGGTATAGATCCATGTAAATTGGGTTGATAGCCAGTGATCGCTCAATCATATCTTGTGCCGTGTCCAGGCCCTTGTTGAACTGGACAAAGTCAAAGTTGTGGAAGAGGTCGATCGAGGCCATCTTTACGTGGATGATGCCCCAGAGTGCGAGGACTTGTGAGCGGTCATCGGTGCTAAGTTCGTTCAGCGACAGCTCGCGGACGATGTGATTGGCACAAGTCAGATACTTGAAGGCCATCGATGCGTCCAGGTTCATGTTGGCCAAAGTGATGTAGGTCAACGCCTGCTTCAAGATGATCTTGGGTGATTGGGGCATGGAGCGAGAGGCAGAACGAAGTTTGTTGAGGGCAATATCCACCCATCTGATGACTTCTGGTGGAGTCGGGATGATTCCGCTCATCTTTTGAATCTTGTAGATTAGACTTGAACCTGAGGCCATGTCAATCACTGCCGGATACTTGGCAGTGGAGTCCATTCGCTCGATATCATGTAAGTTGATGATATAGTGAGGGTTGTTGATGAACTGTGAGAATGCATCCGAATTGATCTGGATGCCAAGCATCTGGACCAGTCTGGCCACCAACAACTTGCAATCGAATGATGGTCTTAAGTCGAATCTGGATTAGGAGTGATCGATTGATTGATTGATTAGTCGATAAGTCTAGGGATGTGCGTGCCAACCAAACTAGTGGAGTACATACTCTGAGCTCATCTGAGCTGGTGAGAGACATCCTGGGAAGGCATTGATGGCCGAGAACTTGAATGTGCCAAACTTGATAAGGGTCCAGAACTCATTGTAGTCGGACTTGTGCTTCTTGTCAAGCAACAGTGCAAAGATGTCAGAGATGACGCGTTGTGGCTCAGTGGTTGGCCTGTTGGTCTTCTCAATCTTCTCACGGATCATAGCCTTGATGATCTTCTTCCAGACGCGTGCCACCAACTCTGTCATCAACAATTGTTTGAGAGAGTGATCGGTTATCCTCTGACAAACATGTCCAAGGTATCTCAGATTGATGCCTCTGGCGTGAACCAAGTTAACAAGTCTAATCAGTCTGACGATCTTATTGTAGAACTCTGTCTCCTTTGTTCCAACTGGTCTGATAAAGTCTGAGTAGAACATGGTCTGGCGTTCACGCTCCAACTTCTTATCCTCCTCCTATTGAATTGAATTGAGTTGTTGTTAGACATGGTACTTGAGTGATGCTGTTATTGGTCTGCTGTGTGGTGGACTTACAGATGACTTGGAGATGAGCTCTGCACATTCAGGGATGGCCTCATCATGCAGGATTTGAGTAGCTTGGTGCACTTCAGTGTTACACTCCTCTTCATCCTTGCCAGACTGCCAGCCAGAGAGGGCGTCAGAGCTCAACTTGGTCTTGGATAGCTTGACAAGCTCTGGACGCAACAGAGCATAGAATATTTCACGTCCAATATAGTCATCAGAATTTTTTGGATACTCTGGTGGGAATGTCCTTGCAAAGTCTGATTGATTGAATGAATGAGTGAGTGATTGGAATGATTCTATGTGTTCTTGTAATGAACTTACCAATCATGTAGAATCTGTTGTCTGATCCTTTGTGGACTTCAATGTCACCTGGTCCATAGATGAGGGTTGGCGTGGTTAGACCAGAGAAATGTCCTTTGATGTTGAGTAGACCAGCCATTCTGATCATCTCTGCCTCGACAATGGGCTCCGAGTTGTGCATTGTGCGACCTCCATCATTTGATCCATACACAATCGAACTCTTGGTGATGGGCAGACAAGAGACTGCGAGCAGACGGTAGCCAGCATAGTCAATGATCGATACGAGAGGGAATCGAATGATGCCCTTGGAATGGTCCATGAAATGATTGAGTCCCTTGAGTTCGTGACTGGCCGACTTCTGTGCCTTCTCATCGGAGCGTGTGGTGTCACCGTACATCCAGACGCCCGGTGCAATCTCAGTGTCCACGACGAACTTGAAGATAATGTCATTGCACTTGAACTTCTGGCCACCGGCCACTCCACCAATCTCCAGTGGCTTGATGGTCTTGAACTCATCGGGTACGTTGCGCTCCGAGATGATTATCTTTCCAAATGTGTTGGCACTGTACACAAAGTTGTTGGCAAAGTTGGACAGTGTCTCATACTTGGCCTCAGAGTCGGGCAGGTCCAGAAGTTGTTGGAACGTCTCGTTCCAGCCTTTCTCTGGTGCGACCAGCTCTGGCTCATCGTTGGGGGCGCCAGGGCGGGTGATGTCCACCTTGGGGATGTTGTGCTGGAAGATGTTAATGTCGCGCTTGGGCTTCTGTGTCTTGTAGCCAGTGGAGTAGGCGAGGTATGAGTCAACCTCGCTGTCATATGCGTTGGAGTTGCCGCCACTGGCGCTACCACCGTACTGTGAATATGACGACGAGTAGCCCGAGCCAGAGTCAGACTGGCCGACCACACGGTCGCTACTGATCGATGTCTCATCATCATCATCCGACTCTGTTCGATCGGACCTTGTGATTGGAACATAAGGGTTGGTGGACACGCGAGATACCTGAGCCCAACCTGACGACACCAAGTCGGCGGGGGTGGCACTGCCGATGCTGTTAGAGTATGATGTGACCGAGGTCACGGACAACTGAATTGGTTGGTCCTGTATGTTGTTTGACGTGGATGTTGGCACTTGCTCCGACTCATCTCCCACGACCTCCTGATCATTGTCATGGGCATTGTCATAGGCATTGGCAATGGCAGGTACATTGGTATTGGCGGGAACATTGGCATAGCCATCAAGTTGCTCAACCTTTTGCAAGATGTCATTCACAAGTTGTTGCTCTTGTTCTTGTTGATGTTGTTGTTGTTGCTCTGGTACAGTCTGTGACTGTTCCTGTGCATGTGTTGTGACGGGTTGTTCAATGTTGACAGGTTGTGATGGCAACACCTGTTCAACTGAGGCCGAGGCTTGGTCATGTGTGGCAACAGATGTGGGTGCTGGGACTGAAGATTGTACTGAAGTCACAGATGGTGACTTTGAGGCAACAGGCGAGGTAGCCTTGTCCTTGCCCTTTGTTGGTTCCTTCACAGCCCAATATGATAGTATCTCTCTGAAGGACTTATCTTCCTTTGCCTTTGGTTTATCATTATTATTATTATTATTATTACTTGACATTATATATATATATATGTATTTGTGTTTATAGTACAATATAAAATGTCATCACTCTAACTCTACAAGGTAGTTAAATTGCTTTGGGTCAACTGATGATGCTTTGACGAATCGACACTTCCCATGTATCAATAAGATATTTCATTTTGAGTAAAAATAGATAATTTTGACACTGTTTCTGTGTTTATCTCTTTTTGAAACAAATAATAATCTTAGAAGACAACAACAACTATATTTCTTCTTGTATATATTTGCATTACTTACACAAATTCAACGAAGAACTTATTATTTAGTGTATTGAGAAAACTAATGAACTTCTTTTGTTCATTTTTGTAGTTCAAGAATGATTGATTTTGTCAACTTAGTTTGGCTAGTTTATGGTTGAAGGCTTGTTGAATGGAAGGTGCCGTAAAGGATGTAATCTTATGCAGCATATTGTTGGTGACATTCATTGAGAAGAGATCAAACAAGTCATTAGAGATATGATCTTACACTTCCCAAACAAATTTTCAAGACACACCGAAGTTGTGTATTTCTGGGAACTACAGTTTTGCACAGAGATAATGAATAATGATGAAGATACACACTATCCCACTACATTTAACCTCAATATTACATACATACACATAAATAATATAATAATAATAATAATAAATGGTAAAGAAGGCTGCTAAATCAAGTGCCCCAGCTGCTCCAAAGACAAATGGTTTGTATATGTGACATCACATTATGAAGCTGAAGCATTGACTAACAATGAAAACAAACTAACAATAAATAACAATAATAAAGATGAGGATATACTGGTCAATTACTTTAGTAAGAATAATAGACCGTTCAGTCCACAACAGATAGAATTGGCATTTCCACAATATGGAAAGACTAGAGTGGCCAAGATGTTGAAGTTGTTGGCAGACAAGGGAAGCATTGTTTCAAAGGAAAATGGAAAGTCATCATTCATTTATTGGATGGACCAGAATGAGGAGATGGACGAGTACGGTCAACCAGTGAATGGTCCAAAGCCAACAACCGCCGATCTAAACAAAGAGATCTCCTCGCTCAAGACCGAGCTGGCAGAGATGACCGAGCAACTCAAAGCCCTGCAGACAGAGGCTCGACAGCTTGAGGGCCAGCTCACAGATGAGCAGTTGGCAAAAGATATCAGTGCATTGGATATCGTTTCGTCTGATCTAGACAACAAACTCAAAGCCTACAAGAGCAAGAATGTAGTTGTTGCGCCTGATCAAAAGAAGAAGTTGGAGGCCAATCATGCCAAGGCCAGAAGAGAATGGCTGGCACGACGAAGGATGTTCAAAGAGGTGTTGGACACCATACTCGAGCGATCGAGCAAGAAGAGAAAGGATCTACAAGAGGAGATTGGATGGGAGACTGATGAAGACCTCAAGATCGAAGTTGTGGCTGATAGAAGCAAGTCATCGGGCGGTGTTGGTGGCGGTGGCACCAGTGGAGCACAACAAGAGTATAAGAGACAAAAGAGATAAGATAACTATTATCTCTTCTCTCATTTGAGAATATGTACATATTTAATGAAGACAAGGATGTCCTTTTTTCTCCAAACATTCATTCATTCATTCATCCATTGTTGGGCAACTCAACAGATACATACGTGAGTGACTTCAGGGGCTAATGACAGATACACAGACAACAACATCTACTACGGCGACTACTACAACTACCTCGACAACACCAACAGATGTAGTCGTAAAGAAAGTATTGAACATCAATGTTGGCATTATGGGACATGTGGATAGTGGCAAGACAAGTCTTGCAAAGGTGTTGAGTACAAGCTTGTCGACAGCCGCACTTGATAAGAGCCCAGCGAGTCAGGAGAGAGGCATCACTCTTGATCTGGGCTTCTCTGCATTCCAGGTCGACCTGCCTCCACACATCCGCGACGATCCCTACGTTATCAAGCAACAATACAACAAGATGCAGTTCACATTAGTCGATTGTCCTGGCCATGCATCACTCATCAGAACCATCATTGGAGGCTCTCAGATCATCGACATGATGTTCTTGGTCATCGACATCACCAAGGGCATTCAAACACAGACTGCCGAGTGCATAGTCATTGGCGAGATCACCTGTAAGAAGGCTATCATCGTCTTGAACAAAGTTGACCAAGTGCCTGTTGACTCGCGACAGAGCAAGATTGAAATGGTAACATCGTCCCTCATGCTTGCTTGCAACGCACTCAACTCATCTCTAACATATTCTCTCAATCGATCAATCAAACAGATGTCCTCAAAGTTGCGCAAGGTACTTGAGAAGACATGCTTCAAAGACTCACCAATCATACCTGTGTCGGCGTTTGCCACGCCAGCGACAGAGGGTGGCGCGCAGTCCATTGGAATCGACAACTTGATCAATAGTCTCTGTCACTTTGTCACACTGCCTCGTCGAGATGACCAAGGCGCCTTCCTGTTTGAGTTTGATCACTGTTTCCAAATCAAGGGACAAGGCTCCGTCATGACCGGCACGGTGCTGCGTGGCAGTGTCGAGGTCAACCAGAGTGTACACATACCACAGCTCAACATCGAGAAAAAGGTCAAGTCAATGCAGATGTTCCATCAGCCCATCAAGCGCGCCATTCAAGGTGATCGCGTTGGCATCTGTGTCACCCAGCTCGATGCCAATCTCTTGGAGCGAGGCTTGCTCTGCACGCCAAAGACCGTGCCCATGCTCAATGCTGCTCTCGTGGCCATCGAGAAGGTCAGATTCTACAAGAACGATGTTAAGACCAAGTCACAGTTCCATGGTAAGGCAATGCCACTGGAACCATCCCGATCGGAACACTCAATCACTGACCCGTTCCATCCCCTCCCCTCAACCTCTTGATCATAGTTACCGTTGGACACTCTACAGTCATAGCCACGGCCACATTCTTTGGAAACAAGGTGGCGGTGGATGCCAACAACAACAACATCAATGCGGCAATGGCCGCGACACACTTGGACGAGTTCAACAGCAAGTTGGAATATAGTTATCAAGACTTCTTGAATGCGACATCAGATGAGTATCCAATTGGTTCACAATTCGCTCTGTTGGTGTTTGAACATCAGGTGTTATGTCCTCTGCAGAGTGTCATCATTGGATCAAAGTTGGACGTCAACTTGGACTCTTCTACATGTCGAATAGCATTCCATGGACATCTGCTTGAGGGTATCGATGTCACCAACAAACAATACCTAAACGATCACCTTCAGATATACAAGACCAAGTCTAAAGAAGGTTCCGTCGAGAGGATACACAGCGATTCCACATTGATTGGCAAGAACATCTTTGGCAAGGACACTGACATGTCTCCATTCGTTGGCATGAGAGTCAACTTTGTAAACAATAGTAAGTTGTTCAATCATTCAATCATTGGAGTCATTCCACTCACTCAATCACTCCATCACTCATCAATCAATCAATGACATTTGGAATCATTCCATTCAATCACTCCATCGCTCACTCACTCACTCAATCAATCAAACACTAGACATCATTGGTATCATTGAATCACCATTTGGAAAGACTGGCAAGGTCAAGATAACCATCCCCAATGCATCGGACATGGCCCTGATAAAGGTTGGCGATGTGTTCAAACTGAACTTGAAGCGAATGATTTTCGACAAAGACAAGAAGAACAAACAAGGATAAACAAAAGATGATAACAGATAACAATCCATTGCATATTTATATATTATGACAACAACTATAGCATCGGCTACAGCACACTCTCTTCATTCTCTGTGGCACCCTTGCCGCCCACAGCACTATCGCAAACAGCCAATTTCTTTGCGATCTTTGCAATCTGGTTGTCGAGGAAGTTGAACAGTGGCCTTGATGTGATCTTCTTGACGGCCTCGCCATCATTCTTCTCGAATGCATATATAAGTTCCAGGGCATTGGTGCCCTCCTGGCTGTGTATAAAGCTTGGATAGATCAAGAAATCCTCGTAGCGCCTCTTGGCGCTGACCAGGTCGTCGATGGACAGGTTGATGACGATGGCGCCCAGACATGACTTGTGGAGATCGTGCGTGTTGTCCAGTTTGACAAATACACGGTTCTGCGCCAGCAACAACTCCAATGTCTCTGAGTACATCTTATGCTTCAGGAGCATCGATATTGTCAACTTGAATGTATCTCCACTAAAGTGTTCCTTGTCGTCCAATTCAAACAGTTCACAAGAGTCATGCAACAATTCCAAAGCCTTCTTCAAGTCTGTATCCTCTAGCATCCTATTTGATTGATTGAATGGGAGTGATGCGGGTGAGTTGCCAGTCCAGGTCCATTGATGGACATGTCCATCATGAGCTACAACACATACTTCGCAGCTTTGGTCATGGCATCAGCAGCGGCAAATGAGTTGCCATTGGTCCTGTATAGTTTGCTGGCCTCAATCAACAAATCTGCTGACTCTGCCACATTGTTTTGTTCTCTGGCCATCGATGACGCACCTTCCATGCTCTTGGCAGCAAGATAGAATCTATTGTTTGATTGATTGATTGAATGATTGAATGATTGAATGATTGAATGATGGGTCAGACTCTGATACCATGGTCATCGGATTCAATCATGATTGTAAGATAACACCTACACATCTGCATGCTTCTGACATGTCGATAACCTCTTGAAGCAATACTTTGCCAAGTCATATGCCTTGGTTGTTCTATATCCATTTGCAGCCTTCTCATATTGAATTGCAGCAGTGTCCCAATCCAACTTCCATCTCAACAATGTCTTGGTGGTCCTGTTGTCCACATTGATCAAACATAAGTCAGTATACTCCCAATACAATATTATAACAACTATGATTGTATAATTACAATTTATCACCTTCCTTCATTGCAGCATCAGCTGCCTTCCTCTTTGTCTCTAACATTTTATCTGTCGACATTCTTGATTATATGTATCTAAAACTAGTATTATATATATATATTATTTGTACGTAGTATGTAATTGAATGAATGAATGAATGAATGATTGATTGGAAGTGAACAACTGGAATCATGAATGTGTAGAAGTGCTCAAGGAAGAGGACAAAGAATGAACATTGCGATTCGTCTTGTGTATGTTGGGTGATTCAAAACAACCCAATTCCCCACTCCACACCCCACACTACACACACCACCATTCTTCACCACCACCACCACACTCACATCGATCTGATTCATCCGAGACGAATCCCTGCCATCCCAGGTATGTCCTCAACATCACAAACCACTATCACATCAACCCATCATCTAAATGATGAATGACGATCTGTCTTGTAACAATACAATAACTACAATTGGTCATTACAATCCAATCAATTCTGATGAGCACTCAATCATTCAATGTATGATTGGTTCAAATATTTCAGAACTTTCAAAGTTTGTTGATTGATTGTATGAATGAATAAACGAATGAGTCTAAGTTTGTTATTATAATTATTCATATCTTTGTTGTTTATCTAATTGACAAGTACTATGATGTGATATTTGAATGAATGAATGAAGGTTGATGACACATTGAAGTTGTCATGTGTTTGGAAAGTTGTTGACCACATCAATAACAACTCGACAATTCAAGAGGAGAGTTGGTGGAAGTTTGGTTTTTTTACGTTTCTGTTTTTTTTTGTTCACCTCTCAACTGAATGAATGAATGAATGAAGTGTCATTGATTCATCACATTTAATTCATATTCAATACAACATACATATAAATATACACACATACATAGAATAGAGTAGAGAGATAGAATAGTACTTACTACAAGTCATTAGTTAGTCAAAGTCAAAGTCAAAGTCAAAAGTCAATAGTCAATCATGTCAACAACAAAGAAGTTAAATATGTTTGATCAACAACCAAAGCAAGGACAACAACAACCTCAACAACAACAATCATCATTGTTGTCACCATCTCAACTTTCGACGTCACCATCATCGTCGTCGTCATCCCAACAAAAGAGTTGGGCAACGCTCTCGTTGAGTCAGCTGTCCCAACAGACTGCCAACATGCCCTCATACCAACCCTCGCATCTCCAGCAGCAGCATCAGCCACTACAGCAGTTCAGCATGAACAACAGCAACAACAACAACAACAACAACAACAAGCCATATCTACATCAACAACAGCAGCAGCAACCACATCATCAGCATCAACATCATCAGCAACAGCAGCAGCAGTTTGTGCGTAGGAGTTTTGGCGGCGGAGAGTTTGGCGGCAGACACACCTCAGACACACAGTCGCCCTCAAAGATCCAATCCTACTATGGCAATGCCAAGCAGTATCATCAGCCTGGCTCTGGCGGCGGATTCGTCTCGTCCACATCCTCGTCGTCTTCGTCGTCGTTGTCGTCATCGTCATTGTCGTCTGTGGGCACCTCCTCGCAAAAGATACGATACTCCAAAGAGGACATGCTCAGTATCTACAATCCCAGTGTGAGGGTGCCCGACACGTTGGCCCCTCACTCTCAGATCCTGAACGAGGAGATGCAGCAGCCAGTCAACTTCACCTTCACCTACGAGGGCAAGAGGATGCCGCGGTTGAACAACTCCTCCGGGGGTATCAACGCTCAGCGACAACCGCGTAAGGATCGTAAGTATCATTCAATCACTCATTCACTCGCTCAATCAATCAATCAATCAATCATGTTGACCTAACACTAACAAACCAATCATTACCATTACTGAACAGTTGATGGCACTGGCAGGGGCAGGAGGGATGAGAATGGCCAGTCAAAAGGAAAGTGGGGCTCTGGTGCCAACTCAATGTCGTGGAGGAAGGACGACGATAGGAAGAATGCCATGTGGTTCTATCTGGACCCTCAGAACGAGACGCAAGGCCCATTCCCCAGCCATGGAATGGACGATTGGCACAAGGCCGGCTACTTCACGCCAACCCTCAAAGTAAAGCATGGGGAGGATGGCGTGTTTGTCGAGCTGCGCCGACTGCTGTTGCGCTGCGGCACCGACACGCCCTTCACCACGATGGCCTCCTACCCGGACCTGAGGGACCTGCTGGAGGACGAGCACGACACTGACGACCACGGTGTCGACACTGATGAAGACGGACTCGTCGGCCAAGACGACGACGATGAGTTGGAGGACGAGAAGATCCTCCATGGTGTGTTGCATGATGAGCCACCAAAGACCAAGGTGAAGCAGCAGCAGACCTCGCCCCCAGCTCAACAACTGCCTCAGGCGGCCGCCCTCCAGCAGCAGCAGCCGGCTCAGCAACCCTTCTCCCAACAACTATTCAACAATGCTCCACAAACAGCAGCATACCCACAACAGCCACAGCAACAACCACAACAGTTCCCTGGTGTTGACATCCCCGCCGAGGGTGACATCATGCAGAGGTTGTCTGCGGCCCAGTTCCAAAGACAACAGCAACAGCAACAACAGCAGCAACACGGTCTGATGATGGGCGCAGGAGGCGACCCCGCCACCAGCATGTTTGGATCAGGTGGACTGAATCCAGAGGCTGAGGTGTACCAGAAGTACCTGCTGATTGAGCAGCAAAAGACCGAGATCAACTTACATCAGATTGTTGAGCAGCAGCAGAAGGCTGAGGAGAAGCTCAAGCAGTACTATGAGGCCAACCCGGCACAGCAGGGCCAACCCATCCCCGCTCCCATCCAGCAGTTGCAGCAGTTCTATCACACGTGCCAACAGCAGCAACAGATGTTGACACAGAAGTACTTCCAGTTGAAGTACATGAGCTCCCTCCAGTACTCCATGCCTATGTTCAGCCCACTGCAGATCCAGCAACTCTTCCAACAACAGCAACAACAGGCACTCTTCCAGCAGCAGCAGCAACATCAACAACAACAACAGCAACAACCACTTGGCCAGCAACTCGCTCCACAGGAGGTCAAGCAACAGCCACAGCATGTTCAGGGTGCACCTCTAGATCAACAACACGCACTCAATCTGTCGCAACAGCATGCTGAGCAACAAGTTCCAACCCACGAGGAGAAGGAGACTGAGGAGGATGTTGATGTTGACAATCATCAGGAGCAACAGGCATTTGAGCAAAAGAATATCGATCCATTCTGGGGACACAAGGCAGAGGACAACAGATCCAAGCTCACCGTACTCCAAGATCTCCCTGTCATAGCCCACAACGATGAGAGTGCCGCCATGTCAAAGACTTCGCCACCCACGGCCGAAGCCGTAGCCATCCAGCTCGAGAATGTTGTCCTGTCCAACCCATGGTCCGCCGCAACACCCAAGGAGCAGCCAAAGTCCGATGTGAAGCGCATCATGGAGATGCAGCAGGAGGAGCTCAAGATTCAAAAGAGACGCGAGAAGGAGCTAGAGGAGCAGCGCGCCAAGGAGGAGAAGCTTAACCAACAGAACTCTGTCTTCCAGTGGGCCAACCAGCCCGCCGCGGCCGCAGCCTCTAACCCAAACACTTGGGGCAGCGTAGACTTCAAGCCACCCTCAATCAAGGATGTGCTGGTCGAGCAGAAGAAGGTGGCACGCACCGAGACCATCACCAACAAGGTCGTGGAGGAGGCTCTCAGAAAGCCAATGAGCATGAAGGACGTCATGAAGGAGCAGGAGCGTGAGGAGAAGAAGTCCAAGTTGGAGCAGGAGAAGCAGCAAATGCAGATGCAACAGATTCACATGATGAGCGCAAGACAGGCCAGCTCACCATGGGGAGCCACCGAGGATGTTAAGAAGCCCTCTCCAATCCCCTTGTCCTCTGTTGTCCAACAGGAGGCTGCCAAGGTCCAACAGGCACCCGTCACCAAGACCCCAACCTTGCAGATCAGAAGCTACCCAGCACAGCCAGTTGCTGTGTCCTCAAACAGTGAGGATTCCTTCTGGGATGCCAAGCCAGCTCCAACCAGAAATGGGTAAGTTTAAGATAGGACAAGGTTGTTACTTCATATCATGTTACATACTAACTTCCATCATCTTCACGAACAATAGTAATGAGTACTTGAATATTTTGCCATCTAAGCAACCAGGATCAAACGCTACATCGGTTCTGACCAAGCCAGTCACAATCAAGCAAAAGACCACCCAACCAAAGGCAGACTTTGTCAAGTGGTGTCACCAGCAATTGAAGCCACTCACTGACATGGATGTTGCCACCGTCACTGAGCTCCTGTGCAGTTTGAAGACTGAGTCTGAGATCAGAGAGACCGCCAAAGAGTGTTTGGGATACTCGACCGAGGCCACCAACTTTATCAACGACTACTTGCTTGCCAGAAGTGACGAGCCAGGCCTCCAGTTCGAGGCATCCTCCTTCATTACCATCCCATCCAAGGGCAAGCCCAAGTCAAACCAGTCCAAGCCAAAGGGAAAGGGCAAGAAGTAATCCACTTGTGTGCAGGACACCTGTCAAACATCCTCCCACGGATTCATTCAAGTAGTAATAGATAGACTTACTTTAAAAGGCAATAAACAGTCTCAAACCATTCAGAAGAAGAAGTATAGAAGCATATGCTACAGCAGTTCATTTGAAGGAGTACTCACGACCAGTAAGGTGTCCTTTATTCGTTCTGTACAAGTAGGAGTTGTCTACGCCTGTTCAACCTTCTCCTCCTCTTGAGCGGTAAACTGTGATCGATCGGTACAGTAGACTGGCGAGAAGTAGAGGTGGACTGTGATGGACTTGGCCGAGGGCAGCTTGTACCTCGTGTTGAATATGAAGGAGAAGATGTTCTTGGATGACTCGACCGCGTAGTTTTGTTTGAGGTTCAGAGTCATCCTGGTGAATGAATGCAGCAAGGAGTTATGAGGCTTGTCCTGCTGCTTGTCGCCACCAATGTCCTTCATCTCGACAGCACCATCCACATCCATGTCAGACAGGTGAAGTGAATCTTCGTCATCCTCGTCATCGTCCGTCTCAGTTTCAGATCTGTCCAGCTCAACATCATTGTCTTCTTCCTCGTGATGTTTCATGTCCATGCATGGCAGGACGGCACCATCGCACACTCCATAGCACAGACTTCGCGAGCATGAAGGTACGTATCGACCGAATCCAATGATGAAGAGGAATATGTAGACGATCAGCAGGTCGAATCTGACGATCATTATGGCGTAGGCCAGGTTGAAGAGACTCATGCAAGTGATGATCATCCATAAACAATGTTGCAATGGTTCCACCAGCTGTTTGTCTGATGGAGGGTTGACAATCTTTGAAGAGATGATTGTATACTTGTCAAAGAAGTACTTCTTCACCATGTACAGTGGCATAAGAATGAACAATGGTGGAAACATTGGTGCATAGATTGATATCATCAATACCTGTTGTTGGGGGATATGTTAGTGATTGTTTGATTGATTGAATGGAGTTGTTGATTGATTGATTGATTGACTTACCATCAAAAGTACATTAACATATTGTGTGGATAGATCCAGGAATCGTTCATCGATCAGGTAGGACTCCTTGTACTTGAAGAACTTGATCAAGTTTGCGACAGATGAGTATATTCTTGATGAGTCCAAGAATGGAGTGACTAGAGAATAATAAGTTATAAATTGCGTGTAGAAATGACCTGGATGGGACAAAGTAATTAAGTTAGCAACCACAATAAGGACGACAAGACTTCCAAGGTACTTGTACTTACCTCCAGTTCTAAAAAAGTTGGTTGGGAAGAAGAATACGTTGGTGGAGGTGATGGGGAAACCCATAAGTAATACATAATACAGGGTCGGAACGCCGACTATTGAGATGGCTTGTGCATAAAAGGTGGTCAACATGATCTTGTACTTGAGTGAGCTTCTGACGTAGATCCTCGATCGTTCAAAGATGGCCTTGATGATGCATGGAATGATACGATTAAGGACCAATAGTACATTGCAAGGCAAGAATGTGTACACCATGTAGTCAATCCAATCATGGCTCATGTTACTTGTTATATGTTTGCTGATTGGAAGCTGGAGGGAAGGTGTGTCAGTCAGTTGGGTCTGCGGGACATCACGGCCATGATTAATTATACATACTCTCTCATACTGAAGATCATGTAGTAGCACGGCAAAGATGGATGTTGTCATGAAGAACATGAATGAGATAATGAGGATGAATACGGTCCATGAGTGACTGTTGTAGCTGGAGGGACAGTGTAACTTGGTCCACATGATGTCAGAGACACGCGGTACATCAGAGTAGGCTCGCCACTTCTTGGTCTGCAACTCTGCTTCATATTGTGGAGGTATCTTGTGTGATATGTCCTTGGCCCAGCCCCATTTGTGCGGCGAGTACTGGGTCTGGAACAAGTGTTTGTCCGACACGCAACTGAATGTGACGAATGCCTGTCCAGTGGATTTGATCGCCGATTGATTACTCCTCTCAGCGCTCATCTCCTTTAAGAATCCATCATTAAACCCATCCAAATCACTTGTTATCTCTGGTCTGTGGAAGTGTTTCTCCAATATAATCGATAAAGAATAGATACCCTCTGATGATTGATTGATTGATTGATTGATTGATTGATTGGATGGTAAGTTTGGCGAATGATCATCTGGATGAATGATGAATGATGATGGGACACTTACTAGAGTATGATGTCTGTAGGAACTCGCTTAACAATGTACCGTCGATGATGGACTTTGGTAGACCTGTCAGGAGAACAGTACGTGATGTGACCAAGTGATTGCGGTCGTATAGATTGAATACACGCTCATCATTAAACCTTGTATAGAGTATGATCAATGATATGAATATCACCACAACCGCCACTTGATAGACGAATAGACTTGGTGCACTGAATTGCCTGTTTGATTGATTGATGGAAGGGTTAGGATTGGTCCAGGATCAATCAATCAATGAATGACGGATGACTTACCAATTGGCTTGAGTAAATAAATATGTGTCGCCAAGGTGATTGTCTCCTCTGAGTGTGATTGGGATGAGTAGGGCCAGTCCAAGTACAGTTAGGATGGCTGAGAGTACGATGAAGAGCCGCAGTGTCTTGAAGTAGAGGTGTAGGGAGTCGCTGCCACGTCGATGTAGCAAAACATCGATGTTCTTGATGAGAATGGACATCTTGAACGACTTGAGGAAGGTGACGTAGCTGCTGGCGTCTTTGTTGTGTCGTCGATGATTGAGTATCAGACGGATGACGATACCCAGCAGCAGGATGCCAATTGATATGACGGTCGAGATGATCAGCGTCGAGAGCAGAGAGTACCACGATGCGTAGATCGCGACGGGACGCGGGAGAAGCACTATCTCGCACGTGTCGGCGTCGACGAAGCCGATGGTGTAGTCGCCCGGCTCGCCGACGATCATCAGGCCTGAGAAGGTGGTGAGCTTCTCGTTCAGGTCGATGGTCGTCTGCTCATAGGTGATGTAGTGATGCGACGAGTTGGGCGGCGCCTTGGCAATGAAGGGCTCGATGCGCCCCCGGCTCACGCCGTCCTGCAGCATGTCCCAGCGAATGATGGGCTGCGGCGCCAGCGATGCGCCCGACATGGCCAGGTACTCTGGCTCGCGCTCGACATGCAGCGTCTCCGAGTCGGCGCCAATGACACTGAGATTGAACGTCCAGCTCTGAATGTTGTAGCCAGTGTTGAGGGCGTCGATCTCGATGAATGAGTAGGTGCCCGTGTCGTAGGAGGTGACGCAGGTGAATGTCGTCGTGTTGCGCACGGTCTTGATGCGATCGTGCTGGAAGACGTCGAAGCCATCCTTTAGCAGCAGCCATTGTGGCGGCAGCAGTATGTTGTGTAGCACTGTCAGCGTGATGTTCTTGTCCTGTGGGAACACTGTCATTTGATCCGTAAAGAATACAGATCTTCGCTCTGAATATATAGGGTAGTCTGCGTTGGGTACTGGTAGTCCATGCACGATCTGAGTCGTGGTCGACAACAGCAGCACCCACATTATCGATGCGGCACACAGCTGCATCAACACTTTGAACAACATGTCTGTTGTATTTATATATATGTGTGTCTCTGTGGTTGATTCAATGTTATGGTCTGCTTTCTAAGTAAGATCTGTGTATTTCCTTATTTGTGCGAGAAGATTGAATAGTAGTAGGATGTATGTTGCTAGAGTTGCCACAGGGTGATCATAATCTGTACAGTCTTAAAAAGGGAATGTTGTTGAGTTGATCTGTATCTCCTTAAATAGTTAATACAATGAATCTGACTTGACTATGAAATGAATGAATGGGGAAAAAAGGAGTGTGTATCTGTATCGCCTGATAATGGTTGTGTTTGATTGATTGATTGTGTATGTGCGTGTGTGTTTGTGATTGAATGATTGAATGAATGAATGAATGAATGAATGAATGATTCGTTGTTTTGGTGATGGTCTGAATGATGACTCGTGTTGGTTTCTAAAGATGAGTAGTGTGGATTGATGGATGGATAGATGGATGTGGACAGGGGAAGTATTGTTGTTGATGGGGGGTGAATGCGTGTCTTTTGATTGTGTGTTGTTGATTGGGAGCTAATTCAAGAGCCTTCTTCTGCCGTTGGAGAGGACTGTCCTCTTGAAAAAAACCTCGTGTGAAAATTGGTAGCAGTCGATCCAATGTCCACGTCTCAAGGTCATTTCCTTCGACAAACAACAGAACTAGTTAAACTTGCACACCTTTTGCAAAGACCTGTCTTCGTTTCCTTCGTCGTCTAGTCTAGACAAGTTCGTACTAGTATCACTTATCACTGAGCGAGACCCAATGGGGGATGGGATGGGATGGTCGAACTGATTCGAGATGATGGGGGAACAACGATTGTTTGTTTGTTTGTTGAGATTGATCGAGGATAATTTGGTAAGAGTTATATATTGTATAAATAAATAAGTATTGTATTCCCCTGGGTGTAAGTTAATTTGTTGTTGTTGATCTGTGATTGATGATCGATGGACGGAATTGAAATGAAATGATGTTTATATTTAACTTTGATTGATTACATACCTCACCCTTTAACCAACCAGGTTGCTTACGCTATCATTTGTTCGTACATACATACAAAACCATACATCATACGATTCCTATTAGGCTTGGTGATTAATCGATCACCAACAACAACCACCTCTTTATCGAAAGCTTAGCAGTTAAAGTGATACTCAGTAGCACAGCCGCAGCAATAACAACAAAGTTATGAAAAAAAGTAGCTACTCTGGGGGTTAGAACTTGATCCACCAACAATCTATGTTAGATTACATCATCAACTTGGAAAGACGAGAACAATGACAATGCCATTTTGAATTAACTTGCTGCGACCGTATCACCGACTCGTTAAGCCTCATGATCGGTCTAAAGTGGATGAAGTTAGGTTGGTGGTTCGTGCACAAACCAACCAAGGAAGGAAGACTTGCAAGATTCGAAACAACAACACAAGTTCAATGAAATGTCTAGACAGACTTTGGCTGGCTGCCTCCCCATGACCTTGGGCCGAATCACATGTCCCGTCAGAGTGTGGGTGCGTATCAGGGACGGACTGTCTGTCCCTAGCTCAAGCGACGGGTCTTGACCAGTGATTGATCACATAAGTGAGTATTTGTGTACAACAACATTATTTATATGATTGATTGAATGACTTATGGATAATAATCTTGGTCAACATCAAGATTGCATACTTGGACATCTCCGTTGTACTGCTTGATGGCGGGCTTGGACCATCCACCAAAGGCAGAGAAGTCAGAGAATGAGGGATTGCCATCGTAGTGAGCGTACCACAGGGGGAAGGAGGCACCACCATTCCAGTTACCCATGATTGGCTCCCATTGCGAAGCGGAAGTGTAGACTCCGACGTTGACGCCTGCAGCCTTGGCTCCCTCAACCATTCCACTGAAGAAGTTCCTGTTGTCAGCCTGATTGCCGGACCAGTACACTCCAGGTCCCTCAATGTCGAACCAGATCATGCCAAACTTGGCACCGTTTGATTGGATGTACTTGACCATGCTCTCGACCTGACCGGCGGGGTTGCCGCATGAGTAACAGGGGAAGATGTAGGCGTCGACGTGGGACAAGCCGGCAGCCCAGGCATTGTCAAGTGAGTGTGGGCAATTTGAGTCTGGCTGTCCAACCGACTCCCAGCATCTGACCACAGCAAAAGTGTAACCATTATCCTTCAGGCAAGAGAAGACGCCCTCACTTCCAAGACTGGATATATCAACACCATAATAAGCGTTGGTCATTTGAAGCATGGAGACCATGCAAAGTGTAAATAGCAAGTATTGTTTCATCCTAAATTCGGGAATAGTGATTGAGTCAGCGAGAGTTTGAGTTAATGGAATAGTTCCAGTGATTGATGGAATGTGAACATACATGATTGAGATTATATTAATATTTGTAGATAGGAGTAAGTTGTGGATATTGATCAATAAAGTATCTCCTATGGAGTGTATTTATAATGGAAGATTAGAAGATATCATTTTTAAAGGTTGTAAGTTTGAAACGATCAGAAAAACAAATATCTTGCTCAAAATATCAATCACTCCTGATTGGGTAGGGTCAAGCAGTACTTTGACCACCCAACAACAATCAGTCCATGTACGAATCTGGTCATCTAATATTCCCAAAAATAATATCCCAATGTTATGGGCATCACCTGCCTCGTGCCTTGACTAACGAATGAATGAATCAAAGAATGAATGATATCCCTGGGTGGGATGCAAGTATTGTATTAATTATACACTACACTTCTTCAGTTGATATATCCTTTGGCATGACAGTACTCAGCATTCTGGATGGAGGAGCCCGCTGCTCCCAGGACAGTGTTGTGAACTAGCAGTGTCAAACGAAGGTCGAAAGAGCATTCACTGGCCTCGCCACAGCCACTACGCACACGTCCAACAGTCACTGTGTAACCATTGCCTCGCTCGACATCCAATTTAGGCTGTGGTCTATTGTTCTCCTCCAGCACAACAATAGGGTTGCCCTTGACTGATGGCAATTGTAGTGTCTCCAACTCCTTTGGACGGTAGTTCCTCAAAGCGTCTATGGTGTGTGGGTGTAGGGAGGTCATCAGTTAGTCAGTCAGTTATGATTGATTGATTGATTGATTGATTGAATGTTCGGATGAATGTTAATATCCTGGTGAACAAGATACTTACCTTTGACTTGTTGGACAGTAGCAGCTTGCTTCAACTTGATTGATAGACAGATGGTGTGACCTTCAGAAACTGGAACACGGTTGGTATGTGCACTGATCATGAGTGGATTGTTGTGGAAGTACTTGGAAGAATCATTGACATTCAGAGTTCCCAATATCTTCTTGGTCTCTATCTCTATCTTCTCCTCTTCTTCTCCAATGTATGGTACAACGTTGCCCACTATATTGATCAATCGTACATGTTAGTACCAACTTTGGAACCATCCCACTCAATCAATCAATCAATCAATCTACTACTTACATATATCTAATGATGGGACACCTGGATATCCTGCGCCAGACACAGATTGCATGGTGAAGGCTACGACCTCGTGTAGACCAAAGGCCTGGGCGATGGGTTGAAGCGCAACAACGATGCCTGTGGTCGAGCAGTTGGGATTGGTGATGATGAATCCTCCATTGACCTTGTAGCTGGGCTGATGTGTGATGACCTCTGCATGTGGCGCATTGACACTGCACACCAAGATGGGCACGTCACTGTCGTATCTGTGGTTCTTGGAGTTGCTCAGCACGGCCTTGCCAGCCTCGCGGAACTTGCTCTCGATCTCGGTGGCCACCGACGAGTCCAGCGCCGAGAACACTATCTTGCACTCGGCAAAGCCCTGTTGTGTGATGTTGGCACAGTCGAGCACGCGCATGCTGGCCACTGCCGCTGGTATTGGTGTTGGCAGCAGCCAATGCACAACCTCACCGTAAAGCTTGCCTGCAGAGTTTGCCGATGCGCCCAATGCATGTACCTTAAAGTAAGGATGGTTCTCCAACTGTTGTATGAATCTCTGGCCCACTGTACCAGTTGCTCCAACCACAGCCACATTAACCTTTGTTCTATTATTATCCATTATCAAGTCTGTTTGTTTGTTTATCTGTATGTTATGTTTATCTGTATGTTTATTTGTATACTTATATATGTGTTATTTACAATGTTTATTCTAGAATGACAATTCATTTGAATAAGCACATCTTATCATAATCGGAGATTGATTCAACCCAAATTGGGTCACAATGATCATTGACCAGTTTAAAACATCATCTTTTAATTTATGGGTCTATTTCCATTTTTAGAACTCAAACCAGAATCTCTTCGCAAGTTCATTCAAGTTCATTCATTCAATCAATCTTAAGTCAAGTACAAGTTATATATAACAAACATGTCATTGACATTAATATCATCATCCAAATGTCATAATGGAGAGGTGCGAAGATATAGTCATCAATCAGCTGTCAACAACTGCGAGATGAAGTTCCATGTCTTTGTCCCGGGTTGCATCTCAGACAGACCTGTGCCAGTATGTACTTGAATGAATGAATTAATGAATGATTGAATGACTACTAAAGATGAAGACGACGACGATGACATACAGGTACTGTACTTCTTGAGTGGACTCACTTGCACAGATGAGAACTTCATTACAAAGGCATGCGCTATTCAAGGTGCAAACAGAGAGAACATCATGTTGGTGTGTCCAGATACTAGTCCACGTACGTATACTGCTGTTGGACAACTTAGTATTAGTAGCAACTGACATTCGAGTATAATGATAGGTGGAGCTGATGTTCCAACATCGACTAGTGATTCATTCATTGGACTTGGTGCTGGATTCTACATTGACGCCACTCAAGAGCCATGGTCAAAGAACTACCAAATGTTCTCATACATCACCAGTGAGCTATTCAACCTAGTTAGTTCAAACTTCAATGTTGACAAGGATAGACAATCAATCTTTGGTCACAGGTATGTATGATTGATGATCGATCGATCGAATCGACTTACTCACTCAATCACTCGATCAATCAAACTAGCATGGGAGGTCATGGTGCTTTGATCTCTGCATTCAAAAAACCTGGACAGTACAGGTCAGTGTCAGCATTGGCACCAATATGTGATGCACCTATCTTCCCAGCTGTGACTGAGTACTTGGGCAAGGATGTGTCCAAGCATCAAGAGTATTGTGCTCACTTGCTGGCGCGTACTTATAATGGTCCTCACCTGGATATATTGGTGGATCAGGGTACCAGTGATGACTTCCTCCCCAAGCTCTTCCCAGAGCTGCTCAAAGAGGCGTGTGCCGCCAACACCCAACATATCACTCTCTCGCATCACATGCGCGAGGGATATCCACACAACTACTGGTTCATACAGACCTTCATCGAGGATCACATTGCCTTYCCATGCCAAGCATCTCAACAATCATCATTAAACGCGTTTAAACAGGCGTGTGTGTGGTGTAGCTCGCTGGCTGGCTGGCATCCCATTACATGTATACACCTTTACCCGGGTCATGTCGTTGACCGCGAGAAGGTCACGCGTGACCTGAGTTGGTGGTGATCAAATCAATCAATATCGTGACCCTTTGATCAGATGACATCTCAGTGCTAATCAATCACACACACTCACACCATCAATCAAACACTCACTCCAAGTATAAGCACACATACTGACACACTGATCAATTGAGATTTAATGATCAGTTAGTGATACAACCCACACCGTTCTTGAACATCTTAGGTAATGATGACCCAATCGGGGAACAGACACTACTCAATCTCCTCAAACAGTCTGGCGCGCGCTACGGTGAACTAACCAACAAACCAACTTAATTATATTAATATGTCAATTCATTCATTAATATTTGAAAGATATGATGTGATTTGATGGCATGGAGTGACCTTGATGGCCTTACCCATGCCTTGTGTAGTCAATCAACTTGCTTTGGAGATTGTGTCACACATCCCATCTTATGAATGATCGTGATTAGTATCAAGATGGAATCACGATCATCATTTATTACCATATTAGTAAGTTTGATTAACATGGAATTGGATCATTTCCAAAGTGTATAAATAGTTATCCTATTTGACTTATTCAAATCATCAAACAAACAAACAACAATCTAATAATCAACTAAGTATCTTAATACCTAATACCTACTTCCAATTCCAAAAATGACTCTTATCTGTAAGTTATATTCTACAACTCTGGAAATCAATCAAACAAACATAGTTTACTAATCCATTCAAAACAGCTTCAATTTCCAAGATGGGCAACATCCAGCAACCAAGCAGTGTCTCTGCCACCAAGATGGGAGCTACCTCTCCCAACGCCTCTATGGGTATCCAGGGTGCAAACAACACTTCGGGATTGATCGACCTTAACATCCTGGCCAACATTCTCGGTCTGATTGGAATCCACGTCGATCTCCATATTCTCTAAATTCAAGTTCTAGAAGAACCCTCAGTCTAAACGACCGTCCATCTATAATCCATTCAATCTTGTTAATTATTATTCATATCTTATAATAGTAAAGATCATCCTTTGTATATACCATGAATGAAACCGAGTGTGCACTGCACCTGTGATCATCATTTCAGTGAGAGTTGATGATGGGTGAGTGTGTGTGGTGTGTGTGTGAAGTGAGAATAGTTATTGACTATGGTTGATAAATAAGGTAATATTGATTCTGGATATGTTTACATATAATAACACGGCCATACTACAATGACCAATGACATCAGTCTTAGCATATAATGTAAATTGACATTGTAATATTACTATTTCTTTCAAACAAACAAAATATCAATAATATGATGTTTTATAATAATATTAGTATTGGCAAGAGAAGGATAATTGTTATATTTATATTATTCTTAGCTTTCTTAGCATGTAGTCTTACATTAGTATCAATATTTACAATATTACCCAGTTTTGCACGATCCAACTACAATCACAAAAGACAACAACTTCATCAACAATCAAATACAGATAGTATAGAATATCAAATAATGTCAGGAGAGATAAATCAACTATCAATTAATAATTATGATGATTATAGAGAGAAACCCCTTATTAGTATAGTTATACCTCTATATAATCAATTACAATACCTACCAAAGACGCTGGATAGTATTCAATCACAACAACAAACTGGAAAAAGACAAGATGAGCAATTTTATTTTGAAGTGATCATTGTTGATGATGGATCAACAGAATGGATGGCCAGGACAAAGTTATACCAACTTTATAATAGGTATTCACAAGTTATGAACTTGACTGTAATGTTCCAGTCCAATGGTGGACTGACCTCGGCTAGGAACAGTGGAATATCTCAATCCCAGGGCGAGTGGATACTACCTTTGGATGCTGATGATACTATATCAAGTGGATTCCTTTCAAGATCATACGATATAATATCACAACTGGATAGAAAGAAGAACAATACCATCATTATATCTGATTTGAATGGCTTTGTAGAAGATACCAAGGTCGAAGGACTTAAACAGACTCTGATGTCATGGCCTATTCCTGCATGGGATCGCAAAGTAATCACAAAGAAGAACCTATTACATTGTTCAGCACTCTACAAGAAGGATCTATGGTCATCGATTGGTGGATATGACAACAGTCTATGGTTTGGTTGGGAGGATTGGGACTACTGGCTGCGTCTGGATCGCTCCCTGCCACAAGGTCTAGACATCCATGTTGTCAAAGATGAACTGTTCAACTATCGTATGAAACCAGGAATGCATTCATTCTGCAAGGATAACAATCAACTATGTTTCTCAATGTTCATGACACTACATCCTAATGAATATTCAATCGAGGATGTTCTAAGAGCACACAAGACCATTGGAATGGAAGGTGACAAGATCATGCTTCCACTCCTACGCGTTGCCAAGCACTATCCCAACCTACCATATGTACATCTCTGGCTTGGTCTAGTACACGAGTACTCCAAGTCAACCAAAGATATTGATCAAGCACGTCAAGAGTATGACAAGTCAATTGTAAGTAACATGATCATTCTTGTCTTGTCTTCTATGACTAACATTGATGATATATACTTAGGAGCTGTCATCGACATCTGATGGTGGTGAATGGCAACCATTGATACTTCGTTCATTGGCCGATAGAGGAAGCAAAAGGTTCATTCATTCGAAGCTAGACATTGCAGCTCAGTTCACGAAGCAACCATCACTCATTCAGCCGATGAAGAATGTCTACGGAGATATCTTCTGACATCCTCCTCGCCTGCTTATTATAAATATCATACATTTATCTTGTCCTCTCTTGTATTGTCTTTTATCTATCTAAAATATCTCACTCACTCGCTCTCAATCATCTTACAGGATCAAAGTTATGTAAACGTTGTCTGACTAGATATCGATCATCGCGTATTGAGTCGTGGAGACGGTTGAATAGTGATCGGGACTTGCTCGACAGCTTCTCTGCAGCAAGCACCAATGTGAACAGTGTGAATCCATAGTGGAAGCAGAGATGCTTGAGTGTGGCACTGCCGCCCAGCCAAGGGATGAGCCCGCACGATACAAAGTAGGGCACGGTGAGCATCGTCAGCAGGTAGTGAGCGATTGGCACAAACACCTTGGTGAATGTAAATGTGAAGTCGATGTTGGCAAAGCCATTGGTCATGATGCGCTCGAAGCGGTGTGCCCATGTGTCGCCCGCTTGCTGGGCGCCATCATGATCATCAGGCACATCCGCTGGAAGATTATGTCTCAGATCTCCATTCTGAGCTGGGAACGTCGCCACCATCTTGTACCAAAACCTAAGTATCAGTGATCCCAATATCCAGCTCTGCAGGGTAGGGTATGTGAGTTAGTGATTGGAATGATTCCAGAACATGTGTGATCAATCTGGAGGTACATACCGAGAGCAGATCATTGAAGAAGAAGTGATATGTCTGATATGGAGTTGAGATCAGTGGCATGATCAGTGCAAAGTCCAAGAGAAGTCCAACAAGGATTGGTAGTAGCACGCATATCATCAGTCCAAGTGCAGTGACCTTGGTGATCACTGGTAGCCAACGTGCAAGATCAATGCTCCTGCTTGCGAGCACGGCACCGGTGACCTTGGCCAGAGTCCAACAAACAAACACACCCAACACGAATGTGTAGAAGTCGTTGTGGATGCCGATCGATGTCATTCCAAGAAGGAATCTGCCAACTGCCAATGGACTGCCAATCAGTAGGCAGACGGCAATGATCGAGCCAAGACACCAGCTGAGCATGAAGGCCAGTATACGAAGAATAAATAGGTTTGGCTTGGGAATCTGTCGCTCCTCTACTTGTGGATCCCCAGGTTGTTGTTGGTGTTGTGGTTGATGATGTTGATGGTTCTGTTGTTGTTGCTGCTGCTGTTGTTGTTGGGCATTTGTATCCTTGTCAGTGTTGTCCAATAGCAAGTACTCGTCCAGTCCAAACATTGTTGCGAATAGACGACTAGTGTACTTGACAAAGGTACCCAATGTGATGTTGAGATGCATCCTTGGAATGTAAATAGTTGATGTAAACACTGTTGTGATCATGTCGCGGTGGCAGGAAGAGGAAGGTTAGTCAATCAATCATCCCAATCAATCAAAGATATCACCTACATATGATGTCAGAACCAAATCGCCTCCAAGGATCTTCAGGATCGACTCCAGAAGGCTCGGGTAATAAGTTTGGTATCTAAGAGTGAGGAGGAGTTAGCCGACGATGTCCTGTGGCGCCAAGTCTAGACCTCAATATACACATACCAGTGAGAGAACCTTGATTGGAATAAAGACCAACATCAATATAAGGAAGCAAAGGAACATAACTGATAGTGCCATCGATACCATTGTCTTTGTGAATGGTGTCTGCGCGAGCGAGTGGGAGAGTGAATGAGTGAGTGAGTGAGTGAGTGACCGCGTCAACAGCCAGTGTACATCCATCATCTTACCATGATCAACTTCTTGATTGCAGAGGTCATATCATCTTCGAATTCATGTATGAATGCAATGACGTTGGGCCTGAATGTTTGATTGAGGATCTCAACGACGGTGGACATGTTGAACAGGAGGAATAGGCCGACACCCCATCGTGTCATCACGAATGGCAGCTTGTTCTTGAGGAGCATCTCCACTCTCGACTCGATCGTGCCACCAAACAGATCGATTGATGCAAAGTCTATCAATGTGCCAAAGAACAACGGATGGATGACCAAGTCGAACAAGAAGAATATGATGCTAACCTTGACAAATGATTGAATGGTCCTCGTTACATTCATGAACTGTTTCGTATTCATGAAGAATCCCTATTATTGATTGATTGATTGAATGAATGAGTGAGTGAGTGCGCCAGAGCACGCAGGAGCGCAGTCGGACTTACGATCATCATCAATATCAATGATGCCAAGAGTGTGTATCCAATGATGAGCTCGACAAGGTACTTGGCCCAATCATTCTGGGACAAGTACTCGACTGTGATCACTTGCTGGAGTAGCCCAAGGATGTACTTGCCAACGGTAATGGGCAGGTAACAAAAGGCCACGAGGAACATGTAGTTGAAGACGTTCAACTTGATTGTGTTCTCAATGATGTCGAGATGCGGACCATAAAGTACGTTGGCGATTGGTCCCAACTGCTGCTGCTCCTGTTGCTGTTGTATGTCCTGTGCGTTAATTGGTGCCTGCGGTTCGTCAAAGTACTGCTGTGCAGCAGGGTTGGCTGCGGCCTGGCCGGGGACATGTTGCTGGCCGTGGGGGAGGGCCTCCACCTCGTCGTCCTCCTCGTCAATCTCCTCGTCATATTCCCTTATTATTTCATCCAAATCATCCTCATCCTCCTGCTCTTGTTGCTGCGAGTCGATCTCGCTGTGCGCGCGATTGAGGTATTCGATGAGCAGGTAGGTTACGACGATGGTGATGATCGTGAACACATTGATGATGAAGCCGACCGAGTAGTAGATCATCATTCTCCTGATGCTGAGCTCTCCCCACATCATCGCCAAAGTCTTGCTACCAAACAGATTGATGAATGTCACGCCACAGACGATTGGTATTGTCACTATATAACAAACTGTTGCAAATACAATGCGCCAGAACAGATATGCATATATCTTGAACCTTGCCACTGCCTCCACCATGAACTCTCTAACAGGTAACACATCTGGTGCATTCGCAGAGTATACTATAATGAATTGTTTGATTGATTGATTGAGTGAGTTGAGTTGAGTGATGATCAACTTGTTTGATTGATGATGACACAACACATACTTGGAGTGAATCTGAAGGGATGTCCACAGAGCTCGCATGAGGAACTGTTTGAATGTTTGATCCACTCTACTAGACAACTCTCGTGAATGAACTTGATGGAGCCACTGCATCTGCATGGATATGATAGTATATTGTCTGGTGATGGACCAGAGCGACACACTCTACACACTTGCTCATCGTCCTCATCCATATCCATATCTAACTCTCTCTGTATCTATCTCTATCTCTCTGTTGTTCAAACTATTAACTCTATCTACCCCACTTTGAGAGATTGATTGAATGAAATGAATGTTTATGTGATTCCCACCTTTTTGTTGTTTTTGCTTGAAATGAAACAAATCCTCAATTTCAAAACAAATTCGAAACACTTGGGACACAACAAAAAACGAACGAAACATTGTTTAATTGATTGATTGATTAACAACATATAGATAAAGATAGATAGATATGAATACAAAGAATACAAAGAATAAGAAGACAGTTGTTGTCAAAAAGAATAATAATAACAAAGATGATGGATTATCATTAAATATACAAAAGAAGCAACAATCACTTGCTGATGAGATCTCGATGTTGGTGACTTCGAATGCACCAAAGTCAATCGATCCAGAGACATCAGACTTCTTTGGTGATTCCAATCACATGCATATGGGCAATGACCTAAACAATGACTTTGGTGATATTGAAGATGATAAGTATGTATCATTCATTCATCTGATTGATTGAATGGACCATGATACTGACGCTTTACACTGACCCATAGCGATCAAAGTGTTAGATTGAGAGGTGACTTGCCAACAGTGTTCACAACTGGAAAGTACGCTGGAAAGAAGTCATCAAGACGTGATGATATTGATGATGATGATCAAGTTGATGAACAAGTTGATGATGATGATGACCAAGACATCGAAGACAAGTTTGAATTCGAAGAACGCATAGTATCAAATAATATAGACAAGGCTGATGAGTTGCTAAGACAACTTGAAGAACAAGAAGATGAGGATGAAGATGAAGCCAATCAACAGTATGTATCATTCGACCCTTATCCCAACCCTTACCCTAACCCCAACCCTTGCCCTTGCCCTAACACAAATATTACCGAAGACCATCTATAACAACCAAGAATATGGCTACATCTGCGTTGGAGGAATTGGAGAAGGCAAAGAATACAAAGAATCAATCGGAACTGTTTGATGAGTTCCTGACGACAAGAATACATTTACAAAAGGCAGTAAACATTGCCAACAGACTGCCAAAGCCATCCGATCACAAAATGATGGTGGAGGCCGAGACCAAAATAGGCGAGGCATTCACATCAGCTGCCAACGAGGCCAAGTCACTGCTCTCTGATCTGTTTGATATGCAATCGGTATGTTACAATTGATCAAGCTTGGCCCGCCACCTCTGGCGGGGGTTGTCTCTGGCGGGGCCTGTAAACACAAACTAACCAACTCGAATGAATGGTCAAAATAGGAACTGATCTCAAGGAATAGTGAGATTGAACAATGTGCAGAGAAGAAGACAACGAGGAAGAGACTGAGGGACACAGAGTCATTGAGTGATATATGGTCAGCAATGGAGGAGCAGAATGCTAGACTGTTTGAATACACGAGCCAGACATTGGAGAAGTGGAACAGCAGAGTTAATGTATCGGCTAATGTGGCTGGTGTTGGCGGTGCCAAACAAGGCAAGAGTCTCAAGGCCATCAATCAATCTGTGATGACACAGGTCAACAACACACTCAACGACTTTGAGCGACTCCAGAGAAGGACCCGACTGAGGCGATCAACCTACACCATCATTGGCCAACAACAGCAACAACAACAACAACAAGTACAGACTGATGGAAAGCGCGATGATTATGACGACGAAGTGTTTGATGATATGGACTTTTACCAGATATTGTTAAAGGAGATTGAGAAGACGAGTGCCGAGGCTGGACAGGTCCAGGTCGGCTCGGACCAATGGCGCGAGATGCAGGCACTCAAGAAGAAGAACAAGAAGAAGGCTGTCAACACCAAGTCATCCAAGGATCGCATGCTCAAATATGAGACCTTCCAGAAACTGGAGAACTTCATGCCACCCGTACCCGCACCCATGCCACCCTGGAACATCGATCAACTCTTCTCCACATTATTTGGAGGCATTGGTGTTGGAGGTGGACTCAGCTCATAATCGATCAATCAATCCCAACAAATCAATACATAATACATTGATGATGGACCAATGGTTGGCACAAGCAACATGTGTACACAGGGCATTTATTTCAAACATGATCATGAAAGTCGATCATTGAACGAACAACGACACCACACACTCAGTGGACTCGTGATCTTTTTTTGTTTGTTTTTTTAATTACTTTTATTAATTTGTTTTTTTTTGGATGTTTGGGTCTTGTAAGACTCATTCACGAACGACTGAAGATGACCGGTGTGCACAAGAGTCTTCAAAGCGAGCCTTCACTTTTGCCATACTTGACGACCCGCCCACGTATGTATCAACACACAAAGTTAACTTTATTTATTTATAACAATCACATGCACCTTTCATTTCTCATCAACAACAGCACAATACAATGACCTATTCGATGTCTCTTGTCAATTGACAATTGTTGATTGTCAATCAATCAATCAAACATTCAATGCAACAATGCCTCATTACACAACAAACGATCTTAATGTGTTCTCAACTATTGTCTCGTCTCGTTCGTTTTGTTTCATTCTTGATTTCAACTCAACTTCGAATTCAATCTTCATCGATGGTCACCAAATCAGTCCGTAACGGTCACATGTGTCATCTCCTTCTTGAAGTCTATCTCCATCAATCATCGTTGAGTGTTGACTTTGAGTTGGAAGCCACGTTGGTCCTTCACTCCCTCCCCATCCACACACACACAACGATTGGGGAAGTAATACGATTTTAATTTTATTCTTTTTGTTTTCTCACTAACACACACAACAAACAAACAACACTCTTGTGTCTCTCCACGTTACTCACTCTCAAAGTAATAACAACCTCCAATCAATGTGTGTGTGTATGTGTTCGTGTGTGTTCGATTGTGGTTGAGTGTTGTGATGTTGAGTTCCTCTTTCGTTCGTTAATTTCAATTTAATTTCAAATTAAATTAATTAAAAACAAAAATATACACCACTCGAGTGAGTGTGTTTGAGGATGTGCTGTTGAGCGCTCTATCTCTCTCCCTTCTCACTCTCTCGTCGGTGAGCAACAACAGGCACTAATACCCAGTTCCTCCACTCTTTCTCTCTCTTTCATTACAAACAATAACAACAAACAGCTAATCAAACATGTCTGCTCAAGCTCAAGCGTAAGTTATATTATCTTTATCTTTATCTCTACAAACAATCAAACATATATAACTAACATTATTAATCACAATCATTCAATCAATCAAACAATCAATATCAAACAATCAATCAACAAATAATGATAAATAATAATATAGTGATTACAAAGATGACCAACTCATGAAGAATGAGTTCGTCTCAACCTATGACACCGTCATAGATTCATTCGATGGAATGAACTTGCCAAAGGACCTCCTTAGAGGAATCTACTCCTACGGTTTTGAGAAGCCCTCTGCTATCCAACAGAGAGCCATCATGCCATTGGCCTCTGGTCTCGACATCATCGCCCAGGCCCAGTCTGGTACTGGAAAGACTGCCACCTTCACCGTTGGTATCCTCTCCCAGATCAAGATCAGCCTCCAGAGATGCCAGGCCCTCATCATCGCCCCAACCAGAGAGCTCGCTCAACAGATCCAAAAGGTATGCGATCAATCAACAACAGGAGGAGGAGGAGTTAAGAAGAGAGGAGTAGGATACATTACAGGTTGATTAACACAAAGGATATTCATTCAATCATTCACTTATTTATAGGTCGTCATTGCTCTCGGTGACTACCTCAATATCAAGTGCTACTGCTGCATTGGTGGTACCAAGCTCCAGGACGACATTGTCAACCTCCAGAATGGAGTCCACATTGTTGTCGGAACCCCAGGTCGTGTCTACGACGTCTTGCAGCGTGGTCTGATCAAGCCAGACACCATCAAGATGTTCGTTCTTGATGAGGCCGACGAGATGTTGTCCCGTGGTTTCAAGGACCAGATCTACGAGATCTTCCGTCTCTTGCCACCCTCAATCCAAGTCGGTCTGTTCTCTGCCACCATGACAGAGGAGACCCTGCAGATCACCACCAAGTTCATGAAGGATCCAGTCAAGATCCTTGTCAAGAAGGACGAGCTCACCCTCGAGGGTATCCGTCAATTCTACGTCAACGTTGGCGGTCAGGAGAAGGGCAAGTACGACGTCTTGACCGATCTCTACGAGTCTTTGTCCATCACCCAGGCCGTCATCTTCTGTAACACCCGCAGAAAGGTCGACTGGCTCACCTCCAGAATGACTGAGGACGGCTTCACCGTCGCCTCCACTCACGGAGACCAGAAGGACCGTGATGGCATTCTGTCCTCCTTCCGTTCAGGTATCTGCCGTGTCCTGATCACCACCGATCTCCTTGCTCGTGGTATCGACGTCCAGCAAGTTTCATTGGTCATCAACTATGACCTGCCATCCAACCTCGAAAATTACATTCACAGGATCGGTCGTTCCGGACGTTTCGGTCGTAAGGGAGTTGCCATCAACTTCATCCTCGACGACGAGCAGCCCAAGATCAGCGAGTTGTGCCGACACTACAACACCACCATCCCAGAGATGCCAAACAACATCAGCGAGTTCCTTTAAGTCAGAGGGAGTCCTGACCGCATCAGACGTCACTTGGATCATGGTTTAGCGAACATTACATTAATTAATTATAACTAAACACAGACTATCTTTCGCAATCCTTCGTTATTATCTCTTTATTTGTTCGGATTCGTGGGTTTCGTGGGTTCTTGGGGTATTCTTTGTTTTTTTGATCAAGTTCAACACAACTTCATTCATTCTTTCATTCATTCATTTAGTGTACATTGTATTATCTACAGATAAATAGTTAGAATGGATGATAAAGAGAAGGTTCTATTACTTCAAAAGATATCATCTTTATCATCATTGATAAATAATCATAAACAACTACAGAAGCAACCACAACAACCATCGCAACAACAACAACAACAACCTCAGCCCCCAATACAAAGACAACCTATTGTATCAATTGTACAACAAACAAGACCTACATCAACATCGACTACTGCTGGTGTAATCAACAAACATCCTCATCATCATAAACATATACGTTACAATGCACCAACAACAAAGCCTGCAGCGGCGGCAGCAGTAAAGAAGAAGTTTACCAACACAAGTTATGTCAGATCAACATCTTCAACAACTTCAACATCGATAACATCTACGACTTCAACAACATCAACAACATCTACAACAACAGAACCAAAGCAGACACCATTGGTACTGAAGCAAACTACACCTCTTGTAAACAATGGAGTCACACCAGTTGTCAAACATACAACTATTGCGCCAAAGACATCAATGTTCAAACGTACGACGACATTTGGTCAATCATCATTTCAACCAAGACGACCAGTTTGGAACAGCAGTAATACATTCGCAATGCCTGCTTGGCGCCGCACAGGCTTCTACCAACCACCCGCAGCTTTGAATTGGAATGGTGCCAGATGGGGAGCAAGGACCACCGCTCCATTCCTGCGGCCTTTCACCTCACCAGCGAGACGATTCCCAACGGCAATATCATCGTCATCATCAAGAGTGTCGACCTCGCCACAACAACAATATGTACCCAAGGCTGTCAAGCTTGCCAATGCGGCCGAGCTCCTAAAGAGCAAGAATGGAACAGTCATCGACGCAATCTTTATCAAACAAGGCAACAGTCTTATACGCAAAGCACTCGACGCCAAGTACATCACTGTCAACAACAAGCTCATCCGACAACCGACCACCTCAACAACACCAACAACATCAACTACATCTACCACATCGACAACATCAACGAGACCGACTCCAAGGCTGGCACCACTGGCAAGACAAACAAGAGCAACGCCAATCAAGAGGGCATTGTTACCAAGGACTACAAAGAAGCTAGGGTATGTAAAACCCTTGGGACTGTCCATTGCCACTCACTAACATTGACATCCATCAACAGGATCAAGGACACACTTCAGAAACTTGGAAAGAAGAAGCAGCAGAAAGAACTCTGTCTATTCTTCAATCGATTTGGTGAATACCAACCAGTGCCCATTCATGTTCTCTGGCAGCAATCAGACCGACTAACCTCCATCCCTCACTATCTCACTCACTCAATCACAATTAATCAATCAAAAATCTTTAGGCAAATGTAACAATGGCGACAAATGTAAATATATACACGATAAGGACAAGGTGCGAGTCTGTCCGAGATTCCTGTCGGACAAGTGCGAGGACGAGAGTTGTACGTTGCAACATAAGATTAGTGATTTGGAACAGATGCCGGTGTGCTACCAGTTCCTCAGAGGCGTGTGCACACATGAGAACTGCCCTTACCTGCATGTCTACGTGTCCAGGGATGCCGAGGTGTGTCCAGACTTCCAAAAGGGCTACTGTCCCAATGGTGCGTCATGTCAACTGAGGCACACCTACAGCTACAAGAAGAAGAACAATAACGACAACAACAAGAACTCTGACGACGAAGACAACAACAATGAATTGACGACAAGATCAAGAGTGAAGGAGAGTCTGAATCATGCGAATCCCAATCAGACATCATCTGGAGTGGCCAACTACAACAACAACAACAGCAATATCAAAGGTGACGACGTCTTTGATTTGGAGTATGATATTTAAGGATTGATTGAAGGTAGGTATCGGGAGTCGGCTGCCCACACGCCACCAATGGTCATCGTCGCGACTCTTGTCTTTACAACTCCATGCCAAGTTTGTCCCAATGTCATATGATACTCGATACGAACAAACGGCGCGACATTCGCGGCCCGTGTCTTGGCCTGGCCAGCCGGCTGGCCTGATCCGTAAACATACAAATAATAATAATAATAAAAAAAGAGATAATAATAATAATTAATACATGGATGGGCAAAGTCGATGTGCGCATTGAGTATTGAGCGAGTGATCGTTTACCTTTGGGAGTGATCAGTGTCGAATATAGACCAACCCCACCTTTGATAAGTAATCAAGGCCCAATAATCAATCAAACTTACAAACATGAGGCCCGCAACTACAAATCGCAAGAATATTCTTTAGAGTAGTTCAAGAAGATCTTTGCAAACAGGTCGCATTCTGAGCCCTAAACCCAAACTATTTTAAATTATAAGATTATCATTTGATACAAAATATCTTACATTTCAAGCGAGTTGTTTTGTTGGTTTGGTTTTGAAACCTTGAAAAGCGTTGCGCATCTGAGACTATGAGTGGGCTGACACCAGGTCACCGGCGTTCATTCATTCATTTCACTCATGTGCTCATCTTATCAAAAGGATGGGTCCTCAAAGGTTACCAACCAAACACACCCTTGCTGCACTTAACTTCCAATTGTGCGAACTTTGCGCTCATCCAACACACACTCTCTTGGATTCAAACAAACAAGCAACACCTCATCTCATCTCACCTACACACACTGGCCTTCATCCTTGTTCCTTCATCTCTGCCGGCTCTTGTATCTTATTCATTCATTCATTCATTCAACTTCATCTTTATCTGTTTAGTTGTATATATATATATACTTTATATTATTTTGATATTATATTATTACCTCCATAATACCAATCCAGCCAGGAATAGCAGGATATTGTTTGAAACAAAGACTTGCGAACCATATACCAAGTTGATTGATTGAGTGTTATAACATTGATTGATTGACAACGATCGAACAATAATGGTGTCAAAGAATAAATTGAACGTCAAGTTCAAAGATGAATCATCCGTATGTATCAGATTAGATCAGATTGATGACATGATTGGACCTGGCCGAAAGTTGACAAATCTGGATTGTTTGATTGATTGATTGGTTGAATGAATGAATACTTACTGGAATCATTCCCCGCATCATATCCATCCATCCATCAAATCCAGACTATTGATTATATGAGAGGATATAAGAGAACGATTGTATCGACAGTTGTATATTATACTTTGGTATTCTTCTCGATTGGAACACTACTGGTGTACCTGCATTGGTATCCGAGATATTATTATAAGATCAAGTTTAGAGATTCGACATTGGATCTGGCCGACTATGTCTACATCAAGGAGAAGGACAAGAAGGTGACGCTGTGCAAGGTGCGCCCCGTTGTGCTGGGCGCCAAGGGTCTGATCCTGCCCGGCGAGAAGACACAGCGTATGATCGTCTTTAAATTTATCCGTTACTTCTACAGCGAGGAGACGCGACTGTTTGAGCGCAACACGTTCAAGGACGAGTTTAGCCGCACACAACTCGCCCAGCTCGCCGCCAATGGCCTGGGCCATGAGGAGCAGAGTCGCCGCATCGACATGTTTGGCCCAAACCTGATCGACGTGCCTCTAAAGTCAATCCCACGTCTGCTACTCGACGAGGTGCTGCATCCATTCTTCATCTTCCAGATCTACTCAATCGCGCTCTGGTGCACGGAGGACTACTATGTTTACGCCGGCGCCATCCTCTTGATTGCAAGTGTCACCATCTTCCTCACATTGCGCGAGACACGAGCCAATCTCATGGAGCTGAACAACATCGCGCGATATTCATGCCCAATCAACGTACTGCGTAATGGCCGCATCGACACTATCAACTCGGGTGATCTGGTACCAGGTGATATTGTAGAGCTCAACACTTCGCTCCTGCTACCTTGCGACCTTGCACTGCTGTCTGGCACTGTGGTGCTGAATGAGGCTATGCTCACCGGGGAGTCCATCCCTGTGACCAAGTACGCAATCACCGAGACCGCTGGCGACATGCTATCAATGTCGGCCGCATGCAACAAGCGTTCGGCAATCTCTGGAGGTACGATGGTCGTCAAGACCCAGGGCGCACAGGGCGAGCGCATTCTAGCCATGGTCACCAAGACCGGATGGTCCACAGCCAAGGGTGAGCTGGTGCTTAGCATCCTCTATCCCAAGGAAGCCTACTTTGAGTTCTTCCAGCAGTCAATCAAGTTCCTCTTGGTGCTCTGTGGTATTGCCCTTGGAGGCTTTGGTGTTTCCGTGTGGAGAATGTACGAGCGTGGCACAAGTCTACGTGAGGTCATCGTCCGCTCTCTGGATCTCGTCACAATCGTCGTGCCACCCGCTCTGCCCATGGCTCAGTCAGTTGGTCAGGGATTCTCTATCCTGCGTCTCAAGCGCCAGGGCATCTTTTGTATCTCGCCACCTCGCGTCAGCATGGGTGGCAAGATCGAGGTGTTCTGCTTCGACAAGACCGGCACACTCACAGAGGAAGGCCTGGACCTGCTTGGCGTCGTTCCCTCATATAACCAGAACTTTGCCGATATGGTCGAGGAGGTGAAGCGTATGACTGGCCCACTCTACCTAGCTCTGGCCACCTGCCACACACTGTCACATATCCAGGGCAAGGTCAGCGGTGACCCACTTGAAGAGAAGATCTTTACAGCCACTGGTGCCACGCTCGACGACGAGCATCCCCGCTTCAAGGCTGCCATCAGACTGACACACAAGTCGTCTGCATCAGAGAAGGGCATGCCATTCCCAATATCCACAGACGAGATTGAGCAGTGCGCAGAGATTGGCCTCGTTGAGCGATTCGAATTCCAGTCGACTTTGCAGCGCATGAGTGTAATCATCAAGGGCGACGGACTCGACGGAAAGGAGATCGCCATCGTCAAGGGTTCACCCGAGAAGATCAAGTCCTTCTCAGTGCCAAGCTCACTGCCCGCCGACTACGATCAAGTGTTGGACACATACACCAAGAAGGGCTACAGAGTGTTGGCATGCGGCTACAAGGATTTCCAGACACCAAAGAACGTCAGCAAGGATGAGATCAGAGAGATGGTGGAGCGCGATGTCCACTTCCTCGGCTTTATTGTCATGGAGAACAAGATCAAGCCCGAGACGCCACCCGCTCTCCAGGTGCTCAAGAACGCCAAGATCAGATTGATCATGGTCACTGGTGACAATGTGCTCACGGCCATCAGTGTTGCCAAAGAGTGCGGTCTCATCCTGGACAAGAAGGTCATCTTCATGTCTGAGGTGGTCAATGGCGCGATCCAATGGCGAGATATATCATCCAGCACCAGCTCAGTACCCTACAAGCTCGACCCCTACGACCTGGTCATCGAGAACGACTACGAGGACGAAGACTTTGTCCTCGCTGTCACGGGCGATGCCTGGAAGATACTCTACGACGACAAGGTTAAGAACGGCAAGGGCATGACATTCACTCGCGTGCTCCAGAAGGGTCATGTATTCGCCCGTATGTCGCCAGATCAGAAGCAGAACCTGGTGGAAGACCTGATGGGAGCGAACCTCTACGTGGGCATGTGTGGAGATGGAGCCAACGATTGTGGCGCTCTCAAGGCTGCTCACGTCGGCATCTCCCTGTCAGAAGCCGAAGCATCCATCGCCGCGCCATTCACATCCAAGGTGACCAACATCTCCTGCACACACAAGCTGATTCGCGAAGGCCGTGCCTCACTGGCCGTCTCATTCAAGCTGTTCCAATTCATCGGAATGTACTCTCTCATTCAATTCATCACGGTTATCCTGCTGTACCTGCAGGCCGACGTGCTGGGCAACTATCAATTCCTCTACCAAGACCTCTGGATGATCTTCCCGCTGGTCATCTTCATGGGCCGCACCGAGCCATGCTCGAAGCTCTCGGTCAAGCGTCCATCCAGTCGTCTGATCTCCTGGGCCGTCATTGGCTCACTGCTCACACACGTCGTGCTGTGCGGTGTGTTCCAGACGCTCATCTATATATTCGTTCAGAAGCAGTCATGGTACGTCGTGCCAGCCGAGTCATCCAACGAAAAGGGTATCCTCAGCTACATCGTCACCAGCTTGTTCCTCTACGCCAACTTCCAATATCTCATCATGTGTTTCATTTACTCCTATGCCAAGCCATTCCTCAGACTAATATATACCAACAGTAAGTGCAGCTCATTCAATCAATCAATCAGTCATACTAACTCAACTCCAATCAATAGGACTACTCTTTGGATGGTATCTAGTTTGTGTAGTGTCAACAACATTGTTGTTGGTGTTGCCAAATGAGAAGTTGTATCGATTCTTGCAATTGGAGTCACATCTGCCAAGCGATTGGATGTTCTGGATTTACAAGTTGTTGATCTTGCTCGCCATCAATATAGTGGCATCAGTCGGTTTGGAATGGTTGATCTTCTTCTCCAAACAACAGTACAGCAAGTCGCGCAAGACCCTCAAGGCCAAGAAGGCCAGAGACGAGTTGGTCAGGAACATGAGGTTCGCCAGCATCAATCAAATCTAAAGTGTCGGTCCATCTCATTATCCATCCATCAGTGGACATGATCATGCGGTCCTTCCTTACCCTCGCGCGAGACAACAACAATATATTATACTATTATTATCACTTCCATATTCTTTCAAGTTGTTTGTCAAAGTAATCATGAAGTTTTCTCTGATCTGATCATAGTGTGTGTGAGTGTGATTGATCGATTCGATTGATTGATTGATCAGTGAGTGAGTGCACTGACATATATACCAGACGATCGTGATGAATGATTGGAAGGAACATCAGAAGAGTTATAACAAACAATAATAATAATAACTTAATTAATAAAGTAATGAGCGAAACAGGAGATCTTAAGAAGGACTTCAAGTCTGCAATATGTATCGCACCACCAATTGAACTGTGCGACCAACTTCAAGTGTGGCGTAGCCTCTACGATTCAGCTTACAATCGATGGATGCCACATATCAACCTGTATGTATCCCTGTCAAACTCCACTCACTCTCTCACTCCAATTGTCTCACTCTAACATGATGACTTCACCAAGGATATTCCCATTTGTTACACTGGAACAATTTGATAATAAGTTTAATGAGTTGCAGACTGTCATTGGAAAGATACCAGCGTTCAAGCTGCGTTTCGATGACTTCTCCTACTTCCAACATGGTAAGGGAAAGTGTGTTGTTTGGATGAAGCCTACAACAGACAGACCCAATGTCATTGCCGATATTCAAGCAGCACTGGAGTCTGTTCTCGTTGGTTTCAACGAGCAGAGTTCCAAGTCTCCCAATGGATTCTGTCCACACATGACTGTTGGTCAGTTTGGTGGAGTATGTATCCTTTGTTCATTCATTCATTAATATTCATTCATTCATTCAATCAAGACTAACTTACTAACAAACTGAACAACATTTGACAATGATTGTAGAAGAAGGCAACAGAGGAGAAGATAGCAGGATTCAGGGGTGTGCTGAGACCGATCGAGACAGATGTCACCGAGATACAGATGATCAATCGAGTTGGTCAGGACACACCGTTCACAGTCGTCAAGACATTGAAGCTTGGTGTGGGTCTGCCTTGAATGAATGAACTCAAAGCAACATCATGTAGATATTAAATAGGATGCATGGTTTGACATGTCCATCCATCCATCCATCCATCTCTCGACTGACCAACAACTACATTGTGTGTATGTGTGTGGGGTTGGAACAACTCTTCCTTTTATGGTGCCAAAGATCTATGAGTTGTTGTGTTTAATGTGGGTGCGACTGACTATGTACATGAGCCCTTTGTTTTTCACATCGTGTTGGAGACGTTGCCGTCAAGTTGCATGGCTTGGATCTGGCTCCCAACCTTTGAACATTCATTCATCATTCTTTCGACTGTTGAACAAACAAACAAATATATAAATACACATACATACAAACAAACACATACACATACATAAATATTTATTTATGTACAACAACACATTATATAATTTATAAATTAAGGTTGGATAAGTTATATTTATAAGTTTATAAACAAGAACATTACAAACCAATCAAACAGGATAGGATAGGACAGGACAAGACATACATTCACACACACACATAAGACAGACGATTGACAGGAGGAAACGACTGATAAATCAAGGTTAAAAAAAAAGAGTAGGCAACAAACAACATATAACTTCATCCATCATCGAGCATATCGACACTTCGATATAATTCATCGGTTCAATTCTATATGATCAACCAGCCAAGCCAGCCTTGTGATTCAATGAATGTGCTGGGATAGAGTGAGAGTGTGTGTGTGAGAGAGAGAGAGAGAGATATGCACCCGACTGTGCACCCGACTGTGCAACCAATGCCAATGGTGGAGATGAAGACATTCATATGCGGACAGACCGACAGATGGTGGGCTCACTCTCTCACTCTCCCATCGTCATCACTCCCCAAACCCCCCAATGCATTGACTATTGACTATTGACTGCAGAATCACGAGAAGACACCACCATCAATCCTTGTCTCACCTTCACCTCACCCTCCATCTTCATCTTCAATCCTGTCCAATCAATCAATCAGAATTATGTTATGTTTGATTTGGTTGTGATTGATTATAAATTATTTTGTGGTGATATCTTAGCGGGAGTAATAGTAGTAGTAGCAGTAGTTGTTGTTGTAATAATAGGATAAGATTGCAGCACAGCAGCATCAGAGCACAGCAGCATCAGAAACAAAACATCAATCACACTCTCTTACTTCATTCAATCACACCTTAGGTGAGCCTGCACACGATCGTGTATCAATCAACATTGACCTTTATAAATCTCAATATCGCATCACTGTTGTCCAAAGACACTCACACAACATATGACATGGCCATCAATCAGCTCACTCACATTCACTCACTCACGCTCACACTCACCCAGCTCTCTCTATCAATCTCGGTGTGTTCACGTACATCCCGTCGGGACATTAATGTAATAACACTTTTGGTGTTAGTGTGAAGTAAGTGATTGATTGATTGAGTGTTGGAGTGTGTACATCAATCAAACAATCAATCAAACCATCCATCCATCAGTCCGTCCGCCCGTCCGTCCCGGTCCATCCATCATCAATTTAAAAGGTTAGTTCAAGGACACTTGAACAATCTCTCTCTCTTGTTGTTGTTATTGTTGTTGTTCTGCCTGCCTGCATTGTAACATATTACTACTCTGCTGCAGCAGCTTCTTGCTTGTGTTGTGTTTGCTTACTGATGCTGCTGGCTGCTGCTTGCTTGCTACTGTACTGCAGTGACCATTTTCTAATCATAACTGTAGCCATCCATCCATCACATTCCAACAATCAAACCAAACAACCAACAAACCAATTAACTATCCAGTTTGATTGAACATATTATTAACAAACTAAACTTACAACACCAATTAGCATTATAATATATATATATTACTTATTCATTCACAAACACTATCAATCAACCTTTGCTTGTTGATCAACAGTGAACCGGCGCGCCTCAGGGTCAGAGCATGACAACACACGCCAAACAACAACTGTCAATACTACAACAACAAATGCCAGAGCATTCAGGCACCTCTGCCAAGCACACCATCCAGGTGAGCTATCAGAAATGGGGAGAGATCAAGCGTTACTGTGGAATCATCCATGAGTTTGCATCCGATGCGCCAAACCATCCAATCACAACGGCCCTCCTCACAGACCTCTACAACATATCCAGAGTCCTTGTCGATGTTGTCGACAGTGTATTTATAGATCCACGCGATAGTTATGAGGTATGAATCATTCATTCAATCAATCAATCAACCAATCACTCACATTCATTCATTCATATTCATTCAATTACAGAAATATAACAATGGATATGGAAGCCCAATGATGAATGGACTTGTTTTATTTGATCAACAGGCTCATTTGTCAAAGAAGTCTGTTCAAGTACCTCCACATGCTGCAGCTGGTTATTACTTTGCTGCAGAGTACCCTCCAAACATGGCCTATTACAACATTCAACCAACCATTCAGATATCTCAGACTACTCCAATTGCATCACCTCAGATCATTCCAATTGGCGTACAAATGAGCTCTGCTCCATCTCCACTTCCAAACAACAATGGTGGTCCAGCATCAATGCAAGGCACTCCACAGATTAGATCACAACAACAACAGCAACAACAACAACAAATGATGTTGCAACAACAGCAACAACAACAACAACAACAGTTGTCATCCAATCCATCTTCACAGCCGACAACACCTCCTCAACTTGCAGTTATGGGAGTGTCGGCCGCAGCACCAATGGTGATACAACAACAATCTGCAGCGTCATCGGCAATGGTTGTGCACAATCAACCGGCAGCAGCCAAGCTATCATCGTCGCCACCATCATCAAGCATGACCTCTGCACCCAAGACCAAAACACAAATCAAACCATCGTCCAAGGGCAACTTCTCTGGCGAGGTGTTCTTTGACGACATATCACAAGACAAACCAAGGCGAAGAAGGAGAACAGTATACTCTGCCAAGCGTAACCTGAAATGTGAATACTGTCACGTCACTGAGACGCCAGAGTGGAGACGAGGACCAAATGGAGATCATACGTAAGTCCCTCTCCTGCATCATCAGCATCATCCAATGAATGATTACTAACACACTTATCCACATACCTTATAACAGACTTTGCAATGCATGTGGATTGCACTACGCCAAGTCATTGAAGAAGAAGAATAAGGATGAAAAGGAGAATGAGGAGCGAGAGAAGAAGGCAAAGGAGGAACAAGAGGAGAACGAGAGGAAGATGAAGGAGCTGAAAGAGCAACGAGACAAGTCACTGGCAGAGAAGGACACGAGGAAGCATTCAATCGACTTTGTGATCGAGGCAACATAAGTTGGTGATCGTCTCACCGACATATGTGTAAAATATATATATAGTAGATACATGTATAAAGCTAGCTGGGACGACAACTCGTTCCAATATTGTAACTTTCAATCATAGCGTAATATCCAATGGCGTTGGCGCTGTGATGGCATTTGTGAGTGAGTGATGTGGACTACAATGATGACAATGGTGGACGGCAATGATGACATGATGACTACGATTGAGACAATGACAATGACAATGTTACCCAGGTGTGCCAATGATGATGACTTGTTAGAGGAGGAGGAGGAGTAGGAGGAGGAGGAGTGTGATGTCCTTGCTATTCTATGAGGGTAACTCCGACCACGTGTGCGATGTGTGATCGGTTTATTGGGCATATCTGCGTGTCCATTCCTTTGCCTTCTCATCGTGTTCGTTCTTGTCTCGTATCAGTTGCTCGGCGATCGATGCCACCAGAGGGTCTTTAGGGTTGGGATCAGTAAGCAGTGAACAAATCGACAACAGAACCTTGGCAACAGTGAGTGCAGGACTCCAATTGTTCTTTAGAATATCCAAACAGATGTCGCCATTCGCATTGATGTTACAGTGATAAATCTTTGTCTTGAATGTTATCTAGATGTGATGAAGTGATTGATTGAGTGAGTGAGTAAGAGAGTGAGCATTGCTCTGTGTTTGAGTGAAGATGGACTACTTACCTTGGGAGGCTTGAATGGGTAGTCCAAAGGGATTGATATATGAAGAAAGAAGACGCCACCTTGGTATGGGGAGCCTTCTGGTCCCAGTATTGTGCTCATCCATTCATAAAGATTGTCTGCTATTGGTCCTGCTGAACAATTCGATGGAGGGTCCACTGTTATATCAGCAAGTTCCTTCTGTATTCTATTTGAAAGGTTGATATATTCAAACTGTTAGTTAACTTTATGTATGAATACCATCATAGTGCCAAACGATCAATCAATCAGTGAATCAATCAATCAATAATAAACATACCTTCTTGTCGATGTAATCTTCTCAGTCATTGTTTATACTCTGAGTATGTATGTATTATAAATATTATATATATTATATTATTTGTATGTGTAGGTTTGTGTTTGGTGAATGAATAGAATAGAATGTTGATGGGATGACCTCATTGTTTGGCAATAAATAAATAAAAGGGTTGGAACGAACAAAAAAGGACAAAGTTGTGTTTGGAGTGGGGTGAATCACGATGAGTCAAACAGATTCACTTTGCAAAACTCACACTTTTGATCGATCAAACAAATAATAATGTTATTTGGATTCTTCCAAGATAATAACAAATAATAATAAGAAGGGGTTCTGATATAAATAATGACACTTGATCAACAATAAATATGTAAGTATTTTTTAAATTAATATTTAATTAGTTATTATTATTTATTGAATGTTCCAGAATTAATTCTGGAAGTATTGTAATCTGGATCGAATTAAAAGGTCAATTGAATGTTGGGATTGACACCATATTGGGTAAGTAGTTCATATGAGCTGATGAATCTAGGTGTTGGGACTGGACTTTGTTGTGATGGCTGGAAGGCAGGTCTGAGTGCACTGAACTGGAAAGACCAATGGAATGTCTTGCTTCCAACAAATGGTGCAACATCAACAATACATTGGTATGTGTTGGCAACACCAGCAACAGATTGGATGTTACCTCCAACTCTTACTCCACTATCATCGGTCAAGTAACAATAGTGTTCATCATGGTTGGATGATAACTGAGCAATTGTGAATGTACCAGTTATGGTGTAATAGTTGCGCACTGTTTGGATTGATTGAACACGGCCTGCAGCAAAAGATCCACCGAGGTAGTAGAAGGCATATGTTGATTGAGTGAAGGATACTGTCTTGTCATTGGGACCAACCAGGAAAATGGAGAAGTAGTGGTTGCCATAGGCTGATGGAACAAATGTGATGCGGAACTGGCCATTTCCAATTGATGGTACCGGAATTCTGTTTGACACATCGCTCGAGAACACGATATAGACTCTTTGGACTGCGCCTGTGGTGACGACCGTGAGTGTCTGAGTGGCGCCATCAGCAACAATCTTGGAGAACACTGCCTTGGTGATGGCTCCAACCGAGTCAACTGTTGGAGAGGTGGTTGTGATCGTTGAGAGACCGGTTGTTGAGACGAGTTGGAGGTCTTGGGATGTCAATGTGATCACGTTGCCAGCGTTATCAGACAAGCTCTCAACTGACAAGGTATATACAGCATTCGAGTGCAAGCCAACTGGGAATGATACACGATAGACACCATTGTTGTCACCTCCAGACAGTCTGTTTGTTGAGTCTGCGAGAAGAGTGAACTGATTGATACCATTTGATGAGACGACAATGACTGCCTCCTTGAATCCAGATTGGTTATCAGTGATTGTTAGGTCAATGTTGGCAATGGAGCCCGAAGATCCAGTATTGATCGAGGATGGGGCGGTCAATGAAGCGATCCTTGGTGCAGCCACATCACATTGAACATAGGGTGGTGTGTAGGATGGGAAGATAGACTTGATGTAGGCGTAGCTATATGTGAACACCTGTCCATTGACATCTGTGATCTCTAGCACCAGGCTTGGCAATCCGACACGTGTCCTTGTGCTGAGCTTGTTGCACTGCACAAAGAAGTAGACATTGTCGTTGAAGCTGGTTGTCGGGTTATCCAAGAAGTTGTTCTCATAGAAGACTACTCCAGCTCCAAACTGGTTCTCATTATAGAAGAAACGGACGGATGCCATTGGAGTGACTGAGGTAGCCTTGACAAAGGCAGAGTAAGGACCATTGTTACTGAATGATGTTAGTACTGGACGTGTCACAAGGTCAACTGCTGTACCTTGGACTGAGATTGTCGATGCCAGGGATGGTGTTTGTCTGAGTTTGGCAGAGCTGATGGTGTAGACAGCGTATCCTTTCGAATCTTGGAGGACCAAATCAATATTGGAGGTGAATGAGAAAGTGTTCTTGGGGACGAACCACGAGCCGGAGAAGGTGGCAACAGGTGAAGAGACATTCACAACTTGGTATAGAGGGACAACTGTGGTCTGGGAGAATGTGAAGTGATGTTGATCAAATTGGACCAGAACACTTGAGGAGTTCGAAGTGGCCTTGTCTAAAGTGAGTACGAAGGTGACCTCAACAGCGCCATTTGTCACAACAATTGGGTTGGGAGTGAACGAGAAGGAAAGTACAGTTGGAGCAGATGGGCCTATGTTGGGATGAGTGTTAATATGAATGATTGAATGATTGATTGAATGATGGTACTTACGAGTGTAGATTAGGCTGACACATTGATGGTTGGCATAGTCAGAGTACTGCTGGAAGAAGTTGAAGAAGACACTGTAGGCACCTGGTTGTGGGAATTGAGTTGGATGAAATGATAGTCCAGTTTGGTAGGTGAGTAGGTTGTTGTTGCTCGAGAGCAAACCATCTTGGTAGGAGAAGCGGGCTTGATCTGAGATCTTATCATTGATCAACAGGTAGGCACTGCCTTCAACCAACTGAGTAGAGGTCACATTAAAGTAGATGGGTACGGCTGTTAATGAGTTGAGGTTTACAGTCTTTGGCAGGGTGGCGTTGATCAGCACAGCGTTGGCTGGCAAGACACGTGGTGTCACAGTTGGAATGCTTGATGTGGAGTAGTACTGTGAGGCAGTGTTGCCTTGATCGTTGGTGATGGTCGAACGACCACCCCATGGCAAGTATAGTTCATCGTTGGCACTGTCAAACAGTGATCGGATTGAGATCACACCATCATTGATATCACCTTGGACAATATCGTTTGGATTGGCGTACACATAACGAAGGATCTCTGCATTAGCGAATCCTGAACCCGGTGAGCTGAATGATACATTTGTCTCCAAATGGAATGGTTGCAACTGATTGATCGATGGAACATTGAATGTGATTGAGTTACCAAGTGATGGAACACCAGTGTTTGTGTCTAAGTTGATTGAGTTAGTGATTGAATGATAGTTTGATAGATTGATTGAATGGTACTTACTGATGTAGGTGAGGGTCGAAGTTGTGAAGTATTCCAAAGGTTGACCAGAGTATTGCTTGAGAAGCAAACGGAAGGTGTATGTACCATTGTTGAAGTAGGCTGGGATAAGGCAGTAGGCAGTGATGTTGGTTGGGGAAGAGAGAACTGGTGTGCAGTCGGCATTTGGTCCCCAGAGTCTCACCTCAATATCGTAGAATCCATTTGGGTTGGAGTTAAGTAGGAAGTTGACTGCAACAACATGTGTCAAGTAGGTGTAGGACAAGTTGGTCAAGGGTGTAACACTATCGGCCAATACAATTGGCGAGGGTATCCACTGTGGTGGGGCGATACTTAATGGAGGGAGATTGAATGCGGCGAAGGTGGTGTAGGTGGTTGGGACGCCTGCAGAGTTGTAGAGTACCAGGTTGGCAAGGTCGATGGTGGCTAGACGGCGATCGGTGGGTGGGTTGACAGTGACGTAGTAGAAGCCATCAGCATTGGCATCGGATAGTTGGATGTTGTAATTTACAATCTCATCCTGACCAGACTGCTTGTAGTATCTCAGGCCAAACTGTCCGTTTCTAAAGCCAGAAGAGCCTGCGGCAATCTGGAACTTGAAGAACAAAGAAGTTGATGATTGGGATACACTGAGTGAGGTCAATGTTGATGGTGGACCGGCTGGAAATGAATGATTAGTGTCAATATTATTAATCTGTAATTTGATTGAGTGAACGATACTTACTGTAGATGGTGAGTTTGCCAGCAGCTGGGAACAATTGGGTTACTTGGACATCAATGTAGTCAACGCCGTTGAAGAGGGATACGCGAATGGGACAATCAAGGGAGGTTGCACCATTTGTTGGAAGACACTTAACTTGAGTCCATGGAATGCACACAGTGACATTGGTCTTGGACGGTCCATCATTGATGATGTTGATTGGACTGAGGGAAGTGGAATACTCATTGTTGATGATAACTGCTCCACTTTGGAATCTCTGGTCCGTGGTGAAGAAGATTGTTACTGATGGGATAGTAGGACTGGTGAAATAGACCTTTGATGGTGTCAACTTTACTGAGGTGACAGTAAGTGATTGTACTCCATTGGCACTGGCAAATATGGCCAACAATGATAGTAAAACGATAATACGAATATTCATTATCTATTATTATTATATATTGTTGTAGTTGTTGTTGTTGTTGTTGGAGATAAAAGGTGATTGTGCGTCACTTGTTGTTGGTGTTTTTGAAGTTGAGACTCGTCAAGATGCCGGTTGGCCGTTGTTTGGAACGATGCCTATATTATCCGAACCCAACAATTGATGGGTTTCGCTTGTCGTCGACGAGTAAAAATATCTTTGATATCGTTGTTGATTTGCCCATTCATCAACACGCAAGCCAAAAGATTGGGACTGTCGTTTCGTTTTGATTGAAACCCTATGCCATGACATGATGTTCTTGAGGTCAACTGAAGTATTCCCTGGGGATACAAGACACAGTAAGTAACTAAGGACTAGTCATTCATTCATTTGATCACGCCAAGTGGTGTTTGGGTAAGTTCTATGTCCTCCCTAAAAATGGGTTCTAAGTGACAGGTCTCTCCCCGTTTGTCTAAGTGGAACGTCAGAAGCATTGCTAGAACAAGTTCAAACATCTAACCTTCCACTATTTCGTGATGTATTGGTAATAGTAATAAAAAAAGTACTGAAGTGATATTTGAATGTATATTCCATTGAGTTGAGATCAAATACGGCCAGTACCTTATTGACACACTACACTTATTGTGAGAAGTCCTCATCAGTGTACATATGCTGCGTTACTAGGATTCAGCAGGACCAGTCCCAAAATTAATGGGTGAGAGAGTAACAACATGATTTATGCTCTTCAAATCAATCATTACTCAAAAATATTATTATTATTTCCAATCATAAAAATACACTATTCTCTGTATTTATATATATATATAAATTTAAAAGATTAATTATTATTCTAAATATTATAATTATATTTATCTATCACCGGAAACAATGAGGCTGTTTACACCTTATTGTTATTGACGGTCCTCATCCTAAGTTCTGCTTTAGCTCAGAGTATGTATCAAAAATATATTCCAACAAACAATCAATTCCACAAGTGTCCAATACTAATATTCTTGATACAATAATATTATTAGATATTGATGTTTGTCAAAATGTACATTGTCAAGATGGCTATGAATGTCGGGAAGTTTGTGGAATTGCCAAATGTTTCCCTTGCGGTTCACCAATCACAACAACCACAACACCAACTACTACTACTGCGTCGCATACCTCTGGTTCGTATGACCCTTGCAACAATGTTCCATGTCCAAGTGGAACAGTCTGTGCCGTGGTCCATTCCATCGACTACGACCACAGCCGTGATTACCCAACAAATTAGTACAGTGGCCTCTACCACAGTGTCCACCGCGTCCACTACGACAGTCAGTACTGTTTCCACTGTTGCCTCCACTGTTGCACAGGTAACTACTGCCCCCGTAACTGCCAGCACAACAGTGTCAACGACTGTGACTACAACCGCTTCCACAACTAGCCCAGCTTCGACAATCACTCAAACTACCATTGCTTCTACCATTGTGACCACCACTTCCAGTCCAACCACGACAGCCTCGACCACCGTGACCACCACTGCATCCACAACTAGCCCAGCGTCAACCATCACTCAGACCACAACGGCCACAACAACAGTATCCATCACTTCCACGCCTACCCCAACTCCAACCACTATTGCCTCGACCACCATGACCACCACGGCGTCCACTACAAGCCCTGCATCAACCATCACTCAGACCACTACGGCCACAACTACTGTCTCAATCACTTCCACGCCTACCAACCCCAACCACCATAGCTTCCACAACCGCTTCCTCAACTACTGCCACCACCTTGACCACTACCGCGTCTACAACTACCCCTGATTCGCCAACCACTGGCCCAACTCCAACCCCAACTCCTGTTGATAAGTACAGTGTTCGCATCACCGTTTGGGACGATACTGCCAACAAGACCGGTGACTATGCTGGCCAGAACTTCCTGCCAGGTATGATGGCATCCTTGTCTACCAAGGACGGTCAACTCATCAAGTCTGGACCGATGGTCGGAGGAGAGATCAGTGTCAAAGACTTGCCGCCTGGCGAATATTGTGTCAAAGTCTGGGACCCCAAAAACATGTATGTGACTGGTCCAGTGGGCACCACCAAGCAACTGTACAAGAGCAACCAGTTTGTGGACAACCAGCTGTGCTTCAACACAAACACATTCGGCAATGTCCGAGGTATGGATATACGAGCTGGTATGGTCAAGGCCCCAAGATACAACCCTACCCTAGGATAGTAATGTATTACCACCACTACATGCTTTAAACTTACTTCGCCACGAAAACTTGCAATATGCTGTTCATATAATGATGCTGTTTGTTCCTTGTTAATGGTTATTGAGGTGAACAACAATCAATACCAATTTGTTATTACTATTATTATTTGTTATTGATGTATATGAAACGGTGAATGAATGAATCAAAGTAATGAATTTGTCAATAAAGAAACCTAAGAAATTTGAAAAACTTCTCAAATTGCAAACAACTAATAATTATTACTTTGTCGAGCTTCAATCGAATAAAGGGACAGTAATAGGATTCGAATCCTAACATAGACATAAGTTTATTTATTTATAATGCATCAAAGAAAAGGTACGAAGCAACAACATATAGGCCTGGCATCATTGGATAATGATGAACATTATAAACAACAACAAAAACAACAACAACAACAACAACAACAACAAAATACACCAAACACTCCAGCACGATTCGTCTTGAAGTTGATTGAGCGCGTTGCTTGGATTGGTATCGGTCTCGCATTGGCCTACTACACCGATGCCCTCAATGTCCTACTCTATAATCCTCTAATCGACAGGTAATGACGTTCAATCATTCATTCATTCAATCAATCAATCAATCAATATAACTAACCGCTCACTCTCATTCATTCATTCATTCATTCATTCGATAGGATGTACTTGAGCATTGCTATTTTGTTCCTTGTTACATTCTTTGCCTTCTACTTCTATGTTGCTTACATCTGTGGCGGACGTCATCACAACAGCAATGATTGGGAGAAGTTGTTTCCCAAATCGATCAAGACTGCAACAGTGGCAATAGTACTCTTTACCATCACTTTCATGTTGGCCTGTTGGCCAGTGTGGCGCTGGTTCACACCTGTCTACATGCTTATCTACACCATAGCAGTGTCCTACCTGATATAGTTTGATCGACCATCCATTCAATCAATCAATCAATCATTCATTCATTCAGATCGATCTCTTGGCTCTCATCAGGCTACGATGTCTCGAATAGCCTGGATATTTTATTCGCAACGTCAAGTACCAGCTCGTAGGTGAGGAACATGATCGAGGAGTTGGGAACGACACGAAGCACATGTGGCCCCATTCCACCAAACAGGCCTCGCACTCCTTCTTCCCTGGCAATCAAGTAAAGTCCCTGTATAACGTTCTTGTACTTTGGTACAGCACCCGGTGCAATATTCTCTCTCAGTCTAGTTCTAATCACTTCATGTGGATACGTGGTCACAGCCGCTATCAGTTTAGCAACAGCAGCCGCTGACAAATATTCAACTGTCGACAGTTCTGTTGGAGTTGAAGTGGATGTTAGATCAGTGCAATCACATCGCATCAAGTTCAGATCACCTACCTTTTGGATATGGATATTGTTCAGGTCGCTTCAGATGCTCCTCAATGATTCGGTTCTTGAATCCTTCGTAGAGGACAAACTGGAAGGCAGACTCTGAGACACTGATGATGGACGCACCCAGTCCCTTGTAGAATCCAAAGACTCCCTCCTCCTTGAGCACCGCCATGCAGCAGTGGAATGTGTTCCTATAATGTGTACCCTATAATTGATTGAATGATTGAATGAGTGAGTGGTTCCATTCCAGTGTACCATGCCATGCCATGCCATGTTGATGCCAGTCCGAACATACTTGATTAAAGTCCTTTAGAGATGTTTGTAATTGCATTCGAGTCTTGATTAGCCAAATGGGACCTGTGGCAATGGCCACTGTACAACCGGCACTGATGGCCGATGTGAGATACATGATAGGGCCCTCCTTGACTCCCATCTTTTCCAGAGCAGTCTTTGTAAAGCTATATGTCATAAAGTGAACTGCACGTGATGGTGCCACTCCAAGCAAATGTGGTCCCAAGCCCTTGAATAAGCCTTTAGGTCCATCTCTTTCATATAAGTTCCTTTTGATTGTGATTGATTGATTGATTGATTGATGTGAGTGAGTGATCAATCAATCAAACAAGATCCAATTGCTTACTTTAGTGCGAATACTGTTGTTGGTACACCTCTCGGCTTACCAACATAGAGCATTGCAGAGTTGGCACCCTGTAACTGTGTCTTGATCACCTCGAGTGGTGATGTACATATGACTCCAACTGCACCTCCAAGTCTAATACAAGATGATTGTGATGATGATTAGTGACTGATTGACCAAGATGTATGTCTTGTCGTCGCTTTGACATTGTCATCCTTACCCTCCAGCAACAAAGTGCAACAAGGCATTCTTTGATTTCTCGCGAGGCTTTGGTAAGACTGATGATGTGGCTGGGTCTGTTGAGGATGCGATTGCATTCTGAGCGAATATCTTTTTCTGATTGTTATATATATTGCTATTGCTATTGTTATTGCTACTCCCACTACTACTGCTGCCAACAATGCCAGTTGATGTAGTTGATGTTACTGGAGTTGATGATGATGATGATGTGGACTTGATCGACTCTTTGTCCATATCTATATATATGATTGATCGTATGTATATGTGTTTTAAGTTCTGATCAGTAAGCAATCAGATGTACTCCTATCTTTGGATTGACGCGTGTGACTTAGGTGTAAAACTAGTTCGTTCGGCTTGTGCTGAAAGTGACTGATGGTGGTGTGGTTAAATTGATCTAATTCAATTTATGGGACTTTCAATTCAAATTCCTTATGTTGGGGCATTGTGATCTTCACTCATTGTTGATTCACTGACATTCATACAAATAATAATAGAATGAATACAACATTGTCAAGAAAGATACAAAAGGTGTTGGAGATTAAACTTGACTCATCCAACTCTGAGTTGGTACATTCATTGGATGAGTTATCAAGTTTCTACCAAACAAACACACTCAATGCTAGAAGGAACCTTAGGAATGACATTGAGAGGCGTTATCTAGATATAAACACTCAGTTCTTGGATCAATTCACTCTTTTAAACAATGTAATATCACAAGCCATCGCGATATCCATCAACAACAACATTGCTAACCTTTACCATGTTGATGAATCAATCATGTTTAGTGCGTCGAAGAACTTGTAGAGACATACCAAGAGATAAAGAAGAGTTGCGATGATGTTTGTAGTCACTTTGAGAATACAAACAAGTCATACTCAACTACACTACAAGATGCTAAACGAATGTTTGATGACCTGTATGATTGATGAATGAATGATTGAGTGAGTCGTGGACGACTGACTAACAACAACAACAACACATACATGTAGGAAGGTGACAGAAGAGAAGGAGAAGTACTTGGAAGCATATTTGTCAAGATTCAGATTGACTGAGGAGGAGGAGTTGTCTTTGCAGTTGAAGGAGGTGGATTATACATTCTTTCAAACACTGGCTCATTTGGCCGCGATACATAATGAGTGCAAGATGATCTTGTCCAATACATATCAACGACCAACTTATGAGATAATGGGTATGGTCGCCAGACATCAGGAAAAGGCCTATCGCAAACTTTACACATCGATCAAAGAGGAGTCCAAGCAACTCCAGACCGAGCAGCCAGAGATGCCCAGTGGCGCACTGTTGCCACAATCTCTGAGCGCGCTGCAGGAGCGTCCCCTGCTGCTCACCTTCTGTCTGGAGGAGATTGGAGAGTATAGATGCAAGTGTCTCACCAGCTCATTCATCACCGCGCTCACAATGGGCGGACACAACGGCACACCACGACCAATCGAGATCAATGCTCATGATCCCCTGCGATTCCTTGGTGACATGTTGGCCTGGATTCACCAGACCCTGGCTTCAGAGTACGAACTACTCTCCGCTCTGCTCGGCAGGATCACAATCACAGTCCCATCAAAGAGTAAGATTGATTGATTGATTGATTGATCGATGGTCTTCGCTCACTTACTCACTCAATCACAACATAGAGTTGGTCAGAAGTTCATCATCATATGACGACATTGACTTTGGGGATGCTTCTCAGTTGACTGCTGGCGGACAGCAGGATGAACTACAGCACCAGATCAAGCCAATTGACAAAGTGCTTGACATTGGCTTCGAGGCGGTGAACCGTCCGCTCACAGTGAGAGTCGAGCAGATATTACAATCAAAGCCTGGCATCACCACTATATATAAGATGATCACATTGTTGGATTTCTACTCGAGGATTGCATCATCGATCGTTACCAACAAGACATCACGTGTCAGTTCCATAATGAACGACATCAAGCACACCTGTCTCAACAGCTTCTTCACTCTGATCAAGGACAGCTTTGAAAAGATACATCGAGCGCCTCAAACACCTTCAATCGAACTCGTCCCGACCAACGAGATCAAAGAGTCCATCAATAAGCTGGTAAGAGGATGGATGGCGACATCAATCAATCAATCAAATAGGTCACTCACCCAATCCCTGCCAACCCTATCATGTAGAAGGAACTTATTACAACATTCAATGGATCACTTGTTCCTGATAGCGAGCGCGAGGAGGAGTTCAAGCCAATACTCACATCAATGGTGGACCCAATCGTCAACTTGGCAACTGTGTGCGCCACAACTTCAAAGTTGCCAATGGCCAGCATGGCAGTGTACATTATTAATAGTCTCAGTCTGTTGCAGTCGACACTGTCACTGCATAACTTCACCAAGAGCAGGATGGACATTCTGGTCGGACAGATTGACGCACACATGGACACGCTGGTCGAGGAGCAGACGTCCGAGCTGCTTGGCCAGCTTGGCCTGTCGCACAAGATCAGCATACTTCAATATCACGACAGCACGAGCGAGGGCAAGACCCCTCTGTCACAGGTCGCGGGCATGGACCGTCTGTCCATCACGCAATGTCTGCGCCAGTTTGACACGACGCTGGAGAGCTCATTCGGCTCGCTGGCCATGCCAGCCTGCGACAAGATATCAAACACAAAGTTGAAGAACCTGGCCAAATTGAGCGTCACCAATCTGATCGTCTCTGCCTACTCATCACTCTACACCAACATCCGAGATCCAACCAATCAATACGACGACTGCAATTCAATCTTCCAATATACTCCCGATCAAATCAAGAAGATGTTACATTAAAAGTCCAATCAATCAATCAAACGATCATTCATTGAGCTCTTGGAAGTGACAATGCGTAGCGGTAACAATCTGGATGTTTGGCAGCCAAGATGTCCAAGCACTCTGTTGTTATTCGACCACCCTTGCGAACCAAGAACCCGAGTACCTACACAAGGGAGAGAGATATATTAGTAAAGGCTGGACACACATTGATCAACTCCACTACTTGCCCTTTGATTGCCCATCTCTGATGCTCTTTTCATCAGGTTTGGTAAGCTGTCGGGACGGACCAGAATGTCGACACTCTCGAGGAAGTCCAATGTGGGAGAGTTGGAGGAGTTAGTCCTGGTCATATGGTTAAGTACAGCGACTGATGGCGACCACACGCCAACCTGGTTGGGATACACCATGTCATAGATGCGCTGATAAAGATCGACAAAGTTGTGCGTGATCATATTGTCCAGAGATGTCTGCTTGCCATAATAACTATTAACCAGATTTCCACAGGCCAGCAATGCATGTACAAGGTCTTGGCGACCATAATATAATGCTGAGCTCAAGTGTATCCAAGAGGGGAGGAGCAGTCTGTTCTCAACGATGCAGTTGATCATKSCAACATTACTGTTTTGAATGAATTGTGACTCCTCCATTCGACCAACATGTCGTTGTGCCCCATGGTTCAGAAGCAACTTGACGACATTCGGGTCGCCAGACAAGATGGCATTGCCCACTGCATTTGAGGGGCGGAGAGAGAACTTGGGATACAATGAGTAGAAGTACTCGATGATTGAGATGTGCCCGTATCTGGCCGCACAATTGATCGCGCGAATGGCCCAGTGTCGCGGTCTTCCCATCACGCCCCACAGGTGCTGTACCATGTCCATGTGACCACGCTCGATGGCGATGCGAAACGCCGCGCCCAGCCCACCCCTGATGGTGAATGGGTACAGTCCAAGGAATCGCTTGGCAATCTCCATGTCTTTGCGCGAGACAGCGTTGATCATTGCCTTCTTGCTGAATGGAAATCCCATGGCGATCATGGCCTCGATGACTTGGTGATCAGAGGTGTTGTCCAGCGCGTGTATCGTGTTGAAGCTCTTGGGCGTGAGTGCAAACATCATGCTGAACGTGTCGATGTTGCAGTGTCGACACAGTTGTTGGATCATGTGCGGGCGGTATGTAAACTCTTCGCGTGTGATCAATCCTTCGCGCACCTTTATCTTTAACAAGTCGTGGTAACGGAATCTTATGATTGACCATGTTTGAATGTTTCGATATCCATAAGCAGCCAGTCCCAAATGTTTATGTATCTCACGAATTTGAGCCACTATCTGTTTCCTCAAGTACACATTCCTGATCAGATGTCTAAATATATCTCCCAAGTCCTTGTCCTTGTCGTTGGACGACCTTGTTGTTGTTGTCCTGTCCATTCCTATTCCCTGTTTTGTTGTTATTAATAATATTATTATTATTATGTTAATGTTGTGATTGATGAGCTTGTTTGTAAGTTTGATGTGTTTTGAGTGTTTTTTTGATTGATTGATAGTGATCAAAATTGGAAGTTGTCAGTCTTGTGTAGCCAAACTAATCAAACACACACACACCAGACTTCAGATTGTAGACTACCACATTTAATGTGGCTGATTGGTGTTTAATAGTTGTTTCCCTGTCACACACACATCAACTACATCCATCACTGGCTGGCTGAATGAACGCAGACTGAGCGAGTGATGGATGAGTCGAACCTGCCTCATTCATTCATTGGTCATTCATTCATTCATTCATTCATTCATTCATTCATTACTACTAACTTACAATTAATTAACTTTTACTTTTAACTTTATAATATATATAATATTATATGTATGATGGATGATCAAATACCTACAATAACGACAACGACAATAAATGACACTGGTAAAGGTGAAATTGAACTCGAACCAACAAATCCAAATCGATCATATAATTATAGGAATACAATTGGAACGTCAGATATTCGAAGGATTAGGAATCAGACGCTGCGTGAACGTGCAGGCAGACCCCGCCCTCCACAAAACCTGCGATCACAACCATTCAACATCCGTCTAGTCTACGCCAAGAACAACAATGCCCCCGGCTCACTGCTCATCAAGAAGCACAATGAGTACACAAACAAGCAGACGGGCCAGACCAAGCTGTTCCGCACGTGGAAGGAGGTCAAGGCGATCTGGTTCAACTGGCATCAGCTAAAGACGATCGGGCTGTACAAGGCCGCGCTGTTTGAGCTGATCGGCACTTTCCTGCTCGTGTACCTATCGCTCTCGATCATCATTGGCATGATCAACTACTTCTCGTTCTCCAGGGAGTTCAACGATGACCTGCCTCCTGGTCCACTGCCACTCAATCACTTTGTAATCAACTGGCGAATAACATTCTCCATTGGACTACTACACTCTATCTTCATCGGCTTCCTCATCCTCGCCTTTGCCCCGGCAAGTGGAGCGCACCTCAACCCGACCGTCACTCTCACAACCATGTTCTGTGGATACATACCTTGTAAGTTCGTCGCGGCACAGGCATGCTGAGATGATGTGTATACTTACTAATCAATCAATCTCATCTATCAATCAATATAGTGTGCAAGGGAGTAGTATATATGATAGCGCAGTTTGCTGGAGCTATATTGGCATGTGCATTCTTGTATGCGACTGTACCTTTGTTTGTGTTGGAGAGGACGCATATGGCTGCTTGCGACTTTGGCGGTGACCTTAATGATGGACGTACATTGGGCATTGAGGCATTGCTCACATTTGTCAATCTGTTCATATCATTCACTACTGCCATTGATCCTAGACAGAGTGAGGCACTTGGTATCATAACATGTGCATTCATCGTCAGCACCACCATTGGAGTAACACAAATCATTGCCGGTGGATATGCCTTCACCTATGCCGGACCAGGTTACAACATGGCCAGATGTCTAGGTCCAGCATTAATTATGGGTTATTTTCACAGTATGTACAAATATCATTGAACTGACTGACTTGGCTCACTCACTGATCCATTCATTCAATTATTCAATCATTTAGAACTATGGGTATTCTTTGTTGCACAGGGTATTGCAGCACTTATAACAGGTGTTATATTCTTGTTCAATCCACCATTCACAACTATTCATTCTGAACCAATTGAACAGGCTAGTGACGATGAAGAACAGACCAGACGTCAAAGTATATCGGCTATACCAGAGACTGAAGGAGGGCCAAGCCACATCTAGATATATCATTCAATCAATCAATCAATAAATCCCGAGTTGTCTTTATTGCAAACTAGTATCCAGATGGATGTAACTCATTCGAGTACTTGCCTTTGACTTTTTTCATTGTTGTGTCCAAGTTGATTGATTGACAGGATTGTATTGTTAATGATGAGATGACCTAGGTCAAAATTAAGATTATTTCTTGATTTGGACCGAGATGACGAAGAGATCCAAGACAAGTCTAGAGCCCCCACATCTTGGATGAAACACAACCCATTCGTCCCAGGGGACTAAACAAGATTGACTTGTGTGAGTGAATGAATCATTAAAAAATTAATTTAAAATATCATAAAGGTGGGTTTCAAGTTCATTCAAAAGTCATAAAGTTCATGACCAAGGAAGGAAGGAAGTAAGTCGACAACAGATACAGATTCATTCATTCATTCATTCATACATACATACACACAACTATTTTATTATATTACACATATTATATCATTATTATTTATTCATTATTCAATACAAACATTAAGTTATGCCAGATATTGGACCATTTGACTTTGGCTCAATCGAGAGCGATGCACTCGATAGAGATACAGAGAAACTTAGAAATATATTGTTGGATAGTATAAAGGTGTTGGAGAAGAATGGTAGTAAACATATTGAGATTGTAAAGGATATCCTGATGGATATTCAACCAAGTGAGAGAGATCGCACCGCAATGGATGCATACTTGCAAAAGATATCGGCACTTAGCAATGACGATGCGTTGGCCATCTCAAGAATACTAAGCCACTCACTCAATCTTGCCAACGTTGCCGAGCAGCATCATCTTGTGCGCTCTGTACGTGAGGCCAATGTCAATGGTGAAGAGTTGATGTTCTCTTGCGAGCATACACTCAAGTCTCTATTGGCTAATGGTGTATCACCTGACGCCATATACAGTAAGTAGAGTTGATTGATTGCTTGATTGATTGATTGATTGAATGGACATTCACTAACATGTTTACTACTACATGTAGAGGCACTCACTGAACAATCGATTGAGTTGGTGTTGACAGCTCATCCAACACAAATGATGAGAAGGACATTGATCTCCAAGAACAACAAGATCTCAGAGGCACTACTAGAGTATGTGTTATCAAGTCAATCAATGTTTGAGGCGTCCATTCAAACAAACATACTTACCCTTGCCCCCTTTGTATAGACTCGAGAAACAATTGACAGACTATGAGAGAGCGGAATGGGAGGAGGAGTTAAAGCGTGAGGTCAGTGGATCTTGGTTGACGGATGAGATTCGTCGTAAGAAGCCAACACCAGAGGAGGAGGCACAGGGTGGTTTCTCAATCTTGGAGCAGAACCTCTGGCAGACAATGCCAAGATTCATTAGGATCTTGGACCGCGTCGTCAAGAAGTACACGGGCAAATCGCTGCCACTGGGCTTTGTCAACATCCGCTTTGGATCCTGGTGTGGAGGTGATCGTGATGGAAACGATAACGTCACGGCTGAGGTCACTCAACAGGTGTGCTATTTCTCCCGCTGGATCGCTGCCACCCTCTTCTACCGTGACATTGACGCCCTGCTCTTTGATCTGTCCATGGTCAAGAAGACCGACGACCTGGCTAAGGAGGCTGCCGAGGCCAACGAGCGTCGTCACCACATCAAGTTAAAGTCTATACTCACACTCTACAAGGAGTTTAGAGAGGGCATCCCCGAGAAGGAGGCCTACCGTATTGTGCTCGCTGAGATCAGAGACAAGATGTTGCTGACCAAGAAGAAGTATGAGGACCTCATCTCTGGTGAGACTCCATGCCCTGATGACGTTGTCTACGAGACCACACAAGAGGTCTTGGATCCATTGATCATGTGCTACAACTCATTGGTTGCCGTTGGTGCTACCGAGGTTGCCAATGGTCGTCTGCTTGACATCATTCGTCGTCTGAACTGCTTTGGCCTCACACTGTCCAAGCTGGACCTTCGCCAAGAGTCCACTCGTCACACCGAGGTGTTGGATGCCATCACCACCTACCTGGGCATTGGTTCATACTCTGCATGGGACGAGGAGAAGAGAGTTGAGTTCCTCGTCAAGGAGCTGGAGGGCAAGCGACCACTGATTCCCGTCAACTTCCCTTGCTCGGCAAGAGTGCAAGAGGTGATCAACACCTTCAGAATGGCAGCCACCCTGCCAAAGGAGTCGCTCGGCGCCTACATCATCTCGATGTGCCAGAAGCCATCCGATATCCTTGCCGTGGAGCTTCTCCAGAAGGAGGTTGGCAACCCCTCACCACAGCGAGTCGTTCCACTCTTTGAAATGATTGACGATCTTGAGCGCGCACCAACGACCATGGAGGCTCTGTTCAGCATCCCATGGTACATCAAGCGAATCAATGGCGCTCAGGAGATCATGCTTGGCTACTCAGACAGTGCCAAGGATGCTGGACGTCTCACCTCTGCATGGCAGCTGTACAAATCGCAGTCGATCCTCTCCAAGCTCTCTGAGAAGCACGGCGTCAAGCTGACCTTGTTCCACGGACGTGGTGGTACGGTTGGCAGAGGAGGCGCCCCCACCTACCTGGCCATCCAGTCCCAGCCAGGTGGCTCAATCAATGGCCGTCTGAGAGTCACCGAGCAGGGTGAGATGATTACAGCTCATTATGGACAGCCAGGCATGGCCCTCAGAACACTCGAGGTCTACACAACGGCCACACTGCAACAGACACTCTTGCCACCAGGCCCTCCCAAGGCCAAGTGGGCCGAGATCATGGACCACCTCTCTGCAACGTCGAGCAAGAAGTACCGCTCGGTGGTGAGAGAGAACCAGAACTTTGTACGATACTTTAGAGCCTCGACGCCAGAGCGTGAGTTGGCTCATCTCAACATTGGCAGCAGACCACAGAAGCGTAATATCAGCGGAGGAATCGAGTCACTCCGTGCCATCCCATGGGTATTCTCCTTTACCCAGACCAGACTGATCCTGCCCGCGTGGCTCGGTGTGGCCGACGCCCTCAAGGAGGCCAAGAAGCAGGGTTGGATGGAGGATCTGCAGCAGATGTACAAGGAGTGGCCATTCTTCTCGACGACGATCGATCTTGTGGAGATGGTTCTCATGAAGACCGACCCCAACATTGCCATGCGCTACAATGATCTGCTGGTGCCATTCGAGTTGCAGCCACTGGGCAAGGAGCTCATCGACCTCCTGAACGAGACAGTGAGCTCGATCCTCGCGCTGACCAACCACGAGACACTCCAACAGGAGAACAAACTATTGCAACACTTTGTAGCAATTCGTAGAGCCTACATCGATCCCATCAACTACATTCAAGCAGAGATCCTCAGACGTTTGAGATCACAACATGTTGATGCATTGGACCCTATCCTCGTGGACATTTTGATCATCACAATCAATGGTATTTCCGCTGGCATGAGGAACACTGGATAATCCAATGACCTCCTTGGAACATTCGATATTCAATTAATTAATTAAACAACAACAGTTACTACATGTATTGATAACAAGAACTGGGATGGTTACATTTGCCCATTAATTTTTTGATTCTTCCAGGTTTTTGGATTGGGGTCGAGAAGGTCGCTTCCAGGACCTTCCACGTCAACGACACCATTGATTGATCATAATTCAAGAGGTTAGTACAAGTACAACATTATAGTTATAATATAATCATAATCAGTAAATGACAAAGCAAAATGGACAAAAGAGGACAAGAATCTCCTTTAGGATTATGACAATACACGTGATCCGGAAGTGATCGCCAATAACTGTCAATCGTTGGAAGCAAAGTTCACCATAGATCAAATATCAAACAAGATCAAGAATACACAGGCTGCGCAAAGAACTCAACAACTACATCGTAAGTATATATATATTGTAAGTTAGTGATGATGAACACATTGATTGATTGATCGGTCCAAAAGTATTAGTACAACAAGTACAACAACAAGTGCAACAAGTTCAACAAGTACAAGTACAACAACCAATAGTTGTGGATACAAGTAAAAAGAGGACACTTGAAGATTTGGATGAGGAGATCACTCACGTACAGAATTACCTTGTTGTCTTAAAGAAGAAGAGGACTCAATTGTCCAAGCTTAAGGAGTTTGTTTCAAACAATCAATCAGAGTTTGACCAGATCGATCCAAATGAGTTCTTTGTCAACTAAAGAGCTATTACTGGAACTTCAGTAATAATGTACATTCATTGACTTCATTGCCAATTCAATTCAAACAACATCAACAACATAATCACAGAAGAGGAGGATGTGTTGGATGGAGGCTTCAACATAGGCGGGCGGGCGATGTCACACTAGCTACGCAATACGTAGAATTGATTTAAACCTTTCAAAAGCACTCACTGGCAGCAGGCCTGGCTAACAGGCCACTTGGTAGTGTTGCCAACATTGATGGATTTAATTCAGCTGATCAAACTAGTTGATCGCATCAATGTGTGTGTGTGAGTGTGTGGCTACTACATCCATCAATCCTCATCAACAACCACTTTAGTGGTGAGTGTGGCTTGGAGTGGTAGTGATCAGAGTGTGTGGCAGCGAGGATGGTAGTGGCAACATACCTGCTGTTGAGATATATACTACTAATCAAACAGCATCATCAATCAATCAATCAATCAACACTATTTCATTCAAAGGTCATCTGTTGTGTGTTGGAGAGTGGTGGTGGGTGCTCCTCGTCTCTCTCCTACCATCATCAATCAATCAAACAATCAAACAGGTTAAGTAAGTAGGTTAAGTAGGTAAGGTAGATAGGATGGATGGTTGGATGGATGGTAGTTGGTTGAACTTTAATTCTTATATGTAACCTAAATTTACGCAACTCTGACCTTGATCAATGTCCCCATCATCATTAATTCGATAATAAGTTGTTGCTTTGTTTGTTTGTTTGTACACGTAGTGACCCTTACCCTACCCTTACCTCACTCTCTCGCTTCCTAACTTACTACTATACTACTACTACTACTACTGCTACAATTAAGTAAATATTCATTCATTCACTACCTCATTCAATCAATCATTTTAATTAATAATAATTATTTATTTATTTATTTTTTTAGGATTTGGAATAATTCCAGACTAGACTCTCGCTGGTTAAGCGAGAATGAATATCAATGCCTCATGTTATGGAGCAAGCTTTACACAACCAAATTGTCTACAACAACAACTTCAACAACAGCAACAACATCATGGATCATTCAATGATTCACCAAGAATATTAAGACATGATAGTAGTAGAGGTGGATCGACATTCAATCTTCGAAGGAATAATAGTAGTACTTTCAATCTAAATCCAACTAATACAACATCAACTACTACTACAACTACAACAACTACATGCCAAGTTGTTGATCAACAACAATTCCAGAATAATAATATTGATAACATTTATCATGATGATGACCACCATAATGATGATAATAGTGATGATGTAGAGTTGCCGACGACTATTACATCATCGAATAGTATGATACAGTCCGGTATTGGAATGCCAATGATGCCTGATGACAAGGCTGTTGGATCATTGTTTAGAGATTTAAAGGCATTCACCTTCCCTCACCTATTCGACTCGGTATACTCTGATACTAAGGTGGACATTGGCAATCCAATGGTTTGGAATGACATCCCATTGCCACAGGGTATGTATCATATGTTTGGACGTCCAATCAATCAAACTTATTAACATATAATATTAAAACTTTTAGAGGATGACGATGATGATGATGATTGTGATGATCCAACATCACCTAGGAAACAGAAACAGCAACAGCGATCAATCAAACCATCACTGATGGACAGGTTCAGATTGAAACTTCCAGACAAACAAGATGAGATGGATTACATCAATCATCATTTCCATTCACAGATGAACCTACTTCGTGTAAGTTATATGATTGATTGCTTGGAATAGTTCCACTTACTCACTCTTAATCACACAATCAATCGATCAAACAGATAACCAATATGATTGGAATATTTGCAATATGTTATGATGGATTCCAGAATGGATTGAACACTTATGTCGCATTGATACCTGTTAGGATACTATGCTTCGCAATGTTGTTGTTCTCAATCACATTGAGTTTCCTCAAGAACAAGTCATATTACCAGCGATCCTACGTTCCACTGTTCCTCCTCTCCTTCACAATATTCTTCTTGACATTTGTATTGGAGTTCATTCAAACCTTCCAGACATTGATCCTCTTCCTCTATGGCATACTGCTGATCTCACTATATGCAGTTGGATGTCTGATGTTCCAGTGGCTACTGCTATTCAATGTCATACTCATACTCATATTCATGGTGTCACTGGGTGTCGTGCAGCCACTGACCAGCTCACACATGATCTCCTACTCAATGTACATATTCTTCCTGTTGCTCATGGGCTGCAGTCATCTCTACGTGTTGGAGAAGTACAGGAAACAATCATTCGTCTTTAGCAAGGAGTTGCAGAAGAAGGCCGAAAGACTCAAGTTGGAGAAGGCGCGATCCGACGAGCTGCTCTCCAATATCTTGCCAGACTTTGTCATCAAGATGATACGCGAGCTGCCCGTGCGCAGTCCGGTGCTGGGCTCCGATGGCCAGTTCCCACCACTCATCTCCAAGGACTTCCAGGACTGCACATTGTTGTACTGCGACATTGTCGAGTTCACCAGCTTGGCTTCGCGACTCGAGCCCTCGACGCTGGTGCGACTACTCAACGAAGTGTTTACAGAGTTTGATCGAATTGTCGAAGAGTTCAAATGTGAGAAGATCAAGACTGATGGCGATGCCTATCTCTGTGCTGGAGGACTCACCGTCGAGAATGAACAACATCTCCAGGCTATCATGGATGTTGCCATGTCTATTCTAAAGTCAAACATACTGCGGAACAACTGTTTGAATGCTCCCGTGAGTACACCAATCATCCAATCAATCAAATATGATCAATATACTAATCAATCAAACATGTCAACAGATAAAGATTAGAGTTGGAGTTGCGAGTGGATCAGTGATTGGAGGCGTGATTGGATGTGAGAAGTTTCAGTTTGATGTTTGGGGCGAGGCCATCGCCAAGGCACATACTTTGGAGGAATCTGGACAACCTGGAAAGATACATATTCTAAAGTGTGATTTGGATAAACTCAGGAACATCAATGATTACATCATAGAGGAGAATCCACAGGCACCTTTGAAGGAGCAATCATACTTCCTTACACCATCAACCGAGTTACTTATGCTCGGCTCATCAAACAACAACATCAACAATCAACAACATATACACTCAAACAATCAACAACAGCAACAACAGAATGTTCAAGACGGAAACTATCATCATGTCATATCATTTGGTGAGGTATCCGAGTTGAATCAATCGACTGCATCACTTCAATTGCAAAAGAATCATGCCACTACTACGACCGAGCAACCGAGAAGTATCAGTATGTTGTCAACTTATTGGCAAAGAGCCAAAAAGGCCATCTACGCCGAGGTCTGGCCAAAGTCGGTGGAGAATGCCGGACTGCATGGCGCATCATTGGGCGACGTGGAGATGGGCGACACCTCATCTAAGGAGTTGGCCGACGTCGACAGCCAGTTCAGCGAGTACACGCGCATCAACAAGTGGCTTGTACAATTTGAGAACATGGCAGTGGAGCGCAACTTCCATCGATACGTGATCAACAGCACCATACTGGAGACTCGCTTCTTCTTGTTCATTGGAATGATGCTACATGTCATTTTCTACTTTGATGATTACCTACTCCAATCCGAGCCAGTGCTCAATGCCAAGTTGGTGTATCTGATCATGATGATCGTCTTCATACTGTTCTTTGCGACATCACTCACGCCAACATTTGCCAAGCCCATCCTGTACCACATATTCTTTATCCTACTACTTGTAATGTTCTGTATCTGCACTCTACTGGAACTCATTCGATTGGACAACCCACTGGCACGATCGTCAGTCATCAGAGTCTGCTTCACACTATTCTATGCCAACGTATTCTACTCTCTCAACTTCATCTTTGTAATGCTACTCAATATCTTCATACTTGGTAAGTGGATTGTTGCTATTTTTAGCAATGTCACGTGACATACCAATCTGATCACGTGACATCAGTATTGTCACGTGACCTCAGTAATAATATTTCCTTATACTTACCTTCACTATCTTCACCATAATAGTATGCTTCTTTATCCTGTCAGTATTTGTATCTGGTACTATCCTGGAGCACTTGTATCCCACTGACTACCTTGGTATTATCTTGGTACTGGTCATACAGATATGTGCATCCTACTTGATGAAATTGGGCATGCGCAAGGCCTGGATCACCAAATCCAAGATCAAATTCAAAGGACTGACACTCCAGAAGGAACGTGAGCGTTCTGCCAACCTCCTGGAGAACATTCTAGTAAGTTATAGTCGATCAATGAATCAATCAATCAATCAATCAATCAATCAATCAATCAATCAATCAATCAATCAATCAATCAATCAATCAATCAATCAATCAATCAATATCTAACATCAAATACAGCCAAAGACAATATCCAAACAGTTGATGAAGGGCAGTGGAAATAAGCGAGGCGGAAGGATGATGATGATAGCCCACAACTATGATAATATTGCGATAATGTTTATCAATATTGTTGGATTCGAACAGATGATGATCCCAAGTGGTGGTACAACCCTGTTGTATTACATGAACTACATATTCACTCTGTTTGATGGATTGAGTGCCAAGTACGAGTTGGAGAAGATCAAGACCATTGGAACTACATACATGGTTGTGGCCGGTCTGAAGAAGCGTACTGAAGGACAGTCCGAGCGACATCACCTAGCCAACATGGCCAACATGGCGTTGATGGCCAAGGCATGTGTCAAACATCTCAACGCAGGACTCAATGTACAAGTTGGTATGAGCTATGGATGTTGCGTTGCCGGATGCATTGGAAACCGATCCAAGTTTGATGTCTGGGGAGACACAACCAATGTCGCCTCTCGCATGCAATCATCTGCACCATCTGGCAAGATTCAAGTTACCTCCGAGATTGGATCATTACTATCACCAGAGTTCTTTATTGAAGAACGTGGCATCATCACTGTCAAAGGCAAAGGTGAGATGAATACCTACTACATCACTGGACGCAAACAATCCGACCAAGATCTTCAGGTTGCCCCTACGCCCACACTCGTCTCATCCAAGTATGCCAGCTTCGAAGAAGACTTCTCCAAAGTATGGCCTTGCACCTAAAGTGATACAACATCCAATCAATGAACATGTTCATCTTCAGTCCTTATACATGTACAATTACTGCGAGGGTATGTCTGTGAGGGTATGTTAAGCGAGATTTTGTGAAGATTCACTATTTGATTTTTTTTTATTTAGAATGTGTGGGAGGTGTTCGGTTGTGAGAGGTCCTGTCGACTCTAAGCTCACTCACACACCTCGACTTCACTACCCTGCATGCACTTGTCTAAAGCTTTTACTCAAACACACATACATTCATTCATACATCATTCAACTTCATACTTATATTTATATTTATATATTTATATATAATCACATATTGTCTACAATCAACCTTTAGGTATTTATTGTAGTCATAGTTATATTTAATATATATTTATTTATTTATATATAAACAGAGAAAGAAAGAAAGAAAGAAAAACAAGAAAGCAATGAACAATATGAATATGAATACTATGAGCGGCATGAACAACATGAACATGGGAGGCATGGGCGGCATGAACAACATGGGCGGCCAAGGTGGCATGGGCCAAGGCGGTATGGGTGGTGGCATGGAGGAGGAGGGCTTCAAGGTCTTTGTCGGTCACATCCCACTCAACATGACAGAGCAGGAGATTGGTGAGATCTTCGAGAAGTACGGAGAGATCCTCGATATCTCAATCATCAAGGACAAGCGTTCAAACATCTCTAAGGGTATATATAGTTTCTCGTCATCTCAAACTCCCCGCCTAACAAACTCATTGCTAACATACACACATTCATACTCGTTATAGGATGTGCATTCATTACCTTTGCCACAAAGGATGTGGCCGATGTCGCCATGAACACCACCAACTCGTCAATGACATTCTTGGGAGATGTATGATTCAAACTCACTCGCAGACCAGGTCAATCAACCAGGATCACTCACAAACATTTAACTGACTCATCTTTGCGCGCGCTCGTCTACCTCTCAATCAATCACAACAAACATTCAAACACGATACATCAACAACAACAGCTCCACAAGCCATTGCAGGTCAAGTACTCGGACAACGAGATTGAGAAGATGGAGAGAAAGCTCTTCATTGGAATGCTCGGTAACGCTGACGAGGAGGCCATCACCGGCACCTTTGGTCAGTTTGGTGCCATTGAGGAGCTCACCATCGTCCGTGAGAAGGATGGCAAGCCAAAGGGATACGGATTCATCAAGTTCCAATCCAGAGAGGAGGCTGAGGAGTGCATCAGACAGCTTGACGGCAAGGCTACCCTTCCCGTAAGTAATCATTTACATGAATCGAATGAACGAACAAAGATGTGATCATATACTTACACTGTAACATACACACAGGGCTCGCTTAACCCAGTGATCGTCAGGTTCGCAGAGACCGAGAGACAGAAGCGCAAGAAGCAACAGCAACAGATGATGACCAACAACAACCAATGGGGTGGTGGTGGTGGTGGCAATGGTTTCTACCAGCCTCAGCAGCAGAAGCCTGTATGTTACCATTACTTCATTCACATCATTCAAACTGTTACTGACACCAAAGCACTCACTCAATAGTTCCCAATGTTTGGTGGATACAACAACCAGATGGGAGGTATGCAACAACCCAAGCAGCATCAACAACAGCAGCAGCAGCAGGACAATGGCTTTGGCAACCCACATTCAAACCCATTCAACAACTCTGGAAGATGTAAGATCTCGGTGGACCCTTGAATATCACATACCATACAGTGATCACTGACAACTCGTTTCACCTTTAAACAATCACTCATCTCTTTAGCTGGCGCTTTCCCAATGATGAAGCCAAGATACCCACGTCAGCAACAGTACAATGACGACCAGGGTCCAGAGTCCAACGACCTCTTTATTTACTATCTGCCACCATCATATGGTGACAACGAGCTTAGAGAACTGTTCCAGTCATTCGGTGAGGTCATCAGCGCCAAGGTCTACATTGACAAGGTTACCCAGCAATCCAAATGTTTTGGTAAGTCCTCCCCCTCATGACCAAGACCAGAAGAGAGTGATCACTTACTAACATATTCTGTCAATCAATCAAAATAGGTTTCGTCAGCTACAACAACACTCAGTCTGCCATCAACGCTATTAACAATATGAATGGATTCCAAATCGAAGGAAAGAAGCTGAAGGTCAACTTCAAGAAAGAGAGAAACTAAATCATTCAATCAATCAAACAATCAATCTATCACTCTCAAGAAAGACAACCATTCAATCTCATTCCAATCAATCAATCATTCATATCTCAGCCACCGCCATGCTTCATCATCAACAAGCCTCACTCACTTAGTCAACCTTGTATCATTATTCCACGCCCGCTCTGCCTGATCTAATCAATATTTATGTATTCCACCATCCATATTTATTTATTAATAATGATAACATCATCATCATCAATATAGGATATCGTATCTTCCCCTTCCCCAACACAGTCAGCCATTCTCTCTCCCCTCCATCCAGACAGCCAAGCCAGCCCTCTAGCCATCTAGCTTCCGACCTCCAACCAATAGCAAACTTCAAGCCTCGCTCGACATCCATATCATCATTCATTCAACTTCCTTTTTTTCCCCAATCGTTATTCATTCATCCAATCACATCTCCTTAGTCCAATCACCCAATAAACAAAGCAGGCATACACCTACCTACACCATCCTAGTATTATTATGATCATCACACAACATGTACAATCCATGTGGATTGATTGATTGGTCTGATATGCATATCAGACCAGACCCTGCCAACTTGCAATGATCAGTTGATAGATTGTATATCTTGACCAGGCTGGCACCTCCTACACCTCCTTCCTCCATTGTATATTACATTAATCACCAAGTATAAGAGCGAGCAGTTAACCGTGATGGAAAGATTGATTGATGATCCCATCAAACTTTGAATTTCGTGATTTTTGTAGTGTAGGACATTTAAAATGATTGGATACTCGAGCCATCAAGTGAGGAGTAGATTTGATTGAACACCATCAATCTAAACAATCCAATGTATGTTATTATAATCACATTCGGCAGAGTGATTGTATTTAAAGACCTTTGGGTTATGATCGTTAAAAGAAATCAGTGTGCAATAAGTAGCAATCTAAAGGCCAAATGACTTAGATCAGCCTTTTGTTGTAGGCCCAAGACGATTGACAACCCCCACAACCCCTCAAACCCTCAACCAACAACAACAATGTTGTTCCCCACTTACCACACTCACCACAACATAACATTACCCACACAACCGAATTGGCAATTCAATGTGTGTTGTTTGTCCAGTGAATTTGAGGTCATCTTGGTGTTGGGGGGTCCAGCCAAACCATGTTTGTTCAACGTTTCTCAAAGTCTCAGATGGGATGCGAGATGGGTTTTAGATCTTCCAAGGTTTGAAATGAGTGTAGACTAGCTGGTCCATTTCCTACTCATGGGCAACTGACCAAATGAAGTGGCCTTTATAAAGAGGGAGAGGTTCCTCAATTGTAGTATATGTACATTATCTGACACACGAATAACTTAAAACACTTATTGACACACATAAAATCATTCTTCGTCTCTTTTGAATAACATTATATATCTAACCTTCAACAAATACATTACATTAATTAATTTGTCATTATTGGATTGTCAATCAATCAATCTATAATATTATTATAATTAATAAATTAATAATTAGGATGATAACATCAAAATTAATTAATAATAATTTTATTTATATATTATTATTTATTAATTTATTACAAATAATAAATGCTCAACAAAGTATGTAATATCGATTCATTTCTTTTCGAAATCCAAAGTCCAAAGTCCATCAATATTAACACCATGTTTAATTATTCCATTATTTGATAGCATGCCATGGCCCTGATTCAGCACAAGGTTTGTTGAGTTGGAGTAATCCCTCGACATGGCCAAATAGTCAGGTACCTAGAGCAGGTGACTTTGTAGAGATTCAATCAGGAATGAATGTATTGTTGGATGTTAGTACTGCATCCTTGGCACAGATTTGGATTTATCCAAATGCCAAATTGATCTTCAGTTCCACCAATGGTCCAATCGAACTAACCACTGGTGGTATAATAATCGAAGGTGGTCTATACATTGGTGATGACAACTGTAGATACAATGGATCAGCCATAATCACACTTACTGGTATCGAAGGTACGTTATGGAACTACTCCAAAAATATTAATTAGTATTAACATTAATATTAATTATTATTATTTTTCATTATTTAGGTGTTGGATATATTGAAAAGAAATATGATATGCTTCAAAAATATATTGGAGTATTGCCAGGTGGAAAGTTGGAATTACATGGTATTTATAGTTATCCAATTCCAACTTGGGTATTCTTGACAAAGACTATAATGCAGAATGATACATTGTTGACATTGAGTCAAGATGTGTCAATGTGGCCAGTGGGTTCCAAGATAGCAATCGGTTCAACAGACTTTGATTACCTGCAATCCGAAGACAATGAGATCATCAAATGCTCCAACTGTGCCAAGAACCAACTGATGCTCAAACAGGGTGTCAAGCACTACCATTACGGCGAGATCACATATGGCGTTGACGAGCGAGCTGAAGTCGGCCTCCTGACCAAGACCATCCTCATCCGAGGCCAGACACAAGACAAGTGCAATGGATCAAAGTTATGCAGCTTCTTTGACTTTGACGGTTTTGGTGGCCACATCAAGGTGATCAAAGGATTTGGATCCGTTCACATTCAAGGTATCGAGGTCACCAAGATGGGCCAACTCTACAATCTTGGCTATTACCCCATTCACTTCCATATGTGTGGAGATGTCGATACTGGAGCATATGCTGCATGGCCTACATTCGTCAAGGATGTGTCAATCCATCATACATTGTCGCGTTGTCTGACCATCCATGGCACGAGCGGATTGATTGTGGTCAACAACTTTGCATTCGATCACTATGGCCATTGTTACTTCTTTGAAGATGGCTCTGAACAAAGGAATTACCTAGACTCTAATGTTGGACTCTTGACCAGGTTTGGCTACATCCTGCCATCTGATCGCTCGCCAGACCTTTGTACCTACCTCACGCCCAAGGACTACAATGGCTACGACCTGTCCCCTATCACATGTGACGCCGTGTCCACTTTCTGGATCACCAATCCCAACAATGTGTTCAAGAACAACATCGCTGGAGGCAGTGCCAAGGCTGGAATCTGGTACCTCTTCTCCGACCATCCAAGCGGGATGTCCACATCCATTTACCCAAACATCTTCCCGCCCTACACTGCATTGGGCGTCTTCTCCAACAACAAGGCACACTCCAACACTGACTCGGGTATGAATGTTGATCAAGCCCAGGTGTTGGCGACAGAGTCAAACTCATCCCCACTGCCAACAATGAGCATGACCTACTCGCGTTACAAGCCAAGGGTCGACCCGACCAACCCCGACTCGGCCATCGCCCCCGCCTTCTTCTACAAGTACGTGGCCTACAAGAATAAGTGGAGAGGACTATGGGCGCGCGGCGGCCAGATCAGCTTCCTGCAGTCACAGTTTGCCGACAATGCGATTGGCGCCACGCTGGCGGCCGAGGGTGTGATGCAGGCCGACCCAGGCACGTGGCAGAGCTTCATTGGCTGCAAGTTCATCGCCGAGACGGACAACATTGGCTCGACATCGAATGGCATCAATGTGTACAAGGGCCGCACCATCCCCGCGTGGCAACAGTTCAACCAGCGTGGCATGGAGCTGTACGACGGCCCTATGAACGTCCAATGGTCCGAGTTCATCAACTACAACTCTGATGGCGTGCGCAACATGTCGGCCATTGGCTTCTTCCTGTACGACTGGTGGAACATGGATCCCAAGTCCAAGTTCCAGGGCGTCAAGTTCACCAACACCAACTCGCGTGTCTTCCACTTGCAGTCGACAGAGGATGGCGTCAAGACTGAAGCCTTCCTGGACATTGACGGATCGGTGACGGGCACGGCTGGCGCGTCGGTCGTGCCAACCTCATCGGGCTACTTTAGCTCGCCACGTTGCGTGCCCAACGATCAGTGGCACATGAGCACATGCTACGAGAAGTTCTCCAACCTGTACATCTACAACATGGACATGGCCAACACCAAGTTCCCAGCGGGCAAGGCAGGCATTCTGATGGTGCGTGACCAGTATAGCAAGGACCGCAGCATGACACTGGCGGGCGTGCCCAACTCCAACCCCACCAACACGTTCATGCCGTTGGTGATGATTGGCCGCTCGTACACGTTGCACTTTGTTCATCCCAGTCCACCCAAGCTGCGTATCCAGATGACCAACTTTGACAAGGGCGACTCGGTGATCGTGGGCATCTGCTACCCAACTTGGGGCGTCAGCTTTGTCGTGGAGCGCAATACCGTGTTCACATGGCACACGTACGTCGCCCCAATGACCAAGGGCAACTCGATCGCCGACGTCAACGCGGACCCCCTGGGCAACACCTGGTTCTACGACTCGAACAGCGGCCTGTTGTTCCTTCGCTTCACTCAGAACAACACGCGTCCATGGAACTACTATTGTCCAAAGGAGGGCTGCGAGTCGCTCAACATTGTCGCGACTGGCTCGGGCTTGGGCACCAACACTGGCGACTGCACCAACGTGTATGGCGCTGGCGGTATGCTGAGCAACATCAGAGAGCAACCACTTGAGCTTGGTGGATGCAATGGTGATCCCACGCTCAAACTTGATCGTTGTAATATCTGTGGTGGCAATGGAACATTATGTGGTGGTGATGGAAGGCCCAACTCAGCCTCAAGCCTAAGTCCCTCGCACTTCACCATCATCATCTCCATCATCCCATCACTATTATTGTTATTTATATTTGTTATTTATTAATATATATATCTTATTATCAATGTCCTTATATCTAAATAAAGTAAAGCGTTTTGTGTTCATCATATTGATCGAGTGTGTGAGGCCTTTTTGATCAGATTTGGAGTGGTGGAGAAAAGTTGAAGGATTCTTGCAGGAGTGGGTCTATCAAGGACTTGTAATACACATAGATACCTACATTCATATACATATACAGATACAACAAGATGGCGACACAGAATGTATTGGATATAAAGTTAAAGAAGATTGATAAGATATATAAACCAGGTGTATGATCAATCGATCAATCAATCAATCATTCAATCAATCACACTCAACTAATCAATCATTCAATCCAATTCATTCAATTAGAATGCAGTATCAGGATATGTAGTGATCAGTACAAAGGAGGATATGTCACATAGTGGTGTTACATTGTCGGTGGAGGGAAGTGTACAGCTTCAACTGAGCTCAAAGAGTGTTGGTCTGTTTGAGGCATTCTACAACTCGCTCAAACCAATCACAATGCTTCACTATACATTCAACGTTGCACCAAGTGGCAAGTTCACGTCAGGTGTCACAGAGATACCATTCGAGTTCAACTTGGAGCCATTGCCAGGTCAGACACTATACGATACCTATCACGGTGTCTTTGTCAACATACAGTACACCATCAAGTGTGATATGAAGAGAGGTATCCTTTCAAAGGACCTTCAAAAGGCTGTGGAGTTTGTCGTCGAGACACAGGTATGTCTAGGCTGGTCTGGTCTGGTGCCCGTCTACTCATCATCATTGCTAACACAACAGGTCCACACACTTCTCATAGACACCAACCCAGTTGCTTGCCAAGGAGACAACACCTGTAAACTTTTTGATCACTCCAGACTCTTTGTCAAACTTTAAGAAGGTATGTTGGAATCATTCCAATCAATCAATCATCACGTCTTACTCACTCACTCACTCATTCGATCAATCAATCAATCAATTAAAGATATCCAAAGCAGATGTACCCAACTTTAGAGTATCTGGACAGCTCAAATCAGCCATTTGTCACATCAATGACGCATTCCAAGGCTATCTGTTGATTGAGTCGGCAGAGGCAGTCATCAGATCAATCGAGTTACAACTTGTTCGTGTAGAGACATGTGGATGTGCTGATGGTTTCGCCAAAGAGTGTAAGTTAGAGTGGATTGATTCATGGGATGGATGGACGTGTGACTCATACATCAAACAACAACAACAACAACATGTACAGTGACAGAGATACAGAACATACAGATTGGAGAAGGTGATATGTGCAGAGGATTGAAGATTCCAATTTGGATGGTGTTCCCAAGACTGTTCACATGTATCACTACAGCTGCCCGCACATTTAAGATTGAGTTTGAGGTCAATCTCGTTATTATGTTGGATGACGGTCATTTGATCACAGAGAATTTCCCAATCAAGTTGATCAGGAATTGATCGATGATCAATCCACCAACATCCATAACAACATCAATCAATCAATCAAACATGTGAGCGACTTTGTCCAATACCACTCAATCCGATTTCAATCACCAACGATGATGACTGGAATAGTTCCAATCAATCTATCAATCAATCATATATTCTTTGTACAACAGCCAAATATCCAACATCTGGCCAGCGCCCCTTCCTGTTGTGTCCAACACCTACCATACCCAACGGCATTGAATAAATCGCATTACAATGAGGTAGAATAGTTGTGTTTGTATTAATCAATCAATCAATCAATGAGAGGAGAAGTTGAGAAATCCATCATGTTTGACAACTTCCCAAGGTAAGAGGTGATGTTGGTATACAATTGGAATGAATATGACTGTCTTACTATTAGCAAACCAAGGACTAAACTATCAAAGTGAATCTTACTTACAGTGTTTGTCAAAGTAGTCACCTGGAGGATAAGGGGAATGCTCCACGATGTAGTTCTCCTTTCCCTTCTTCTTCAGATCACCATCATTAATTCTGAATGCCGATGCAACAGTGGACCAATCAATTTCACGACGAAATATCATAGCTGAATGAGTGTCAGAGTCTTTGAGGAATACTCTGACTTGTGCATCTCTGTCATCAGTTGGAGGATGGACTTGAGGATGAGCAAGATTGAATAAACGACTGATATTATAAGATACCAACTGCTCAAAAGTGGAGCGTCTTATAGTTAATCCATCTATGTTACAATTTGTTATTGATATTGTATCCATGTCATAGAAGGAAAGACCAAGGTACTCTACTAGTTGAGCAGGCGTTGTTTCATTTCTTTGAATTAAAGGTTCGGAAGATGCCATTAAGTTGTTAACAACCTCAAGATATATAATGTCAAATATGAAGTGAAGTATTTATGTACAACAACAAACTTAAGAAAAAAAGAAAAATCAAGATAGTATGATTTATTATTATTATTTATCAGACTGAGGAGGTGGAAAAGATAATATTAAAATCAACAATTATTGGTTCGAGGTAGTTACCATCACCGGCAACTTTGACATGTGGCCAAATAAACTCTAATTTTGAAACAAGGAAGCGAGAGAACTGTTGACAGTTGGACCTATAGCTCCAGATCGGACCATTTCCTCGTACAAACTCTGAGAACCAGTTTTCATTGACAGCTTTGCCAAGTTCAAAAGCCCATTTGTTTGGACTATGATGATAGATATTCTTGATCTTCCCCAATAGGAAATGGTCAATCATCTTATCCATATGGGAGGATAGATGACCATGGAGGGGTATGACCTCCTTTCTTTCATCTGCTGTCATGTGGAGCATAAGGCCCCTTGGAGTTCCACTTGAAGATTCCCCTGCAACATCTATTAATAGAGCATAATGGGCGAGATTGAATTCTATTTCCAAAGATTGAGTATATTTACTACCTGAACGAAAACGAAGAAGATAGACGTCTCCTACTCTTAATGGATCAACAATGGTATTAGGATAAAAATATTGAATATTCATTTTATATATCTCTATTAAATTTTTATATAAAAATAACTATTCATTGTTTGTTCAACTAAGGACAAAGGTCTCTATTTTATTTGAAGATTATTAGTTTTTTTATAAAGTTTAGATACACTTCAAAATTTTTTTTTAAATCTTGGAACACATGAAAATAATAAATGGAACTTCTATTGGTTGTTTAGAGAATAAATAAAACTTCTGAGATTCCTAAATATCTCAGAGTTATAATCTCCAAGGAAGGGTCAAACTTGTTCCAAAGTTTCATTCCAAGAATAATTGTAACATCCTAGACACCAATAGATATTTGATCAATAAAATGGAAAAAAGACTTAAGTGTGGGGTTTCACCACAAAACTAAAAATAAATTGGTCATTGATCATTCAATGAGAGTCTGGATGATTCAGGAGTCTGGAGAGGGTACATCCTCATGATCCAAGATGTAACCCAGATTATTATTTGATAAAGGTATTTTCGAGCTTAAGGATCACTACTCTTTTTTTTATTAAAGTCAATGGTCAATCATTTATAGTCTTACCATCCAATTCATTCAAATCAAATATCTATCTATAAAAATAATGAATAGTATAATATCCTTATTATTGTTGTCCATTACAATCTCAATTGTAAATGCAAATACTGGAACAATACAATCATCCAGCTTATTTAATACAATATCAAACAATATATTGATTAGAGATGTCCATCAACAATGTACTGATGATATCCAGAACCTTCTGAGTTTCAAGAATCCTTCAAATGATATCCAAAGTAAGAAAAGAATATTTTAATATTATGAATTTATTAATATATATATTAATAATAATATTTTTAATTATTAGTGATGATGTCAACTGGAAGAGGTGCATCAGACCTTGGTAATATTGATACATGCCTTGGTTTACCATCCAATGTTTCACATTATTGTATCTATCAATCGTCAATCAACAATCAGTATTCTTATATGATTGGAGTGTGTTTCCCACCAAGTTGTAACACCACTGATGACTTGTCCGCTGCCATAATGATGATGGCCTCCAACGCTCAGATTCTTGTATTCCCTGGCAACAACTCAGTTAGTCAATGTTATAACAACTATAACAATGTTACAGTCAAGTCTTGGACTGCTGGCTCAATCATAATGCTTTGTGTCTGTGTCTTCTTTGCGATGATAGTACTTGTTGGTACAGCCCTTGAATACTTCAAGTCCCCTGGTGAATCAACTTCAAAATCTATCAATTTCAATCAATATAATAATATGGAGAAGGATTCAATACCTTTGATGGAATCATACCAGAGAAACATTGATATGCCGAGCAAGTCAAATGACTCCAATCATACATGGTCAACCTTCGAATCGATATTTGTGGCCTTCTCATTGATCTCAAACATCAAGTCATTCTCACGAATTGTGGTACCAAGTAGTGGCAATCGCTTTGATGCGCTCGATGGAATAAGGACGTTTGCAACATGTTGGGTTGTCCTTGGACACTCACTTCAATATGCAATGTCCCCTGGTATGGACAACGCATCGTACGTGTTCAAAGAGATATACCCTCGGTTTACATTCCAGGTGATACCCTCTGGAGAGTACGCAGTCGACATCTTCTTCATGCTCAGTGGATTCCTGGTTGCCAACACCGTCCTCACACAGCTCGACAAGTTGGAGGACACTGGCAGGTCGTCTGGCCCAATCATCTGGATCAAATACATTATCCATCGCTTCATCCGTCTCTCACCTCTTCTCTACTTCCTCATTTTCGTTGTCTGGCTCCTCTCACCCATGCTTGGCAGTGGACCGCTGTGGTACCAATCATCAATCAACTCTGGATGTTCAGAATACTGGTGGTCCAACCTGCTCTACATCAACAACCTTTACCCTGGAGTCGGCCAGTGTATGGACTGGACATGGTATCTTGCTAACGACATGCAGTACTACTTGCTAGCACCATTCGTATTGGTGGCCTTCCACAAATTCAAACCTGCTGGTTATGTATTTGTAATGGTGATCTTGGCGGTCTGCTTCACTTCTAGCATATGGATCTACATGACCTTCCCAATGTTCACAATGACCAGTGGTAACTCAACAGACTACCTCAACAAAATATATTATAAGCCATGGACTAGGATTGGACCTTATGCTGTGGGCCTTGCAGTGGCCATGCTCTACCGAAGTGAAAAGACCAAGAACATGTATGATCGTCGGTGGTTCAGATACATGGCCTACCTGTTGGCATTTGGAATCACATCAGTCTTTACCTACATCCCCTACTTCATGATCAAGCGCACACCCGACCAGGTCTGGAGTGCAATCATCAACACCCTCTCTCACACATTGTTCACTTCTGCCCTTGCATTGTTTTTGATGGCAACCTTTTATGGACATGGAGGRAGTAGTATCGATGTTCTTGGGCATGCCATTATTCAAGTACTTCTCCAAACTCACCTACTCTACTTATCTTATGCATCCCATTGTGATACATACCTATATGTACTCAGTTGGTACTTTGTTCCACTACACTGACATTGGCTTCGCATGGTTGTTCATTGGCAATGTCATTATGTCATTTGCTGCAGCATTTGTGGTTCACTTGACCATCGAGAAACCTTTCGTTAGTCTTGAACGACTCATATTCCCAGGAATGAAAGGGTCAAAGTCATCCATAATAAACACTTAATACTATAAAAGTAAATAAGACCTATATAGGTCCATTGTCACATCTCAAACTTTCATTCATACTGTATTTGTTGTAATATTACAACACCAACAAATACACATTAATGAGTTCACAAAACAAAGTACCAAGGAAAGTCATTTCCTCGAAAGAGACGATTCTTGGTAGAGCTCGAACCAAGTACATGGATACAATCGTAAAACTGGCCAAGGAATGTAAACAAGCTGACACTGAGTTGGAGAGTCTTTGCAATTAGAGAATGGTACTACCCCCACTTGGGATGAAAGCACGATGAGAAGACCAAGAACATGTATGACCGTCCCTGGTTCAGATACCTGGCCTCCATGTTGTCATTTGGAATCACATCCAAGTTGAACTATTTGATCGTTGATGTTATTCCTTTTGAGAATGAACAGACATAAATGAATAAGTGCTGTGGTTGTGGTGGAAGTTGTTCATGCTTATCTACTACTATTTGCTTCCATACATCTTGGTGTGATTGAAACCACAACCATATTAATATACTACTATTTGCTTCCATACATCCTTGTATGATCAACCATTTAACAAGTTGTTGAAGTCTACATCGAAGATTGAATGATTGATCAAACTCTTTAGATTTCATTGTTTATTCAATCTTGTTTATCTGCAATTCCATGGATTTAGAAATACAAGGAAAATCAGTTATACAATTCTATCATCAACAACAATTAGATCAAACTGTTACCAACATAAGAGTAAAGAAAGACGATTGTATAGGATTATTAAATGCAGTATGCTTTAAATATAGATTTAAAGAGATCTCGAGGACTATCTTAAAATGTGAACTCTCAAGAATGTTTGATGATGACATCTCTGATTTCTATTCGGATGTTATGGACAATCTTGGAGATACTAGATATCGTCCTCCAGACATGGTGGTATATTCCATGGACTTGATCAAGAGAACCATTGATATATTACTTCAATACAAGGAGGAGTACATGGAGGAATTGTCAAAGAGAAACATAAGGTATAAAATGTTGGTATTGACACCAAAGTAAACTTTGGTTAAGCTTGACAAAGTATTAATACTTTGTCACCGAAGTAAACAATATAATAATACTGGAAAGGTCAATAGTAATAGCCAAAGTATTAAACTAAACAAGGGAAACAAATAATTGAGGAGGGTTTGAAAACAATATAGTTGATGTGAGTCGCTCAAACTTCTACAACAAAGAACGATAGTTATGTTAGAAAGCAAATCATCTGGGACTCTCTACAGCAATGACAACGACAACAATGTAGTAGTCGATTACATTGATGTTGGTCATGATGACGATGTTGACAACCAGCAATTGAACAGTAATGACATTGTACCATTACAACATCAACAACAACAACAACAAGTCAAGGATGTTGTCTCTGAAGTCACATCCAGAGAGTTGACAAACACACTGTTGCACTATCTTCAATCAATCGGTATACAAGAGTCAATCATTCAACAACTCAACTCTGACATGAAGCGTGTCACCGACAATGTGTACACGGCACAAGCACCATCTGATGCCACCAACGCCACCTCAACGTCAACAGCACTATCATCCATCTTTGAGTTCCATCAACATACCTCCCAATACTTGGCGAAACTAAAGGTTAGTCAATCATCAATCACCCAAGAGTGAGCGAATGACTCACTGACTAACCCTCAATCGACACGACTCACACTTAGACTCTCTATCATACTCATTCAATGGATCGCTTTGGAAAGGCAGCAGCGCGAAAGAGGTTCCGCACGGTGGAGCCAGACGCATACCATTATAAACATACAACGGCAGTCGATCAACAATTAGAGTCATCAAATGCTGTACAGATCACGGCGTCCAAGGCAGAGATTGGTAGACGCATTGAGAGCTTCACAAGCAGGAAGAAGTTGGACAACTCTGACTTTAACACGCGAGAGTTTAGGTTCGACCCTGGTGGCGAGGCCGTCCTAGACAACAGTGCAAGGACTCATCCACTGCCACCCTCAAAGATCAAAGAGACGAGGACCTCCAATCAAGAGGGACCCCTAGTGATCAGCGACCAAGAGCGTGAAGCAATGAAGTACAAGCCCTACATTGATGAGAGGACAACCATCGTCGAGACACACATTGGTATATGTATGTATCACTTGATTGCAATGATTGCGTGATTGTATTAACATACCTCTCTAGTGCCAGCCACATCACATGATCTATGCGATAGGATCAAACGAATAGAGGACAAGATCATGGAGATTGAGACAAAGGATCCAAACTTCTTCAAGCAACTGTATGAGGCTAGACAAAAGGCCAACCTCACTATTGATCATCATCATCAACCTGGTGCGACTACATCATCATCGACATCAACATCGACATCACAAACAACAACAAAGAGTAATAGCAAGACCAAGTCATGATCGTCAATCCATTCATCATCAATGTATTATTTCGCTACGACCATTACAGAGACTCCTGGACATAGGTCAGCATCGACCAAAGTGGCACTATCATCAGAGTACACACGAGCTGGAGCGTTGGTCACAATGTCATACTCAACATCTCGCATCAAGTCCTTCGAATCGATAAACTCTCTCAAGTCCTGTTACGTTTGATCAACGTTAGATGGTTAGCGATGTGGCCACTACTCGACTCGACACGACTCGAATCATACCTGGACCTTGTCAGTGTACATAAACTTCCTGGTCAGACACGCTCCACTTGGGAACCTTATCTGGATCCTTGTGATATCGCCCTCAGTCGGTTCAGGCTTGAGGTTATCGCGCAGTTCTTGTATCCTCTGTATCCTCCTTTCCTTCTCGTCAGCATCCATTAACTTTTGTAGCATCCTCTCTTGCTTCTCATCTCTGTCCTCATCAGTCTGCAGTGAATGCTCATACTCAATGTTCAGTTGACGTATTGCCAATTCCAACTTCTTCCTTGCCTCCCAATCCAATGAGTTTTGATTCGAGGCCGGAGTAGTGACTACATCTCCTTTCAATGTCCTTCCAGTCTTTGTCTTTGTCTTTTTGTTGTCATCTTTTATAGTTGGCTCCAACTCTATTGATTGTGACAATAACTTCTCCTCCAACTTCTTCCTTGTCTTTACAATACTATCTCTTGTAAGATTATATTGTTCAGCCTGTTTATCATTTATAAGTTGTTTTCTTGCATCATTTAACTCATTACTCTCTATGTATATATATTGTAATATAGTGAGTCATGTATCGTGCCATGTCAGCTGACAGAGTGATTGATAGATAAACATACTCTTGGAGAATTTAATCTGTCTGTTCTTCCTATTCTTAAAGTATGGAACTACCAACTCAAGATAAAAGGTAACCAGTAATGCAATAAAGATTAACAATCCAATTGATTGAAAGAATGATATCATCTTCTCTTTAAGTATGTATGTTTGTAAGTATATATGAAAGATATAATTATATGTACAAGTAGGTTATTTACAACAATCAAAGATTGAATGATTGATTGAATGTATGAATGAATGAGTGGATGATGACCCTTTAGGTCCCATGAAGGACCACTTCCCCTCTCCCCACGAACCAAAATGATTGTGGTCAGTCCAACTACCACTCTGTCGACATCCGGATGTTGGAGCTGACGCAAGGGTTGTTGCAGCTGACGCGAGGGTAGTGTATCTCTATCTATCATGAATGTTGTGTTGAAGTATCATCCTGCATTGATTGCTGACTGTCCAAACTAATCTAATCTAAACTATTAGTTAGCTCGCTTATTGGCTCGCTCAATCGTTGGCATAAGACCAAAAAAAGAGGACATGTTAATGTTTATATATAATGTATACTGTGTCTGTGAATGAATGAATGAATGAATGAATGAGAGGGAGGGATTAATGTGATTCGGACTTGGGCACAGAGTCAAACTTGATCTCTGGCTCTGCAGAGGTGATTGACTTGGCAGAGGGGGCTGGTGTGGTGGCATTAGCCTGCTTTGATCTTGGACAAACAACACTGCTTCCGCGACAAGCCATTCTTCCTCTTGTGCAATCGTTAACGCCCATTCCCAGACCAATACCTGCTCCAAACACCATGAATGTTCCAACAACCTTTAACTTGCTTGCTATATATTTGATTCGATTGATTGGTCAAATGAATGATTGAATGATTGATCGAAATGATTGATTGAATGTTTGGTCAAAGGTTCGAGAGTGTTAGCAAGGTGGTAGTTATTTAGTCACAGCAGTCAGAACATGTTGTTACGTACTGAACAGCAACAGACCCAGTGGAGCCAAAGCACCGTATGTAGTCTTCTTGAGGACAGATTCGACGCAACGCTCTGTGTTGTGAATCAATTTCAAATCATCTGGGTTGGGAGTAGTAGCAGCAGTTGTGTTGTCCGACATGTTTATATCTATCTAATCTATCTATCTCTGTCTTGTCAATTCAATGTCTAGTTTGGTTTGAAACATGTGTGTGAGAACATCATAATGACAAGACACTGAACAACACCACCACACCCGACACTCTCTTCCACATGTTGCGAAGATGAAGACCACAATGTTTTTTCATGAACTTCATTCTAATTATCCCTATCTTTGTTGATGAATGAGTTTATCTCTATCAATCCCTCCCTGTGTACTATCCTATTATAGCATTCACAACGAACGGACAATATAGTTATATTCATATTAGTATACTCTTTTACAATTTTGGTATATTCTATGTTTACAAAAAGGTATTGTTCCATTGCCTAAATAATAAATAGGTTTTAAGTTATTGACCTACCAACAATCAAATCAACCAAATAGACCATATTGATTGGATACTACCCCCACGTCATCCATTCAGAGAATGAAGTGATTGGTTGTTTTGTTTGGTTGTTAGAAAGGTGTGTGTTTGTTCGTGAGTTAATACCCCTTCCCAACTTTAACAACTCTAACAACTCTGTCAATCAAACAACTACAACTATCTTTGCATTCTATTCTAATCATTTATATACATACAATTAAATACTTATAAAGAGATAGATACAAATAAATAGATATATAATGTCAACAAAATCAAAGGATATTGATCAGAAGGAACAGGAGGATGATGAAATGGATGGACATCCAGATAACTTGGATCAGAACACTATGGAGGGCGGTCAAGGATCAACTAGATTGATACTTAGTATTGATGGTGGAGGTATGCGTGGTCTTATTGCCCTCCAACTAATAAGATACCTTCATGATCATCTTGGTATTGACTTGGTCGAGAAGGCTGACTTGGTCGGAGGTACATCCACTGGCGCATTGCTCACATTCGCCAAGATCAAGGGATTGTCCTACCAAGAGATTGAAGACACCTACAAGAGTATGGGTAAGATTATATTCGGTGGATTCTTCAAGAAGATGCTCAACTTTGCAAGATACCTATGCTTTGGTGACATGGCTGCCTATGAGAATGAGCTTCAACGAATCTTTGGTGATGGACTCATGGGCAACTTCCATCAAGATCACAAGATGTTCTTGCTTACATCCAGTCTGGCAAAGGATGATATCAACTACATCACAACAATCATTTCAAACTACAACTCCAAGGACAAGGACATCAAGCTGGTCCAGGGGATGAGGGCAACATCAGCCGCGCCACCATACTTCTCTTCAACACAATTTGACAACAAACGATTCGTGGACGGTGGCATCCTGGCCAACAACCCAATAGTCAAGGCCAAGCAAGAGGCAGACAACATGTACAAAATAGGCACCAAGTTGATCTTTGTCTCAGTGGGCACAGGCCACGTATTGAATCGTGCCACATCAGACGACAGCTCAATGTCCTTGGCCAACACGCTGGTCAACTGCATCGCCAACTCACACTCAATACACAAGGACTTCAAACAAGCGGTTGACAATAATCCATACATCAGTTATCATCGCTTTGACGTCCTACTCGATCGTCACATTGGACTGGACGATCATAGTGAGGCAGCCTACAAAGCGATGGACCAGGTTGTCAAGGAGTACCTGGCTGATGACAAGACAAAGGAGAAGATGGACAACCTCAAGAAGGACCTTGAAGAGATGATACAACCAGGCACAACTCAAGCCTGAATCGGATAGTACCTATAACTACAATGTATAAAGATTAGAATAGTTTATTTACTGATTTGGACGACGACTCTACCCTCCTCGGTCGACTTGTCCCAGGTGGACTCAATGTCCTCGAGCGGCGAGACAAAGATGGGCACCTTGAGCCTGCCCTCGCGGTTCTCCTTGAGCAGTTGGTTGATGTTTTCATTGATGAATAGCTCGATACCATTGGCTGGGTAGCTGCCGAATCCAGATCCCATGAGCTCAATGCCCGTGCTTCTAAGTGTAGCGGACTTGATGTTGATTGTTGGTCCGGCCATCTCACCGACTGTCACTATCCTTGTGCGATGGTGACCAGCGCCACTCGTGCTCAATGCAGTTATAATGAGTTCCAATGGTTTGCTGTATAGATAGTCGATCACAATGTCGATGGGAGTTGTCTTGTGTAGTTGTTTGAACTGATCGATCAACACATCATCGGGTTGATCAATCTTGAAAACTTGGTCCGCACCAAGTTCCTCCTTCAACTCTTTGAGTGCGGTCTCATTGCGACCAGTTGCGTACACCTTTGATGCGCCATACAGTCTCGCCAGCTGAACGGCCAGCTTGCCAGTGAATCCCGTTGCACCATTGATCAGCACGACGTCGTTGGGCTTGATCTGAGCACGCTCCTTCAATGCCATCGCAGCTCCGAGTACAGCGTTGGGGAGGGCAGCGGCCACCTGAGGATCAGAGCCCTTGTCCAACACAGTCCACTTGTTCTTTGTGACCACTGCCTTCTCTGCAAGCATTCCAGTGATACCCATTGCATAGATGAGTGTACCGTCGTCCAACTGAGCGACTCCGTCCACGCCAACGGTACAAGGGAATTCCTTATAAGCCAAATAATGTTTACCATTAGCCTTTGAACGATCCAATTGTTTGATCGTCGATGTCAACACCTTTACAACCACCTGTTGATCATTAGCTGGTGTAGGTACAACAAAGTCACTAACAAACTTTGGTGATCCCAATTTATATAGTACTGCAGCTCTCATTATTATTATTATTTAGATATATATATATTATTAGTATTTGATTGAATGAATATCTAACTTTGTACAAGATAGTTATATTTATAGTTATTATTAATTAAACATACTCGTGAGTTAATGATGATTATGATTCATAATAATGGAGATCGAGTGGATGGTGAAGTTGAAGATTCAACAATGTGCTGAATCTGACTGAATGGATGCATGAAGTGGGGTATGGAGAAGACATCTGACTCGCGACTTTTGGTTCCTGAATGCGTTCTCCACACCCACATTTATGACATATTTTGGGACTAGCATCAAAGGGGGTTGATCAGATCAATTTCCGGAACATGATCTTTTGGTTCCTGAATCATCCAAATAGTATAAATCCGATTGTAGACTATTCTTAATAATATTTTGGAATCAAACTCAGGAACCATACTTTATTATTATAAATAACTCTACAATTAAATAGTAAAATGTATATCAATTCAATCAAGCAATCAAACAAATAATATAATCAAATAATCATCAATCAAACAATAATAATAATGTCACCAAATATTAGAGAGAACCTTAATACTATACTAAAGGGTATCCAGGATAATAAGATACTTGAGGTATTCGATAAATATTATCACAATAATGTTGTGATGTATGAGAAGGGTGATTCAACCAATCGTGTTGGAAAGGATGCAAATAGAAAGTCTGAACAATCATTTGTCGACAATGCCACTATCCATGAGGCCAAAGGTATATATATATATATAATTAACATGACCTTAATCAATCAATAATAATATTAACTCCTTTATTCGCATAGTCTTGAAGATATTGGTCGATGGCAATAACACTGCTTATGAGATGTACATGGACTTTACCTATGGAGGTCATAATGTTAAGAAGACCCAATGGGCCATCCAACAATGGCAGGATGGTTTGGTGATCAAGGAGGAGTTCTACTAATCTAGTAACTCACTCTATCTTACTGGAATCATTCCACTCATTCAATCACACTCACTCATTCATTCATTCTATCATTCCAATAAATGTAAATAAGGAATAATCCCAATTTAAATATTGTCCTATCCAACAAGATTTATACTAAACTCTCTCCTTTCGATATGATAAAGTGCTTGATAAAGTCTGCTTTCTTCTTGACGATGATGGCGTCGGTGGTCTGTTGAGATTGTGGTGATGTTGGACTTGGTCGTAGTAGTACAGTGGAGAATACAATGGCCAGTTGATCAGCCGTCAGTTTGTTCTCCTGCTGGTGCGTCAACACTTCGGCCAAGAAGGACATTAGGTAGAAGAACACGTTGTAGTTTACAGATGGCAGATGAGAGATCAGCGTCTTGCAGGCCAGCGCCGACGACGACGCGTCCAGCGCCTGCTGGTACATGTTGTAGGGCACGACGGGCTCCACCAGGTACTCAAAGAAACGGATCAAACACTCGGCCATCGAGTGGATGCCGCTGTGGAACGGCAGGGGTGTGCCGCGGTCGATGGCTTCGACGATGGCCTCCATCTCCTTGTTGACAGCCGACTCGAGGAAGAGTGACTCTTCGCGCATTCCATTGGAGTAGATGTGATCGATCATGCGCCAGATCTCCTTGGGTATCGACAGCTTCTTCTGCTCGATGGGGATGGGTGCGCCGGTGAGGATGGGCGTTGGGTAGCGCACGAGGTTGTCCAGCGAGTTGCCCATGAACGTGTGCTGGAACTTGCCCGAGATTGAGATGAAGTAGTCCTTGCCATTCTCCAAATGCAGGATCAGGATGTCGTCCATCGATTCGTTGAGCACGTTGAGCGGGCCCGATGTGTTGGAGTCAACAAACACAGTGAGCTCAATGGTGATCTTCTCCTTGGGTATCATCATGCCGGCGATTGGCGAGATCTTGAGCCATGGCCGACAGAGTATGCGCTCGTCTAGCTTGGGAATGAATTTGAATCGCGCGATTACCTGGCCAATGTTCTCGATGACGATCTGTCGCGTGACGGGCACCATGAAGCGCACTGTTCCAAAGTCGATGCTGTTGGTGTTGATGTTCGCGTCGGGCATGGCGTCGTTCTCCTTTTTGTCCAACTCTTTGACGATCTCTTGGTAGATACGTGCGCGTGCCTCGGGGATGACAACGCGCACCTTGATAATGAATGATCCAGACACTGGTCTATGATCGGAGGAGAGTAGTTCATGTCGCTTGTACGCCAAGATACCGACGTTCTCGGCAGTCTTTGATGTCTTCCAGAGGATACGGTCACACCATGCTGGCGTACGCTTCTTCTCGCTCGAGTCATAATCGTTGGTGCCTGGGTCGTACTTGTAGGTGGGGGCGAAGCTTATTGGAGGCTCCTGGAAGCCCTCGAACGCTGCGCCATTCTTCATCTGGAGGTACAACTGATCGTGCAGGAACAAGTTATAAAAGTCCTTCTGTATAATGCTGTCCTTGACCTCCTGATCTGGCAGAGGTACTCTATAATTCAAGTCTCCAATCCAAAAGAGTTGACTATTTGATTGATTGAGTGAGTGGAATGGTCCCAGTACCGGACTAATCATGTGACAATGAAGTGACGTTGGCTAACTTACTCGTGATCGTATATATTGATGAATGAACCGTCAGAGTCACTGATGAACTTGAGTGTTCTTGAGATATCCTTTTGATCTTGATTCCTACGCATGACATTCTCCATGTGAGCATTGAGATGTGAGTTGATGATGCAGATTGATGTGTTGTAGAATTGGAAACGGATGGCCACGCCACCCTTGTTGCCCATCATGCCCATGATGCCCACGGCGGCAATGTCCGACTGCACATGGGTGATGTTCTTCAAATGCTCCTTCTTGACGTAGACGCACAGCAGGATGCCGACGAGTTGACGACTGAGCAGCTTCACATAGTCGCCCTGTTGTGCCAATGTCTGTTGGATGGCCTGCTCCCACGGGGCAGCGCGCGTAGTGTCGCCCAGCAGCAGAGCCTCAGCCGTCAGGTCGAGCTCTTGGAAGCCAATCGCGTAGATGTCTGGGCGCATTGATGATGCGCCGCCCGTCGACAGGCCGTCCGCGCCACCGCTGCCCGGCTCGAGCCAGGCGTCCAGCGGCTCAGACGGCTTCTTTCCATTGACATTCCAAGTGCCTAAAAAGATGACCATATTGTCCTTCTTTGTGTACTCTGGTTCGCGCTCCTTCAACTTGTTCGATATCCACTGACTGCTAATATCCGTTGGTTTGTGTGCAATAGGCGGCAGTGGCTTCTGATACTGATGTGCAATAGCGCCACTCAACTCCATTGCTTTGATTGATGTATTCGATACTCCATCTAAGTAAGGGTCATTGTTGTAGGTGGTGTATCAGTATCACATGATTGAATGATTGATTGATTGAATGAATGATGTCATACCTTCGTTATTGTTATTTGACAGTTGTGGACTTGTTGAGGCTATTGGTGGTGAAGATGATGTTGATGAAGGGGATGAAGTATGTCCATTCTGTGTCGTTGCTGCTGATGCTGTAGTAGTTGATGTTGTTGATGGTGATGTAGAAGTAGCAGCAGCAGCGCTATCAGTTGTCATCTTCTACTAACTTGTACTTGTTGAGGTTGTAGTTGTAATTGTAATAGTAGTAATGTGTGTAGTATGTCCCGGGTTGATTGATTGAATGATAGAATGAATGAATCGAGTTGGATAATTTATTGATGGGTGTGTGGGTCGTTGAAGCTTGATGTAGTTGGGTCTCATTCACTAACTTGTTGTAAAAACAGATATTTAGTGAAAGAAGAACATGGTGCATTGATGAGGTCAACAATTATGACAAATATTCAATGAAGGATTGTGCCAAAAGAGTATGATGCGACAACATCAACCAGGATCTACTCCTACACTCCACTACTCTTTATTTTAAACTTAGCCAATGATATCATTTATTTATACAAGTTATTCGAATCATAATGTTGTCATCTAGTATTACAACATACAAAGATTAGTGATCATTATTGTTTTTGAACCTAGCTCTAACCCTTGCCCTAACCCTTGCCCTCGCTAGAGACTTGAAAGTGTTGACAACCCTCAACCCTCGATTTTTTTTCTTTTTTTCTCACCAACCTTGCAAGCACATCAATGAACTTGAGTTTCAAACACTTTCGCCTTGCATTCAACTCTATCATTACCCTTCAAAGTGCACTCAGAAGTACCAAAGTAACAGCAGCAGCAACAGCTACATATATTATCAACAACAACAACAATGCCTACCGTTCAAGTATTGAGAGATCCACTCTTCAAGTCATTGGGAAAGACTTATAGTAGGTTTTAATCAACGATTGAATGAACGAATGAATGAATGAGTGAGCGAGCGAACGAAGCGATGGCACAGAGTCTGACATGACACGAACAATCAATCAATAATTTATAGCCGATCATGAGTTTGATGAACTTTGCTTTGCTTATGGTATCGAGTTGGACGAGGTTACCTCTGAGAGAAAGCTAATCTTGAAGGAGACTGGTGTCGATGATCCAAATGCATCCGATGAGACAATGTACAAGATCGATGTGCCTGCCAACAGATACGACCTGCTCTGTCTGGAGGGTCTGTCTCGCTCGCTCAAGGTCTACGGACAGAACACACCAATCCCTCGCTACACCATCGTGCCACCACCCGCCGGCCAGACGCACCAGAAGCTCATCGTCACGCCAGAGACCAAGAGCGTGCGTCCCATCGTCGTGTGCGGTGTGTTGCGCGATATCACCTTTACCGAACAGACCTACAAGAGCTTCATCGATCTCCAGGAGAAGCTGCACCAGAACATCTGCAAGAAGAGAGTGCTGGTGTCCATTGGTACACACGACCTCGACACAATCAAGGGTCCATTCTATTACAAGGCATTGCCACCAAAGGATATCAAGTTCGTCCCCTTATCACAGACTAAGGAGTTTGATGCCGTCGAGTTGTTCGATCATTATGATGTAAGTTAATGTCCTCGCGAGGCATCACTCACTTACTCACTCACTTGATCAATCGATCGAACACTTGGAACCTTTGGACACATACAGAAAACAAGCTCTCATTTGAAGAAGTACTTGCCAATCATTCAGAACTCCCCATTGTATCCAGCCATCTATGATTCAAACAACACTCTCCTGTCACTTCCACCAATCATCAATGGAGATCACAGCAAGATCACGCTCAACACCAAGAACGTCTTCTTTGAGGTCACCGCCATCGACACCACCAAGGCCAACATCGTCCTCAACATCATGATGACCATGTTCTCAGAGTACTGTGCCAAGCCATTCACGTATGTCATCACTCATCCACGTCCAATCATTCAATCATTCACCAACTAACAATCAATCAATCATATATAGTTTGGAGCAGGTTGAGGTTGTTGGAGTTGATGGAAAGTCTGAGCTCACACCACATATTGAGGAGAAGGAGATCCAGGCATCGACAAAGTTCATCAACAACACTGCTGGTATCAATCTGACACCTCAGGAGATGGTGACGATGTTGCAGCGCATGTCGCTCACATCCGTGTTGAGTGCTGACAACGAGTCGCTCAGCGTGTCGGTGCCCGCCACCAGAAGCGACATCATTCATCAATGCGACATCATGGAGGACGTGGCCATTGGCTACGGCTACAACAACATTGAGCGCGTCGTCCCCACCGTCGCCACCAATGGTCGCGTGCAGCCCATCAACAAGATCTCTGAGCTGCTGGCCAACGAGGTTGCCCTTGCCGGCTACACCGAGATCATGACCTTTGTCCTGTGTTCCAACAAGGACAACTTTGCACTGATCAACAGACCCGACGACAACTCGAGTGTAAAGATTGCCAACGGTCTGACCGAGGATTTCTCCGAAGTCAGAGTCAGTCTGATCAGCACCCTCCTAAAGAGCATCGTCTCCAACAAGGCACACGCTCTTCCACTCAAGTTGTTCGAGGTTAGCGATGTCACTGTCAAGGCCAAGAACACCAACACGTAAGTCACCGCCGTCGATCAATCACTCGTACACTTACACTAACATAATCAATCAATCAATTACAGTGACTTGTCAGACCCATTCACCAACAACAGCGATACAGGCGCACTCAACAAGAGAATGCTTGGAGCAATCTATTGCAACCATTCGGCCAAGCTGGAGGTGATCCACGGTCTGTTGGACAAGCTGATGAACTCGTTGAAGATCAAGCATGATCAGGCACGTGTTGGCAAGGGTTACCAGCTGGTGTTGTCATCGGACAAGCTCTTCATGGATGGTATGGGCGTTGACATTATGGTCGACGGCAAGAAGATTGGTGTGATGGGTGTCGTTCATCCAATCGTTTTGAAGAACTATGGTATCGCCTATCCATGCTCACTGTTGGAAATTGAGGTCAACATGGAGTTGATTGTCAACATTTGCTAAAAAAAAAGAAAACGTTATACATTCATCATTCATTACAGAAGTATATAAATAAAGCAATGACATTACATTAATTATTAATTATTATTTATTTATTTTCAATATTCCTAGCTCCAATATTTATCTTATTGTTGTGTGATTACAAGATAATTTGAGTAGGATCTATTAACTCTATTATATCAGGTGGAACTGTTGGTATATTATCTATATTACTTTGGTGATTGATAACATCAGAATTGATATTTTGTTCTCCGGAATGATGATGATGATGATGATGATGAATATTGAAGTATGGAGATTTTGAAGAGGAGAGGAGTAGTTGATTAGAATTTAAGAGACCAAGGTTTCTATTTTGTGGTTCAAAGTAAACTGCACTATCAGCATTTGATCCTCTGATAGTAATATCATCCATCCAAAAATAATTGTCATTTATTCCTATATCCTTGCATAGGTAATAAATAAGTTGTCCTCTGATAATATAATTAAAAGAGTAAAAATAACATATATTAATAAACAATTAATCTTCATATTTTAATAATTAAATATTTAGAAGAATAATAAATTGGTGGATTGGAAATTAAAGTAACTATTCTAAATCCTACTACTATAAATATCTAATCTCTAATCCAATATAATCTATGTTGTGTTGTTGGTCAGTCGGCGAATCGGTTGATCACAAACCTGCAAAGTTTTCACCCTAAGCTTGAAGAACGATGTTCATTGATTGACAAAGATACATAATTTACAAACACATACATACGATCACTCAGCAACCAATGTCATCATCATCATATAATGATCAATCACAGATGTTGACAGGTCTTTTACAACAACATGATGATCACTCTCATGACCACGACCATGACCATGATAATGATGATCACTCGCACAATCACTCACACGACCATGACCATGACCATGACTCACATGATATCAGTAGTTTGGATATAAGTCATATTGAAGAGGAGAACCAGACAATACATACATCATTCGAGGCACATCTCAATGGCATTGCTGGACAGGACTATGAGTCTGACCCCGATCTAACTGCACCAATCTCTATATTCAGTTGTAATAGAACAAGACTACTATTTGCATTGAAAGAGAGTCTACATCTATTACTTATCATTGGTGATGATACATCACACGTCACTCTATTACATCGATGTTTCTCAAGACTAACTGGTTCAAAAGTGGATGCATCAATGCCATCCAACAGCATATTACCATTTGGTCTAAGGGCGCCAAGTGTATGTGTCTGTTCATCACTCTGTTTGGAATCATCCCAATATACTAACGATCAATCAATCAATCAAGTATTTATTCACAACATCAATGAGATACTTTGACTTCAAGACGACGATATTCTTTTATTTGATGTATCAGATGATATCATTCTTCATCATGATGTGGCTTGGAAGTGGAGTACATTATATCAATGGTCTAATGGGCGCACCAATTTGGATACGTGGAGTTGAGAGTGGATTCGCATCAGCAGGTGTAGCAATCTTTGCAATGTCCGTCTATGATCTGAGTAAGAATCATATCTCCACCAGTAATAGATTAGACAAGGTTATCTTCCTTTATGGTATGTTTCAACAAAACTGGATTTAATGGAACTATTCCATACGATCAATCATTGACACTCACTCACTCACTCATTCAAACAATCATACATCCTGGAATGGCTCCATTGACACTCACTGACTCTATCAAATAGTATTAGTACTATCACTTGTATTCAAACAACACTGGATATATGTTCTGATGTCATCTGTTGTGTTGTCAGCATTGGCATTGGGATCAGAACGTATCATTTCTAGAATTCCAGCATTCAGTTCATCATATCCAACTTTGGACAACAACAACAACAATGTTGGAAACAACAACTACAACAAGGATAGGATGGATAGTAGTCAGATCATATTCATGAAGAATGGTTATAGGGTCACGAAGAGACAATCATACATTGTATTTGGTGTTTATGTACTGCTGTTAGTTGGTCTCCTGGCACTAGCGTTTGCATTCCCCAGGGATGCCGAGATACAGACGACCACATCATTCTTTGTTATTGGATCAGCAATGGTTGGCGGCGCAGGCTATTTCTCCCTGCCTCTAATGCTGGATGCAATGATTGGACTACTGCGAGTACAGGATTTCCTCAAAGGATACACATTGGTACAAGTACTACCAGGATCATTCATCAACCTATCAAGTTATCTGGGGTCTGCCTACTCAAATATGGCATTTGGAATGTTACTATGGACGAGTCTCGTGCTTCCAAGCGTCATGCTAAACTTTGCCGTTTATCCATATTGGAGCAAGATCAAATCATCACCATTCCTAAGTTCATTATTGGTAACTATGCTCAATCACTCGATCAATCCCTCACTCAATCAACCACTGACACTAATCAATCATTTTAGGATTGCCACATGAGAGCAACACTTGGATTATGTGTGGCATCTATTGCCGTTCTGTGGCAAAAGTCAGTGTTCACTGTCGAGTTCTCAATCATTACAGTGTTTGTCATTGGATGTATGAGCTTGTTTGATGTCAAGAGTCCAATAATGATTGCACTCTCTGGTGGCCTTGGCTTTGTTGTACAAAACTTTGTGCTAAAACGATAAAGACGACAATGACGATGAAGACGACGATGACGACATTGTTGTTGGGAGTGATGGACAGACTGATCAGTTTATAAGGGTAACACACTTTAACTGAAGAAGGACTCTGGCAGAATATTCTTCTGCTCGCTGTCCAATAAAGATTCACCGGCCATCTTGCTTACGAACAGCTTCTCGGGAAGGTCCAGGATGGACTGCTTCTTCAACTTGGACATGTTGATGCCAATCACCTCGTCCAGCACCTTCTTGAGTGTGGCCTTTTGCAACTTCTCGGTCTTGGCAGCGGTGACCTCGGCCTCCAGCTGACTGAGCACAGTTGGATTGACGTTGGGCAGCATTGAGAGCACCTGGTTGGGGTACTGTGACTTGCCCAACAGTTTGACATAGATGGCTCGCACCACGGCAATGAAGTCGGATAACAAGTCGGGCACCTTGTTCTGAATGAGCACCTTGAGACATATTCCAAACATGTCGCTGCCAATCAGCTTATAGTATTGTGGGTCGTCTCCAATCAACTCGATCACCTGCAGACTGATTGGTGTGGCTTTGTTCACAATGCCATGATCAGTGCAAAGTAGGCAAGCACTGAGTCCATACACCAATCCTGAGACAATATCAGGGTTCTTGAAGATTGTTGGATGTAAAGTAAAGTCCTTAACCCAAAGCGTGAACTCCAGAGTCAAGTCTCGCAGTATCTTATCATTAATAATCTCCATTATCTCTGTCTCTGAGTCATTATGTTCCCTGTTTGTCGTGTCTGTCGTGTTAGTCACTCGATCCATTCTCTCAATCAATCAATCATTCCAACATACTTTTGTGATCTTTGATTGATCACCTCCCAACCAGACTTTATCCTGCTGAATAGAATGGAAAGTAGGTGAGGGAATAGGGCGTCAAAGAATTGTGGCTGTAACTTTTGTGGACAGTACTTTAGGAGGAAGAGGAGCACGTGTCGACTGATGAGCTTGATGTGTCTGTTCTCACACACCTCCAAATGTGAAAAGACAGAGTCGGAGAGGATCTTGGGCAGCGTGGCGATGGACCACATCTCATCGGCATGTGTGAATCCATAGCCAATGATCTCGTAGCATGCGTCTCTCATCGTGTCCAACAAGTTGCGAACAAACTTGATGTTGGACGACTCTGTCTTGTTGTCCTTGTGATAGTCCAGACCGAGCAGGGGTGCGGTGATCGCCTCGTCCAGCTGGAAGATGACACGATACTCGCTGTCCACGTTGTTGATCACCGTGGGGTTCCACAGGCCGTGAACAGTGTGTGCCAGTGCAACGACGTTTGGCAACACATTGTTGACGAATGATGAGATTGGCCATTTTGATGTGTAGCTGATGCCGTTGGCAATGAATGGGATGAAACCCTCTTCCTCCTGCAGCGTTGGTGGCAGGGTTGTCTTCTTCCAGAAGATCTGCAGAGTTGCCACGACGAACTGGAGCTTCTTCCTTCGTGCGACCACTGCGCTGAAGTCCTCGCTGGCCTGTGATGGGAGCAGGCCGAGATAGGTGACCAGCGCCTCTGGCGACTGCACTGCGGCAGTGATCTCTGGTGAGTTCCAGAGTGTGAGCACCGGTGTGATCAGTTCTCTGAGGAACTCCGAGTTCTTCTGATAATTGCTGATGTTGTTGTTAAGGACAGTGAGCATGTAGTAGAGCATCACACGCTCCGACTCGGTGACCAGGTTGTTCTGGAAGAGCTGCTGCACCGATTGGTAGAGCTGGGGAAGGAATGGCATCATGCAATCGGTCATGTTCATCGAGAGATTGGTGAGACAGGAGATGATCCTACGTCTGCAGTGTAATGAAGAGTTTGAGAGGCGACCCTCAAGCTCTGGTGCATTATCTGCCTGTGACTTGAACGGTATCATTGGCACAATCTTTGTGAGCAACATCTGTATGCTCTCTGGATGATTCGAGTAATATGATGTGAATGGTTTGATGCAATCCATTTGGAATGATGTAGCGTTTGGATCCTGTTTGGAGTATGAGTTAGTGATTGATTGAGTAAGTGATCGAGAGTGATGCACATACGGTGAATGTTGAATCCCAAAGTGTCTTTAGGAGTGATTCTGTTGTTTTGGTGCACTGTGGATACTTGGTATCCTTGTGGTAGAAGTCTGATGAGAGTGATCCAACAATGATCTCAAGGAAGAATGATATGGACTCAAGTATCATTGTCTGTTCATGTGTCAATGTAACATTGGTCTTAATGTTTGGTATCAATTCCATCACCTTGTTATATCCAAAGTTGAATGCTTGTTCGTTCTAGAGAGTGAGTGATTGATTGAGTGAGTGGGACTATCCCATTGACCGATCGATCAACAGACAACACATACCCTTATACTTGTAAGTTGCTTGATGACGTCCACGAAACGATTGCGAACAGTTCCATAGAAGTTGCCCCACTCGCGTGAAGTGCCAAAGTCGATCGCAGAGTATTTGGACTGTGGCGTCTGGTCGCCCTTGGCAGGGTCGCCAACCTTGAGCAACTTGGTCTGTGAGATGTTGAGCAGCTCATTGGTCAGCGGCTCAAAGAAGCTCTGTATCTGGCCGACCGTCTCGGTTGACTTAAGCAGCGACGACCAGAATGGCAGCGCCAGACTCGTGAGCAGGATCGAAGGGTGATTGAGCAGCTGGGTCATCAGCTGTAGATAGATGTGATAGTTGGGGGGCAGTGGGGAGGGCGGGCCTTCCTTGGGCGGCAGGCCCAGATGCGTGGTGCCAAGCACCGTGAGCATCTGTGCCAGACGCTTGTGGAAGACGTAGTCGGCTTCATGATTGCTGGTGGTGACGCCCATGGCCTCAACGATGCGATCGAGCATGTTGAACACGGTCAGCAGCTCGGCCTTCTCCTCGGGACGACCGACGCGACGACTGACAAACAGCAGCAAGGCCTCGGCTGCCTTGACCCTGAATGGCAGGTCCTTGAGCAGCTGGCAAAAGATAAAGTCGAGCTTGTGCTGTAGGATGAGTGTCACTGGCACCCATTCAATGTACGAGTGCAATGTCGAGAGCAGCGTAGAGATGAGATTGGCGTTGACCGTGTCGTTGTTGTCCTGTACGTATCGTGTGTATCTAGTCTCGAGCATTGTATAGAAGAAGCTGAACAGCGAGGTGATGGCCTGGTTGATGCCCGCCATCAAGTCCTTCTTGCGCTGATCCGAGAGGCCCACCATCGATGTGGACGTCGAGTCAAAGATGATCTCATGTGGCAATTGACCCAATGTGAGCAGTACCAACTCTGCCTGAGGTGCACCCATCGATGATATCTGAATGAGTGACTCCAATAAGTTTGCCCATCTCTGTGGCCAGTCCCTCTTTACAATCTCGACCACGACAGTGACCAACTTCTCTTTGATGAACTTTTGTTCGCTTGCGCTAACTGTTTGATTGATTGATCGTTTGTTTGAATGGAGGTAAGTAAGAGATCAGACGATGTTTGATTGATTGATTGATAACATACTCTTTGAGACGAATGATAACATCTCGTTCTTGACGTTTTCCTTCTCAGCGTCAGATGCGTTGACCCATTGGTTCTTGACAAGGTTCTCTATGATGTGTAGACCATAGTGTCTGACGATCTCGTTGCGATGTGTGAGGATAGCCAGTGCACATGTGTATGCATTAGGACTACGTTTGACCTCTTCCAAGTAGGCTTGTGACTGTTGATGTATAGCCGACGTTGACATTGGATTGTGCAATGCCTCCAATGCCCTTGTGACCTGCTCGATCGTCATCGTAATGTCATTGCTACCATTCATCATGTTAATATATCTCTTGAGGTAGGTAATATTTATATATATAACTTTAAGGCCTCAAAGATATATGATCATAATCTGAGAAGTGACCTAGGCAACTTTAAAGAATGATGGAACTTCAAATTTAGGGATTTTTTTTATTAATGGGCTTTAATATTTTTTTTATTAATATCTGGATCCCAAATCCTCTTTATTATCCTCGGAAATGTTGGGTATTATACCTAGCGGATCTTAAATGGCAAGAAGAATCGTTCACCATTTCAAATTTGAATAATATGAATGTATTTACAACCTCCAAAAGAATCTACTTGGTCATTTTTTGAGAAGAATTGATTGAATGAGAAATCATTAAAGTGAAGAGACATTCTATTAAAGACACATTCAAGTTCTTCTCTTCTTTCTATCACTGTATATTATATATGATACCTCATCTCTATATTTTCTCATACCCAGCATCGATCACTACGGCCAATGGCCCTTCCAATTTGAAAATGGTCAAAGTAGGCATTGTAGAGTCCTTCGATCGAGTTGCCCGTCGAATGTATGACCACTACTATGATGCAATACCATTTACCTCTTTGGACATTCCAACAAGATCCCCATATTATGTCAATACAGAGGAAATGACATCACCCAAGAAGCACGGATCCAGAAATCATAAAGTTGTCTTGGACTCTCTCGAGGCACTCCTAGCCCACATGAATCCGAATCGCTGGGCCACTCGTAGTAGTAGCTACCTCTATGATGATGATGACTTTGAGGCCTACGAGGACCTAGTGTTGGTGCTCCCTATGACTGGCTTGGATCAATGTGAGGCAGAGACTCTAGAGGCCCACATCAGATACTATATTGGGGGTGCGATTTTGAAAGATTTCAAGGTATCCTTTCAGGCAAGCCTACCTGAATGCAAACTCAATTTCACAGAACTTGTCATCTCAGAGAGTGAATACCTCCAGGACCTTCGTACTCTCTGGCTCGCGGATGCCTTCCAAGATGCTGTTGTTTTCTACAACATGCTTCCCAAGATACCGCTGGACTTTGATAACAGGGTCCCTTTGTCTTTGAGGATTGGTGGCTCTAGATTAAGACCTAAATATGCAACTGGTCACGTTCGTCCTTGGCATAGAGAACTTATTCAGTACTGAACACTATGAATACGTCCGCACCATGTCCTGGACACAACCCTATGAATACCCTGGATCAAGCATTCAATTAATCAATAAAACATATATTACATTGTTGAACAATTATTGGAGAAGTTTGAATTGTTTGGACGTGGCCGGTCTGGATCAAGGTATCGATAGCACTTGGCAACAGTCTTGTGCATGTCGACATAATCAAATAGTTTGTGATAGTTGATCAATTTGATTGTGTTGGCTGTTGGTGCTTTCCATGTCACAAGTTTGATCGTTTGATTGTCAGCCAACTCACGTAACAACATCGATGGGTTTGGTCGGTTCATGTTGGTGGTCAGCGTGACCAGTGTTGGATGTCTGATAATGGCTCGATGTAATCTTGGAAACACTGCCCTGCAGTAGAAGTTGAGCATTTCCGTGTTGGCCTTGGTATCATACCAGTAACTTAAATGATTGAGTCGTGGACCACCAGCATCAGATACTCCTTGAGATCGTGCATTGTTCTCCAAGAATGTGCTTAAGTCGTCATAATGATCGCCGTCCATGTTGTCCCCGTACACCTTTAGACTGGTCAGGTTGGCGCCACAATACTCTGGGTCCTTATTGATGTACTTCACCAAGTTCAAGGGTATCGACAGACGTCTAAGGTTACGACCCAGGTTGAGAGTGAATGGATGCGCGTCAAAGTATGCGCTCAAGCTCAAACTCGACACTTGATCAATCTTCTGCATGAACTGAGTGACCAGGTCACTCGACATGAGGAACAGCTTCAGCTTGGATATCTTGAGTTTGCAAAGACATTCCCATCCTTTTTGCTTTCGTTCATAGCTCGATGTGTAGTTGATGCCGAGTGTTTCAAAATGTGGGCAATGACGGGCGAGTTGTCCAATAATCTCTTCATAATCACTGGAGATCATCATCGAAGTCAGTTGAGTGAATCGATTGAGCTTGGGCGTCATGTGTATCCAGTACTCTGTGAGGTCCACTTGAGGCAGAGTACGTAGCGTGTGACAATGTCCGACCAATGAGTGGACCAGACGTTTTTCGTTGTATTCTGGCTCGCTGCCAACGACGCGGAAGTTCACTCTTGTGACTTTACGCGCCGCCATGATTTGATCCACGATGTATGAGTTCAAGTCACAGTCACCACTAAACTCAATCGTCGTATTTGGGTGTCCAACAATCTTGCGGAGCATTGCCTCCATCTCTAGGCGTAGGAATAGACTCATCTTGACAGGCCTGTTGACAAATATGATCTTGATCACCCATTGTTCACCATTCGACAGTAGTCTGAGAAACTCTGTTAGGTCAAGATGGAAGAGACTCGTGCGGATGTCATTGACCTTGAGTGGAAATACATGTAGTTCAATCACGCGTGAGTGTGAGAGCAGGTTGAAGCGTGTGTTGAACATGTGATCGAGGCTGTTCTTGATATCGATGGATAACTTGTCTTCATTGGTCACGTCAATGAGGTAATCCTCATCATTGGGATTACGTACACCACCTGTAATCAATGTAACAGGTACATCTACTATCAATCTCGTAGAGATATGATTGAACCATTGCCAACATACCAAAGACATTGAGTATTTCCATTGTCTTGGTATAAACCTATCCTTCCAACATTCATTAATGATATATCTCTGTAAAGTCAATGGCAATGACATTATATATTATTTGTAGTCTATCTGTTCAACATTGGAAAATAAATGGAATAATGTATCAAGGGTTTGTGTTTTCAAGATTAAGTGTGCGAGGGTAAGTGTGAGAGGGAATGTGTGAACTTCATCACTTCATTAACACCATTTTAATCTACACAATCATCTTACATTATAAGTTGATGTCATAATCATAGAGAACCAATGTCCAATAGAATATATAATGCGTTGCCAACAACAATGACAACGATGATAATGATCAATGTTGTCATTATGATAATGTTGATGTTGGCTCAACCATCAAGTTGTGTAGGCAACACCAACAAAGCTCTGTTTGAAGAGAGGTCTGCAATGAACCAACAACATCAAGACATAGAGAACTATGATGACTCTATCTCATGTATGTATGACTCATTCATTCATCCATTCAATCAATCAATCAATTACTCAATCAATTAATTCATTACAGTGAACAACAATAATAATAACAGGGACGACCCAACAGACTTGCAAGGATGGCTGGACGCACAAAGTGTAGCCAAGTATCTTGGTCTACCATTGACAAAGCGAGTACATCTGCGCATACCAATCAACTTTATCTTTGTTGGTTTCAATGGTGATGGTAACAAGGCATTCTCACTTGAGGATCATCACTTGGTGGAATGGTTCCAACACATCGAACACTCACTACCAAACGTCATCGTGCCTCTTGGCGAGGACCTAGTCACCTCAGACATCAACGAGACTCCCGCCACTCACATCGAATACTCGTACGTCCTGTCCCCATCCCGTCAGTCTGAGATTGAATGATCGATCACTAACTAACGCTCTCCACGCACATGTACACAGCTTTGACATTCAAGTATCAAAGGTTGATGCGTTGGTAACAACATTGATAGAAGACGCGATATATTGGCATCTTAGGAATGAGGACCCATCGTATTATGACACGAATGCAACATCTTCGCCACAGAGCAAGGATACACAACAGCGATTCTACACCAACCCATACTTGGTATCATCATTGCTCTCATCACTCAGTAGCCATCTCAATCTGAACACCAACAGTTACAGCATCTATGTGCTCAACCCCAACCATCCACTGCGCTCCAACAGTAACGGCAACGACAGCAACAGCGCCAGCGATGAGCCCATCGTCTATGGCTACCGAACGGGCCTGTCCAACGGCGAGCTGCGCGTACTGAACGCCAACCCCGCACTGGTCTTCAACAACGAATGGAAAATAGAGTCAGACTACGACTTTGTCGAGATGTTCAAGCCGGCGCGCGGCCACATTGAGCCGGGCGAGGTGCAGCAGAGCACTCTGCACATCAACGACAACCTCAAGCTCAGGGACCTGTCCAAGCTGTCGCATGAGTGGGCGCGCTCCATGTCGCAGGAGTTTGCCAAGTATCGCAACCAGAGTGCGACGGGCGGACCCGCCACCGAGACCTGCTTCTACGGCTCGCCCGACGGCACCGAGGACCGGTGGATCTGCACAGCGCCACAGCTGGTGCAGCACGATGAGGAGGGCATGTCGACAATCAAGCACGCACAGAACCTCTACGACAATGGCAATTGGTTCGAGAAGTTCTACATCCAGTCGGCGCACAATCACTGGGTGCAGGAGAACTGTCTCGTCGACAGTTGGATATCACACAAGCGCTTCGCCTTTGTGGACTTGACCGCAGGCCCATTCTCCTGGGGTCCGACCATTGGTGGCAATGGATTGAAGAGTAGACTGACACTACCCAAGGTGCCAGACTCACTACAAGACAAGATCACATCAATAAGGCAGTTGGTCCAGAATGACAAGCAACGTCTGGAGAAACTACAACAAGAGCTAACAATCACACAGACACTCTACAAGAACACATGTTCCTCAACACAAGTTGTTGATGAGAATTGTCAGAGTATGTATCCAATCAACCACACACTGGAACTATCCCATCACTCACTCATTTCAATCAATCAATTAATCTTTAGATTTGAAGAGAAATATTGCCAAGCTTGAATCTATACTGATGGACACTGTTTCATGGGAACCATTCTTCAACAATGATGACTCGCCAATGCATAACATTGATCTGTTGCTTGGTAACTTGGTATGTGTGCGGATACAATCCTGTCGGGCCGACACAAACCCATCTAACATACCATGCCACGACACGTCTAGATTGAGAGTGTAGAGGAGATAGAGATGAATGATTTCAAGGCACACCTGGGAGCGGTATTGTCAGACAGTCTCAGACATCTTGTGGCTCAGCCACAACCACTGTTCAAGAGTGACTACTACAGCAGAGTGAACTTCCACGTGATCATCATATCCGATCACAAACAATACAATCCAAGGGATCACTCAATGTTCAACTATGAGCTGTTCAAACATCAACTTGACAAGCTCAAGTCACCCGGTCAAGAGTTCACATACAACATCAAGATGTAAGTATTATCTGGATCCAGAAATCATGTCCAACAGGACACTAACTCAATCAATCAATCAATCATAGGATCCCAATGCTTGATGATCCTACACTATCATTGGCTTATCACACGTCATTGAAGACTATCCTCCAGCCAACAGTCAATAAGGATGGTGCATTTGAAACAAAGCTCAACTATTACATCGACTCGAAGGAGATCAAGTATCAATTGACAAGGCTCAACCCCGACCAGCACAGTGATGACATGCAACAGGTGATGAAGTCCAAGCACATACCAATATTCATATTCTCGCTGGGTGGCGACAATGCCGTGTTTATCGATCGTGACAAGCGTGCCAAGGCACTGGACAACATGGTGATTGCCGTGCAGACCAATGTGATGTACAACTCATCGTTCACGTGCAATGACCAACCGGTGACATTGAATCTCAGCAATCCAATGTCTCCCCTGTTGGCTGCCACCGCACTCAGTCTAGGCGGACTGGTGCCCAATCACGTATCTTACAGCGAGGCCACGATGAAGGCCACTCAGAACTGGCAGTGGTCGGTCGGTGACTCACCCACCGCTAGCACATTCACTTTCCCATTCTCATACTTCTCCGAGTTCCAACGCGATGCCATCCATCGCAACTATGTAGTTACTGCATTGGAGAAGTCCATAACGATGGCCAATGAAGCCAATCAACTACTTGCCAATCACAAAACAAGTAAGTGTCCAAACCCCAACCCTTGCCCACGCCCTAACCCTCACCTACACTCCACGCATGCATAGACCTTCAGAACTATGGATCACTTGAGAAGATACCAATGCTGAGAGGAGTCACTAGACAGTACAAGATGTTGCAGGACCAATGGAGACTGACAGCCGAGTATATTGCCAAGTTGGACTTTGGCAAGGCAATATCGACGGCACTACATTCTGAACGCACTGCCATCCAGTATCTGTTGGAGATCAAGAGTCTTTCAGAAGGCATCACTGTTGCTGATTGCAATGTGACGGCCGAAGGTTACAAAATTCGAACGTACGCCATCATCACTATATGTTTGACGATCAATGTCTTGATGTTGTTGGCATACTTTTTGATCTCAAAGACAAAGTCCAAACTAAAGATAAATTGATTGATTAATTAGTCGATTGTGTTGTAATGACTTGTCTTTATTTTGATGTGTTTGGTTGGTATTATGGTATGATGGCCCTTGTGATACTTGGTAATTATATAGATAGTGATGACGATGAAAATGGTATCACACCATGGACAGCAGGAACTGGAGTAGACATTCTATCTTCAGTAATCATTAGTGGCTTTGCGAGAGTACCAAGCACATATATTGAAGTGGACTGAACTCCAGAGAAACCGAGTTTCTGTAGGTAGTTCAACACTGTTGGGATGCACTTGATTCCATCTGGTTCGTAGTGTCCAGAGGCGTCAGAGAGGCTGAACATTATCGTATTGAGATTTACGTCTGATGACAACTCAAATGAGCCAGCGCATAGAACCTCAGATCCCTTACCCAGCTGGCTATGTGCAATGTAGGTCTTGCCTGGGCCTTTCACCATAGGAAGCATCTTGTAGATAATTGACTGATCGGGAGTATAAACAAATGAGTAGGAGAAACCTGGATCAGTGTTTGGAAGGATTTCAAATTCTTTGGTCATGAGTTGAAGGCCAACCAACTTCCCATTGTAGGTACCTTTGAGAAGGCCAACTTCTGGAATTGTTTCGGGATTGTAGGACCTGAGGTAGTACTTATCTACCATCCATTGAAAGGTTGACACTGAGTAGGTACGGAGTTGGTTGTCAAGGGGGGGGCATGGCGTCAGATCCATTAGTATTATTGAAGGTCCATTGTTGGTCTTTGCTCATAAGGTCCAGAGTCTTGAGTCTGACTAAGCCCTCGATGGCATTCATGTTGGTGATAGCTCTGTTTTTGGAATCAACAATGAAGTATGTATTATCCATTCCATCCTTGGCAACAATCCTCCATCTTTGGCCAGTTTGAAATCATTCCTCTTGGTAGTGAAGACAAGGTCATTGGTACTTAGGGAAGAGAACACCTGGCCAGAATAAAGATTGTAGATGAAGAAGTTCTGATTTCCTTGATAGTAGACTGGCTCCAATCGGAACATAGTTTGGGGAATGCTGTTGATATGTTAGTTTTGGGATTTGGATAAGTGAGTTACTTACCTAAAATGGTTATATGTTTGAACAACGTCATTAGCTGTATTTAGGCTCAACCGTGGATAGTTGGCACTGAGGAACTGGAAGTAGTTTTTATGGGACTCAACCACCTCTACTAACTTCCATTGTTCATAGAGGTTGCTTGGATCCAAGGCACGACGAGTTGCCCATTGGCTTCCACAGTCCAGAACATCGTTAGTGGCAACCTGTTGTATCCAGTAACATCCTGGTGAGTCGGTTACTGGAAGTAAACGCCATTGTTGGTAAAGATTGGTAGGGTTAAAAGATCCTCGGGCTTTAACTCCTTGGCTGTCCGCATCCAACCAGTGGCCATCTTGACGGTGAAGCACATTGTATGTATTGTCAGAGTTTGGCACAGGGAGAAATCTCCATTGTTGATAAGAGTTGTTGTCTAGTCTGGAATTTCGATTACAGAGATCATCCTCCAAACCGCCACAGTCAAGAACTTGGCCAGATGCTACTTGGTAAATATAATAATAAGAATCACTTATAATATGATTTGATAAGTTTACCGGTTCCATAATTAATATCTCTATTAAATCATTAGTACGTAGTTGGAATAATAATAACATTCATACGAGTTGAAATATTTATAGAGTGAGTATTGTTTCTACAAACCTAGGTTTGTTCCCTCTACTCGGAACCAACATACTCCCTCAACTCTGTATCCGAAGTGAGGGAAATCCACAACGATGACTAACTCAACACTACTGATCTTCACACACAGCCAAGATAAATCTTAAATGGTAGAATGAAATAAATCAATATTAATAAAACATGACACAGAGAATTACCAACTGTTTACTTTTGTTGGCATCAGTGTTGACATGGAGGAACTATATCATCAGCTACAATGAGAAGTTCAGAGAATACCTCACCTATGTGCCACCATCATCCCTGCTCGACTACTTGCTAGACAGTGACTCACTTCCAGAGCGAGCAACATTCAGTGATGTGCTTGGACTCTGTCTACAATACCTAGAACGTGTGATAGCCATTGGCCTGGCATTCTATTGTCTACTCTTCTGTTATCGCTTGAGCATCAAGATCTCCAACTCTCTGACAATCGGTTGGCCTGTCAACGCTTCCAACAAAAGAATGCTAGCACCACTTCTGACACACCGAATCAACATATCTTATCAGAGGAGGCAACTGCGAGTCGCTCATCTGCTCATTGCTGGATGTCAACTGATCTACTGTCTCACCGTCCTACATACTGATGGTGGTATCTTCTGTGGCATACCACCTCATCATCCAATGTTCATCTATCACTGTTACCAAGGATCAGAGTACTTCTTCCTCAATACATTCCCCTTCCAACTGCTCGTTCTCAACGAGCTATTCCTCTACTCCAACCGCCGAGACAACAACAGTCATATACATACTGATTAAATGACCTCTATGTCACATCGCTCCAACAGTTGCCATGACTTAGGTCTACTATTGTCAACTGTCAGAGTAATAAACTGAACATCCTTCTGATACTATTAACCAGCAAGCCAGGTTAGCAAACTACCCTATCACTCAATAGATCAATCATTAATCATCTTTGTATTGATCACGTACCAAATGAGTGAGTGGATGTTCCCAAGTGATAAAGGACCAAGTGCATTGATGGATTTGTAATGCTCATCTAACCTAAGATGAAATATCTGGTTCTTAACCCTGGGTTTCTAGGTCCCTTTGGAAAGGAAAGTTTTTTCCATTTTGTCAAAAAAGATAAAACTAAACAAAGTAATATATATATATATACAGAGAAGAGAAGAACAACAATATGACTACCACTACCACTCAATTGAATGAGTTTATCAAGCTTCAAACACCTAGGTTGCCAAAAAGGGATGCTCATCCTTATCATATGTTTGATATGATCAATCATACACCGGCTGCCTTGGAGAGGATATTGAGCCAAGAACAATCCGTGATTCAATCAGTGTCTGCTGTAATCGCCTCATCACGTATCAACAAAGTGTTGTTGGTTGGAATTGGAACGTCTTGGCACGCTGCCCTCAATGCAGACTATTACTTCAAGACTGTGGCTGGACTACCCCATGTCGAGGCCTGGCACAGCATGGACTTTGTTCAAAGGAGTCCACCCGTTGACGACAAAACTGCTGTCATCATCTTCTCGCACAGAGGTGTAAAGACATTCTCCTTCGAGGCTTGTGTTGTAAGTGTTCTCCTGGCCACACCTGGAACCATCCAATCACTCACTCACTTGCTCAATCAATCAATCCATCTATCCATTGTGTGAACAGAGAAGCAAGAATAGTGGATGTTATACAGTGTTGCTGACATCTTTGGACTCACCAATCAATGAGAGTCTGGGCTTGGATGCTATAATCAGGACATCAAAGGGCGAGCAGTCATCCGCATTCACGGTCAGCCACACAAGCTCTACATTCGTGGCTTTGATGCTATCCGTGTACATTGGATTGGGTCGCAAGGTTGACCAGGCAGCAGGACTCGAGCAACACTTGAATAAGATACCAAATCTACTTCAATCGATCATCAACCATGATCATCAAATGTACAAATCATGGGCGGCACGTGTAAAGGACCTTCGCTACCTTCCCTTTGTAGCCTACCTCGGCAATGTGTCCAACACCTATGAGGTCGGACTCAAGATCAACGAAGCCGTCTACATGTACGCTCAAGGCTTCAATGTTGAACAGTTCATCCATGGTCCATTCGTCGCGGTCGATGAAAACACAGGTCTAACAGCCATCATCTCCAAGGAGGATGGTAAAGAGAGGACACTCCAACTATTGAGTATGTATGACCATCTTGGTCCATCCATCAATCATCACAATCCCGCACTAAACCAATGTTATTCATGTAGAGGCGGCCAAGCATGTTGGTGTCAAAGTGTCATTGATCACATCAGACTGTGATTATACATCAGCTGAAGTTGTTGGAAAGGATTGCATCATTAGTTTGCCAGATGTACCTGAGCCAATCAGTGTCCTCACCAATCTGGTGGCACTTCAACTGCTCACATACTACCTGGCCATGGAGAGAAAGACCGACCCCGACATGTTCAGAAGGGATCTTCCCCTTCACTCTGATGCTTTTGTAGTCTCTGGCCTCAATCTCTAGAAAAAGTAGTATGATTGATTGATTGATTGGTCTTTATATCTATCTCTAAATAAAGATCACTTATATACACATGACATCATTAGAGTAATGAGATGTCATGGTTGAAACAATGATGGATGTTCCCATCCATCCATCCACCTAACTCTGAGACTGGGCTACTCCATCCAAGCGTTGTACTTGATCACGTAGATAGTTCATGGAGGTGTCATTCTGTGGAACATTGATCTTGTCCTTCTTGCCAACGACGAAGCGAAGGGTTGGGTACTTGTCGCCAGTGCCATTGTGATTGTCCATCTTCTTGGATGCCTTGTGGCAGAGAACTGTGAACAGTATTTGGAGATGGGGAAACTGGTTGGACATTGATTTCATCTGCTCCAGATAATCCTTCTGGTCGGTGGAGCTCATCGCTTCATCCACAATGAATAGGAGCAGTCCTTCAGAGTCGTGTGTCGGCTCGCCACTTATCACCTTCTTACCAAGACAATTGTTCAAACTCTTGGCAAAGCCCGATGACTTGATATCTGGATGTAGACTGTTGTAACAGTAGATGTCGTACAATTGATGTTGATGTTGTTTCTTTGGTGGATTGGTACGAATCACTGATGACAATAATACTGTATGATCTGATTTATAGTCCTACAATAATGTCAGTGTTAATCAATCAAATAAAGTACTATCATTCAATCTATCAATCAATATATTACATGTTTATGTTCCAAATTGGATGAGTCATCACCAGAGTATACTTGTTGTTGTTGTTGTTGTTGTTGTTGTTGTGAACTCCTACTGCTGCTTGATTTACTCTTGACATCTTGTTTGGAACCACCAACAAACAATACATGTATTAGTTTAATAACAAAGTAGATATAAAGTACTACACATAAGTATGTAATGTTGAGTACTGCTTTGAATCCTCTAACTATCATTGTATAATATATTGTATATGTTCCTAATCTATCACTCTATAGGTAAATGAATAGGTCAATGCATTAGAATGAATGAATTAATGAATGAATGAATGTGTTTGGTGAACCACCAACACTACCCAAGCCACCTACTGACCACACGATTCCTACTTACCTCATTAGTTCATTTATTACTTCTGAAAACCTACCTCTATTGATTTTGGAACAACAACATCAACCTTTTATCCATCTACTTGATTGACCAACCAAAAAGTAATTCATATTCCTTTTCCTCTTGATTGTTTTATCCTTTTTCGGAAAGGAGTTTAATCTTGGAAGTTCATCTTGAGCTAATCAAACAACCACAATGATACCAACACACCCCCTCAAATACCACACCATTCTGTTTCTTAACAACAACAGCAAGACCATTCATTACCCAACCACCGATCAATCATTTATTCACTTCAACAACACTGAGTTTACATCATTCAATTTAGTAAAGATCGTTAAACTCAGCTGAGTTATATATATATAAATAGAACTTGTTGTATATGTACATTGTAGATAGATATATAGATATATAGATATAGTAAGATAGATAGATAGATATGACAGATGTACAGTTAGTTAGTGTATTCCAAAAGTTGAGAAAGATCGTTGAGGAGACTCAGGTCTACTGTAAACGTGTAGACTTCTTGAAAGAGAATGGTTTACCAATTGCAAGCAATAACAATCTATTCGAAGAGGATGACGATTGTAAGTATCTCTCAATCACAATCATATCATATCAATCACTGACTTACTTACTGACTCATACTCTCATACTCATACAGTGTTGTTCCCACTTGAGATTGGTAATGAGATGTATTTGAAAGCATTGACTGTATATCAACAACATAAGACATTCATAGAAAATATAGAGAAGTATGTACAATACAACAATGACACTGATTGATTGGTTGATGTGATTGTGATCACTCACTAACAACAAATTACTTTAAATAGGTCAATCAACAAGTGTGTAGATAAGATTGGAAAGAATGAACGATCAAAGTCGATTGCCAATCATCTTTCAGCGACAACGAATTCATCTTCTTCGTCTAGTGATGAAGACACTGAGAAACAAGACAAGCGCACTACAAACAAACGAAAGACAATGAGCTCAAATAGCAGTGGCGGTGGCAGTCTGACCCAGAAGATAAAGCGTGTAAAGCAACCAACTGAGCCACCAAGCAATGGTGCCACTGCTGCCGCAGCTTCATCCACAACAACCACCACCACCTCCACCTCATCCACAACAACCACCGAATCACCTATAACCGAAGCAAAAGAGGTATCACCGACCACCTCCCAGAAATCAACTCCAGCTGGTGCACCTGCTGCCCCAGCTCCGTCGGCGGCCACACCCGAATCCATCCCGATTGGCACACAGGTTGCGGCCAAGGACCGATCAAACAACTGGATCCTGGCCAAGGTGAACTCGTTCAACGCCAAGACACAAAAGTATGAGCTGATCGATGAGGATGAAGCAGAGTCCAAGAAGTTCACGGTCAGTCTAAAGGACATCATTCAGCTGCCGACTACCGCCGCCCTGGCCAACACATTCGCCACCAACACCAAGGTACTGGCGATGTTCCCCGACACGACCACATTCTATCCAGCTCTCGTGGTAGGCTCACAGAAGATCAAGAACAAGACCACTCAGTACACTCTGCACTTTGACGATGACGCTGGAGAGAATGGACAAACACCAAACAGGAAGGTAGCTGCCCAATATGTAATACTAAAACAGTAACAATACAGTAAACACGAATATACAATCATCGTCAAGGCGTGGACACATGGATGGATGGATCAAGTATATGTTATTGGTTACATTAGGAAGTTCTGATAGGCCTGTGTACGCACCGAGTTGACAGTCTGAGTGGATGAGAACTCGATCCACCAATGACGTCGATAGGTTTGATGTTGGCTGACACGCATCGTGCCTGTCACTGTAGCCGCTGCCGTGGACGATGATGACGAATCATGTGATGAAGTAGATTGTACAATGTTCCTTGGCTGTTCGAATGGGAATATCACCTGTCGCCAATGTGTACATCCTGCAGATGGCGCTGTGGACAGCTCCAAAGTGCTCTTGGTCAACTCGAATGGTTGAGGCGACAGACGGCTCAGGTCACCGCCAACTGGTTTCTTGGCCAGCTGACCCCTATCATCAATGTGGTAGAGTACATGGTCCATCTCCTCGTCGTCCAGACCCTCGAACCAGACTGAGAACCATGTTCCAAAGCCGTGGAATGAACCGTTGGGTAATGTGAACTTGAAGTTAAGTACAGTTCTCTGTTGTAGTTGTCAACAAGATAGGGGAGGCAATGGTTAGTTTAATCGAATGATGATCGTAACTTACTAAACAACAAACTAGCTATAACTAGCCAGGCTTGCTTGATATACTATTAACCAGCCAGCCAGCCAGCCAGTAGCCACACAATAACTACTTACCGACAGCTCCTCTGTCGTTATCGTCGCAAGGTCCAAATATCTGATGATAAATGGTGTATCAAGTACATTCGATGTATGCATATAATGGTCTCTGATTGACTTGTTCAATAAATCCTGTTGAGCGAATGGTCTGTGATCAATACCAAGTTGATTGATTGATTGGTTCGTTGAGTGTGAGTGAGTTATCACGTGATTGATTGGGATAATTCCAGTAAGTGATTTGATCACTACCAATTGTACACTTACATCAATGGTGACATGTCCAAGCCATAGACATCATGCCAACAATCAATCCTTGGATGAATGAACTCATCAATTCTGACTGGCGCCACGTATAGACATGCCTTTGATGGGAACAATACTCCATTCTACAAAGGATCAAAGTATTGTCAATAACCGACATGAATGAATAACCTCATCATGTTGTCCAATATACTTACAGGCTTCAATAGATGATCCCTGGCATAGATTACAGACTCGAGCATTGACTCAAAGATGAGGAAGGCACCCATCCACTCAGAGACAATGATGTCCACATACTCGGGAAAGGCAATGTGCTCAACTTTACCCTTGTACACGTGTACTTTGTCCTGAAGGTTATTGCGCTGTACTATTAACTCTGTGTTGTAGGCCATGTCAGAGCCCTCGACAGCATACACTCTCTTTGCACCTGCCATTGCACAGAAGCAAGACAACAATCCAGTACCACAGCCCACATCCATGACAACCTTATCCTTGAACAACTCTCTACTCTTCATTATAGCGTGATAATATGCCGCTGTTCTCCTTTTATCAAACACCATCTCATTGTGGATGTTCTGTTGAGTTGAGTTGGAGGTGTCAGGATTGATTGATTGATTGAGTGGACGAATGGATGTGTATTACTTACAACTTTGGAGTAGGAATTGAAGTACTCTGTGTCCTCGTAGGTGTCTGAGGGCTGATATGGATGATTGAATGCATAGTACTCACGATGTGAGTTCTTCCAGTTCTCTGTCTTCCAGTCGAAGGACTCATCCTCCAACTCTTGTTCAACTTGTATTCCTTGGAGATTGGATGATGGAATTCTATTGTTGTTGGCAACATTGTTTGTCTTTACAACTTGTACTGGTACTGGTATGTGAGTGTTTTCCATTTGATCCAGTCCAGCACCACCAGTGTCCTCATCAGATGACTCGTGAGTTGACAACTCTGCCATTGATTGTACCATTGTTGGTAGTACACCATTACTCTTAATATGAGTATTATTACTATTATTTGAATGTTCTGCTGACATCATGATTGTTTACTTATATTCTTGATTGTTTGATTGTTTGAATGAATGGATGATTGAAAGAATGAGTTAACTTAAGTAGTTAGTCATGGTTGCATAACATCTGATTGAAACCCCATTCAAAGAGTGATGGGTTCTAGTGTTGCTTCAGGAAAAAATCTGGCTTGGCTCCCACCCAAGCCATACTTGGCTACTGATCTGTCATCAAAGTTGGCAACTGACAACGAATGTATGAATGAATGTATTGACACACATATTAACTGTTTTAATAATATTATTACCATGATAGGACCAACATCATAATGTTGACTTATTAATATTCAATTTAGTAATTAACTAGTTACTCGATACGCATTATGATGATGTTCTAATTATATGATTATGTCAATATACAATCAAGGTGAGGTTGAGTTCATTTATTAATTTAATTTAGTAGTTAACTCTTTACTCATCATGCGTCTCCTGCTTGTCTATTATATGTTGAAGTAGTAGTAGAAGAGGGTTGTTAGTAAATATGAACGAATGAATGAACGAAAGAAAGAAAGGGGAAGGTAAAAGAATAAAAGTTATACTACATACCGCTGGTCTGAATGTCAGATGTCCACAGAGTCAGGTTATCACGGAGCAACTGCATGATCAGAGTGGAGTCCTTGTATGAGTCTTCGGACAGGGTGTCGAGCTCGGCGATAGCATCGTCAAAGGCTTGCTTGGCCAAACCACAGGCACGGTCTGGTGAGTTGAGGATTTCGTAGTAGAAGACAGAGAAGTTGAGAGCCAAACCAAGACGGATTGGGTGTGTTGGGGCCAACTCGGTGACGGCGACGTCGCTGGCGCTCTTGTAGGCGATCAAAGAGTTCTCGGCGCTCTCCTTGCGGACGGCTCCGCTGGCAAACTCGGCGAGGTAACGGAAGTAGTCTCCCTTCATCTTGTAGTAGAACACCTTGGACTCGCCAGTGGTGCTGGATGGGATCAGGTTCTTGTCGAGGACGTCGAGGATGTCGTGGCAGATGTCAGAGAGCTCCTTCTCGACCTTGGTCTTGTATCCCTTGATCTTCTTGACGTTGCTCTCGTTACCCTTGCTCTCCTCCTTCTGCTCGATGGATGAGATAATTCTCCAGGAGGCACGACGGGCACCAATGACGTTCTTGAAGGCAACAGACAACAGGTTACGCTCCTCAACGGTCAGCTCAACGTCCAGCTCGGCAACCAGCTTCATTGACTGGACCATCTCTGTTTGGTGGCACAAGGGTAAAGAAAGAATGAGAAAGAATTGGAGGAGAACAAATGTTAATCATATGCAACTAGGAGTTTCATGACCAATCGAGAGAGAGAACTTGAGTTATAACTCCAACTCGAACTCGATTGTCGCGACTATCAATCAATCAATCATTACCTTCGTATCTCTCGGCTTGCTCAGCGAGCTTGGCCATGTAAACGTTATCCTCTCTTGACATTGCTGTGTTTGTTGATGTATGTATGTATGAAATTGATTGATTGTTGTAGTTGTTGTAATAAAAGTTTGAAGTGATGTGACACAAAAGATAATGAACAGGGTTAGTGAGTGAGTGGAGTTGGTGGAGGTGAGGTGAGTGAAGCAACTTGGCTGTGTGAAGATAGGTATTGGTATTATGAGTGAGTGTGTGTGAGTGATAGAGATGTTCTCATCAAAAAACCCTTATCAACAATTATAATTAATTTTTGTTGTTGAACTCACCCATTAAATAATTCAATTTTAAATTATATTTATTTTCACATATCATGGGTGTGTTTGTTTGACTTCTGATCCATCCCTTCCACCCCCTACATTCATTCTATCTGTCTTTCTGTCGTGCGACCTGAAGTGTGTGTATCGGGGATCGGTCATTCGCCTAACAGTTGTAAATCTCTCCAACTGTGTTGTTATTAATAATATTAATTGAGATGTGAAACAATGTTTACTAACTAACTAACTAACTACGAAAGGCAGGCGAGTCTAGACTTTGGTACTTGTTGTTTGTGTTTCCAGTGACCTTGCATTTGACGTAGACTGCACCTTCACCGACGAGTCCAAAGAATTTACACCAGACTTGACGATTTGGTATTACATCAAGTCCACGCTCACCAATGTACAACAATACTATCACTCCTCCAATGAAGTAGGCTCCTGTTAATGATCCAACTCTGAAAGATTGGACAAGTATTCATGTTAATCAGCTGATTCTGGAATCAAACAGGAAGTCAGCAATGTTCGATACTTACACAATGAGGAAGATGTCTCCGCCAGATAATTTACCCGAACGACAAAACATATGCGAGCCAACTTGAAGCTAACATTGGATTGATAAGGTGAGTGGTCATTGTCGTCATCGTCGAAGTTAATGGTTCACTTACATAATATGTACAGTCGTCGGCAGCATAGGCTGACACCAAAACACCTGGTGACTGTTTGTCACAGACAAATGTCACGTAAGAACTGGTTGTAGTGTCCACTCCATTGTTACATGTTGATCCTTTAGAGTAGAGCAATGTAAGTTCTGAATAGAATGTAATGGAAGCAAATAGTTAGACCTCAGATCAATCTTGTCTTTTTTATAATATAATTATAATTACCTCCAAGTTGTTTGATTGGTTCACTGACATCTTGGATGAAACCTAATGCCTTTTGCATCTTTAGTTTGATCGATACCTCACAGATTGATGTTTCAGCGGTTAGTGCTCCACATGGTTGTTGATCATTGAACATTGTACATGGAGTGAAGTAATATGATCCATTATCATTCTTGTATGTCATTATTGCTGGCAATGTTGAAAGATCATAATGATTTCCATCATTCGATGTAAATGAACATGGATATGATGATCCATTAATACTTCCAAAGAACAACAACAATAGTAATATAAATATTATTGTTTTTGAAACAAGAAATAAGTTATTCATTGTTGTTAATTATAAGGTTGAAGATGAATAAGGGCTGGTCGGTATCAGTATGATGTTCAAATAGTACCCTTCTTCAACATTCACCCGCCCACACAACTAGTCTAGTGTGTTTCCAGTTAAGCTGGAAACACTAACATTTGATCACAATCTGTGTGAGGAGAGTAGTGTGTTGATCAAGATAGTGTGTTTATTGAACCTGGGCAAGGCCAGGTATAACAAATTTAAGTGTGACTGGTCCTTTATTAGTATGAATACATTTCACTCACTCACTCACTCGTTGTCATTGTTGATTCCTGCGACACATCTAGTAGGCTCATGTTTGCCAGAGTGTAGTCATCGATGTTCTTGTTAACTTTTGTAACAATAACTCTATGTTAATGTAAAAACTAGAATTGGAATGTACATAACTAACTTCAAATTCCGATAGTTAAAGGGAGACCAACCAATGCACAAATGGAGTCACTGTTATACTTTATCATAATCCTTCTCCAACCTTATCTAGATTTGCTTCATTACCTTGATATGCAAATACAATGACAAGATCTGACAGTGTAACGATGACAGTAAGATTCAATGGTAGTGCATTGAAAGACTCTATGTATTGAACGTATTCCATCAATTCAAGGGGTCAAGATTGAATGAAGTAGTCAATTGGTTGTCTTTCTTCAATTGGCTGAACTTTGGACATCATCAAAGTATCACATCCAACCAGTTATAATTTTGATGCCAATCATCACAATAAACATTGTTATCAATCGTCAGCCCTTGGTGTGACTGGTCCTTTATTGGAATGGTATATACATAGTTGGTGATGAGCACTATCTATCAATCACTCAGTTTGATCGTTGTCGTTCTTGATTCCTGCGATAAATACTCTCTTGGTCCTCATCTAGTAAACCCATGTCATGTGCCAGAGTGTAGTATCGATGCTCTTGTGGACGTTTGTTACTACCACTTTGTTCATGTTGTAGTAGGTATTGGAATACATCACGACTTGCTTCAAAGGCTGATGAAGTGAGCCAGTACTTGGTCGACAACCTGTTGATTGCAATTTGTAAAGTAGAAATGGAATACATCAAAGTCCTTCCTGGTCACTGCGTAGCGCATCAAGTCCTTCAGCTTGTTGCCATCATTCAAAATATACCATCTCCATAAAGATATCAGTTAGGTTGACATTGATGAATTGGAGCATTGATACATTGTCACAAGTATCCAATAATGTTGAACAATCAAACTTGTCACCCAGTGTCGTGAATGGTTGCTTGAGGTGTCCATACAAAATGCGTAGTGCATCCAAGTTGTCATACTTGATGGTGAGAAGTATGGAGTGCTCCACATTGATCTCTGGTCTCTGCGCCACTAGGAACTGAACAAGATCAATGTGTCCATTTATGATGGCACCTTCCATTGCGCTCATTGTACATCCTTCACTTCGACTGTCATGAAGGAACTGAACAATATCAATACATCCACGGAATGATGCGATGTTCATGGACTCTGGATCACATCTGCACTTGGCATTGTGCATAGCCTTGACTGTGTCCAGTGAGCCATATCGACAAGCCAGCTGGAAGTCTAATGATGAGCCAATAGAGAGACACTTGCGTTGCATAAGATAATCAAACAGGTCACTGTTCTGAAGGATTGCCTTGGAGAGTGGCACTACAATACCACCGACTCGCTCATTCATTAGATGACGAACGAGATCTACATTGCCACTGTTGATTGCCAACTGCAACTCCTTCTCGCCCATATCGCTGAAGAGGTTCTTGATAAAGAAATACTTGACTATATCCAAATGACCGTGCTCCAGTGCCATGCTCATCAGTGCTCCACGTGGCTTGCCCTGTCCAAGTGGCTTGATCCTGCCACACTCGCACAAGTACTTGACTGCCTCCAAGTTGCCCGCCTTGATGTATGAGTGCAGCACCTTCTCCATGTCAAACTGGATGACAAGGCCATTGCCAAGGTTGCATCGCTTCTCAACGATATAACGTAGTAGTTCAAAGTTGTTGGTCAGTGGTACATTGAATGATTGAACAGTGGCCTGTGGATGTGGCTGTTGGTATGTGCCGGTGGTGTGGCGCAAAAGATACTTGAGCATCTCTACATTTCCACATTGAATGGCATCCAGTACCAAGCTTCGTGGCATTGGGAATCCATTAAATTTTAGGAACGTGGCAGCCTCGAGTGATTTGATTCGTCGCGGTGCCTCCAGAGGGAAGAACAAGTTGTATCGCTTGAACAGAAAGTGCGCAGTGTCCATCGCATCATGGGCCAGCGCCACAGACAGTGCACGTTTGCTTCTGTAGTTGGCATCAACAAAGAGGTAGCGAACAATTCCAAAGTTTGGCTTGCTACACGCCAGACACCAATCGATCACTCCACTCCCATTGAAGCTCATTGATAGGTGTATTTGACGCTCGAGTATCAATTGGTGCATCTCTTTGAATGACCGTAGATCAGGCGCTGCCTGACAGAATGAACGGAAGACTCCAAACAGACTATAGGGATGTGTTTGAGCGCGTAGCCTTGAGATCAACAGACGGAAACTACGTGTTTGGATCAGAGTGTCAACAGTCAATGACTCATCCTCCGAGTTCATTCTATTGACATGATCAAACAGTAATCTATTCAATACTGCATTGGACAATATATGTTTGATCAACTCTGTCTTTCTCTTGGAGGTGACATTGGTAGCAGCTGCTAGGTTGTTGTTGTTTGATCGATCATTCTTTATGAACTTGGATATAAATATAGGTGGTTGGTTTGTAGTAGTTGTAGTAGCTGTAGTAGTTGTAGTAGTTGTAGTAGTCATAATAATTATAATGTGATGACATCATCATCAATTGATTAATTTGGGAATATGATCAATTCGATTCAATTCCCAGGCTCAATCATTTGGCGAGCTGGACACCCGATTTAAACCATGGTGTTATTTTTAGTTCACAGAATTGTGGAATGATCAAAAAGATGTACAGGTCTAGTTTGTGTACATGTCTCTCTTGTGAATGAAAGATTGAACAATAATAATAACTAATATCGATACAGATAATATTTGTTTCCTCAACATACATATAATTATAAACCACTGGTCAAGCCTGGGAAATGAACTGAATGTTGGTTGGTCATAATGATGATGTTTTGTTGTGGTTCCAAGACATGATTGACGCTGCTGCCAACATCAACAATTTGCTTCAAATAATTTATTGATTGTCAATCATAGTTGGCAACTTGCATTGAAGTTGTCATCGTAAATACATCGAGTGTATGGAATGCCCGACTCTGCTTTAACCTGGCCTACAAATGGGCATAATGACTGAACAAGGAAGGGCAGTTGGCACCCTCTCTAAACGGGGTCAAAAGATACCACCTATCGTTGTTGAAGGTGGTGAGATCACTCAGTTCATCGATCTGAAGTCCCAAGACACGCCATCAAACCACCACTTTGTTTACAATGTGTGGTGGAAATTTAATTACAAAAATAATAATCATTTATCATCTTTGCAGGCAGTAACCAACCCCACCCGAAACAATATCTTATTCACACACTCACAAACACACTTCTAAAGGTCTGTGAAGGACTCTTATGATAATTATTTATGGAGCTTTTAGAAAAGCCCGTTACATGATTGTGTTATCCACACCACACCAAGATAGGAAGGTGGAAGTGAAGTTGACACCAAAAACTGATAATAAATTATAATTTTAATTAAAGTCAAGTCTATGACATGATTGAATGAATGAATGAATGATTGAGAGGAAGGGCATAATGTATGATGATCTTTATAAACTCAATGTTTTACCGTGTCGATACATCATCATTCCAACAACAACAAACATCTAAATCAGATATTACCTCTATCTCTTTACCTCTACCTTTCTTTACCTACCAACAAATATACAATTAAAGATGGCCGCCGCTGTTCAATACCCAGCCCAAACTGCTGTTCCATTCGCCTACGTCCACCCAGGCGCTTGCCACGCCGACGCCAAGGCTGACGCCGAGCACCTCAGAAAGGCCATGAAGGGAATGGGCACTGATGAGAAGGTTCTGATTTCGATCCTTGGAAACCGTAACTGGGAGGAGCGTGCCGCTATCATCAAGGCCTACTCTGTTCACGTTGGCCGTGACCTCATCAAGGACATCAAGTCTGAGACCTCGGGCAACTTTGAGAAGATCTGTGTGGCCCTCTTGACCGACCCAGCCGTCTACGACGCTGAGAACCTGTTTGGCGCCATGAAGGGAATCGGCACCAACGAGAACACCATCACCGAGATCCTCGTCACCAGATGCAACGCCCAGAAGCACCTGATCAGCAACATCTTCAACTCGGAGCACCACAAGACCCTCAAGCACTGGATCCAGTCAGAGGTCTCTGGTGACTACAAGAACTTCTGTGAGCACCTCTTGGAGGGCCGTGACGAGTCGATGATCGTCGACGCTGCCATGGCCACCAAGGATGCCGACGCACTCTACCACGCCGGCGAGGGCAAGATCGGCACTGACGAGAAGACCTTCATCCACATCATGACCCGTCGCAACTTCCTCCAGATCCGCGAGATTGCCCGTGTCTACCCAACCATGCACAAGCACCACTCCTTGGAGAAGGCCATCGAGAGCGAGTTCTCTGGCGACGTCAAGAACGGTCTCCTCGCCATTCTGCACTTTGCCAACGACTCATTCGGCTACTTTGCCGAGGTTCTGCACAAGTCGATGGAGGGTGCCGGCACCAACGACAACAAGTTGATCCGTAACGTCCTCTATTGCATGCCATTCATCCAGCACGTCAAGCAGATCTACTTGACCAAGTACGGCAAGACCCTGCACTATGCCATCTCCAACGATTGCTCAGGCGACTACAAGAAGTTGCTTTTGGAGATCGTCAAGCCATAAATGTTGTTATTTCAACAACATCACCCATTGGCCATCATCACCATGAATCATCATCCATTCATTGTTTGTCCATAGATAACAACAATAAACTCACTTTATTGCACTCTGTATAACATAAATCTTCATCCGGAATCCTCCCTGTCTTTTGATTTCTTTTCAAGTATTAATGAAAGTCTAATTGTAAGATTCACTGCCGAGTAAGTGGATGTGGATGGAATGATCCCTTCATATCTATGTATAAGTTGGGTAGTTGGGTTATTCACGTGAATAACTGGAAAGAGTCAGTGAGTGAACAAAGAGAGAATAGTCGTCCTCAGACTTTGTGAATCAAAACACCCCAGTGTGTAACCTTCCCCATCCCCTCAAATTCACACACAGATGTTTGAGAATACCTCAAGTTCATCTCATCGCGATTGGCGATGTGTCAAACACCAAAGTGACATCTGCAAGGAGATTTATTCATAGTTTCGCAAACATATATTAATTGTATAATTAATATCTATCTATCTATATATATATATATATTATCTGTACTCTTACTAGTTGAAGCAATAACAACAACAACAACAACATTCACATTTGAAACAGTAGTAATAATAATAATCAATACAAACAATGTCACAATACCCTCAAGGCTATCCTGCACCAGGTCAATATAATTACCCTCCACAACAAGGCTACCCACCTGCCCCTGCGCCAGGTCAATATGGTTACCCTCCACAACAAGGCTACCCACCCGCCCCCGCACCAGGACAGTACAACTATCCACAGCAGCCTTACTATCCCCAGCCACAGGCATACGCACAGACGACAGGCTATCCTCAACAGCAGGTCTATCCCCCAACTCAGCAGTATGTGCAGCCCACTGGATACGCCCCTGCGCCCTACCCTCAGCCTGGCATGCCAATGATGCCACCTGTAGCCGTTGCTGCACCCGTTGGCATTGCACCCATGGGTGTTGCTGTTGCCGCTGCACCAGTAGCCTTTGCCGTCTTCACACCAGGTTCAATCGGTCACGATCTCAAGAGAGACGCTGAGAATCTCCGTCGCGCAATGAAGGGATTGGGAACTGTATGTAATCAACGATACCACTCAATCACTCAATCATACTAACTCAATCACTCACTCAATCACAAAACAGGATGAAAGGACATTGATTGAGATCCTTGGCAATCGTAATTGGGCAGAGCGTCAAGCTATTATTATGGAATACTCTCGCCACATTGGAAGAGATCTGATCAAGGATATCAAGTCAGAGACTTCGTTCAATTTCAAAAAGTGTCTAGTCGACATGCTCACCGACCCCTGTGAGTACGATGCAGACAACCTCTACAAGTCCATGAAGGGACTGGGCACCAACGAGCATACATTGACAGAGATCCTGGTGTCGAGAAGCAATGCTCAGAAGGCCAGAATCTTCCAGATCTTCAACTCTGAGCACAACAGGAGCATCAAGCATTGGATCGAGTCGGATACGTCCGGACATTACAAGCATCTCCTGCTCAACCTCTTGGACCCACGCGATGAGTCCAACATTGTCGACCCTAACCTCGTGATGAGGGACGTGGACACGCTCTACTACGCTGGCGAGGGTCGTTTGGGAACGGACGAGCATGCCTTCATCAAGATCTTTGCTCAACGCAACTTTATGCACATCAGGGAGATTGCTCGCATCTACCCAACGATGCACAGGCGCCACACACTTCAGAAGGCCATTGACAGCGAGTTCTCCTTTGAGATCCGTGGCGGACTCCAAGCCATCGTCTCTTACGCATTGGATTCGTTCTCATTCTTTGCGTCGATCCTGCACGTGGCCATGGCAGGACTTGGCACCAACGACGACAAGTTGATTCGCAACATTATCTACTGTCAGCCATTCATGCCCCATGTCAAGAGAGCCTACCTTGCCAACTATGGACAGTCTCTGAGCCATGCCATCTCGCACGATTGTTCAGGTGACTACAAGAAGTTATTGCTTGAGGTAGTTGGTCATTAAACAACATGTAATCTAAACTAAAGAAACAGACAAACCACTGTATCCAGTGCCATATTCCATGAATATTAAAGACTCTTAATACTCTTAATATATATTTAATTTATACTTATTAATTATTTATTGTTGCTCAGTGTCACTGTCAGGGTTCAGCTTCATCAACACTCTCTTGTGGTAGTCGACCAGAGCGGTGATCAGTGCCTGGTCAGTGACGGTCTTGATGTAGTCGTCCATGACAACACTCTCTTGGAATATCTGCAGTGAATGTACAAGTGCTCTCTCAGAGGCGAGCTTGAGAGGCAGACTGCTTCTCTCACGAAGTCTGGCCATGGTGGGCGGGATAATCAGTGAGAGGTACTGTCTGGAGGCGCTTGGTTGGGCCTTGCAGTAACGCTTGATAATGTTCAGTGCACCAATGGCGACGGCGGTGGCTTGGTCAGTGATAAGAGCGCAGAGGCCTGGAATGAGTTCACTGGCGTATGTTGGTTGCACACGGAGAATGTAGTCAGCCAGCAGTGATGATGATTCACGGATGGGTGCCTTCTCGTCCTTGAGGTCGACGAGGCAGGTCGAGATGATTTGGGCAATTGGCGAGGTTTGGCTGGAGACAATCTCCTTGCCAGACACCTTCATGATCTCACCAATGGCCAATGATTTACCGTAGCGAACCATCACCGAACCGGATGGAGACAGCAGATGGGTCTTGATGAACAGGCTGAGAGCATCGACCGAGGCGAAGCACTTAGATGACGATCCAATGACCTGTGCGGCTGGCAATCTGAGCTCATCGGATTGAGTGAACAGGAACTCGGCTACAGGCACAAGTGCCTTCTCCAAGTTGGCTTGGTCAATCTTTGGCTTCTTCTCAAAGATGTTGTGGAGCGCTTTCAGTTTGACCTCCTGAGAGGTGGCGTCAGTGGAACCTATGCCTGTGACCAGTGAGTTGACCAGCTGGTCCACCGAGGGACTGAGTGTCATGAGCAGACCGAGTGCCGTGGCGGCATTGTTTCGCACAACCTTGTGGGGATCGGCCAATGACTTGATAAAGGTGGGCTGCAGTTGATGCAAGAAGATCTTCATCGATGCTGGACACTTGGTGATGAGCAACGACAGAGTCTGGAGAATGGCAGCCTTGACACCCCATGGGAACTTATCTCCTATGGTGAGGATCAGTGGACCAGTGATTTCCATGGCTGAAGCCTTGACACCGTCCTGAGATGTGAGTGTGATGACCTGATGCAAGGTGTTGGTAGCCAGTTCTCTTTGGTCGGCAGTACCGTATCTGAGACCGTTGAGCAGGATGGGCAACACTGGTGCCAATCCCTTGGGGATGCAGAAGGCTGGAACGGTCTGTGTGTCCGAGTCCACCTCGGCGGCCAGCTTCTGTACTCCGCTTTGGACAGAGGAAATGAATTGCAGGTTCTCCTTCTTGATGGTCTTGGTGATGGCCAACAATGCCTGGCTGGCGCCAACCTGAACCTTGGGCTCTGGGTCGACAAACAATGAGAGAAGGCCAACGATCAATGAATCGATGTAATCCTCCAGGTCCAAAGTGGTGCCACTGCAGAACTCGCCAATCAGCTCGCATGCGCCCAGACGTATGTTGGGGTGGGGCAACTCAATCTCCTCGAGCAACAAGGGGATGAGCACTTCGAGACCCTCCTCATCGATCGAGCGACAGATGGAGACGGCGGCAGTCTTGACCTCCTTGGCGTTGGTGGCGCTTGGGCTTGAGAAAGCTTCGATCATTGCGGGGATGATCGTGGCCAGGTGAGTGTGCAGACCTGCACCAGACTCCTGAGTGAGTGATGCAAGCGCTTGAGCGTTTGAAGTGGAGATGGGCTTGACCAGGAGCTTGGGCACGATGAAGGGCAGGACAACGGACGACTTGATGAGCACCAGTTGACGGAGACCATCGAGGGCGTTGCTTGCCAGTGAGGCGTTGCTGCTGTCCAGCTTCTGAATGAGCGATGGCAAGATGTCGTTGCTTGCCTTTGAACCGAATGTGAGGTGGAGCTGGTCAAAGGCCTTGGCAGAGGCCTCACGCACGTCAATGAGTGGATCGCAGAGCGAGCGGCTGATACATGTGACCACGGAGCTGAGGAATGGCTGCAGCTGGGTACGAGCCGATGAGATAACCTCAGTAAGACCAATGCAGACACCTTGACGGGTCTCAAACTCGTCCGAGTTGAGTCCACGCTCGAGGATAGGGAGAATCTCGGGCAGGATACGGTCGCCAAGCTTTGAGACGACGTCTCCAAGTGTTCTGGCGGCAACCTGGCGCTTCTCGATGTTGGACGAGCCAATCGATGCGATGATCATCTCGATCAGCGATGGAAGGATCTCGCGCAGTGTCTTTGGTGTGTTGTTGACGACGTACTTCCAGATCAGCAGAACCTTCTGGCGCACAGAGATGTTGTTGTCGAAACGCATCATGTACAACGATGAGAGAATGCGGTCCAGACGCTCCTTGCCAAGAAGGTTGTAAATCTCGCTCTTGGTTTGAGCGATGGTGTCGCCCTCCTCTTCGGCCTCCTCCTCGGCGGCGGCAGCTTGCTTTGATGCCTTGTCCTTCTTGCCAGACTTGCCAGAGGTGGTGGGGGAGGTGGCTTGCACCTCGGGTGTGGGCTCCATGATGGCTGCACCACCAAGCTTGAACATCAGATCGCCAAACAGTGTGACACAAGACAGTCTGATTCTCCAATTCTCGTGGAACAGCACACGCTCTAGCGATGGCACGATGACCTCGATACCAGACACGGCATATTGATTGATGATGGACTGTCCACAACGCATGCAAACCTCGCGCACTGGATCAGAGTCGTCGGCAAGACCCTTCAGCACCTGAGGCAACACCTTGGGCAGGTAGGGAAGGAACGCCTGGCCAAAGGAGATGGGTGTGAAGATGAACATCGACATGACACCCTCACGAACATGAGCACGTGTGCTGTTGGCCATAGTGAGCAGCTCGCCAATGAGCGTGTTGAATCGTGAGATGTCCAGAGCGGCCAGCACCTCAGACAAACCTTGGGCGGCACCACTTCTCTCGACTGGACCCAGCTCGGACTTGAGTGTCTCGAGCATCCATGGCACGAGGTTGGTAAAGTACTCCTCGCCCATACCACGCACCAACAGACCAAGGGCACGGGCACAAATGGCACGCACCTCGGGGATTGGATCAACCAGGACGTTTTGGAGCACTGGCACCAAGACGCCAAGGTATGGCACCAGCTCCTTGGGCTCAGTGAGCGAGCACAGGTTACCAACGATCTGACAGGTCATCTTCTTGATCTCTGAGCTGCGCTCCTTGAGGGTGCGCTCCAAGATTGGCATGATCAGCGAGAGTGATGCTGGATCGATTGTGTGAATGTAGTTTGTGCTGAGCAGGTTCTCAAGCAACTCGCGCGAGTAGATGTCTGGGTCGTCGTAGGTCTTGAGGATCAGGGGCACGTGCACCTGGATCTCAGGGTTTCTGATGACGGAGCCAATGTGCGACAGAGACTCCTTTGCAGCCTGCTGCACCTTGATGTGCGAGTCGTTGAGCACGTTGGTCAGCTTGGGCACGATTGTGGGCAGACATGATGACAGCTGCTTGGGCGCACAGAAGGCCATGGCACCGAGCAGCTCGATCGAACCCTCCTTGGTTCTCCATTGTCTATCGTCGATGGCCTTGAGCAGTGCGGGAAGCACAATCTTGACACCGTGACCCGACAGCTGCGACATGATGGCACGTGCAGTCTCGGAAGTGGCCGTTCTGACATCGGCGGCACTGTCTCCAAAGCATACCAACAGCTTGGGGATGATCTGGATGATGTATGGCTCAAAGACACGACCAAGAATATTGCACAGACACTCAAAGGCAAAGAGCGAACCTTGACGCGAGGCTGGATGTCTCTTGTCCTCGACGTACGATGTCAGGGTGACCATGATGTTGTAGGTCTTGAGGGATGAGATTCCCAGACCCTTGATGGCACCACCAAGTCCAAAGGCATTTCCACGACGTGTGGCGTAGTCTCCACCCGACTTGATGTTCTCAAGTAGGATGGGGATGAGACGCTCGCCCTGCTTCTTGGAGTGGGCCATCAGCTGAGTGAGACACTTGGAGATGGTGACCTGTACGGCCTCGGATGGGGTGGAGAGTGCAGCAATCAACTTGTCCAGGATGATAATGATCCTTGGATTTCCATCCTCCATATGCTTGGCAAGAGCTCCCATGAGCACAGAGACTGACGCTCTGATGCTATCCTCATCGCCCGTTCCGCTGTCTGGACGACCGAGGAACTCCTCAAAGATCTGCAGCAGCTCACCAGAGAACTTGGATCCTTGGACGCCAATGATCATGATGCCGGTCTGAATGAGCTCTTGGACGACATCCTGTTTGGTGTCGTAGAGACCAGTCTCAATAAGCCATTGGAACAGCATCTTGAGGTCGTCTGCCGAAGACACGGCTGAGCCCACGCCAGACAGTGCGGTGGCAACTGATCGACGAGTGTTGGCAGTGACCTTGGTCTCCTTGACCAGGGCTGATGAGTTTGATTCGAATGTCAGGATGAGGTGATCGATGGCGTAGCTGCGAATGGTGGCAGTGTCGAGTGCGGCCGCTGCTCTCAGTGCTTGTGCATTGATCTTTCTGACCTCGTCGTGCGAGCTGTATGTTGAGTCCTTGAGCAGTTCGATGTAACGGTTGACGGGTGGGGCCTGGTTGCTTGAGTTCCAGAGTTTGTCAGCCAGTGCCGATGTGGTTGCGTCGGGGTCGGACCTTGCGAACCAGAGCTTGCCAACGTAGCTGTCCTCCCATTGGAAGGATGGCGTGAAGATCGATGGGATCTTCTCGAGCGCCTGCAGACAGATCAAGCGCACCTGATGGTGCTGGGAGATCAGACCGTCCATGAGCTCACCAACGTCAGACTCCTCAACACCGCTGATGATCTGGAAGATGGAGGCACGCGCCTGGGTCTCCAGACGAGTGCATGTGGCTACGACAATGATGAGCGATGCGATCATTGATCCTCTTGGGAACGGCTGGCCTTGCGATGTGTGCTTCTCGATGATCTCCATCGACAGCTCCTGCATGGTGTACGAGACGGTCTTCTCCAGGCCGTTCTTGACCAGTGGCCAGAAGAAGTTGAACGCGCTGGCGGGCAGCGGCTCAGTCTTGGTGATGTCGCGGACGTGTGTCAGCACCTTTTGCTGCGAGGACAGGATCTGAAGATCTGACAGCACGGGCGTGGCATAGATGTTGCTGATCAGGTATGTGACCATCGTAGCGTAGTACAGGCTGAGCTTGGCACTTGCGGGCGCCATCACTGTCAATGTCTTGTACGTGTTCATTGCAGCCTCGTGTGTGTAGTTGTTCTTGAAGAGCTCGAGCACGGGCAGGTAGAGGATCGAGAGATACTCACCAGCGAACAGAGGCGATGCCAAGGCCATCTCAGAGATGGTCTCGAGTGCTGTGTGGTAGATGGCGATGGTCATGTTGATGTCGCTACGGATGGCCGACTGCTCGGCGATCTGGCGTTGGCGCTCCTTCTCTTGTCGCTCCAGCTCGCCACTCTCCTTCTTCTTCTTTTCCTCTTGCTTGCGACGCAGGGCCTCCTCCTTCTCCTCCTCAGCCGTCTTCTTCTTGGGTGCCTTGCCACGACGTGTCTCTGAGGCAATGCGCTCCTCCTCGCGACGCTTCTCTTCGTCGACCACTTGCTTGTCGAGGTAGAGCACGCCCTCCTCGCTGGCGTGGATGGCCAGCTGCATGGGTGTCAGGCCGGTGATGGCTACGGACGACAGGGACTTGGCAAAGTGACCAATGCTGTTCTCCACAATCATAGCTGACTTGACACGAGAGAACTCCTTCATGGCCGACTTGAATGCTTGTTGGTAGATGGGCAGCTTCCTGTTGTGCAGACCGTGGGTGAACAGGTAATGAACGATGTTGCGTGTCAACTGCTCGTGTTGTGCCTGCAGGAGCTCACGTGATGTCGTACCAATGATCGTCAGACAGGCTCTCCAGCAGTGACCAACGAATGGATGATTGGAGACCAGGGCCAGTGATGGGTAGTTCTTCTGGTCAAAGGTCTTGGACAGGGTGGCCTTGAGTGCCGATGAGTATACGTCCGTGGACAGTACAGTTGGGGTCTGCGAGTGGCTGTCGAGGATCTTGACAAACTCGACAAACAACTGATTGGTCAGATCGGGTTGTTCGCTGTGCAGCTTGTGGATGGTCTGCGAGGCAGCCTTGCGACAGTGCCACGATGGGTGGAGCAGCAGCTGAACCAGCGATGCGTAAACGCTGCGCTCGTTAGCCTTGGCGTTCATTGGTTTCAGGACACGAACAATGTCCGCCAGGAGTGCGGCCACCTCGTCTGTCTTGTTGGTGCGATTCAGATAGTTGGCCTGGTGCACGAACGATGTGTTGCTGAACAACAGCAGGGCGAACTGCTTGTCTGATTGCAGCTTTCCACCGATTGATGCTGGAGCCTTGGTGGCCAGCACCAGCTGGTACTTGAGGGCGGCGGCGGTGGTCGCAGTGTCACATGTGACGGCGTTTTTGATGTTCTTCAGGATGGCATTGATCGACTCGCTGAAAGTGTTGATCTGGGTGTACTTCTTCTCAAACAGCTTGTCGTCTGCTGTGCCGCTCTGTGTGAACGCTCTGGCCAATGCAAGGATTGTCGTGGCCTTTGTGGCATCTTCGTCACTCTTCAAACTGTTTGTGATCAACTTTATCAGGTTGTCCGAGAGCAGGTCAATCGATTGCAAACAACTTCCAACCAATTTGAATCCATTAATCCTGTTTGTCTTTGTAACTGATTGATTGAGTGGAAGTGTTGGTTATTCATTCAATCATGTGTTGGCAGACATTAAACTTACTTTCTTTCTCAAGGTAGGTGGTCACTGGAGTGACGACAGCCTTGGCAATGGACAGCTTCTCGTTGGTATTGTATTGGTTGTTGCTGCTATTTACAATTGATCTGAGGGCATAGAGAGCATTGAGTTTGACACCTATGTTACCAGGAGCTGTTGGGAAGGGAATGTAATTACGCGTCAGTATTGGCCATCACTCATCAACCGCGATATAAACATACTTGAAAGTGGCTTGAACAGCTCATCAAGGGATGATTGAAGAGCCTTGGCATCTTGGGTCTTGGAGACAATGAGGGCAAAGCTGCTCTTGACGAGCTTCTTGTTGATGTTGGCCACTTGGAGGATGGGCGCCAACATTGGGATGAGGTGGCTCTTGGTCAAGGTCGAGAGATCGAAACTAACGCTCTCGAGAATCAATGCAGTGACAGTGGCGATCTCCTCCTGGGCTCTCTTGATGAATCTGCCAATGGTGGGCAGTAGCACCGTCGTGAAGTCGTTGAGATCGATCAGCTTGAACAGGGGAACAAACAAGCGATGACGATCGATGGCGATGGGTGTCGTGGACGACAGCACTACCTTGTTGTAATATGAGAGATAAAAGTCCTTTGATGCAGCGATGGCTTTCGAGTCGAGTGTCGCCAACAGGTATCCATAGAAGTAGAGTGTCGATGGGCTTTGAGCTGCCTCTCCAATAGACTTGAGGTAGTTGATGTAGATTTCGGTCAATGATCTGTCGAGCTGTTGGTTGATTGAGTGGATTGATTGATCAGGTGAGTGAGTAAGTAAGGGTACTTGGAATGACGAGTATGATACATACTTCAAAGTAATGCTTGAATGTAGACTGAGCAAAGTGCAATTGAGTCGAAGACAGATCCACGATGAGTGAAGATTGAATGTTGATCAGGGAGGCAAGGGATGCGGGTGTGGCAGTAAAGTGATCCTTGCTCTGCTGCAACAGCGTCATTGTCCATTTGAGTAGGGTGTTCTGAGCCAGGTAGCGTGGCTGCAGGGCTGGCTTGATCTGCTTGGCGGTGACGGCCAGCTTGCGCAGGAAGTGCTCGATCATCATTGGCTTGAGGTCGGCAGGGGCGCGCGCAAACGCCGCCGACATGGACTCGACCACCAAACGAACAGAGCACGAGTCTGAATAGACGAGCAGTGTCTCAAAGTAGGCGTCAATGTGTTGCAACAGCTGCTGCTGCTGTGATGCCGAGACGTCGTTGTTGTCCTCCTTGGCAATGTCTGCCAGTGCAGCCTTTCGCTCCTTTAGTGACGCTGCTGTAATGCTTGCATGGTGCTGTGTGTCATAGTCCACATATTGACCAGCAGTAGTAGTGTCGGCAACAGCCGAGTTCATTGAAGTATTATCCGATTGACTCATGTTGTTGATGTTCTTGTTCTATATTTCTAAATATATAATATCCCTTCTTGATTTGATTGATTGATTGATTGACTGATTTAGCACTCCATAACAATGTATGATGATGTCTGGAAATACATAAAGAGAGTAATAGAGATAGATAGAGATAATAGAGGGGAAGTGGAAGATGGGACTCGAAGAAACACTTGGGTCTCACTTCACTTGACTTCACAAACACCACCATTCATCCATCCTTCCATCCTTCAAAGTTCGAATTGTGTTTCACAAAGTTCGAATTGTGTTACACAATTACTTTTGTAAACAAAGACACACGTGAAATGGAAAGAACAAAAAAAACTAAGTCAATCCAGTTCCTTCATTCTTCTCACAAGTTCAAAGTTTCAATAAAAAACGATAACGTTACAAATGGTAGTCATCATCTATCACATTCCCGAAAAGGTTGTCAATGTCACCTTTGCATCACAACTAGTTTTATCCTTTGAGTCCACTTTTTTATCCAATTCAACCAACACACCACCCTTCACTCACTTCACTTCCTTTGAAATTATTCAACAACACTTTGATAACAATCATCATTCAATTTAAACTTACTTCTTGTTATATACATACAACTATATAGTTATATATATATATTATATATTTATAATGGATTCAACTAAAGTACCAACAGTCAATGAGATTAGGCAAACATTCATTGATTTCTTTGCCAAGAAATATGAACATACTTTTGTGCCATCGTCACAGGTGGTGCCACATGATGACCCAACGTTGTTGTTTGCCAACGCTGGTATGAATCAGTTCAAGCCAATCTTCCTCGGACAGGCTGACCCCCGCAGCGAGCAGGCCAAGCTGAAGCGTGCCGCCAACAGTCAGAAGTGCATCCGTGCCGGTGGCAAGCACAACGACCTCGACGACGTCGGCAAGGACACCTACCATCACACATTCTTTGAGATGCTTGGTAACTGGTCGTTTGGCAACTACTTCAAGCGCGAGGCCATCACATGGGCCTGGGAGCTGCTGACCGAGGTCTACAAGCTTGACACTGCACGCATCTACGCCAGTTACTTTGGCGGTGCCCCCGACAAGGGACTCGAGCCAGACAATGAGGCCAAGGCCATTTGGTGCGAGTTCTTGCCCGCTGACCGCGTGCTGCCCTTTGGCATGAAGGAGAACTTCTGGGAGATGGGCGACACTGGTCCCTGCGGTCCATGCTCAGAGATTCACTTTGACAAGATCGAGGGCAGGACTGGCTCGCAACACCTGGTCAACGCTGACGATCCCACCCTCATCGAGATTTGGAACTTGGTGTTCATCCAATACAACCGCGAGGCTGACAAGTCGCTGAGACAGCTGCCCGCCAAGCACGTCGACACTGGCATGGGTCTCGAGCGTCTCACCTCGATCATTCAAAAGGTTGGCACCAACTATGACACCGATGTGTTCATGCCCATCTTTGCAGAGATTCAGCGCGTCACCAAATTCTCCCAACCATACGGTGGCAAGGTCGGCAAGGACGACCCCAACCAGGTGGACATGGCCTATCGTGTCATTGCCGATCACATCCGTACATTGACATTCTCTTTGGCCGACGGTGCCGTACCCAGCAGCGATGGCAGAGGTTCAGTGTTGAGAAGAATCCTGCGTCGTGCCATCCGTTATGGCAAGCAGAAGCTCAATGCCCCATCGGGCTTCTTCCATTGTCTCGTGGACGTTGTGTTGCAGAACTTTGGCGACTTCTTCCCCGAGCTCAGAAAGCGTCCACAGCACATCATCTCAGTGATCGAGACCGAAGAGAAGATGTTTGAGCGTACATTGGACAAGGGAATCATCGAGTTTGAGAACATCGCCAAGAAGTCCACCAACGGCGTCATCTCTGCCAACCACGCTTGGTACCTCTCGTCGTCGTTTGGTTTCCCCATCGATTTGACCACACTGATGGCCGAGGAGAAGGGCATGAAGGTCGACATTCAGGGCTACGAAGCCCTGTCCGAGAAGTTGGCCGAGGAGAACCGCAAGCGTCAGAAGGAGAAGAAGAACGAGCTCACCTTGAACGCCGAGCCCATTTCTATCCTGCAAAAGATGGACGTGCACCCAACCAAGGACCAGTACAAGTACGAGCAGAAGGAGGTTCAGACCGTGGTCAAGGCCATCTGGACAGGCAGCGAGTTTATCAACTCTCTGGTCAACGCCAACAAGAAGATGGTTGGTGTCGTGTTGGAGAGCACCAACTTCTATCCAGAGCAGGGTGGTCAGATCTTTGATATCGGTAACATCAACTTTACCGACACACAAAACACCGCCTTCCAGGTCACCGACTGCAAGGTGTTTGGTGGCTACGTGCTGCACATTGGTTACATCTCAGACGACTGCGCCGAGCTCAAGGTTGGTGATCGTGTCGAGACCACCGTCGACTACACCCGTCGCATCCCCATTATGTCCAACCACACCTCCACTCACATGGTCAACTTTGCCCTGCGCAAGGTCGTCGGCGAGAACGTCGACCAGAGAGGTTCATTGGTTGACCAGACCCGTCTCCGTTTCGACTTCTCAATCGACAAGTCGCTCAACAAGGACCAGCTGGTGCAGGTGGATGCCATCGTCAACGAGCTCATTGCCAAGCAACTGCCCGTCCACAGCAAGGAGGTCGAGCTGGACATGGCCAAGAAGATCTATGGCCTGCGCGCTGTCTTTGGTGAGGTCTACCCCAACCCAGTGCGTGTCGTGTCTGTTGGTGTCGACGTCAACGACCTGATCACCAACCCATCCAACCCAGACTGGGCCAACTACTCGATCGAGTTCTGTGGTGGCACTCACTTGACCAACTCCAAGGAGGCCGAGTTCTTCACCATCGTCTCTGAGGAGGCTGTCGCCGCCGGTGTCCGTCGTATCTTTGCCGTCACTGGATCAGATGCCTCGGTGGTCTTTGACAACAACAGGAAGTTGGAGGACCTGTTCAACGAGGCCAAGAAGCTCACTGGCAAGGACCTCAAGGACAGCGTGCCAAAACTGCTCGCTCTGCTCGAGTCACATCAGTTGTCCGCCTCCAAGAGGATCGAGCTCCAGGCCACTCTGAACGAGGTTCAGAACGAGGTCAAGAAGTGGTTCAAGGTGCAGGAGCAACAACAACTCACCGACGCCAAGAAGGTTGTCACCACCATTATCGAGCAACTCAAGGAGAGCAAGGCCCCAGTCTTTGCTGGTGAGATTTCTCGTAAGTTCATTCATTGCCTTCTTCCCACTCAATCAATGTGCCGGTGGTGATCATTATACTAACCTCACCCATTCATCCACATTTACAGTTGGACTTAACAACTCTGCCATCACAGACTTGATCAAGGAGATCCAGACTGCTTGCCCAGACACTGCCGTGCTGTTTGTCAGCCCAGACGAGGAGAAGAAGAAGGTGTGTGTGCTCTCGATCGTCCCACCAAAGTCAACTGCCGCCACAAAGGGATTGACTGCCAACTCATGGGTGGTCAAAGTGTCTGAGGTGCTCGGTGGCAAGGGTGGAGGCAAGGTTGATGTTGCCCAGGGTGTTGGATCATCAATCGAGAAGGTCGACGAGGCCATCCAGCTTGCCAAGTCATTCGGTGAGAAGTTGCTGTTGTAATTGAACTGTCTTGGAACAACAACAACAAATATAATAATTAAATTAAATTCCCCAATTATCTTTGCAAACTCCCAAACACATTGATTGACATGCATTCAGTTTGGTGGAGCTCATCGAACAGTCTGGTCTTTATTCTATTCGAATATCTATCTGTTTCCAAACACATAATTGCCATAACCTTCAGCGCCAATAACATCAATAAGTTGACTATCGAACAAATGAAGAGATAGACTTCGTAGTCCTGTGTCATCAATGACCCTTTTGTTGTTGTTCTTGAACTGTTCTCGCGCCTTAATTGGAGTGGTAGTTCATCTACCCCCAAATGATTTAAAATGAATTAAAATTGAATTTTGAGCTTTGAACAACACAAAACACAGTGCTTGGGCGAGCGATGTGCACCAACTCACAACGAGCACTCTCGCGCACACACACATCTAGACACATACATCTTCTATCTCTTTGTTTCTAGCTATCTCTATCTCTTTGGTATGTGACGAATCTTCATCAAAAAGATGCATCCGTAACATCTGCGACATATAGATTACTAACATCAACATTCTAAACATTTCATTATTTCATCATACAAATAATACTTATAGCTTTCAACAACACAACAACACATACACAATGGCTCAAACTGCTACTGACCCAATTAAGCTCGTCTTGGTCGGAGACGGAGGTGTAGGAAAGACTACCTTTGTCAAGCGTCACGCAACTGGAGAGTTCGAGACTAGATATATTCGTATGTATTATTATTACTTATATTTGTTTTGAACAAGTACTAATAGTACATATTTCTATCATTCTCTCGAATAACTTTAGCAACCCTTGGTGTCAATGTTCATCCATTGCCATTCTACACCAACTACGGAAAGATCATCTTCAACATCTGGGACACTGCTGGTCAGGAGAAGTTCGGAGGTTTGAGAGACGGTTATTAGTAAGTACTTCATCATTCATTATTATTTGATACACTAGAAAGAGAAACAATGTCTAACACATCATTCAATCAATCAATCACAATCTATCAAACAATCGATCAATCAAACAAAACAAACCAATTACGCGAATAATATAGTATTCAAGGACAATGCGCCATTATCATGTTTGATGTCACCTCGCGTGTCTCTTACAAGAACTGCCCCAACTGGTACGGAGATTTGGTCAGAGTTTGCGAGGGCATCCCCATCGTTCTCTGTGGAAACAAGGTCGACATCAAGGACCGTAAAGTCAAGCCATCACAAATCACTTTCCACCGCAAATACAACCTCTCCTACTACGACGTGTCGGCCAAGTCCAACTACAACTTTGAGAAGCCATTCATCTGGTTGACCTCCAAGCTCCTCGGCAACAAGAACGTCCAGCTGGTCCAACAGCCAAACATGCAGCCACCCGAGATCATCTTGGACCAGGCTTTGATGCAGCAGTACGAGAAAGAAATTCAAACCAGTCTCAGTGTCCCAATCCCAGCCGACGAGGATGATTTATAAACGCGCGCATGCAACGAGGCTGGTCCCGCGACCCGCGTCGTCCAGAGGAAGAACAGAATACCCCCGACCAACCAACCCGACCGACCGATCAACGCCGGCGTCGCCAACCATCTGCTCTGTTTGCCCATTGTCCAAACAATGGTCATTCTATACAACTTCAACAACAACAATAACACAACACCCATCATAATCACCAACAACCTCTGCAGCTCAGTCCCTTTCACCATCCCACCCATTATACCATACCATTAGTGCCTCCACCTTTCCCCTTGTGCCACCTTTGTTGGATACAACCAAAGAGAAAAGAATAACCATCTTTTTTATCCTATTATTACTCTATTCATCCATCACTTGCATGGTTGATGACTGCCTTTGTGTCTTTATTATGTCTTATGATGACGACGACGACGAGTTGTTTGTTGTTGGACCATACTTCTCGACTACATCCTTGTACCAACCCTCTCTGATCTTTATATCCTTGGGCTTTAGATTGGATTCAAACAGCGAGATTGGTGAAGGGTCCAGAGGCCACACTGGCAAATAGTAGGCGTCCTCTGGTGCCGTGAACATCTTATGTTTGTACATCTCGATGCCGGCCCATGCGATCATTGTTCCATTGTCTGTACATAGTGCTGGCTCGGGGAAGTAGCTCTGCACACCAACTTGTGTGCCCAACTCCTCGAATTGTTGTCTCAGCTTCTTGTTCTTGGACACGCCACCCGTCACTACGAGGCCACGCAATGGTTCAAACAACTTTCCATTGACAGTTGTGTTTAGTTTGCTGTTGTACCATGTGATGGCCTTGAGTGTCTTCTTCTCCAAATGCTTAAAGGCACAATATTGGAATGATGCTGCCAGGTCGAACCTATCCCGGTTTGACAGCTCACCATTTGGTTTGTCCGCAGTCAGCTCACCAATCAATCGCTTGACCGATGACTTGAGTCCAGAGAATGAGAAATCACAATTCTTTGATCCAATCAATGGTATTGTGAATGGGAATCTCTTTGGATCACCTTTTCTAAATTGATTTGGTATGTCGAGTGATTGAGTGAGTGAGTGAGTGGAGTAATTCCATTGATTGATTGATCGATATTGTTGGTTCATACCTGGATAAGATCTCGATTGCTTCACCTCCATGTATGTTGGTGTATTTCTTATCTCCATCATCAACTTCACCAAAGCCACAACCAAGCATTCGGGCAGTCTTGTCTAATGCCTCGCCAACAGAGTCGTCGAGAGTGTTGCCAAGCAGGGTATATGAGGAGACACCGTGACATACGAGCAGTTGTGAGTGTCCACCACTGACCAGAAGTGTCATGAAGGGGAATTGGATGTCGGGACATGACAGTCGACACGCCAGACAATGTCCTTCGAGGTGATTGACCGATATGAATGGCTTGTTGTACTGTTTTGCCAACTGACGACCCTTCTCCAATCCAACCTCCAGTGACAGCGCAATGCCAGGACCAGTTGTAACGGCAATGGCATCGATTGCATTGATATCTGTGTTTGCCATGGCCAATGCCTGTTCGACGGCTTCATCAATCACGGCCTTGTGTGCATCGGATGCCAACTTTGGCACGACACCATTAAACTTCTTATGTATATCCCATTGAGCCTTCCTATACTCTGATCTTATATTCCTATTACTATCTACAACGGCAACACTAGTATCATCACAACTTGTTTCAATGCCCAGGATTGTAGTGATCGATGGATTGGTCCTTGTGGTGCAATATCTCCTCAAACCAACATTGTTAATCAGATATCCTCCTCCTCCTCCTGCTCCATAGATATTAAATATTTTAGAGAATAATAATCGATTATTATTTAATTGTTGTTGTAACATTGTATTATTCTTATTAATAAACCAAAGTGATAAACTATTGACTTGTGAGCAGTAGGCTCGTCAATTCGACGTCAGTCCACGAAGTTTGCTTTTCAAACACACACTTTGGTTCAAACAAACGAGTCGACTCCAAACAAGAACCCCTTTGTCGTGTTCATGCTCTCGCACCACCTCACTCCCACTCATTCATTCATTCATTGATTACTTACTCTGTGTATCTTATTACTATTACTATCTGTTACTATTATCAATATTACAACACTTATATATAGATAAACTTATCACAAGCATGGATCAGATACCAAAGGAGTTCATTGAAATCATTCATGCACTTGGTCAGAATGATACTGCCATCATCAAACAGGCAGAGGAGAGATTCAATGCATACAGAGCACATCCAGATCAGTTGGTTGGATGTCTAATAATAATACTGTCAAGTTCTGACAATCAAATTGTAGGTGTCATTATCAATCATCAAGGAATACTCACTCACATTCATTCGTTCGTTCGTTCATTGATATCCGCACACACAGCTCAAGGCGTATGCATCAGTGTTGGTAAGACCACTGCTCAGTGAGTCTGATCCAAAGTGTTTGTGGAACAGTCTATCTCCAGACACCAAGCAACACACCAAAGTACAGTTGCTCCAATGCTTGCAGAATGAGAGTGTCAAGTCAACCAGACACAAGATTGCCAACATCATTGGTTCATTGGCTCCCAACCTCATCCAAAAGAGTATGTCACCAGTCTAGTATTAGTAGCATGTAGGAATAGCAGTCACACTTACAGACACAACAACAACAACAACAACAACAACAATAGATGAATGGAATGACTTGATTCCATACCTGTTTGGAGCCGCAAAGTCAGAGAATGCCAATCTCAGAGAGGCATCATTCATTGTGATCAAGCTGATCTTGTCTGAAATCTCTTCCGATTTGATCAAGCCATATATCATCCAATTTAGAGATCTGGTCAATGTTGGTTTGGTTGATACATCCATCGAAGTCCAAGTGGCCGCCCTTCAGACCGTTTCCATGTTCCTCAACATCCGTGGTATTGACCTAAAGCCATTCCAGCCTCTTGTCTCACCCATGATAACAGTATGTTACCATCATTCAATCATTCAATCATTCAATATCACTAACAACATTACACAAAAGACAATTGGAAAAGCGATTGCCAGTGGACATGAGAAGAGTGCTCATGATGGAATACTTGTATTCATTATCATTGCCGATACCAAGCCAGCATGGTTCAGCACAGAGCCACAAAAGGTGATGGACCCATTCTTTGAGATACTAGTGTCAGATATGGTGGAGATGGAGGAGACCAGACACTTTGTCATGGAGTTCTTCCTGTGTGTCGCCGAGAAGAGACCAAGCATCTACAAGAAGAATGAGCTATACTTCCAGAAGCTCGTCCAGGTGCTCTACAAGTGGTCGGCATCAGTAGAGGAGATCGATTTCAACCAATGGAATACACAGATTGTAAGTTACATTTGATCAATCAATTCATTCATTCACTAACTACGACCTTTAGGATCAATCTGATGATGGAGACAACAGTGATGATAAGGTGGCACAGAGCGCATTTGATCGTCTTTCAAAGGCAGTTCCAACACTCACTGTCAAGCATGTCTCGATGTTCTTGCCTCAACTGTTAAAGTCAAGCTTCTGGGGCGATCGCTACGCAGCGCTCATGAGCATCTCAATGATCTGTGAGGGTTGCAAGGATAACCTAATCAAGAATCAAGGTTCACTACTAGAGTATGTGTACACTTTTCAAGACAATGTCCATCAATCAATCAACTAACCATCCAATTAATCAATAACAGTCTCATTCTTAGATTGGTCACTGATCCAAATCCACGTGTCCGTTGGACATTGTTCTTTGCATTGTCCCAAATGTCAAAGGACTTTGGAACTGCCCTGCATCCATTCTTTAAGGAGTTGTTTGCTGCAGTGGGCACTACCAAGGGAGAGAAATACCAAAGAAACCAAGGTATTGTCTGTATGTTCCTCAGCAGCTTCATTGAGGACATGGACAGAGAGATGCTTAGACCATTCACCGAGGAGTTATTTGCCTACCTTGAGCCACTGCTGGCTTCACAGAACCTCTATTCCGCTCAGCACGCTCTCTCTGCACTCTCAAGCATTGTTCAATGTATCGATGAGGACTTTGTTAAGGTATGTCAATCACCTCCATCACTCAATCAATCAATCAATCAATCAATCAACCAATTCTAACCGTCTATCCTCCACAATCTGTGATCATAGTATTATGACAAGTTCATGCCATTCTTGATCAACATCATCCAGAATAACAAGTCCAAGGAGACACGTATGCTTAGAGGTACCGCAATGGAGACCATCAGTATCATTGGTCTAGCAGTCAAGAAGGAGAAGTTTGCGCCACATCTCCACCAGATCATGACCTACATGGCACAGCAACCACCATTCGAATCCGATGATCCTCAGATTGATTTCTTCCTCAGAGCCTGCACTAGATTCCTCCAATGTCTGGACACAGACTTCAAGCCATACCTCCAATTCTCCATGAAGCCCATCCTTGAGGCCATCCGCGCCAAAGTGGAAATCACAACCACCCGTAAGTCCGAGCCCCAAGACAACAGAGACCTCATGCATCAATCACTAACCTCCCTACCCCATCATACAGAGTACGAGAACATCACACAAGACTCTATTAGTGATGCCAGTGAGATGACGGTCGAGAACAAGGCATTGGCATTGGAGCTGATTGTGTTCTACGCCAACATTCTTGGAGAGGAACTATTCCCATACATTGAGGAGTTGTCCAAGGAGTCACTCAAGTTAATCAACTATATCTACAACGAGGACATTAGAGTGGGCGCCGTACAGTTCCTACCATTCATCATCAAGATATCAAGGGCACACTTTGAAAAGGTGCTCAAGGTGCCCGATGGAACCAAGGTGGAGTTCACCATCAATCTCTTCAACTTCATCCTCGAGCAGCTGCTCAAGTCACTCGAAACAGAGTCACTACCAGAGATCATTGGTGAGAAGATGCGTAGCATTGCATCCGTATGTATTATTTATTATACACGACTCATACAACTTTAACAACATACTAACAATCTGTCAATGTATAGTGCGTTGAGGCCATGGGAACCAACTTCCTTTCGGACATTCAATTGAAGGCAACTTTCAAGGCGTTCCAGAATGTATTGACATCATTGGATGAGGTCAGACAGGACATTGAGGACGACAAGGACGAGGAGGACGACGAGAACCATCTCTCCGAAGAGATGATGGTGTTGGAGCAGGCCTACGACAACACTGCAACAGCGATCTGTCAGGTGATCATCTCGAGCAATCAGACATCGGTTAACTACTTCAAGGAGTTCCTGCTCAGCGACATCCTGAGCCGCATCAACAGCGAGACTGACTCGGAGGCGATCCAATCATCGATGATTTGTGTACTGGACGACCTTATCGACAATGGAGGCGAGCCAGTCACCCAACTCTATTCGCACATCATCCCATCAATGATCACTGCCTGCGCCAGCAAGGACTCGGCAATCATTCAGGGTGCCAGCTTTGCACTGGGAATCGCCGCACAAAACGGCACCGTCGCGTTCAGACCATATCTAGTGGAATCACTCAAGGCACTGGTAGCAATCATTCAGACACCGACGGCCAAATCATCAGAGTACAAGTCGTCCACAGAGAATGCCATCTCTGCCATTGGACGTGTGATCGGACACTGCTCCGCTCAGTTGGGAGACCATTTACAAACATTGATACCTCTCTGGATCTCAAATCTTCCAATCAGTGATGATGAGGAGCGCACTGCAGTCCTTAGACAACTTGTTGTCATTTTGAAACAGTAAGTGTTAAATTTGATCATCCCCAGACAACCTTGGTACTGACAACTGTTCATTCACAGACATCCTCAATTCTTTACACAGACAGAGCTCTGTAGAACACTGGTAGTGTTTAGCGATGCATCTGAGAGAAATTATATCAGCGACGAGCTCAAGCCAGACATCAAGCAGCTCATCCTCACTCTTCACCAGCAGGCACCTGCCATCTTTGCACACATTGATGCAGACAAACAACAACATCTCTCCAAGATCGTCCAATAATAATAATAATAATAATAAAATAACCATATCAATCAATCGACCACGTAGGTAGTTAGTTAGTTAGATTTATTTAGTGTCAGACGACTGACTGCTGACTAGTTGACAGTGTCATCAGATGCAGCAATCTTGAGGAAGACATCCTCAAGACTGGTCTGTTGGATGCCCCACTCTGTGACGTGGTTCGTTTCCTTGTTCTGCAGCATAAAGGTGAAGAGATCAGAGATGAGTGTGTCCTTTGGCAGACGATACACAAAGCTGCCAGAGAACGATTCGATAAGGATGGCCTCTGGTGCAAACTTCTGGATCAGGCTGGTGGGATCGTACTCGGGGTGGGAGGGGTGGACGTTGAGTTTGAGCGAGTAGCCCTCGCCAAACTTGGACTTCAAGTGCTGTTGTGGGCCAACGCACTGCAGCTTGCCTTGTGACATGATGCCGATACGCGTGGACAGGACATCGGCTTCCTCCATGCTGTGTGTAGTCAAAATAATACACTTGCCATGCTTGAGCTTGTTGAGAATGGCCCAGAGCTCACGGCGAGTCTTTGGATCGAGTCCGGTGGTGGGCTCGTCGAGGAAGACGATCTTGGAGTTACCAGTGATCGATACGGCCACACTGAGACGGCGCTTCATGCCACCGCTCAGCTCCTTGACCAGACGGTCCTTGAACTCATAGAGGGCAACGTCGCGCAGAGTGTCGTGCACATGCTCCAGCTCATCCTTGATTGGCACTCCCTTGAGTCTTGCGTAGAAGAGCAGCGTCTCAACGCAGGACAGGTCCTCCCAGAGTGTGTCAAACTGTGGACATACTCCGACGATACGATGGATGTAGTCCATTTGAGTGGCAATGTCGAAGCCTCCCACACGCGCAAAGCCAGAGGATGGGCGGTACAGACCGGTGAGAAGGGAGATGGTTGTGGTCTTGCCGGCACCATTTGGACCAAGCAATCCAAAGCATTCACCACTGTCGATGGTCAGGTAGAGCTTGTCGAGGGCGGGCTTGGGTCTGCCATCGTAGTGCTTGGACAGGTTGGAGATGATGATGGGGGCAGACATGCTGATCTGGTGGTTGATGATTCGACTCTTTTCATTGGCGACGTCCTCGTCCTCGGCCTCATCGGGTACATCGGGTGAAGACTCGTTGATCAGGAACACCTGCTCCTCTGGTGTGGACACTTGGAGTTGACGCTTCTTCTTGATCCAGTCAAAGAGTGGCTGCATGAAGAACAGGGGTGGCTGGGGCACACCAAACTCACGTGGAAGCACCTGGTCAAGGTACAAGGCCAGCACCAGATAGAACAAGGAGTCCATGTACAACCAGAAGATTATACGAGATGGTTCAAAGCTCCAAGTGTAGGCCGACCATTGTGGGCACATGTTAAGACCACAGAGTGATGAGATCTCTGTAAGGCCACGGTAGAACGCAAACAGAGGGTACCAATAGTATGCCATTGGTGGTGGACTATTCTGCCATACTATATATGTCATGTGTTTGAGGTAATGGGTTAGAGAGGATGATGCACTTGGGATGGATAAGGTGATACATACACTCGGCAGAGAGCACAAGGTTGACAATGACACTGATGATCAAAAGGAAGTAACAGGTGACTGTGGCAGTTCTGGTCCTCTTGAATAGAGTGCTGAGGAAGAATGAGAAGGTGATCATGGCATTTCCCCATCCAAACAGCAACAGGAACATGGCAAAGCCAGAACCATCAGTGAACACTGAGAATCTAAATGCCATACTGATGCCAACTACAATCACCAATGCACAAAAGTACAACAAGAAGTTGAACAAATATGTAACGATCCAATAGTTTCTCATCTTAAGTCCCATCTATAATTGTGTTGTTGGATAATGTGTTGGTTAGGTGTTGGTCTCACTTGTCCTAGGTCATTGGTGATCACTTACCATTAGACACATGTCTCTCAAACGCTCTTGCTTCTCAAGGACGATGGAGAAGACAAACAAAGGCAAAAGGAAGGAGAGGGCGAATGGGTAGAAAAGACCACCGAGAAGACTGCCCACATCGATTGAGGGTGGATACTGCTCGAATGGTAGTGTAGTCAGCTCACTGAACACTGCGAACTTTTGGCCATATACATAATTGACTGAGAGAGGATGGATGTTAGTATGATGAAGAAGTAGTACATAGTGAGTAATGTATACATACTATATGCACTCTCTAGTAGATTGCTCATAAAGACATAGATTAATGGATTGGAGAAGTTTGACAATTGGAAGAGTGGCTGGATGTCAATGGCAACGGTGTAGTCCAACACTTGTCCGTCAGCAGAGAAGTTGTTAAAGATTAGAGATGCAAATGGCATGTTGAACAATGAAGCTGGACTGAGCACCACGGTACTACGACGCTCGTTGACCAGTGATGTCTTTACATTGAGGATGTCACGGTTCATTTGACTTGGTGTCTGGAAGTCTTGACTGTATGGTATGTACATTGATTTGTTGATATAAGGTATTGGTCCATAGATCTGAGGCATGTGTCCAAGGAATCCAGTACCATTTCCATCATTTCCAAGTGTTCCAATATCTGGTATACCATTTGGATTGGTGTCATCAAAGTGTCTATTTTGTTTGGATTGATGGAGTGATTGAGTTAGTGAGGGCTTCGTGAGTGGGTGATGGAAGTAGGAGAGGACATACCCTATCTCAAGTATTGGGAATGTGGATGGTGGGATGAGTGTTGGCTTCAACATGTTCATCTCATGTCTAACGAATATTTGAATAAGACATAGGAGTACAACAAGCACTAGAGGTATGCTGACCTGCATGATAACGGCACACTTTTGTCTCTTGAGGAATGTAGCACTCTTTAGGAACATAGCCCTAAATTGATTGGACTTTGGTGTCTCCATTGTTATCTCTCTCTTACAGTCAATCTCTGTCTGTCTGCTGGCTGTAGAAATAGATAGATAGTAGTTGGATAGATTGATTGATTGATCGGATTGTGAATGAGGTGATTGAGTGTGTGAGAGAGTAACTTTGCAATAATGGTTAGAAAGTATTAAACTTATTTAGTTCAAGTCAAACAGAGACGGAGAAGTATGCTGCAAAGGAGTGATGCAAACACTGGGCTCAAATGACATGGACGAAAGGAATGGATGACCTTTCTGCAGCACCATCAAGCTTTAAAAGTTGAGAATGGCACTCGTGAGCCCAAAATATCGGTTTTCGTCATGGGGTGGGGGCACTGATGACAGACATTATTGTTGGTTTTGCCCCCATGGGAGAGTTCCGAGCACATTTCGGACTTTCATCATGGAGCTTGGTGAGAAGAAGGTCGAATGGGTACCATCCATAATCTAGTACTTTAATATTACCTATCTACCTTTATAGTAGTATTGTATATATAAATATAGATAAAGGATACAATGTCAAAGGACAACGATTATGGCTATTCACCTGTGGCTTCCGCAGGAGGTGCCTACGATGACGTTCATAGTGGTAGTCAACAACAAACATTGTCACAGAAAATAGTAGAGTCATTGTTGAGAAGTCTATTACAAACTAAACTTCTGTTGAAGAAGAACTTGGTCGTCTCACTCAGAGCATGGGTATCAACTGTCATTGAGTTACTCTCACCAGTACTCTTCATCTTGATCCTCTTGATCATCGCTCATTCTCCATCCCCAATGAATGGTATGTTTCCATCACCTTTAGCCCTCGCCCTAACCCCTCGCCCTAACCTTAAACAACTAGCCTTGATACCTAGACCAGTTGACACATACAACTCACATGAACTGCCATTGTGCACACCATATATTGAGGATCGTTGCTACACATTGATGTATACACCATCGGATTCACCATTGATCAATGAGCTAATGTCGATTTTGGGCTCAACCAACATCCCTCCATTGGAAGTCAATGGCAACATGTCAAACTACTATGGTATCATTGCAATGGACACTGTTGAGGACATCTATCAATTCGTCCAGGATCACCCTAACGTAACGATGGGTGGAATTGAGTTCAAGAGCATGCCACAGAACTTCTCGATCCACTACCCAACAGACCCAATCATCAACAAGTTCACCTATCAGAATGAGTCATTGATTCGCTACAACCATCTCTGGAACTCCACCTGTCCAAACTACGTCGATCCATTCGCTTGCATCGACTACACCGTGCCCATCAACTTTGCCCTGCACCGTGCCATCAATACGTTCATGTCACGTGACCGCAACCTGACCACCATGCCCAAATTCACGATGACCACGTCCAGCTTCCCGCTGTTCAACCCGTCAGCCAACTCTGTGGGCACATACGGCTGTCTGTTCTTCTACTGTGGCGCCATGATCTCGTTCATCTTCCTCATGTACAAGATCTCCTATGAGAAGGAGAAGAAGCTCAAGCAGGGCATGATCATGATGGGTCTGAGTGGCAGTGTCTACTTCATCTCCTGGTTCATCTGGTGTATCCTGACCAACGTCCTACTCACCCTCATCACCATGGCCATGGGATGTGTAGTCCAATTCGAGTTCTTCCTCACCACCAACTTCTTTGTCAACTTCCTCACCTTCTTCCTCTTTGGAATTGCCATGAACCAAGTTGGTTTCTTCATTCTCTCATTCATCCAGACTACAAAGGCTGCAAGTATGTTATGTCCAACATCATTAACATTATCAATCATATCAACTAACTCATTCACTCATTCACTCAATCTTTTAGTTGGAATTGGTATGACAATATTCATCATTGGATCATTGTTGCAGATGATGTTCAACTCGATCATGGGTGTATTGGTGTTCCAGATCATTTATACGACCAACAGCAATTGGTCTTTGGCAGCAAGGATTGTGTTGTACATCCTGCCAATGTTCCATTTCTCAAAGGCCATCACTGATATCAACACGATCGCCATGACCAGCACCTACACCGGCATCGGCTTCAAGTGGAAGGATTTGTATCTCGACTACAACACACCTCAGAACCCCAACGTCGACATCCCCGAGACCTACCATGCACTGCTCAATCTCATCATCCTCTCTGTGGTGTACACAGTGTTGGCCTGGTACTTTGAGCACGTCATCCCTGGTAACGATGGTAACTCCTACCCACCCTGGTTCTTCCTCCTGCCCTCCTACTGGGGATTCACCGAGAAGCGTGCCACCTACATTGAGACTCCCCACTTTGATGATAGTGATGTACGTGATGCCATTGCCGCTGCCCATGATGAATCAAGTAAGTTAGTTCAGTACTGTCCATCACGATCGATCCAATACTAACCACTCACTCCACTCACATTCAGACCAAGCACCGATCAAGTTGGTTGGACTTTCCAAGACTTATAAGAACATATTCAACAGCAAGCGTGACGTAAAGGCTGTCAAGTATCTCAGCATGTCCATTGAGGACAGCTCAATTCTGTGTTTGTTGGGTCATAATGGTGCTGGAAAGACAACTACCATTGGTATTCTTACTGGTCTAGTCAGTCCATCATCCGGAGATGCATTCGTCTATGGCAAGAGTATTGTACGTGACCTGGCAGAGGTCAGGAAGCTTACGAGTGTATGTCCACAGCATGACATCCTCTGGAATGAGCTGACGGCTCGCGAACATCTCAACTTGTTTGCCGAACTCAAGGGTATCCCTGTTGAGGACAGACCAACTTCGATTGAGTCGGCACTCGAGTCGGTCAAGTTGACCAAGGTGGCCAACAACCATGTTAGCACCTACTCTGGTGGCATGAAGCGTAGACTGTCCGTGGCCATCTCGACTATTGGTGATCCCAAGATCATCTTCATGGATGAGCCAACCACTGGCATGGATCCACAGAGCAGAAGACACATTTGGAACCTCATCAAGACCATCAAGAGGGACAGAGTAATCGTTCTGACCACACATCTTATGGAGGAGGCTGATATCCTTGCTGATCGTATTGTAATTATGTGTAAGTATTTGTGGCAACAGGCCAAGCATGCAGGAAGTTAAGAGGCAGTCTTGTTAACAACGTATTATAATATCAATTATTTAGCACATGGAGCGATGGCATGCAATGGTAACTCACTTCAGTTGAAGCATAGATTTGGAGAGGGATACTCGATCAATGTGATTGCAAAGAAGCCTGAGCTATTGCCAGAAGTCAAGTCACTCATTGCCAATCTTTTACCAGGTATGTATTTGATTGACTACTGGATATATGTTCTTGAGATACTAACACTAATATTATTATAACAACAATAACAACAGACAGCAAACTGTTGAATGAGGCAGCAGACTTTATGAACTTTGGATTCTCACTGGACACCGATCCAAACCTAGTGATCAACTTCTTCAAGACACTGGAGCGCATCAGCAAGGACAAGGAGAACTCACCAATTCGTGATTGGGGTGTATCACATACAAGTATGTATAGTTTATTCTTCTACCAACTTGTATATTGTATTTGAAACTAACAATCAACGACCAACACTTTAGCACTTGATGATGTATTCTTGCAGGTCACCAAGCTCAAGCAGAACTAGAGACCTGGTCCATAGAATACCCTAATGATGGACAAGGCCAGATAGGCCTTGTTGTTGATCTACCTTTAACTGATCCATTTAATAAATATAATTACATTATAACAATGGACTCATTCTGATTGCCAAATGATAATGAAGTAATGAATGTGTGAGATTTGATCAAAACATGTTGGAAACGAACGAATCAGATCCTTTTTCTATTTCACCAAAGATATAACTAGAAGATAGATAGATATGCTCGCACATAGGTCATTGGCACGGGCATTCACCAAGGTGTCAATTGCACAGAGGTATCACAATAATGCCAATCATATTCATCATCACTCTACTACATCAACACGTTCACTGGTTTGCCCTTTGCATATCTCAATGCCATCTGTTTTGACGTCCACTACTTGGAATAGTAGTGGATGGTTCACCAAGAGATCATACTCGAATGAATCAACTACACAACCAGATACAGTTGAGTCGGCAACACCTCAACCATCAGCATCATCAGGAGTAAGCAATACAGTGTTCCAACGAGCAAAGGTAAAGGGAACTGAGGGTAAACCATTGATTGCAATCGTTGGCAAACCAAATGTTGGCAAGTCTACTCTGTTCAATCGATTAGTGCAAGGATCGAGACAGGCATTGGTCGAGGATATACCAGGAACAACTCGAGACAGATTCTATGGTGAAGCTCTGTTGTATGGTCATCAGTTCCAGTTGGTGGACACGGGTGGTCTCGTAGGTGAGGCTGCCGCTCACACTGATCATTTCGCAGAGGCAATTAAGACACAAGCAACCATCGCAATGGATGAAGCAGACTCTATTATATTCCTGTTGGACGCAAAGACTGGTATCACTGGTGTCGATCGTGAGATTGCGAGAATGTTGCGAACCAAGTTTAATACACAGGGCAAGAAAGTGTTCCTTGGAATCAACAAGGCTGACAATGATGACTCTGTGGACAGACTACCTATGGATGAGCTTCGACGATTGGGTCTTGGCGATCCTTATCCCTTCTCTGCGATCCATGGTGCTGGTGTGCTCACACTGTTGGACAAGGTGCTGAAGTCTCTCCCAGATAGCAAGTTGGCATTGGGCGATCCCTCTGAGCAGACCTCTATCAAGATATCGATTGTTGGACAACCAAACGCTGGCAAGTCCAGTCTCTTGAATCAGATCATTGGAGAGGAGAGATCAATCGTCTCTGATATCTCTGGAACAACACATGATCCAGTCGACTGCAACTTCATTTGGCGAGACATTCATGACCTCACACTCATTGACACGGCAGGCATTCGAAGGAGGAGCACACACAAGATAGGTCTTGAGAAGTCATCAGTGCTGTGGGCTATGAAGGCTATTGAGCGATCACATGTAGTATTGATGATGATTGATTCCACAGTGGGATTGACCGATCAGGATCTCAAGATTGCAGACTTTATCACACAGAACAACAAGAGTGTAGTGTTGATCATCAACAAGTGGGACCTATATGCACAGAACAAGAAGAAGGCAGCCAAGCTCATTGAGAAGAAGCAGTTCCATGATCTACAAGAGAGATACAGACCAAACCTATCTTTATTGGATGAGATATTGGATGACAACAATATCATTGGAGGTGGAAAAAAGAATAAGAGAGCAGTACAACTTGGAAATGTCAAGAATAATGAGGAAATGGACGAGGATGACAATGATGAAGATGATCAAGAGGAGGACGAGGAAGAAGATGAAGATAATGATGAGGAAGAAGAGTTGGAGAAGAAGCAGATTATGAAGAAGAATGGGTTGTCAAAGAAGGAGTTTTTGATACAGACAAGTTCATCAAAGCTAAGCTATGATAGCGACTTTTGGCCAAGCAAAGAAGCATCAGATAGAAGGACCAAGGAGCAGGATCTGTTGGAGGAGATCGAGCAAGAGTTGGATAATATTAAGGAGGACGAGGTCGATGGTGACGTAGAGGGTGACAACGATGCAGTTGATTATCTCAAGGAGGAGGATAATAATGAGGAAGATCAAGAGGAAAAAGATGAGGAGGAGAGAGAGTACAACTTTATCAAGGCGTATTGGAAATATATGAAGAAGTTGGAGATTGCAGAGGCCGAGGGTAAGAAACAAAGACCTCCTCCACCAGAAGTGAAAATGCCAGTTCTTTCCAAGGAGCAGAAGGAGTACGAGAGGACACTGAGAGAGAAGTTGACCTTCCTTGACTATGCACCCGCCATATTCACATCGGCAAAGACTGGATTCTGTGTTCCAACAGCAATGGATTTGGCAATCAAGATATTCTTTGAAAGAGAGAAAAGGTAATATCTAGAATCCACTTCTTTCCAAACATGTTTGATATTAACATCATAACCATAGGCTGCGAGTCAAGGAATTGATGGCAATCATCAAGCAAGCTACATTCAAACACAAGATGCCAAAGAAGGGCAAGCGTAACCTTCGTATCAAATTTGCCATTCAATCCAAAGGTTACCCGCCAAGCTTTGTATTCTTTGTCAATGATCCAGACAAGGTACAACCATCGATCAACAGATACCTGCTCAACTCTATTCGCGAGACCTATCCATTTGTAGGAACACCAATCAGTATCTTTTTCAGAAGGAACAAGCGTAGACCAACTTACAAAAGAAAACAAACAAATTATTAAACAATTTGATAGTATTTATAAAAATAGTTATTATTAATAAATTATTATTATTATTTGATATAGACTTCTTAGGTTTATATATTGTATGTGTATACTTTATTTGAATTAAATAACAAAACAATCAGATGTGTGGTTGCTACCCCTCCTGCGGTGTGGCAATACAATACATCCAATCATCATACATCCAAAATGGACGTGTGTTCACAGATTTATCTGATCAATTGATTGTGTGACAGAGCGTTTACATAGATGTAGATAGCAAACAAGATGATATGTGTGTGTTGGTTAGAGGGAATGATCTAAAGGTCCTTGAATGGAAGTTTCAAACAGATCTTGAAGGTCTCTGCCAAGTTGTCCAAACTGTTGTCCAAAGAATATGCCTCTACTGCATTGAATAAGGGCATGAAGAAAGTGAACGCCATTCTGCGCAACTTGTTGACTTCCTCACTGGAGAGCCTGTTGTTGAGTGCTCCAATTAGAGCCAATGCCTTGGCAACCGAGGATGATTCTGCATATTGCTGGAATCCTGGACGAAGGAAATCAGGATAGTTGGCAGAGTTTGATGTTGGGATCTGGAGAGAATTGAAGTTATCGACCAACTTGTCAATTGATTGTTGTGCTCCAAAGAGTGGCAGAGTAGGGACTGTCGGTGATGCAAAGAGCGATTGGCTAAAGAAATGTTGTGGAGGTGTTCCAAAGAATGAGGGCTGTACATTGGATGTAGTTGGAGATCCAAAGAGTGATGGCAGGGGCACGCCCTCTGGAGTCAAAAACTTTGGTGGAGACTTTGGAGGAGAGGAGGACACTGGGGAGACAAAGGAAACATCACTTGAGAAGTTGTCATTGAATTTTCCTCCAACACCAAAGCTCGATTGAGTGGTTTGTGGTGTTGCAGCAGGGGCTGTGGAACTGGCTTTTTGGTGGTAGGATTGCATGAGGAACAATGCTGGGATCGGAGCAACGAACTGATTTGCAGAATCAACGAGTGGCAGCTGTGTGACAAGTGCCTCCAACTCCTTCAAGAGGTATCCCTTGCATAGTCCAAATGGTGCATCGTGGGAGCAGATTGGTTTGGTGGCACGCATTGCCAGTTGAGCAAAGTGTCTTGGGGACTGACCATACTTGTTGGTTGCTCCCTTGAGCGATTGGTTGACACCCTCAGAGTCCAATGTTTGAACCATCTCCTTTGGAATGGGCGACAGCACGGCGTAGTGATAGAGTGAGTGTCCGAGGAGGTCGACTCGAGGTGTCTGAGCAGACTTGAGGAGCTTCTTGACTGCGGCAACATTACCATCAAGGATGGCCCTGAAGATGCTCTCTGACGTGTCGCCAGTTGGCCTCTGGAAGGGTTCTTCTTTGTAGTTCCTCCAAGATTGGAATGTTTTCCTGTCACGGAGACCACACTTTAGCTTCGCTAGATGCGGGTAGGTTCGTAGCAAATGTTGCTCGAGAGCATGGTGTCCATAGATCCTTGCCAAAATCAGACAGGACATCTTGAAGTAGTTCTTGGTCCTCAATTGAGGAAGGGCCCCCTTGGCCAGGAGGAACTTGACCACCTCGAGATTGCCTGCTATACAAGCGTAGTGCAATGGATAGAGACCATTGGCGGTGGGGGTATTGAGCAGATCGGCATGCACTGGGAACAAGGACTCCAACGACTTCATATTGCCATATGCAGAGGCAATGGCCACAAGATGGTCAGTCTCACCAACAACGTTCTGGTACATATAGTACATGGACTTTTGTTGGGAGGGCTTCCAGGACATGTCGGTGATTGGTTGGTTGTTGATCACTTTGTATCTCATCTGAGGAGTCAACAAAAGATCGTTGGTGAGGTTCTGAGGGTTGGTCGCACTGTTAGSCCCACTCTTGGTCGTTGACTGGATGGAAGGATCCAGTGAGCAGTTGTCTGCCAGGGTTTTGGGTGACCCATTGGACCTTGCCATGGACAAAATCACCTTGACCATCGTCTGATGGGCTCTCACCATTCTGACACTTGCGACACCATGACGACTTGCCATCAAGCATCTGCTGATAGCCGGTGACCACTATATGGTGATGCTTAAAGTCATGTTTCTTGGCAAAGAACTGCGACTTGTCCTTGTAGTTGATGACGGTGACCATTGAGCTCTCGGTCCAGTACTGGCCAGAGGGGATCTCACACTCTGAGTAGTCTGACTTGTTCTCAACGCTCACATTGCCACTGTAGCTATTGACATAGCGATGCTCAAGGAGCAGCAGACGTGCTAGACCACTCGACTTCTCAAGGGGCAGTGAGAAGAGATTGGGATGGACCTGGTCGCGTCTCATATCGGGTACAACGATGGCAAATCCTCTAGCGGCGTACTTGAACAGTCTTGATTCGTAGGTGAGCGAGCGACGAGTCATAGAGACACAGTTGATTCCATTAACGATTGCTCTGCGTGCACGGGGCAGTGCGTACACTTGGTGGCCGTCGTAACCAATCGAACAGCTGTCAATATCAAAGCCCATGAGCACCTCTGCTGGTGAGCTGTAGATACGCAGCACAACTTGAATGTTGCGTGCAGGGTGGGCGTTGATGAATGTGACGGCGTACCTGGTTCTGGCTACCTCCATCTTGGGATTCTTCTGCTTGAAGAAATGGTAGAGTGCATCGAGTTTGGTGGAGGCCTGCTGCTCGCTGACACCATAGAAGAACAGATCAATGTCAGACTTGGACCACTCTGATTCAAACTTTTGAGGAATGTCCATGGCGCACTTGAGTACAGCGCCACCGGCAACAAATACGTTGCTCCAGTCGAATCCAGAGAACATGTTGTTGGAGAACTTGTTCCAATGTGCTACAAAGTCATTGTGGCTGTTCTGAACCTTTGGACCATGTAGACCAGACTTGTAGAATTGGTTGTGAACAAATGGCATCACGACAAACTCTGACGATAGGTCAATGTTGCTGACCTCGCGGTACGATGGAAGACTCTGACCAAACACTGGCTCCAAACCAGCGTATCTGTCCTTTGGTGGATTCTTGGCGGCGAATGCCTCTCTGTACGATGTCTCCTTGTCAAACTCTTTGAAGAAGTTGCTCGATACCTTGGTGGCGGCTGGCTGCTTGAAAGAGGTTGGTGCTGGTGCCGCAGCAACAGCAGCAGGCTGAGTGGTGTTGAAAGAGAATGCTGGTGCTACGCTAACTGCTGGTGGGGAGGGGGAGACCTTGCTAAAAGCATCCGAGTATGTCGGAGTTGGTGCAGGTTTGTAGGTGGAAGCAGGAACAGCAGCGGCGGGCTTTGAAGATGACATAAGTGCTGGCAGATGTGTTGAGATGCCAGTTGGGTCGCAGGTGAACTCTACCAAATACATTTGCTTCTGTTGATTGGTGTTGTATATGACATATTCGTTGTCTTTGAAATCGGAGTTGTTTGAACCATTGTTGGCAACTCCAAGACAACTGTTGTAGCCAATGGGCGGCTTGGTGAGGGATGAGTCGATCTTGGTCACTCTGTTTACCATTCCAACCGCAACCTCTGAGACCAGGATGAAGCGTGTTGCTGGTCTGCCCGGTGTGAGTGACGTCTCATGTGCATAGAGACAGCTGGTCGAGAACTTGTCGGCAAAGTAAATTCCGGCACCAAGGAATCCAAAATCTGTTCTTGAGCCACCAGTGTTGACAATGACCTTGGGCAGAAGCATGCCACGCGACAAGATACCGACAAAGTTGGCTGGTCTACTTCCGTGGAAGAGCAATTTGGTGGGAGTGACCGACTTGTTAAAGTCCTTGTCCTCGTTCTGTCTGGCCACCTTGTAGATGTTCTTGATGGTAACGTTGCTCGAGGTGTCCATCACAAGCTTATGCACTGTCGAGTAGGGAGTTGAAAAGGGGTTGAGCGGCTCAATGTCAGACTTGAGCGCAGCGTACTTCATGTCGAGAGCGGATGCACCCAACGCGCCAGACTGGTTGATCCTGAGGAGATCGCGCATCAATTGAAGGAGCTCAACCTTGCTCGAAAGAACGTCAAGGTTGCGGATGAGATTCTTCTGGACATCAGCCTTGGTTCTGCCCATTTTGTGTGGGATCGTAGTGTAGAACTCAGAGCTGTACTGTTCGATGCGAGAGTTGAGTGGCGTGGATGACTTGAGCTCGGCGTGCAGCTTGTCCAAGATTGCCTCTCCCTTCTCGACCTGAGACATTGACAGTACACCCAATGGTGTCTCAATGCCGTTGGCAGTGATGCTGACAGAGGCCTGCATGGCAAGATGTGCAGTGGCCTCCTGGAAGAGGCAAGAGATCAGATCTTGGAGCTGTGGATGCAACTTTGATGGTGCTGCAGGTGCCAATTGACTGGCAGAGTCACTCTTTGAAGTGATCTTGGCTGCTGAAAGGCTCACTGGCTGATAACCCTTCTTTGTCTTTTCATTGTAGACAGATGAGTAGAGGTTCAGCGCATCACTCAAATTGTTTGGATGTCTTGATTCCTTTGTTGCCTTGCCATCAGTACGCTATTGTGAGGATCAACACGTTAGTGGATCGTCGAAGGTGGTGAAAGAGTGGATGGAGTAGTCATAATACTTACACCATAGTTTGTGTACAGACGGTAAACATTCTGACCACTTGGAGAGACACCCTCGTGAAGCTCCAAGATGTAGTACTTGTTGTTGTTATCGCCAAGGCTGGTGAACTGGAGTGTATGCTCCATTATCACCTCGTAGACTGCTGGGAAAGCAGGTGCATTGGCAGCGCCGAATGTGTAGAGAGTGCATTTGATTGCTGTTGGTCTGGCAATCAGTTGATGAGTCGATTTGGTGGTGGATGTAGTACCAAGGCCCAATGAAGAGAATGGTTGGATGATTGACGAAGTTGAGTTGTCTGTGGTAAATGGACTATCACTTTCGTTAGACTCGACGAGCGCAGGTCTTGGAAGCTTGCTCTGCACTGGCATTGGCTTGATGAGTGCTGAGGCTTTTGCCATTGGCTTCTTTGATGGGGAGGTGGAGCCAAAGGAGAATGCAGAAGTGGGTAAGGTTGTTGTGGCTGCGGTAGCTCCAAAGAGTCCCATTGATGGGGAGGTTGTGGTTGTTGATGTTGATGGTGATGATGCTGGTGGTGGAGAGGTAACAACCTTCTTTGGAGAGACAAGATTCTCGGCAAAGTTGGACGATGCAGCATCAAAGAATGATGAGGGGATGGTCTTTGGCAGGGTGAACCTATAGCGAGCAGGGTCCAACTTGAGGTTCTTCTCGATACAGTCCGAGACAAAGGTTTCACTGACAATGTGGACACCAAGCGATGTAGCTCTCTTGATGTTTGATGATTGATTGTGGAACTCCTTCTCCACGGTGATCATATGGGTCACCTGTTTGGCAATGAGAAAGTTGATAGCACCACCATTGTCCTTGATGGTCTTGCTCAACTGGATCTTGCTCTTCACATCTGAAGATATATAGAATGTACAACCTTCGAATATCATTTCTGTTGTTGATCTTGTAGCTCTGTGTATGAGTTTTTGTATATTGAGGGATGCAACTGGATTGTTAGGTTTCAAGTGTCAGAGAGAGAGAGAGTTCATTGAGCAACATACAAATGATGAGAGTAAAGTCAAATAGATCAATCAACAGATAATAATAAAATAATAATAAGATGAACTGAATACAGGGACATCTAGATTGATGATGTCAATAAAACAAAAAACTAGTAACTTACAAGTAAATTTGATTTATTTTTGATTTTTTCTTCGAAGTCCTCTATTTTATTTTCAATTCCCACAGTTAATAAAAAAATCTGGATAACTATCTTGTTTCGAAAACGGAGGGATCGGTCCAATCGTGATGATCATCATTGTTACTACTATTACAACAAACACTTACTCACTCGTGTGTGTTTATTATTTACCTAGGTTCTTTTATGTATTAACTACGACCAGCGTAATATAATGTGGAAATGGTGATGGAGAGGACAACGATTAACAAATGAACGGATGGTATCAGCAGGCGTGTTGATGACGAGTTGTCAATGTTGTATCCTCCACCTACCGAAGCCATGTTGCCTCCCAATCCCTTGCCCAATGCGAATCCAACTCGGTTGTTGTCATTATCAAATACTGTATAATATCCTAATGAATATTTGGTTATAATATGTTAGTCAGTCTGGTCACACAATACCATATCATTATTACCATCTAGATATACATACCTCTCATGAATACATCACCTAGAATAGTAGTGTACTGATCACTACGATCGATCATCCAACAATAGGCAGACTGATGATTGCCCATCATTGTCTTGATAATGTAGTTTCTTGGTGGAATCGATACTTGAACGCCACCATCGAATGTTATGTTAATGTTTGGTAACTGATCGATAAATGATGCACTATTATAACATGTTGACTGGTTTTTGGATATACAATTAGTAACTGTGACTTATACTTATCCTACTCTTCTTCTTCTTTCAGAATGAATACATACTCCATCAATGATGTTACTCTTCTCACAGATACCTGGTACGTGACAGTAGTGTGTCTTAAAGTATAGGACAATACTATCGTAAGCACCACTTGCCAATGATAGTGCACTGCTACCACTGTCCACAATGGTCTGTCCCAACAGTCTTGGACTGAACTCTTGATGGTCAATGCCCAGTCCAATTGGTCTAATCGAATAGAATGGTCCATTCTGTGAGATTGGTGTGTAGAGTATATCACCTTCATAGTTGTCAGGGTTCAAGTCACCCAATGTAAGTTTACCTCCTCCTTGATAGTCCAATAACATTGCAAATATATCTAGATTGTTATGTGTTTAGATTGGATGTCAGCCCCTATAAGGTCACCACCTGATGTGTCCTGTGTCATTTGTCCTGGACAGATACATACTTTTCATTCCCTTTGACTTTACAATTGTTTCGAAAGCAGTTGGTATACACTTTGGACACTAAATTATAATAGGTTAGTTTACAATGTCAATGTGGATGAATATGATAATAATGTATAACTTACTCCTCTACCGAAACCAACGATACCATCAGCTCTTGGCCACTCGAAATCACCTCTCTCTATCTTGTTGGCACCAAACTGGACAAAGGCCGACAGACCAGAGATTGTCACCAGGTCTTGGTGTACATATCCAGACACTAGTGAACCATCACCGTACAGTATTTGATAGTCACACATTGAACCACTGGCTTGGAACTTGCATGGTGGTTGAGAACTGCCTGATCCAAGACATGTTGAATCACCACATCGAATAGGTGATGAGGTCTGCGAGGTACTTGGATCATAAGTTGGTCGCTTAACTCTACATGCTGTACAGTTAATCATGGGCACTGCCATCAATGAAGATCCAGTGTCCACTTGAAGTGTGAATGGCATTCCACCAATATACACCTTGGTGTTAACTTGATAGAAGTTACCAAATATACTTTCATCCTCAATATTAAGTACTATATTATTTGGTTAAGGACACGTGTTAGAGATATTGAATATTGTATATATATATGGATTGACATTTACCATTTCTAGATATCTTTGGATTGTTTAAATTATCGATATGTACAAAGGTATCTGTGATTAGATTTGCTTTAATTGATCTGAGAGGTGTCACTTCTAAATCCAACTCATGGTATTGTAGTGATGTGGAAGCCAATATATAATTAGACCCCAGGGATATCACTACCAGAAATAGAAATGATATCTTGTATATATTATTGATCATTATTATTATTAATATTATATTATTTTAGATGTAATTTTTTTGATGGTTTCCTGATTAACAATTTAAGATGTTCTTTTATATATCCATTGTGTCATACCCTAAGGTCATTGCATTTAAGTAGTGGACAAAGTATTGACACAATTCATTGCAAGTACTTAATTGTTGATAAGTATTTGTGGACAGTTGGACGAGTGTGTGTATGATTGTGTGTATGTGTATGTGAGGGAGGGTGTGGGTGATGTAAGTATCTTTAGTTGATTATTCTGCAGTTCATTATCTGTATGTGGTTTGGGGTGTGTGTGTGTGTGTGTATGTGTGTGATCATTAAGTTGTCCTGATAAGGTAATTATTACAGTTGATTTATTCAAAAGGACAACACACACAGGTGGAGAACAATTCTTAGCGAGTCACCCCCACTATTAACATTCTTTCATTATTACGACAATACTATTACTACAACAACAACGAAAAGACATAACATGGTTGAACTAGAGGTTGTATTGGCACTGTCTTCGCTGATATCATTCGTATCAGGTGTGCTGGTCGGTAAATACCTCGTTGGCAATCAGCAGCAACAACAACATCAAAACGATAAGAAGACATCGCAAACTAGCACTAGTGATGATGAAGAGGAAACAGACAGTGATAGCGACAATGACAACATTGAATACAATGAGAAGATTGGTCCTTGCAAGATGGTCTTGGTCGTCAGGACAGACTTGGAGATGACCAAGGGCAAAATAGCTGCTCAATGCTGTCACGGTACACTTGGTGCTTACAAGAGGTATGTGTCGTCATTCAACTACTAGTGCAAACACAGCAGACATTAACACCTTTGTCTATATATACACAACAGAGCAACAAGGAGTGCTCAACTCAAGCCACTGGTTGATCAGTGGGAGCTAAATGGTCAAGCAAAGGTCACTGTCAAGGTGAACAATGAGAAGGAATTGTAAGACATATCGATTCAAACAATGTACATCACAGGCCAAAGACAACACTGCTAACATCAATCATCACAATGTACTTTACAATCTAGGTTGGATTTGGAATCATTGGCAAAGCAGATGAAGGTACCTCACTACTTGGTGGTGGATGCAGGTAGAACACAGATTGCTAGTGGATCATGTACAGTGTTGGCTATTGGACCAGCTCCACTCGCTGTGTTTGAAAAGCTGACGGGTCATTTGAAGCTTCTCTGAGAAGTAGTCGACCACCTCCTTTATTCCTTATATATATAAACATGTGCCTCTTCCTTGGCTCTAGCGTATCCCCTGTACATTCCCTCTGTGTTGAATGGCATTGTGAAGTTGCCCTGCTTGTCCACTGCGATCAGACCACCACTGCCATCGACTGATGGCAATCGCTCAAACACTACGATCTTGCCTGCCTCCTCCACTGATTTGTTGGCATAGTCCATAAGTGCTGACAGGTCAAATGCTGCAACAGTACGCATGAATGACTCACCAACACCAGTCGTCGATACAGCCACAGTCTTGTTGTTGGCGTAGCATCCTGCACCAATCACTGGTGAATCACCCACTCTACCAGGCATCTTATTGGTCATGCCACCAGTGGACGTTGCAGATGCAAGGTTTCCATGTACGTCAAGTGCCACTGCACCCACAGTTCCAAACTTGCGATCAGGATCCAATGGTTCAACTGCCACTTGTTGTTGTTGTTTGTCCTCTGCTATCTTATTTGCACCATCATGATCCAATACAACCTCTGACTTGCTCTGTGCTCTCTTTAGTTCATTCATTCTTCTTTCCGTGAAGAAGAATGATGGGTCGACAAGTTCTATGCGATCAGAGTTTGACTTGGCAAATCTCTCTGCACCTTCACCGATCAACATGACATGACGGGTGCGATCCATGACTGTGCGAGCGGCGAGTATTGGATTACGGATGCGTTGAACACCACCCACTGCACCAGCCTTGAGTGTACTGCCATCCATGATTGATGCATCCATTTCATAGGTGCCATCTGCGGTCATCACACTGCCACGTCCAGCGTTGAATAGTGGGCTTTCCTCCATTAGACGAACAGCCTCCTCAACAGCATCCAAAGCTGATCCTCCACCCTCCAATATGGTGCGAGCCGACTCTAGTACCGTTTGAAGAATACTGCGGTACTGCTCCTCCATTTCTATTGTAAGTTTGTCTCTGGTGATGGTTCCAGCTCCACCATGTATCACAATGATTGGTTTCATTTCAGAATGAATGGATATTGATATGCCTATGTCTATATATTGTCAGTTGGAATGAATGGATACAGGAATGTATTTGTTTGAATGATGAAACAATGATCTTTGAATGAATGAATCTGAACTCTAACCACACCGAGACCTGACCCTTACTATTATGAAGACCCCTTTGACGATGATGGATTCAACATCTATTTATGGTTATCAATTCAATGGTTTAGAGTGTATCATATACCTGTTGTATATCGATGGTCTATTGGTTATAAGTTAGTTAGTTGGTGAGGAATGGTCCCAGACATATTTCAAGTAAACTTACATTAATGAATGTCTTCAATATCTTTGAAGGTATATATACAGAGTTCAAATTGATTCTATTATAGTATTCTCTCGTTGCTTCGTTCACTGTCGATGTGCCAGGTGATAGAACTCTTGGGTCCAACTTGACTAGGCCCTCGATCATACCAACCACCTCGTTGTTGCTATTGATGGCTGGTCCTCCACATACACCCATTGGCGAAGGATTGACTGTGGACACAAAGTGTCTATTCGACTCAACCACATTGAGTTGATACTCTGTCTCCAGTGGTCTCATTATATCTGCCTTCTCATCCACCAATTGATATCCAAATAGTTTACCCTAATGTTTGATGTGTAGTTAGTGAGTGAGTGGATTGTTGTCCCTTGTTGTCTCTGATGTCAATGGATGACATACAATTTGATTGTGTTGACTATCGTTGTTGTTGTTGTTGTTGTCTGTAAGCTCTAGAATTGATGCATTGTAGGGTAGTCCTTTGCGGGTAAAGTCATCGAGACTCAGAGGGAAGCATACCAAGTCCAAGGTGGAATGCAGATGGAATGGTTTGTCCAAGTGTACAGAATGTAGTATTCTACCAGTGTTATTATCGCGATACTCTAGTTGCACTCTAATGTTTGATTCGTCCAGAGCAAATATCCATTGCTGACTTGGATCCTTGTACAGTTGTGGGAAGTTGAATGGATGGGTGATGTGTGCGCTGCTTATGCCGTAAATGGGTCTGTTTTGTGAAGCACCCGGTGTCTTTACCAAGAATGCTGTACCTCGTGACAGTACAACATAGTCTTGTACTCCATAGTCGGGAAACCTGAGTTATGTGGTCGAATGAATTAGCTAAGAATGATACAACATTGTTTGATGATAATGAGTCTATTCTTACTTGAAGTATGAACTGACAGTCAAGAGCATAGGTGTGTGTATTTCATTTGGTGAACTGTTGTTGTTTGTTGATGTTATGCTCCTTTTACTAATGTCAGTAGTGTCTCTAGTAGTGGCGTAACATCTTATTGACTGTTGTTGCTTTGATGCATCAACAACAATATGATTCGATATTGAACTATTGGTGGCCACACCTATAGCAGAACTGATTATGGATGACGTCCAACCTCTACCACAGCTAATCCTACAACTTCTATTATGATACAGTCCAACGAAGAAGCGTTGTCTAACTACACCTATCATCTTTCAAAGTAAGTAACAAGCGAAGGCAACACTAATGATCAGATTTTTTCACTCAACAAGTTAATCATCTGAAGCCAAACGCCCTTCAGCGCAACAGTCATTATCCCGATGAGATTCATTGGACACCACAATTTTAAAGATTGGTCATACAATGATTGAAGAGATAGAGGTAGAGATTAGTCATCAATCTTCAGATAGACTAAACTGAGATAAACACTTTACTAAAGTTCCCAATTTTATATTAGTATTATTATGCCGACACTATCCAAATTGAATTTTAAATATTTTTTCTTTCCTACTTTGAACTGTGATGGTGTCAAATCCATGATGACCTGGTGTGGGTGTGTGTTCAGAACACGACAACAACGATAAGTAAGCATCAACAACAGGATCTATAAGTACAATATATATTTACATATATATATAACAAGAACATATAGTATAACAAGATGAGATCTTCACTTTTGAAACAATTGAGAACATCTTCTCAATCCACTTCCACAAAGGTTGGTTATCACATCACTATCATTTGTGTCGTTCAGGTTTCAAAAGACAGTAATTGCTAATACACAAGACATTATATATATCTCTCAGGGATTCACCTCAAGATCATTTGGCAGTCTTTCATCCTCATCATTGAGGACCTCTGTCAAGTCTTCTGTCTCAGTGTCAACCCCATACAGCTTCACTGCCTCGACATCAACCATCAACAACGACCAGCAGTCATGTCTGTTCAACAACAACAACACCATTCAGAAGCGTTCTTATAGCTCAGGTAAGTGGATCGACACATCGAAACAGATATCTCGTACATACTAACTAGTAATGTTAAACACAACAATCTAGCTGAGGGTGATATCATCAAGGTTCCATCAATGGGTGACTCCATCTCTGAGGGTACCATTGTCTCATGGGCAAAGAGTAAGTTACCATTGACCATATCACTATGGATGATGACTTAACAAACTAACACACTCTTTACATCTGTTATCAATCAAATTCAGATGTCGGAGATTCAGTCAAGGTCGATGATGTCCTCTGCAGCATTGAGACAGACAAGGTCACAATCGATATCAACGCTCAGGACAGCGGAGTCTTGACCGAGCAGTTTGCTTCCAATGGTCAGAACGTCTTGGTCGGCACACCACTGTACAGAATCAAGAAGGGTGCTGTTGCCGCCGAGGCTCCAAAGGCCGCTGCCCCAGCTCCAAAGGCTGCCGAGGCTCCAAAGGCCGCCGCTCCAGCTCCAAAGGCTGCTGAGGCTCCAAAGGCTGCCCCCGCTGCTGCCCCAGCCCCAAAGGCTGCCCCCGTCGAGGCACCAAAGACCGTTGCTCCAAAGACAGGTGACGCCCCAAGCGAGCGTAGAGTCAAGATGACACGTATTAGACAGAGAACAGCTCAGCGTTTGAAGGACTCTCAGAACACAGCCGCTATGTTGACCACTTTCAACGAGGTTGACATGTCATCTCTGATGGAGTTGAGAACAAAGTACAAGGATGAGTTCAACGAGAAGCACGGCGTCAAGCTCGGATTCATGAGCGCTTTCGTTAAGGCCTCCACGATTGCCCTCAGGGATCAACCCATCGTCAACGCCTCTATTGACGACTCCGACATTGTCTACCACGACAACATTAACATCAACGTTGCCGTTGCTGCCCCACGTGGACTGCAGGTGCCAGTGATCAAGAACTGTCAGAACATGGGCTTTGCCGATATCGAGAAGGAGATTGGCCGTCTTGGTGGTCTCGCCAGAAACGACCAGTTGGCCATTGAGGACTCTATGGGAGGCACGTTCACCATCTCCAACGGAGGTGTCTACGGATCCATGTTTGGTACACCAATCATCAACCCACCACAATCAGCCATTCTTGGAATGCACGCCGTCAAGGACCGTCCAACCGTTGTCAACGGACAGGTGGTCATCAGACCAATCATGTACTTGGCCCTCACCTACGACCACAGAATCATCGATGGTAGAGAGGCTGTCACCTTCCTCAAGAAGATCAAGGACGTCATCGAGGATCCACAGAGATTATTGTTGGATATCTAAACTTACATTTACAAACAACCCTAGTTCTCTACTAATCTTGTCGTCAACAACTGGACAATAAACGATTATCATAATTATAATTAACAATCATCCATCGTTTATTTAGTGTAGATTATAGTCTCTGATCGTTTCTGTCGCTCAGTCACTGAACCAGGCTTGATCTGAGAGGCTGGATGCCTCATCAACTCGTTGGGCACAGTGTTGTGGGTGGTTGACAGCATGTTCTTCAGGTCATACATGATCTCTGTGTCCTTGTCGGTGAGGAACGACGATGCCATACCCTCCAAACCAGCACGTCCTGTACGACCAATACGATGAGTGTAGTCTTGGATGTTGTTTGGCATGTCGTAGTTGATGACGTGTGTGACACCCTCAACGTGAATACCACGACTGGCGACATCGGTGGCAATAAGGACGTTGAATCTTCGTTTCTTGAAACCTTCCAATGCCATCTCACGCTGCTCTTGTGTACGACTGCTGTGCAATGCTGTCGAGGTCATGTTGCACTCTTCGATAATCGATGAGATGGTCTCACAGTGCTTCTTCTTGTTGACGAATACAATGATTGGAGGAGGTGGACCATTTGTGAGCAGTTCAATGAGTTGATTGCGCTTATCGTTATCATTCTTGACAAAGACAACGTTCTGTTTGATGCGGTCCACTGCCTTTCCTGCCTCTCCAATGATGACATGAACTGCTCTACGCAGGTACTTCCTTGAAAGTCTCTCCACCTTGGGTGGCATCGTGGCAGAGTAGAGGATAGTTGTCCTGTAGATTCGATTCGAGTCATTCTCTTGCTTCTCTGCCTCCTCCTCATTCTCTGACTTGAGGAATGATGATGGCATAGAGTCAAGGACGGATGTGACCTGTTGCTCAAAGCCAAGATCGATCATCATATCAGCCTCGTCCAGCACGACATAGTTGCATTGATTGAGTACCAAATATCGCTTGTCCAAACAATCATTGAGACGACCAGGTGTGGCAATGACAATCTCGCAACCTTTTGACAGCTGGGTGACCTGGTCCTCAATGGGTAGACCACCAACCAAGGCAACAGTGCGGAAGCCAAAGAAGTTGGCAAAGTTCCTCGTTTCCTTCTCGATCTGTTGTGCCAGCTCTCTTGTGGGTGCCATCACCAGTGCGTAGGGACCCTCTGCCTCTGATTCTTTGGTCATGCGTGGTTGCTTGGAGATGTATGTGAGCATTGGAATAACAAATGCAGCGGTCTTTCCAGATCCAGTCTCTGCAATACCAAGGATATCTCTGCCCGACAAGGCAATCGGGATGGCCTGCATCTGAATCGGTGTGGGCTTTTCATAGCCAAGCTTGGCGATTGCCTCCAATATCTCACCTGGCAGAACAGACTCTCTCCATCTTCGCATAGGGTTTGGTATTGCACTGCCCTTGGTTGTGATGTTAAAGTCCTCCCTGAATATCCTCCAGTCTCTCTCGTTCATTGTCTTTAGCTCCTTCTTTGACCAGTGAGTTGGAGGAAGGTCTCTCTCCCTCTCGCTGTTGGTCCTCGAGGCATCGTTATCGAATCCAGCCAGCACACCTCTACCAAACTGTGGTTTAGCCTCTTGCTTCTTGGAGTAGAGTGAGTTGTAGTCATTGCTTGTGTCCTCGTTGGTGTCCCACTCAAATACGAATCGAGTTCTCTCACTCTTCTTTGGTTTCTTCTTCCTATCCTTCTTTTCGCCATAGTACTCCTTCTTGATGTCATTGATTTCGCTCTCCTCTTCTCTTGTCCTTTTTTCACCAACTTCACTTTGTCCAACTGTTGGTCCTCCTCCTACTCTCTTATCATCAATATCCTTCCTATTGTTATCTTCTCTCCTACTATCTAAATCTCTATAGTCTCTCCTGTCTCTATTATTATTATCTCTATTATCTCTATTATCTCTCCTATCCCTATTATTATTGTTATCTCTATCATCTCTCCTATTATTATTATTATTATTTCTATCATATCTATTATCTCTGTTGTCTCTTCTATCACCTCCTCCAGCACCACCACCACGCCTATCATCTCTTCTGTTGTCTCTGTTGTCTCGATCATCTCTTCTGTCATCTCTCCTGCCATCTCTCCTGTCATCTCCTCTCTGTGATGGCCACCTGCCATCTCTGCCTCTGTCTCTGTCATTGTCCTTTGAAGAGGAGACACTACTACTCTTTTGTTGTTGTTGAGCAAAGTACTCATTTGGATTGACATTGATGAGCTTCTCTTGTGCAGCAGCGACGTGATCCACCTCTCCATCTAGGTCGTCATCATCTGCAAACAGATTATGTAATCTGATTTGTGATTGTTTCTGTGATTCCTTCTGCTTGGCATCAGCCTCATCTTGTCTCTTCTTTAGAGCAGCGGCACGCCTCTCTGCCAATGATGTGAACGTTGGCTTTGGTACGCCATTGCCAGTGACACCATTGCCTGTCGTAACAACTTCCTTTGGTCGCAGTGATTCAATTGAAGTTGGCTTTAATGTGAGAGAGGTAAATTCATCAATGGGATTCATTGTATTAGTTGTATGTATGTATGTAAAGTAAGTTAATGATGAGATCATGATGGATGGTATTGCATTATACATACCTCTGACTTGTTCATCACTATTCAACAATGTATTATCTCTTTCTTCAGACAAAGTTGTAACAATACAACCACAATATTAATTTTTTTTTATCAAACCAAGTGACACAATTCCAGTTCACTTGTCATGGTGTTGTTCAACAACGATGGAATCAATCCATTGATATTCCCATATATATATTGACTCCAAGTCCATACAACTTATTTTGCGATATAGAAAGCAATATATTGCAAAGTATGAACATCGTCAATCTTATACACTTCTTTTGATGAATCAAAAAAACTATGAGTAAAGAAACACTCGAAAACAAAAACGTCGTCGAAAGACACAAAGACGAAAGAATAAAACAATAATGACGAGGTGATTGTGTGGTCACTCTTCAAAGTCCTTGTTATCACTCTGTAACTCCATTATCTGTATCTACATGTATGTATCTGTAGTGTACATGTCAATTTAATGACTCTGACTAATTAGTAATCAATTAGCAGCTGCATCACAAGAATGTTAGCCAGAAGTACTCAATATGCAAGAAGCAGCAGTAAAGCATTGATTGGCGATCTGTGTTGCAACTTGGCTTCATCATCGAGATACTTCTCGTCACAATCAAGCGGTATCAAGAATTCAACATTGGTATCCTCATTTCTCTTTGTCCAAAACAACAACAACAACAACAACAATGGACAACAACATACAAGGACATTCAGATCCTCAACACCACTGCTAGAGGAGAAGCGTGATCTTTATGAGGTGTTGGGTGTACCAAAGACTGCCACAAAGCAAGAGGTCAAAAAGGCATTCTACGACGTAAGTAGTTCACTACTTTCAAAGTCAGACAAGTAGTCATCTGGTCAACAACTTACAATCAATCATTATGCAGCTGGCAAAGAAATTCCATCCGGACCAGAACAAAGACGATCCCAATGCACACAGGAAATTCTCAGAGATAAGCAATGCCTACGACGTTTTGTCCAATGAGAACAAGCGTGCCATGTATGACGCACAGGGTCACCAGGGCGCCACAGCTCAGGACTATGGAGATTTCAATCCAAACGATATGAACTATGAGGAGATCTTCCAGCACTTCAACCTCAGCGATCTGTTTGGTGAGGGCTTTGGCGGCGGCGGTGGCAAGTCACAACACGGCTCCGACATCCAGGTCAAGCTGACACTGGACTTTATGGAGGCAGTCAATGGTTGCAACAAGGACATTTCTTTTTATGGCGCTTCAACATGTTCGCCTTGCGATGGCACTGGTGCCAAACCAGGCACAAAGATGACCAACTGTTCCACTTGTCGCGGAACTGGTCGTGTGACCAAGTCCAACGGTCTGTTCCAAGTTGCAACCACCTGCAAGTCTTGCAAAGGTCAAGGAAAGATTATCAAGGAGCCATGCACCAGCTGCAGTGGTAAGGGCAAGACGCAGGGCAACAGAACGCTCAACATCAAGATCCCTCAAGGTGTCAACAGTGGAATGAACATTAGAATCACTGGTCAAGGAGAACCAGGTGATAAGGGTGGAAGAAGAGGCAACCTCTATGTACAGGTTACTGTAAGTTACCTCTCTCTGACATTTCAATATTAATGCAGCAACTCTCTAACGTCAATCAACAATATAGGTTAAAGAACACGAGTTATTTAAGAGAGAGGGAACAGATATTCACTTGAACGTACCAATCTCTATTGGACAGGCCATCATGGGCGATACCATTTCAATTCCAACGCTGACAGGCGAGGTTGACCTCAAGGTGGCATCGGGCACACAGCCAAACGACAAGGTTGTCTTGCGAAACAAGGGCATCCGATCGGTCAACGACATGACCTATGGCAACCAATATGTGCACTTCACCGTCAACATCCCCAAGTCGGTCAACGAGAAGCAGAGACAGTTGATCAACGAGTTTGACCTGGAGGAGAAGAACAAGAACGGACCTCTCGACAGTCTCACTCATCCAGTCATGTCATTCTGGAACTCGGCAATGAAGCGATGGAGAGATTACTCAAAGAAGTTCAAATAAACATATAATAATATATAAATACAGTGATAGGATAGACATTGACATTATTGGTTGGTAATCAATTGTATCCCTCATTTTGAAGATTATTGATACATAAACATCCTTATATTGCCAGGAGTTGTTGTGGTTTAATGATTGGGTATATATATATATATGGATTGGGGAAGTTTGGTGTAACTTTGTAATTGTAAAGGTACATAGGATTGGATTATTACAACAACAAGGCAACGGCCAAGGCAACAAACACGGTGATGGTTGGGACCAGGACAGCGGCAGAGTTGGCACGACCTCCAAAGGTTGGGTCCCATACAATCAAGTTGGGTCTGACAGCATCAAAGCTCTGAACCAGAACCTGGGCGTTGACGTTGGCAAAGACGTTGAAGGCTCCAGTGAAGGAGACATCGAAGGCATCCTTGTTGTTGTCATAGACGTTGACCTGGGTGATAACGTTGGCGGTGGCACCGGTGCCGTTGATATCGACGGTGGTGACCCAGCTGAGGGCGGCGGTGATGTCACCTCCGACGGTGTGGACAGAGGTGCTGGAAGAGACCTCAACGTCGGCCTCGGCGGCAGCGGCGGCAACAAAGGAGATCAAAGCCAAACGAGAGTTGGCATTGTTGGATGGACCAGTCGAGCCACAGGTGAATGGGATCACACTGCCAGCGTTACAGAGACCAGAGGACTTCTTGTTGACAGAGGCGTCAAAGTAGTTACGGATCTCAATGTCGATCTTGGTCTGCTCACCAGTGAGGGAAACACCGTTGACGTTGACTGGGGCACCTGGGATGGCGAAACGGAAGGTGACCAATCCTCTTGGGGAGGTGGCGTTGGCCAGAATGACGTTGAATGGGTATGTCTTTCCGTTGGGGGCAGAAGTGTTGAAATCCTTCTGGACGTATTTGATATCCCATGGGTTGAGGAGATCTCCGAGTCTGTCCAAACGAGTCCATCCAACGATGGTGTCGGTGCCGTTCTGGAAACCAGCCTGTCCGTTGCTCTCGACGTACTCTACCAAGATGGTTGGGAAGTAGGCAGCGCTGAAAGAGGTGGCGTTGATGTTGATTCCACTGCCAATGCTAGCGGCAATTGCGTTGTATGACATGGCGTAGAAACAGTTGTTACCACCCTGGAAGGTGAAGGTGTTGGCATCGGCAGCAGCATTAACGCTAGAATTGGTGATTGACTAAGAGAAAGGAAAGAATTATTATTGTTAGGGTGGTTTATGATGATTAGAGTAGACGCATGGCTTTACATACACCATAGATAGCAGTTCCGACAGCATTGAAGGAGCTCAGGATGGATGAGACGGCGTAAGCACGGATGGCATCCTTTCCGACAGAGGCAACAACAACTCCGGCTAAACAAAAAAAAATAATGACAAAGACGAATGATGTTAGGAGACTCGTGTTGATCGAAAAATAATTATTATTTGCAGGTGTAAAATGTGAACATACAGAACTCATCGACGTTCTCAGTGTTGGCAGAGACTAGGGCAACCAAGAGGATGGCGGCCAAAATTATTGATGTCTTAATCATTCTTTGTTTTTATATATTATTGATTTAGTTTGTAATGAACTTGTATGTGTGACACACACTGTTTAAATAGTAGATGATCCAACCAAGGAAATTAATTATTATTTGATCACATTTTGTTACCCTAAGATTAGGCCACTAGCCGGTTGTATCCCCCCTCGTTCACCTTATATGGATGAGTGTGATGCCGGGTGTGATCCTAGACCCGAGGTGGACCACTTGGTGCACAACTGCATCAAAAACCAAAGGCACAATGGTGTGGGTGAGTCTTTAGAAAGTGATCGGGGGTTAGAATTAATGACTGAAATGAGTGCATGACTTAAGTCATGAAAGGACCTGCCTACCTTAGTGGTCATTCATTGAACCAAACAATTGTTGTTATAATAACACAGTGCGACTGTTGGTGTTGGATTCGTACGAGGTTACCCGACAAGAGGTGGACACAATGTTGACCACGCTCGTTGATATTATTTAATGCACGCCCCTTAACTCTTATTATGACGCATGATGGCGAATCACGAACATCTCACTATTGCAGAGAGTGCTTCTTGGTTAGAACTACCAACTCATTAGCAATCAGCTTGTCCACCTTAAAGCCAGCACTTTCAGCTAAATCCCTCCATTCTGCTTCTGAACGTTCCTTGCCATCAATCAACTGCATCATATCTATAGTATTGGTTATTGTTGTTGTTGTTGTTGATTACAGTAGTTTGACATTGAATGAATAGTCAGAAGACTCTTATGTTAGTTCACTTCGTTCACCCACTCTCACTCACTCACTGACCTCGATGATGATCCATCCGTCAGTATTGTCTGACCGGTCAAAGGCTTGGACCAAGTTAAAAATAACACTTACGTAGATCAACCCAGCAGGCCTGTCCATAGACTGGACTTTCTCTCTCGACGATACTATCATAAATACATATTTGTCCGTAGGGACGAAGTGATCGATAAAGACATTGGAGGATATCTCTACAGCATTGGTCATTCCAATCGTGAAGGATCTGCTTCAACACGAAGCAATCGGCTTCTGGGACATGTTCAAAGAAATCGCCACCAACGTCATGATAGCGTTCATCATCAGAGTGTCGAAGTCCCCTTCTCTTGTTGTTGGAAATGACTGTTGGGGTGTCAAAGTTAATGCCCTTCTTAATGTTGGGATATCTCCTTAGTAACTCTGCCATTAATCTAAAAGGGTGGTTGATCAATTATTATTCATTCAGTTGTTATACAGCCGTCACACCAACCATCACAACAACTATCAACTTACATTCCCTCTGATCCACCTATATCCACAACGGTATCAAACTTTGAGTAGTCATAGAGACCAGCCAGGTGAGGTACTTTGAAGTTGGTCAAGGCAGTCATTGACTTTTTAAAGTCCTCCTCATACTTTGGATCGGCCTGCATTGCCATCCACATCGTTGGCACACCAAACACTCTTTCCACACTGTTTGTCTTGCCACTCTTTACCGTATCACAGAATGACTCCCAAAGTCTATATCAAATCATATATATGCCTTGAGTAAGATGATTATTCTAGTGATGTATCTCCAATATATAAACATACCTATAGTTGTTGTCGTTGCCCTCTGAAACTATCACTGCGTGGATGTCACGATTGACTGCCAAGTGATGCGAAATTGGCGTGTTGGCAAACACACGTGGAGATACTTGTTCAAAGATGTCGATGGTGGATAGTGCTCTCATCAGACGGAAGAGTGACTCCTTATTGGCTCCGACCAACTCTGCCAGTACCTCCACTGACTTGCTTCCGTCTAAAAGATGAACAGCTAGATCTAACTTGGCAGCAACAAACAGAGATCTTGATTTCCAGAATGAAACACACAACTCAATCAGAAGACCTCCAATCTCAAACTGTGCATGATGCTTTCCTACACCACTGTTATGATCTAAAGAGTCTGATGAGCTATCCATTATTGATTGTATTGATTGGAGTAATATAATATTATTTATAAATAAAGAAAATAGTACACTTGTTGACTTGAGAGAGGGGAGAGAGAAAGAATGATTGATCAATCAAGTCTATGTAGGTGATGATGCTGATCAGGCAGGTGCTGGCAACGCCTCTCTAGATAGTTTGGATAGTTGGTGGGCGTCTGTAGTGTGTGTGTCCAGCCGTAGGATCATTGCCTTATTAGGACCCATGTTTCCCGAATGGTTTTTTTCTTTTTGTTCATTTTTGGTCCATTGCAACGGACGTTGATTCCGAACTCCCAGCATCATGATGATTGTTGTTGCTTGTTGCTGGATCGCTTGAACACAATAAATCTCATAACAGAAAGCTGGTATTCATCGTACGATTGGAGTCCCAGAGACGACGTCGTTGATTGGATGATTGCCGATGGATCTAGAGGCTCAAATGCAAAGCCATACTTGATGGCCATCTCGAGGAGATACTCGTCGGTCTGTGTCGATCGTGATTGGTAGCAGAGAATGAATTGAGCATGGTCCCGATGTGACAATAGCTGATTGATCGTGTTGAACAATGGATCGATGCTGGTGCGCCAGTAGACAACATCAGAGCCAATGATGGTGTCGTATCCATCACCACCTGTCGAAGCTTGCTTGAGCGTAGCAATGTCCTCCTGGTTGCCCCAATCAAGCTTTAGCATCTCGATTGGATAGCCGTCATCATTGGATTGCTGTACATTCTTTTCGAGCAACTCGAGCACAACATCATGATAGTCGCTCATCACGCACTGTTTGCCCAGACGGGCGAGGAACATTCCACATATGCCTACGCCTGATCCAACCTCCAACACCTTGTTGTCATTGCTATATCGATCGACGTCATTGACAATATAATGTGTTAACATTGATGCTGCTGGCCATATTACTTGTCCTGTAAGATCATAGTCAGCTAAAGTGATGATGAGTAGTAGTAGTAGTTGTAAGTAGCGTGTATGAAGACCATTTCAACAGACAGACAGACAGACAAATAGATAGACTATGACATACTTGCAGCCGAGTTTAGTAAATATACATTTATATCAATGTTATTGACGACTATCTTCTTCTTTACATAGTCTCTGTTGACAAACATATCACTGTTAAACATAGTGTCATCATCATCATCATTGTTATTTGTAGTAGAGTTCATTACTTGGTTTGTTGATGCAATGAACAACTGTGTTTACAGTCGATAAATTCGTTCGTGTTTATTAATTACAAATCCTCCTCCTTGCTGGTCATCTTGACAGACTTGCTTGCATAGGACTTCTTCATCATCAGTCTGATCTTTGTTCGATAGATCATACCCAATGTTATCAGTGTCGCCAGTGCCACAACACCAACGACGATACCAATGATTGCACCTATTGGGAATGAATCACTTTGGTTGTTGCTGGCTCCGACACACTTGTCGTTGGGTGCCACCAAAACAGAGATTGACCGTCCACTCATCGATGTTTTGTATCGACAGTCGTCACTGGCCACCGTTGTCACCTTGCCAGTGTTTGGATCGAACGTGGACACCTTAAAGTTGGGTACACTTCCGACGAACGATCCAAATGTCATTATATCCACTGTGGTGTTCTCGGATATCGACTGACTGATGAATATGTTGACGTTGGTGTCAGTAGCATTGAACTGGTTGGCAACTGCTACCTGTGAATGCGTGTCGTTGGTGTGGATGTTGAATGTAATCTCTCCCTTCAATTGGCCAAGATCACCGTGGATTGTTATGTTATCGGTGGCACTGATATTGTTGATGTTGCCCATACTGCCTTGATTGTTGATACTGCCATAGACCTCTCCCTTTCCAATGATTGATCCAGCATACAGTTCAATCGTGTTGTTGGCATATAACTTTCCACCGGCCAGTGTGATTGATCCATTGGTCTGATGTAGGCGATTGAATGTTACATTTCCTCTTGTAAATTCCAACGAACCAGTGTTGAGGAATGGTGTCTAGACGTAAATGTAGAATGATCAAAGATGTTAATGCTTGATCCACATTGTGATTGCGCGATCTATTTGGATACAAACGCTCAACAAGTTATGCATTGGTGTGTTACATAACCAACGACCAGTGTTGGTGATGATATTGTCATCATTTGGACCAACGGTGTTGTTGTGTGCATCGATAAAGATATCGGCACAGTAGTCAAGTGTACCAGTGTTGATTATCTTGTTGCCAAATGGAATGAGCATCTTGGCGGCAATAAACACATTGGCATTGTTGTAGATGACACTGTTGGTGATGTTGGCCTTGGAGAATAGGTTGAACCTAAACAATCCCTTGCCCTTGATTGTTATGGTACAGTTGTCACACTCAAATGTTCCAACTGACTTGGCAAAGTACATATTGCCTTCAAGGTTCAATGTCAATCTCTTTCCCCTTAGGATATTGTTTATCTAGATATATCAAACTGGTTAGTTATTGATTCACATATGATGATGATGATATACATACAGTGATGTTGGTTGTAGGATAAACATTTAGAGTGGTGTCCACAAGTTCAAGTACTGCCTGTGAACCAAAGAGGTGATTTCCATGAAGTTCAATAGTGGTGTTGGTGATGGTGGCCGATGAGTTGAAGGTACTCTTTCCATCCAATGAGAGGATCGAGTTGGTCACTTTGAGCGTGGACTGATCAGTGGTCTGAATTGATGACAATGATGTGAATGTCGTCTGTGAGTTGTTGATTGAAATGTTGGAGTTTCCAATTGATGTTATGTTGGCACTGATTGTTTGATATCCATTGTCTGGTGTGGTATAAATATAAATAATAGTGAAGGAGGAGGAGGAGGAGGAGTAGGAAAGAGAGATGTTAGTCCTGGAACTAATAAAGGCAATTGTTGTTTCAGTGATACATACCAACGATAAACGATCCATTGAGTGTGATAATTGAAGAAATGACTGAACTCTGGCCGAGAAGTGATATTGACCCTTGTATGTTAAGGGATTTAGAGTTCAATTGAGCATTGTCGGTGATTCCAATCGATGATCCAAAGGCAACGAATGTAGATCCTTGCTCCACCACCAAAGATCCATTCTGAATGATATCCAATGTGGCCTGGACAGTGTTTGAGGTATCAGAAGAGCCAATTGAAATGTTTAGAATGGTGCATGGAGCGTTGAGTGTTACTACTGAGGTGCTATTGATGACCAACATCGAGGTCGATTGTGGTGCTGTGTCGTCGGACCAGTTTGTAGAGTTGGTGAATAATCCATCTGTTGAGGGACCATCCCAGTATTGAAACTGTTGTCCACAGATGAGTTGGAGAGATAAAAATATTATTAAAACTCTAAGTGTAAACATTCTATAATGTAACTCTATCTATCTATGTGCCTTCAAGATGAATGAGGTGATTGATAGAGTGACAACATGATCGTTCTACAATAACAATCAGGTGATTTTTTGATATTTTGTTTAATCAAAAAAAAAAAAAAACGACAAAAATAGATCTATTAGTGTTCTTTGCACGATTCCCCCGATCCCTCCTCCCACTCTATCCCATTTGAATGATCAATCATCAGAATATCTGACCGATTTTAAGGTTCATCGCTAGTCGTAAAATGGATTGGTGTCCAATAATAATTATTAATTAGGCTTGTACAACTTAATGGGTTACAAATAACAATACAAAAAAAATCTGTGACTTGATCTAAGAATAATAATACAATCGATACCTTGATCCATTCTTGAGAACACTTCGAAGTTAGTTTTCTTATTGACAAGACAGACGACCGCCAAGAATATGGAGTGTAAATGATGGATTGATTGATTGAACAACTTACATCATTGGATGGGTGGAGAGTGGTCTCTTCTCAACCTGATGTTGCTGTGTTGTGTCACAACAACATATACAATATATATATGTATATTTACAAGGTAAGTAAGTAAGTAAATTGGTTAAGAACCATGGTTACTTATTGGTCAATATTGTTTGATTGAAATATTCACCAGTAGTTCAATTTTGATGAACTTCCGTTCTATTATTTTTTATTTTCGAAACCCAATGTTCACAAAACAAACAAACAACATTCATTGTTTAATCAATTATAACAACAACAATAACACAATGCAATCAGGTAAGGTGAATAACAGTGTTGTTGTTGTGGTTGGGCCTGATATACGACCATTCAATTAACAACGACGTATATATCCTTTCATCAACAAACAGTTCCACAGAACATTGCATTCGCAAAGGAAGAGGAAAACACTCTCAAGTACTGGGATGAAATCGACGCCTTCCAGACATCGCTAAAGATGTCCGAGGGAAAACCAGAGTTCAACTTCTACGATGGTCCACCCTTTGCCACTGGTCTACCTCATTATGGTCACATTCTTGCTGGAACCATCAAGGACACCGTCACTAGATACGCTCATCAGACTGGTCATCACGTCGAGCGTCGCTTTGGTTGGGACTGTCATGGTCTGCCCATTGAGTACGAGATCGACAAACTGTGCGGAGTCAAGACCAAGGACGACGTCATGAAGATGGGAATCCCCAAGTACAACCAGGAGTGCAGGAACATCGTCATGAAGTACAGCACTGAGTGGGAGGTCGTCGTCAAGCGACTCGGACGTTGGATCGACATGAAGAACAACTACAAGACAATGAACCCAACCTACATGGAGTCTGTCTGGTGGGTGTTCAAGCAGCTGCACGAGAAGGGTCTCGTCTATCAAGGTTTCAAGGTGATGCCCTACTCGATCCCTTGCACAACGCCTCTCTCTAACTTTGAGGCCGGCTCCAACTACAAGGATGTCAGTGACCCCGCCGTTGTCGTTGCCTTCCCATTGGTTGGTCAGGAGGATGTTCAACTACTGGCCTGGACCACCACCCCATGGACACTTCCTTGCAACTTGGCCCTCGTCGTCAATCCAAAGATGGACTACGTCAAGATCTCGGATTTGGTGCGCAAGAAGACATTCGTGTTGGCCGAGAAGCGACTCAGCGTTCTTTACAAGGACCTGAAGCCAGAGAACAAGGAGTTCAAGATCTTGGAGAAGCTCAAGGGTGCTCAGCTCGTCGGAAACCAATACGTCCCAGTATTCAACTACTTTGAGTCGGACTCACAGTTGGGCGCCTTCAAGGTGATCGCCGGTGACTACGTCACAGAGGAGAGTGGTACTGGTATTGTCCACGCTGCTCCAGCCTATGGTGAGGAGGATTTCAACGTGTGTCTGGCCAACGGCATCATCAGACGTGACGACTTTAAGCGTGCTTCTCTGAACGCTGTCGATGTCAATGGTTGCTACACTTCGGACATCAAGGACTTTGTTGGACGCTACGTGAAGGATGCCGACAAGGACATCATCAAGATGCTCAAGGACAATGGACGTCTCGTCAACACTGGAACAATCGTTCACAGCTATCCATTCTGTTGGCGTTCAGACACACCTTTGATCTACAAGGCCGTCGGCAGTTGGTTCGTCAGAGTGGAGCAGATGAGAGACAGACTGTTGAAGAACAACGACCTCACCTATTGGGTGCCAGACTTTGTCAAGGAGAAGCGATTCGCCAACTGGCTCAAGTCCGCCACCGATTGGGCCGTCTCACGTAATCGTTACTGGGGCACTCCAATTCCACTGTGGGTCAGTGAGGATGGAGAGGAGGTCGTCGCAATTGGCTCAATCGACGAGCTTGCCGAGTTGTCTGGTGTCCGTGTCACTGATCTGCACAGAGAGTCCATCGATCACATCACCATCCCATCGAAGCAAGGCAAGGGAACACTCAAGCGTATCGAAGAGGTGTTTGACTGTTGGTTCGAGTCTGGCTCAATGCCATACGCCCAACAACACTATCCATTCGAGAACAAGGATCGTTTCGAGAGGATCTTCCCAGCACAGTTCATTGCCGAAGGAATCGATCAGACCAGAGGATGGTTCTACACATTGTTGGTCCTGTCCACCGCACTCTTTGACAAGCCACCCTTCCAGAACTTGATCGCCAACGGAATGGTGCTCGCTGCCGATGGCAAGAAGATGTCCAAGCGTTTGAAGAACTACCCCGACCCAATGGACATTATCGAGAAGTATGGCTCTGATGCTCTCAGACTCTACCTCATCAGCTCGCCAGTGGTCCGTGGTGACACACTCAAGTTCCAAGAGAAGGGTGTCAGTGACATACTGAAGGATGTCTTTTTGCCATGGTACAACGCCTACCGTTTCATGGTGCAGAATGCTATGCGCCACGAGAAGGTTGCCGGAAAGCCATTCGTTCCAGACATTAACAATGCCTTGGCCTCCACAAACATCATGGATCGCTGGATACTTGCCAGTTGCCAATCGTTGATCATGTTTGTTCGTGAGGAGATGGCTGCCTACCGACTGTACACTGTGGTACCCCGTCTCACCAAGTTCATCGAGGAGTTGACCAACTGGTACGTCCGTTTGAACCGTAAGAGATTCAAGGGCGCACAGGGAGAGGAGGACGCACTGCACTCTATAAACATCCTCTATGAGATCTTGCTCAAGGTGTCCATTGCAATGGCTCCATTCACACCATTCCTGTCGGAGCACATGTACCAGAACCTCAAGATGTCTCAGCCAGCAGACAAGCAAATGGGCTCTGTCCACTTTGAGATGTACCCAGAACCAATCAAGGAAGCCTTCAACCCAAGAATCGAGGAGGCTGTGTCCAGAATGCAAATGGTCATTGAGTTGGGTCGTGCCTCTCGCGACCGTCGCACCAAGCCAATCAAGAACCCATTGAAGGACTTTATCATCATCTCGGAGAACAAGCAGTACCTTGACGACCTCGAGAACCTCAAGCAGTATATCATCGACGAGTTGAACGTCGAGCGCGTTGTGCCCACCAACGACGAGAAGCTTGTCACGATCATTGCTGAGCCCGACCGCAAGCGTTTGGGTCAGCGTCTCAAGACTGCCATCAAGGAGGTTTCTGAGAAGATCGCCAAGCTCACTCATGACGAGCTGCGTTCCTTCCAAAAGACTGGTGAGATCACGATCAGTGGACACCTACTCACATCAGAGGACATCAAGATCATCAGAAAGTACAACGGCCCAACCGACCAATTTGAGCCATCAGGAAACGATGAGGTGCTCACTGTTCTCGACTTGACCATCGATCAGGATTTGATCAATCGTGGAATCGCCCGTGAGGTGATCAACCGTGTTCAGCGTCTGAGAAAGAAGGCAGGACTCTCGCCAGACGATCCCATCAAGATGGTGTACAACACCAAGGACAAGGCGATCCAAACAGCAATCGACTCTAACCAAGAGTACATCCTCAGTGCAATCATTTACCCATTGATCGCCACAGAGGAGGCACCCGCTGACTCTTTTGCCAACGAGGTGGCATCTGTCTCTAATGAGAATGACTTCCAACTCTGGTTCTCCAAGTAGATGATTGAAAAGTCCAACAACACGATAATAACAACCTTATCCATAAAAGGAATGTTTCAACAACTTTGGGTTTGGTGTGGGGTGTGTGTAGTTTGGCAGACAAACAGTGCATTGTTGCAAACAACAACAACAACAACAACAACAACAACAACAACAACAACAACAACAACAACAACGACAACAAGTAATGGATAGATATATAATTGCTTGATTGTTACATTTTAGATAGCTTTTGATATATACAGAATCAATCAACAAACCTATTTGAGATTGATCAAAAAGACTATTGTGTCTACTTGAAAGAAGTCAACAAACACACAACCATGTCATATATAGCACATTCCCCGTCAACATTACCACAACAACAGCAGCAGCAGCAGCAACAGTTCAATGATAAATCATTGCTCCATAACGTTGGTACATATAAGATCCTTTTGATGAGTAGAGTAGAGTGTGTTGACCGTTTTGACCAACATTAGCTTCACTCTCCACATCATCATTGTTAACAGGCACAGATATAATGGTTCCATTGTATAGTTATTCACCTGATAATCTTGTGTCTACTGAAGAGGACAGGAGGATGTCATTTGTAAAGATAGTGAGTGATCATCGGATATATATATATATATATATATATATATATATATATATATATATATATATATATATATGGTTCACCCACATTGTTGTTGTTGTTGTTGTCTTACTGATCACCTATCGATCCAATCTTTATAGCCACAACAACAGCTGCTCCAGCAACAACAGTTTAATGATGTCGAAGAGCCTTTGTTTGTAAATGCCAAGCAATACCCGAGAATAATGAAGAGACGAGAAGCTAGGGCAAAGATAGAGGCAGAGAGCAAAGTGTCCAAAGTAAGAAAACCATACCAACATGAGAGTAGGCATCAACATGCAATGAGGAGACAGAGAGGCAATGGTGGAAGATTCCTCACAGCCAAAGAGAAGGAAAATGGAAGTAATGATGAGAAGAAAGAACAACTTGTTTCTGACGGAAACAAACTCCGTTAGAGATCAGACTCCACACAATGCAAATTAAATAATATTAACTGGAATAACTCCTTCCGTGTGGAATCAATATTATACAAACAAGTTCTGGATATGAAGACCAAAAAGAGAGACTTTCATTCATCATCATCGCTATCAAGTAGATCCAAGTCGCTAAACACACCATCTGAAATGATTAGTGAGTTGTCGTTTGAGAAGACCAAAGTAGAATCCTTTACAGATGATTCCGCTAAAAGTCCAAAAGGATGTAATATTAGCATGGATTATTGTTGTCAACAGAGCTAATTTGAAGCATATACTTTACCCAAGAATGCCAGTGCCTCAGTGATAGTCACTGGTGACTTGAACTTGTGTTGCTTGGATGTCGAAATGAGTTTGGCACCCTTTGTGATAAAGGCAAACTTTACAGTCCATTGTTGAATCTTGCACCAGATATCATCGGGAATAGAAGATCTGATACTCTCTTGGGTGATGTTTGAAGTCTGTTGCAGTTGTTTCTTACGGTCGAGGGGACTGGATCGGGTGATACCACCACCGTTTGTCTTTGGACTACCATACTCGGCGGTGGTTCCATTCTCGACGCTTAGTTGTACACTGCTATTAATACATATATCGTTGTTTACGCCGCCAGTGGATTTAGTTGGCGTCGTGACAGAGTCACTCGCATTGCTCGTTGTATCCTCTGATGATTGATCATCATCATTGTCGTCGTCGTCGTCGACGTAGTCATTGCTATAGTTGTTATGCTCATCATTGTCGTCGTTGTCCACACTGATTGAGAAAGTAGCCCTTTTTGGACTCTTTTCTTTCTCAATAATCGAAGCAGAGTTGGTTTGTACTATTACATCATCGGATGACATCGTATGAGCTGTTGTTGTTGTATTTGTTTGTATCTTTGTTTGACTGATTCTAGAGTGTTGTGGACTAGTGATGATTTTTTTTGTTCAACAGTCTTGAAAAAGACAAAATCAAAATCAAAAATATCTTTTTTTCAATGAAATTGAAGTCTAGAGACATAGTAATAATATAACAAACTATTCATATGATCCTTTATTAATGAAAGAGATATATCTATATATGTTTGTAAGTTAATAATAATTATTATATAATTTTTTTTAATTAATTTCATAAGTTTGAAGTTCAATTAATCAAAATTAAGGTTTGTTTTGGAAGAATGAACACACACACACAAACAATGATCCGAAGGTGAAACAACAGTTAGATACATGAATACAGATAATCGATGGCGACTTCATCAGACACTAGTGCACCACTTCTAGGTGACATACCAACAAAGTCGTTGGCTTCAAGCTCCCTATACTCAAACATATTCAATACTGTAATTATCGCCATCATTAGCATTATCAATCAGATATGTATGCTAACAACTTGTAACAGGGCATACAAGAAGTGGAATGGAGACGATATAGGACACCAGTAAATAGCATCAACAACAGCAACAACAACAGCAACACGATCATAGATGAGCCAATCTTTAGCTCATATTTGAAGTTGATAGAGGCAAAGATACCTTGTGTCTGGGTAAAGACAACCGCACCCCAGAGTCAATCAGCAGCAGCAGCAGCAATAGTGTCACATCAGAATGGTCGATCAAACCTCAATCTATCGACAGCGTCAATCTCGTCAATGTCCTCTTCCCCGCCACTCAACTCATCCTCTTCAAAGATCCCATCAACAACGACGACGACGACGAGTACAGGTTCTCCAACAACAACAACATTAAGTGGAGTCACAACAAGCAACAAATCTGTTCCTATGACCATGGCAAAGAGCATTAAGTCTGGCAATGGAGTGCCCTCCTCACCATCACATTCACCAATCATCGTATCATCATCGACTTCATCGTCCAACATCCAATATATCCAACAACAACAACCATCATCGCCACTCATAGATATGAGTATTGCATCGGGATCATCATCAATGATGATTGACTCAACGACATCAGGATCACCTGCAGCTACAGACACCATTGATCTGTGGATATTCGATATCAACAACAACCTTCATTTACACATCAACAACAATGTATTCTTGCAAACACAGAGTAGGTGATTAACTCAACTCAATCATTAGTGATGTACAGCCAAACATTCTAATATCAAGATGAACCTCATAACTCTAGAGTTTGATACTGGTCGATGGGAGACATCTGATCCCAACCAAAGTCCAGCGGTGACCACCATGTTGCTTAGATCATTGTTCAATTTGGTCGAGCAGTAAGTAGTCGTCATCGCTGTCGTCATCATCAACACAGATATATCAATCTAACCAACAAAATAATACTCCCAGCCAACTAGTGCAGTCCAATGCATTTCTAAGATTAGGAAACTCATTCATCAGCAAGAAGTCAGAGAGAAAGATGCCAACCGATCATTTCTTTGAGGATCTAAAGAGCTCGTATGTAACAAACTAATGTCTACGATCATCCTACTACTACTACTTGCTGACACACCTTCTTCAGAAACAATGATGAGCTGAGCGAGCCTTCGTACACATTTACATTCTTCTTTTCCAACAGATCCATATTGTTCCATATGTTTGTAGAGAGAAAAAGAGTCCAGTGTATCCACCACCACCATGACTCTAGGCAGATTGACCTTACAAACATCCCCAGTAAGTCTAAACAGACGACTATGTCTTTGGTCCCTTACTCTAACAAAAAAAATCCTTTTCAAGTCATTACATCACCAAACTGTTTCATTGCGTACACAAAGGAGAGAGAGAGTGTGGCATTGAGGGACGTTCCTCCTCCTCAGAGAGGAGTGGCCCTGTCAATTGATCCCTTTGTGTTGCCCACACATCAATGGAAACAATTGTTCAATGACAACGGTCCTCTTCGTACCAGGACACCATTCTCAAATCCAAAATATTTGGAGCTGTTTGGTATCACCACTCATAGGTCTAACATCGAGGGCATTCTTGTTTCTTTGCCCGCACTTTCAAAGAATGGTATCCGCTTCTCCACAGACCTTCTTTATCTATACTGTCCCTACACTTCCGACAGCGATGCCAAGTACCTCCATGATAAACTGAAGGAGCATGGACTGGAGTGTGATGATCAAAGTGCACTATCTCTACTGGAGCACGGATTGAATCTATTCAGAAAGCAGTCACCTCAACTTTCTCACAACACCAAGGACACATCTGGGCGGGCAGTCGACTATTGGTCCTACCAACACCCATTCATCTTCTCAAAGGAACCAACGGCCCAGTTAAGCATCTCTGAGAGCAGACCCATGTTCTCACCCTCGAACTCACCTTTCCCATCTTCCCCTGGTCAGAGTGTTGCCGGTGGTGGACTCCACTCACCATTTGTCAACTCTCCCAAGTCACCAGCCACATCTCCCATGGTGCACACTGATGAACAGTCGTCACCTACACCCACTGTTGAGTCAAACGACACCAAGGGCAAACGATCATCAAAGCCATCTCAAAGCAAGAAACAAACCAGCAGAAGCACAAAGAGAAAGAAAGAGGATGAGGAAATCTTGATGAGTGGCACAAGCAAGCCTGTCGCATCCACACTTATCAACACCACAACCACTTCCACTGCGACAACAGCAACGACGACAACAGAGATCCGACAACATCAAGCTCAACCGACTCAACAACATCCCCCCATGAACCAACACCAACAACAACAACAACAACAACAACAACAACGCTCATTTTTGGGATCCGGTTCAATTGACCTCTTTGGTTCCGATGCTCTTGGTGATATCAACTCATTATCTTTCACAAAGAAGGACGATGATCTCATGCATCTCTCTGACACTGATATCGACCTAGAATCATGGACCAAACACTACTCCCCAAACTCTGGCCATAGAGTGGGCTCACAGGTCAACAATCAGTCACATCTGGTACCCAGCGATGCATTTGTTCCAGGTCTCAATCACATATCTACTAAGCAAGGACAGCCAGTTCAAGCTCAGATGGGACCACCACCACCATCAATGTTCACAACAGCTCCAATCAATTCAGACAATCCACGTTTACAACCATTCTCTGCAGTTGTGAACAAGCAGGGTATTGTACAAGATCAACCGAATCCCGATTTTTCATCCCTACCAAAAGGACAACAAATGCCACCGCAACAAAACCAACATCAACATCAGCAGCAACAACAACAACAACAACAACAACCAATGACAAGTTTAAACAAATCGAATCCATCAATAGCGACAACAAACCACTCGAATCCAATCAATATACCTTCGACAACAGGCCAGGTACCTACCATGATGGGCAGTGCATTCTCTTTGGATCAGAACATCCAGCTGAACCCGGCATTTCTTGTTCCCTACAAGGCACCTTCACTTAGCCAGAGCAACATTCCCACGATGCCCGACATTCCGACCGATCTGTATGGAAGTGGTGGTACCCATAGTTTACATCATGTGCACAATGACAGAGATACTATCATTGGGAGTGGCAGCGAGAACTCAGCATCACAAATGCTCATGTCTGGTGGGAGCAATCCCAAATCGATCTCGTCGATTCAGTTCACACCCGAGGGTACATCTTCTTCGTCCCTGTCACAGTACATGCAACAAATCAATCACAGCAGCGATCTACTCCACAACTCTATCGATGAGAGCATGGAGGGTCTGGCATCAGTGTACAGTGCACTCACTGTGTCCAAAATCAGCGATCAACAGTCAAACTCCAACCTCTTTGGGAAAAGCAAGGTGCCATATTATTGTCCTCCGTCGTACAAACCATTCGACGAGACATCCCATCCATATCAAACCAAGTTTGAATATTCCTACGTTCCCATTTCACGTTCACTCCCTTCCAATATGCAGAATGTTCGATACACTCCATATGTCCACACCTCCACTGGATCAGGTATCACCAACGCCAAGTTACTCCATACAAACAATCAACAAAAACAACAACAACAACAGCAGCAGCAACAACAACAGCAACAACAACTACAAGAACAGCAACAACATCAAAACCCAACAAACATTCAATCATCAACAAATGATATTTCCACTGGAATACTACAATCAAAGACCCCAACACTGGCGTCATCATCCACGACACCAAATGTCACCGTCGCTATCGAGGGTATGAATGGCGATCACATGCTTGTGGATACTCCTGTTGAGACTGGGCCAGTCTCCTACATGGACACACTTGGCAACCAGCAGCCCTCCAGAATGGTACCCTTCAGCTTTGAAAAGTCTCTAAACTCTGATGATTGTCAAGACTTTGCCTACGTTGTCCAACAATTTGCTCTAACAAACTATGACAGTCATCTTGGTCAGTCAATTGAACACTCTCCCTTGGTCAAACAAACAGCAGAGACACTATTTCAAGAGTGGACCAGGTCATTCATTTCTTCTGGTGGAGGCATTTTCAACACAGCACCACAACACCTTCAGTTGACCGAGGAGATCATTTCAGAGTCAGTGTATACAGCCCTTTACCCAATGTCCCAACCAGCCCTCGTTGACTTTGCAGCCCGTTGCCTGTTCAGCTTCTCATCAATCGTTTCCCAACTATTCTCCAAAACCACCCGTCACAACTCGCTGCAACTGAATGATAGAGATGTGTTCTCTGAGGTCGAATGGTTGCCCGCACCCAAGTTGGTTGTTGGATTTAAGGACGAGTGGATGGAGTCACCAACCACAATCATCAAACATTGGGACAAGGCCCTGATAGAACCTTACTCACCAAAGAAGAATATCACCTACTATGTATTATGCCCCGACACACAGGTTCTGCGGCTCAGTGTCCCGTCCTTCTTCTCAGACATCAGTTGTATATACGAGGTCAATCATCTTGGCCATCACCAACACTTCACAACAACACAGCAGGTACCAGTTACACTACCTCCACCCCAACAGTACCCAAACAAACCTCAACAACAACAACAACAACAACAGACTATTACCCCAACAAACATCCAGATCAACTGCACATCCAACTCCTCCCTTTTCCCACAAGGTGTTTATTATATACCTCAACCGACCAGTGCTGCCAATTCCAAACCAAACGACGTCATCCAACAGACAATGGCCAGTTATCTTGGTGCATGCTCTAAGCTCTGTAAGTACTTGGTGGACAAAGCCACAAAGACATAACAGTACTGACCTTTGGATTGTTCAATTATTATTATTTTGTTTAGGTGATCATCTTAAAGAACTGGCGTTGCAGTATAACGAGAACAACAGCATTGTTTTGTACATTGTCAATCCATTTACAGACAGCTCTCAGTTTGATCAGACTACCAATGACAACAGTAGCACATTAACCAGTCAACGAGAGTCACTCTTGTTTATTCAATCTTGTTTCAAGGCCATCATGAGGGAAACATTCAACAATGAAGCGTTGAACATCACCATCCAGTCAGTGCCCATCGAACAATTGTTTCTGGACGATTCACAAACTACCCCCATCACAAAGGAGATTGCTTTCTCTGTCTTTAGCAAGTGCCGCCGTGTCTCGACCATCTCATCCATGCTCCACTCGGCACCTCTTGGCTCTGGACTCACGTCGATCTTTTGCAACTGGAGCATGCGATTTGCCGATAAGGTCTACGAGCCATTGTTCATCCTGTCCCAACAGAAGCAGCAACAAAAGCTTCAACAGGACTCTCTGAACACCATTCATGTGTCCTATATGCTATCGGATAGCAATAGGTGGCTAGCTTGCACGATAACTGATGAGCGAGGCGAATTGCTCGAGAACAAGTTGTTGCAAACAATGATGTCCAACAACGAAGAACTAATGGTGCGAGAAACTTTATCCTCTGCTTGGACCTTCATCAGCAATGTCATCAATCTCCTATTGGTACCTGGTGGTATGACATCCAAGCTGGTCATTGCAAAGTTTGGCATAATATCAAAGGATGAGCTAAACGATTGGCAACGTCTGACATCATCAATACTAAGTGATCGACTTTTAATTGAGCACGTACTATTGGTGAACCTCACAATGCATCCTCATCTACAAGTGTTCTCATCGGATCAACTACAAGGTAAATATTTGTTAGTCAGACAGACAAAGATCTGGGTGTAACACAGAAACTAATCACATAATCCACACTTTAGATACTCATGTGACATTTGACAATCTGGTTGCACCAGTCAACTCGATCAAGGGACAGTCCTACGCAATCTTTCCAAGGTCTCCATTCATCTATTCCTACCATCTGAATAACCCTCTACCATTGGCCTCCTCTTTCATTGTTACATCTCCACCCCAATCGCTCTCTGCCTTTGAGAAGAAGAATGAGTGGCCCACCGTCTACATGCTCTCAATTGTATCCAACTTGGCCACCAAGTCATCACTAGATCCATTGAATCCCAATGATTTCATTCGCACTCTCTCAAGAAGCTACAATTCCTTGTCTTACCTTACCGTTTCGCCAAGATATCCCAATCGATGCTCAGTTCTGCCCATTCATTTTACAATTACCAAGAGAATGAGTAGACTCTCTAGTTTTGTTATACCAAAGTCAACAACAAATGGCGTACAACAACAACAATAAAGATGTACATGAGGTTTAGGAGTTTTATTTATCTAAGAGTCGAGATTGTTAGAGGAGATGCTGGAGTTAATGGTGACTTGCACATAGTTGATAACTTTGAGCGGCTTTTGGGTGTTATGTTGTTGCTACTGTTTGTAATGTCCTTGAGTGGAGTTGATTTCTTTGCAGGAGAGTGCTTCTTTGGAGTCATTCCTTGTTTGCTCGGTGACTTGATATCTGTGGATCTCAACAAGGTAGAGTTGGTCTTGCGAAGCTTTACTCCGGTAATGTCAGCCACTGACACCTGCAACTGTGCTGCACCAACAGTGGACTTCTTCTTTGATACCAAAAGAGAGGAGGAAGGTGATACCACTTGGGGAGCTACCTTTGTTAGTGGAGGAGGGGGAGGAGGAGGTGGTGGTGGGGGAGGAGGGGCTGGCGCTTGAACAGTCGATCCTGTGTGAAGTTAACTTTATGATTAGTTGTTTGGAGTATGTAAATGCATTCTCAAAGTGAACGACATACCTTGGACATGATCCTGTACGATTTGCGATGCTTTGATCACCTGTTTCAATAACTCATTGTACTGAACCAAGTTGTTCCTATACAATTGGTTCTGTTCAGTCTTGATGCGAAGCAACTCCTTTTCCAATTGGCCAATCTTGGTCTCTAGTCTTCTGATTGCAGTCACATCATGATTGTGTATAATAATTGATGGTGTTTGTGTTGGCAAATGAATGGTATGTTGTTGTTCAGAGGGGAGATCATCATCTTGGAATCCATAACCATAGCACAGAGACTTGAAGAATGTTAACAGCTAGTAATAACATTGTATGTTAACGGATGTTACGAAGATATTGTCGACACTTTGTTGGATACATACATTCTCCCATGCAGCCTTTTGGAACGGTATTTGTACAATACTCTTACATTGATCAAGGAAAGAACATACACTGATTGGGAACAATGGTTTGTAGGTAATGTTAATCTGTTGTATGTCTCTCTTCCTTTTCTTTAATTGCTTGTTATATTTTGACTTCTTTCTCTTTTCTCCTATCTTCATTTTGAATATTTATTTGTATGTTGTTGTAATAGTATTGGAGAATTAATGATTGTTCACTCTAAACTCAAAGTTGGATAACAACACTCTATTTATTTATCTGTTGAACAATCCAGGCGGGAGAAATTCAAATTTGAATGTGCTTCCAAAAAAAAAACAAATCAATCAAAAGAGTATGTATTGGTTCAACCTACAACCAAGAACCAGATGGTGACAATGGATTGCAATTGGATGGCAGACGAGTAGAGATGAGTTCTATTGTCCTTTGGAACAATTGGGATGAGACAGCAGTATCATAGGAGGCACGTGATGACTTGGTTTGACGGCCATGATCAAAGTACCTCCCTCCAATTCCTTGAAGCTGTTGGGAGACGAGACATTCTACAATGTACTCTGAGCAGTAGGCCGCCGACTTGAAGACGGTATGGTAGAGTCCTTTGAGGGGCCAAGGGAGACTGACGATTTCACTGGCAAAGATTCCAGGATGCACTGCGTTCACTACACACTTGGGCTCTTCTGGATGATCGGCGCTGTACTGATCAATGCGTCTCTGAAGCTCGTATGTGTTGTAGATTTGGCAAAGCTTGCTCTGGCAGTAAGTAATGAAGGTCTGAGAGTGATTTCCAGTGAGGTTGTCGAGGTTGAGTGATGACAGGTTGTGAACTGAACTTGAAACATTAAGAATGCTCGATGACGACTTCATTAGGATGTCAAACAAGGACAGCGTGAGTAGTAAGTGTCCGATGTAGTTTGCTAAGAACTGGGTGTTGAATACAGAGTTGTCGGGCTGTGTTGTGAGAGGTGGTTGGTTCACAGAGTCCTCTGTGAGCCACATTATTCCTGCATTGTTTACAAGGATGTGACATGGAAGTGATCTCTGTCTAAAAGCAGCGGCAAAGGACACAACAGAATCGAGCGAGAGCAGGTCTAGCTGCATAAACTCTATCTTTGTGTTGCCTGTAGCTTTGATCAGCTCCTGTATGGCTTGGTTTGCTTTGGACTCTGTTCGACAAGCCATTATGATGTGCGCACCTCGTCGCGCCAATCTTAAAGCGATCTCCTTGCCAAGACCAGCATTGGCTCCAGTGATGATCACTACTCTCTCACTAAGATCGATCTCTTTGACAGTGTCACTCTTTCGCTTCATTTCATTGCCAAAATACAATTTGAAGGCTACTACTGCTACAATAAAGAATAAATAAAAGACATACATCTACTTATACTTATACTTATAATTACTTATAATTGACAATAAGAACAACTATTTTGAAAATAAGGGACAACACCAAACACAACATTTTCCTGCCCATCTCACTTTCTGCAACGATTCTGGACTACAAAACAACCCAAATGAACTATCCTGCAACCCAGCCATCCAGACCAGCACACTACACACCGAAAAATAAACTCATGACAGAGCAGTCAGAGTAGCGACTGAGAATGACGAAGAAGACGCATCACTGCGGCCAGATGGTTGCAGATTTAAGGGCAGGCACGACAACTTGGTGAGGCACGAGAAAACAGTACATCGCGGTTGCAAGAACATTGAACACTGCAAGGAGCATGTGCAAGTGCCAATCAGTGACTTGAAACACTCAGTAGGAGGAGCACGTCGATACAGATGCGATGATTGCAATACTTCACCATCTCCAGGCATGGTTCCCCTACAAAGAAGGCAGACAACTCCAATTGGCAAACAACCAACCCACCCAGTCAATGGACAATCTCCTCGCCAAAGTCCGTGACACCCTTGCCTATGCCAGACAGTAGTATTATTCTCACATCAATTTAAAGTGTCTCATTATACAGATACAGAGTTTAAACAAGTTATAATGTAATATCAAGTGTAATGGTATGCATCATTCAATGATCAAACTCATCAACATCATCAATATGGAGGATGAGATTTACATCATTGGTTTATCAATCGATAGTAGTGACAATGAAGACATCTCAGCTCAGTTCATGGTCTTCAAGCGTACACAGGTGGTGCGCAGGTCTACCTCACCTCATTGAGGACAGATGATCGACAGGTATAATTGTTCAGAACTTGCTTGGGACCCTAGACAGATCGATCAAACAATGTTCACGAGCTATCAATTAAATCATCAAGTCTGTTTCAGACATGTATGTTTTCAACATCAATCAATCAATCAATCAATCGACCAACAAGCGTATAGAAGTGAGCACATCGATGCAATAACAGTGACATTGAAGACACATGACACTATATCTCACTTATGTTGGCAGCATCAACCAGTTGTGTTGTTGTTATAAACAGAGGTTGTTGGATTTATTGATGATTGCGAGCTATCCTCTCTGACTGCTGATGCTTCTGATCATCGATGTTGTTTGGTTGTCAAGTTGAATGGCATGTTGGATGGCGAAGATGTGGTTGTTGTCTTGTGCTTCTTGGTCTTAGCAGTTGTTGTTGTTGTTGTTGTTGTTGTCGTTGATGTCTTGTGCTTCTTGGTCTGTGCAACAGCAGTTGTCGTTGTGGTCGTTGTCTTGGGCTTCTTGTTCTGTGTAGCAGTTGTTGTTGTTGTTGTTGTCGTTGATGGCAATGATGCCTTTCTTTTGGTTGCTGACTGATGCTGCTTCAGTTCACTCACGCTGCTCTTTGATCTACAGGTGGAGTTGTCTCTGGTGTGTTGGATTTGGTTGTCAACCGAACTTCTTGTTATTCGCCTGCTGCGTTCTCTTTGTGGAGGACGGAGCCATCCTCTTCTTCGTTGGTCGGTGTGTATCAACTCTTGCTGGTGTGTCATAAATGGAGCCATTGTTAATGTGGTTGTCCAAGAAGGTCGTCAGGTGTCTGTCCACAACTGTATTGATTATGTGACTTGGTTGAGCATCCTCCAGTTCGCTGATGATTGCATCCACTTGTTTGCTGCTTGTTCTGCTGCTACTTGATGTCCTGTYCCAATGCTCGAGCAACATACTGGGCAAAGTAAATGGTCATCAGTCCACAACTCCAGTTGTCAGTTTGGATCGGCTTCGAGTTGTGATGTAGCTCCAATGCCTGCTGCTGCTGGCGCCTTCGTTGTCAATAGCATTGTTGAATTGGTTAAGACGCCAAAAAGTGGTAGTTGCAATCGTCAGGACATGGTCGTTGTCATGGTCATGGTCATAGTCAAGGTCATGGTCATGGTTATGGTCAGGTCGTGATCGTCGTGTTCATGGACTATGACTCATACCCGTCGTGGGTCGTAACCATCATGCACGTTCAGCGACGTCTGTAGTCGCATGGAGGGTCGCGATGTCGTCGTACTTGTTGGTTGCCACCGACTATTGTTGCTGTTGTCTGTCGCTGCCAGGCCTGCACCGTTACCACGTTACAATGACGATTGAACTGTGTTGGTTGTGGTATGATTGTTAGATGATACAGGGACTGTGTAAGTCGATTGTCAGTATTGTGACGATCGTCGCCGACTAGTTGTGTTGATTGAGTGGATGCTGGTGTGGGTAATTTCTCTGTGGGGAATGTTTGTGCATGAATAATGAAAGTTACAGGTCTGAGATAGTTGTAGAGGTGATTCATTAATTTAAATTCCCAATCTAATTAACCAACAGATAATATTGTTGTTCTATAGATCATATACTATCTAATTAACCAACAATTAATCAAACATCAATCAATCATTCAAACAAATTTTACTACAACTACAACAACAATTACAAGAATACATGATGAACGAGTTGTTTAAGTCAGTTCTACACAACACATATCTGTTTGGACAAGTAAAGGGACACCTGCACATACATTGTACTTATGATTGTGTGTCAAAAGATGGCGACAAGGCAAGATACATCCTATCAAAGCCATACAAACAATGGATATCTGTCGAGGACATCTGTCGCAATGGTCATCAATCATTGCTCTATTACAAGCTACGCCAACAACAATACCAACAACATTCAACCAACAATCCATTAATTCAAATGAGAAGTTACAAGGATATAGTTGTAGTGTGTCAATACGTGACTGATGAAACCATCTTCTCATCAGTGTATCGACGATGGCAACATATGTTCATCAGCCCCTCGCTGCTTCAACACGCTGTCATTGGTGCCAACTATAATGCCTTGCGAATACTCATCTCTCAGACCTCACCCGTCACACTCCCGGTAACCATCAAGACTCTCTTTCTATGGACCAAGAATCGCTTCAGAAGTGACATCGATCAAAGCGTGTGGCGCGAGATTATGGTTGGTCTACTTGAGGTCCGTTGCAATACAGAGCACTTATCAAGAAAGGTGGACAACGGCAATCAAGTCAGAAGTCATTGGAGAGCATTGATTGATATACTGGTGATTGTTGCGTATTCTGAAGATGAGCTACTCTGGAACAAATTGCAACAACTGAGAAAGGTGCTCAACAAAACCATGGTCGTGCCGTTTGATAAGTTTGATCAGATCACTTTGAAAGATGGTGCATTGCAGACGGCCGACCCAACCAAGGCCATTGGCTACCTGAATGACCACCTGGAATATCAAGTTGATTGGTCGACCTCGCTCACTTCGCACATCGAGAGCACTGTGATACTGGCAAGACGAGCTGGTTTGGATATCGATATTATGATGGACAAGATCACTCTAGTGGTTGATGCTCTGTCGCCAGCTCCACAATGCCATGCACAGGACAGGAAACAGATCATTGACACACTATTGTTGGCTCAGATCATCACCCATCAATTCTCATCAAAGGAAGAATATTATGTCGAGCTCTTCATGTACGTCACCAAACTCTTTGTACAGTTGAAGCGAGTGGATCTCATTGAATACTTCATGTACGAGATTGGTCTTTATATCGGTGAGCAGTTCGAGGCATTGGCAACACATGGCTCTCTCGAGCTGATCCTCGCCGCCACCCAATCTATTCTATCAACACCCAAGGAGGACTCGAGAAAGGCACTCACGATGGGACTTATTGCTGCACTTCGTAGAGATGATCAAGATAGTGATGCCATTGTCCGTCACCTTTCTGCCCTTGTCAGTGTGGAAGGTTTCGGGAAGGAAGACGAAATCATTATTGTCTCATCTGGCGATAAGCTTCTGGCCCTCAGCAAGGTACTGAATCATGTCAAGCCTGCTGTGATTACGCTCCAGCAGTTCAAGGGCCTCTGCTCTTTGGACACTGGTGGCACCATTCATTCCAAACGATTTGTTCAAGAGACACTGGACACCGCAGTCCGATTGGGCGACATCCCACTCATCGATCACCTGATCGGTCACATCAAAAATGAGCCAGAAATGATTATCCGATTGGTTGGCATGGCATGGCAATGTGGACAAGTGTCAGTTGCCAACAAACTGCTGAACGGTCCCATTTCATCTCAGACATCATTGAGATATATTATCAAGTTGGACTGGCKSGTGGTGACCAATAATAGTCCAGCCATTATATTCTTGGATGGCATCTTCACACACCACAATGACAWGCAGATCAGGGAAATRGCMATGACAATGCGRCCAAAGATGGAATACAGTGATGTAATACAAGGGTTCCTACTCACAGCCATTAARCAACATCGATKGGAWTTATTCAAGACCATCTTTGAGGACAATGTCATGGGCACCGAATATCTATTCGATTTTAAAWGTGTTAACTATGCCATCTATACAAACAACATTGCCATCCTCCAGTTCATGTTTGAACAGAGTCCAGTAATAATCAAGGATCGTATGGAGTTTGGCAGGAGGATCATTCGAAATTGCGGCACCTTAGAGACACTTCAATGGTTCTTTGGCACCAAGGATGACAATGAGATCCTGCGCCACCTAGGTGGATCGAATACTCGTATGACAACAGATAATCAAGACAACTCTGATGCCGAGGATGATGACGATGATTATGATGATGACGATGATGATGATGATGACGATGATGATGATGATGATGATTATTATTATGTCTGGCTTAAAAGTGACCCCTTCAACAAGAATGATCTAGAAGATGACTTTACACCTACAAGGTGGTTCCTCCATCGAATTGGCTACCAACTCTCCGATGGATTATTGAAAGATCATAATCTCTACATTTGGGACAATCATTCAGATAACACAATGTGCACATAATAATAATAATAATAATAATAATTAATAACTTACTAATCCAATAACAACAATGCTCACATGTTTATGATCAGAACCATTTAATTGATGTTATTTTAATTTCCCAATTATAATATTAACAAATGGGTAACAATATTGACTTGTTTGATAGGTCATATTAATAAAATTATTGGTCAGGAACTTATTATTATTATTATAATTGTAATTAACTGAAATTAAAATATTAATTTAAAAGCTATGAATTACATTTTAGTATCCATTTCAAAATCCAACAAATTTTTTTAATTTAAATAATCTATACTTATATTTCCTTTAATATTATACTGAACTAAATTAAAATTACTACTTAATTATCATTATCAATAATATTACTATTAATATCATCTCCCAACCAAACCTATTGAATTCAGACCAAGGGACTCTGGAGGAAAGATTCACCTCACAATCGAATGAATACCCATTTTAAATTTACATACTATTTCAACAAGACACACAAGTCTGTTTCGTATGAATAAATAGAGCAGTCCAATTAGCAAATATATTGTGTACTAACATATCTTGGCCTGTATCGTTTGATGGGTGAACGTCGACATACTCCATGGCATTCCTTGGAGTAAAGTTACATTATGTATCGCAGGAGTTTGTGTCAAAGGAGGTGCTAATTGATATGTAGCATATCATTGGTGCACATACTGGTGAGAACAAAGGCAATCACCTACTAGCTACGCTCGATGAGTATGAGTACACATTCTTTTATATTGACCCAAGTATACACAACAATCACGTCCATCCCTCCAAGGATCATACTCCTGCACAGGTTGGCAATCAGTCAGCATGCCAAGACGATGCAACGCCCCTCCAGGCCACACCAGCACCTGCCCATGCCAACCGAGCGGTTCAAAGAAGGACACCAAACCAGGACCACCTTTGGCCTTCAACACCTTTAAACAATATGTGGAGAAGCACTACAAGAGGGCCATGGTCAAGACTGATATGTGCCCGAACTGTGTTGAGTGGGAGAAGCTAATCGATCGACCAGGGTATAGTGAAGCCCTTGCTCAACACAAGCTACTTCATGAATCAAGAAGGGAATCCTTTCGGGCTGCCAAGAGAGACTTGAAGGCTGGGGAGATCCTCCTGGTATGGGACTTCAAGGAGAATATCAACATTAACCAGGCCCAGACAATGACGTCCAAGAAGTTCTATGATGCAGTCACCAGATCCTTTTTCTCCATCGTCATGATCTATAATGTTGATGGCAACATCATGAGGCACACTTTTAGGTATGTAATAGATTGCCCCTCATAAACTACGTGTCACTAACCTATGATTCCATCATTCATTCAATCATTCATTCATTCCATTCAATCGTTCATTCCTTTCAATCAATCGTTGAATCATTGTACAATCATTCACTCGATCAATCAATCATTATCACATGGCTAGTTTCCTGTCCAACATATTGGACAAGACACACAAACACGCGATGATATGCTTGGAGCATATGTTCAAGTCCAAGGAGTTCTTTGAGTGCTTCGTTGATCAGAGCAAGCACTCCACTTATATCCCCATCAAGGCCACTCTTTCCAGATGTGGCATCGAACACCTAGACTTCTGGTCAGACAACGGACCTACCTTCAAGTGCTATGAGCTGCTACAGGTGATGGAGAACAAGTGCTTAGAGTACAACGTAAACATCACTCTCGACTTCTTTGCCCCAATCATGGTAAAGCGGACTGTGACATTTGGTTCAGCCTGGTCACAAGGATGCTCAAGGACTACTTCAGCTCGGAGGAGTCCAACGTTGAGTCACCCTCATCCCTTCAGATCAAACATGTCATTGACCGGAAGACCGAAGAGTTCAAGTCTCGGGTCGAGTCCACCAACCCCAACCAGTCAAAGAGGAGATATCACCAAACTCTCTTTGTTTACCCGAGAGCAGATGTCGACAATAGTGGCGTCGAGATGGAGCAAGATGGGCTCGATCCCAATGCATTTATAAATCGTGACTCATTCAATCTCGATCTACAGAATGAGCCTGACAAGACCAATAACCAAACGACTTGGGGAGGATGCAACTTCTTCATCTCAGAGGAGTACCGCTTCTTGTTCAAGATCGAGAATGGTGTTGTCAAACCCTCCTTCGTACCATCCCATCTGCTGCGTCAAGGCACAACGTCAACTGACAGTGAGACTGTTGTGGAGAGGAAAACTGTGCCCAAGCAACCAAAGGCGCTCAAGCCAACCAAGGTGGGTTCACGCTGATGACTTCTTCTTTGTAGGAATGGCCTCTTCTTCTGTGAAGGATTGATCATCCTACATACAATGGATTCAACTGAATAGTTCCCGCCAAATCATAAACCCATACTCCTCTCAATCACCGAGGCTCACTCAATCAATCACTTTGGCATTAACTTAATAATTAATTAATTAATTATTAATAGTGGTCAACATATATTTATTTGGTAGGCGCCGCTATATCTTCTTTCAGATATAGTCTGTAGCATAATTGAGCTTTGAGTTCATCACTTTTCGAAAGGACAAGATCTTGCCTTGAGCAAAGGCCTTCATCTCGCTCACTTTGAAACTCATAAATGCCAAGTACCTCTTTGAATTAATCACATCACCGGGCAGTTGCGGAGCAGGTGCTGGCTGTGTGGAACGAGTGGTCTTTGTGGAACGAGTGGTCTTTGTGGAACGGGTAGTCTTTGGCGAGAGTTCATCTAGCTCCTGTATCATCTCGGTCAGAGTACGGAATCCGGTGGTACGGTTACGACCGAGACCCTTTTCGACCGAATACTATCAACCGGTGACTTTGCCAACCGCACCGGAACCGGACCAGATCAAAAAATGGATACCGAAGACAAGATCAAAACCGAGTCTAAACCGGTATTCAATCAAAAAATTTTTCCCGGTCTACCGACCGGGAGATTTTCCTCAAACCGTAACCGTACCGACCGGATTCCGTACTCTGGTTGGTAGGATCTGGTGCTGAATGTCAATGATGCGAAAAGATGTCACTGCAAGCTGTACTTAGTAAGAATAGGTTCAACAGTCACATATTATATATAGATCGATTCCTGTAGATGTACTGAATCTGTTGGTGTATCAAACGTATGTGTTGAACATTGTTGGTGCATCATCGTTGTGTCGAGACGCATTCGAAAGGCATTCATGATATCAAGGATATATACAATAAAATGGAACATTAATGCGATTCCTATTGGAGACCTTGTCGCCACCCCTTGTAAATGACTCCTTGTGGATGGTGTGGAGGCTGTTGTGGAAGTTGTTGTGGAGGTTGTTGCCATAGTTTGGAAGTTGTTGTGGAGGATGTTGCTGTAATTTTGGAAGTTGTTCAGGTTGTTGTGGATGTAGTTATGGAAGTTGTTGTAGCATTGTACTTTGTTGTTGTTGTTACTGTTAGGATAGTATCCTTAAGTCTAGTTTGTAGTGAGTGTATTTGTCAATGTTGACGAATCCACTCATATCATTAATATCCTTGCTAATGAATAGAATGGTATTGGCGTCAATGCTCCTGATGGATATAAGGTCAAACTCCCCATCAAAGTTAGAGAGTTGTGCCAAGACCCGAGTCTCAATCGAGCCATGTCTATCTCTCACTGACAACCTTTTGATACCACTCGTTGGCCAAATGTCGGCGGTGATGTTGACCTGGGAGTTGAGCATTCCAAGTGTCTGTAGATTGGGCAACATCGTCTTGATGAAGCCCCAATCAGACTCTTGCAGCTCCTTGTCAATGTAGAACTCAGTGATTGATGTTGGGAGCATTGATGGCATCTCGACCGGTCATACATGCTGTTGATGGTCAGATGTTTCAAGTTCGTTGATTCATCAGTGTGTCTTCCTGCACCGGTGCCACATTCTCAATCGGTGATACATCTTCCATCGTATCAACATGTGGTGGTCTGACATGGTTGAAGTACAGGTGGAAGCGGTAGGTGTGCACATGATATCGATGTGGCAAATATACACGTATCATCACCAAGGCTATTGGAATAGCTCAATGATCCCATCCCTCGTCTAGATTACTTTAGATATTGTTGATCGATATGTTTGATCTTTACTTGATAGAGTAACGAAATCGCCGTCAAGGGATTGGTCAAAGTGCTCGCTGAGGAGTCGGTCATTGAAAGGCCAGCGTGGTGCCGTTGAGGTCCTTGTCGGTCTTGGTTGAGCTCGCCAATCTGAATGGTCAAGATGTTGTGTATCGGCACTTCTCCTCCCGTCCGTGGAATGGAGAGAGTATTGCAGATGTTGAGAGCAGGAAATGTGTGGCAACACTGATAATGTCGCCCAACAAGTTGACCGATGTCGTGCCAGGTTGGTACCTGTAAACCAATTTGTCGCTCCAGATCACTAGATCGTGATACTATAGGTGTGGCAGGTGTGCTTTGCTGCCATGTCCACACTGGCTGACTGTAATCTCTAGGGCAGCATGTGCTGGTCCAAGATCGATCGAGGTGACCAGTAGTTTGTTCCCTTTTTGGTATATCCACTATCTATATATAGAGTTGAAAACTTGGATGTCCTCCTTATTGATAGTCCAGCTCGTCCAAGTGACTACATATATGATGTGATTGTTGATTAACGTGTGTGTTGTGATAGGTGCCGGGTCTCCACTGTTGGCCTTTGATCCAAGGATTAGTATTTTGGTAATTAAAGGCGTTGAATGTTTATGCATCGCTTCATCTTGGTGAGATGATTACGTTGGTGTATAATAGTTGAATGTTGGACGATGTTGGTCAGCAGTAAGGTGTTAGACAATCGATCAAGTTGTTGCACAATAGCTGTTGATGTTGGTGATCCGAGTTGATGTAGATTACGACAGCAAAGAATGTGGTATATCGCTTCATCTTGATGAGACGAGTCTGTTGGAGTTCATAGGAGTTGTTAGATGATGTTTGTCCTTTG